TCTCAGAAACCAATGAGGTGCGGCGCGAAAGTCTGAGTGTCTGACGCAGAAGTCAGCCTTTTCAGAGTTCCTTGGGAGCGATAAAACCCCGACTACGCACTGCGGCGCCCGTCATGGCGCTTTCTGTTGGAGCTTCTTACTTCCACAGGTCGTTGGAGGGGCCCTGTGCCGGTGCTTTTGGTTCGGGGGTTCACCTGGCAGGCCCGCGTGGCAGCTCTTCGGCTTCTTGCTCATCGGGGTGCTTGGCTGTGCTTTCTCGTTGGATTTGCAGTTGGCGTGGCTTGTCGCTGCCTGCCGGAGTGGCGGGCGTGTCTTACTTGCTGTGGCCGGGGCTCCGCTGATAAGTGGTGGCCGTGGCGCGTCTGACTTTGGAGATTTTATTTTGTGCGCTGGAACGGGGGCCCGTTTAACTTGATGGGCCGCGGGGTCGCGGCGTTCTGCGTCGAGAGGTGTAGCTAGCCCATTTGCCTCAGTCTCCCTTGATAAAGATTCTCCGTTGCAAATGCATGCTTTTTCCAACGTCATGCAGTGAATATTTGATATTTGGAGTAGGTTAGTTACACATTGGAAAGCACTGAGCAGACACAGGCCCCTCGCATAGAGGAGCGGCTCTTGCTGCTTACTTAGTCGTTCGCACAGCTCGGTCCACTTTTTTTGCACTTGAGAGGCAAGGACATCGCAAAGGCGTCGAGCTTGTCTGCTGTTGTCGACGAACGGCTCCCGCCTCCCTCGGTTTATATTTGGCTCCCTTATTTTTGCCTTGTGCAGGCGTTAGTCATTGCGATTTGAACCGGGCAGACCAAATGAAGGCCGCCGGGGTCTTCTTGCTCTTTGTTATAGCGGGCCACCTGGGTGGCCCAAGATTCGGAACCAATTTCGACAGGATTCGAAACCGGCCCCGGGCGTGTTTGCATTAGCCACGAGACCTGCCGAGAAGCAGTAAACACATAGAAAGCGCCCTGATGTACTTCTTCAAGGAACGAACGAGGCCTAGAAGCTTCTCGCCTCTTGTCGAAGTTGTGTGCGTGTTTTTCGTTCAGTTTATCGGAGTCAGTATTCAAGCGAGCCTGAAAACCCTAGCTGCGTTCTTCCCTGAACGCCTTGCCACACCCGAAGAGCGCCTACTAACTTCTACAGTAGTCTTTTCTCAAGATCGACTACGCCTAACTACAATTATTGTTACATGCCCAAAAGCGGGCCCATCAAGGGCCCGCTGCGCTGGGCATAGGTTAACAGCTAGGCAGATGACTAAGACACAGAAAGAGAAACGAAAAAAGCCGCCAAGGCTGGCAAGCTGGCGCCCACTGTGGCTACGCTAGGCTAGTAAAAGTAAGCTGGCTACTGCTATGGCTAGCGTAGCTAGCTAGCTCTGAAGCGTTGGCCAACTTGCGCACTGGGAAGCCAATGGGCACCAAGGTCGGCCTCCGCGAGCTCAAACGCCGTGGCCAGCTGGCTTGGGAGCCATCCGTGGCGAGTCAGCTCAGGAGCCATGGCCAGTGAGTTTGGAAGCCATGGCCTGCCCGCTTGGAAGCAGTGACGAGCCTGCCCCCCTTGCCTTAGGACTGGAAGCCATGGCAAGCCAGATCAGAGAGAAGCCAAGGCCAGCTAGCTTGGGAGCCGTGGCGAGCTAGCCCAGAAGCCATGGCCAGCCAGCTTGGAAGCCATGCTGAGTAGTTAGCCCCAGAGCCATGGCGTGGCCAGCTAGCTAGCTTGGAAGCCCTGGCCACCGAAGGCGTGGCCAGCTAGCTTGGGCGCCATGGTGAGCGAGCTCCGAAGCTTTTGCCAGCTAGTAGCTTAGAAGCAGTGGCCAGCCAGCTTGGAAGCCATGCTGAGTAGTTAGCCCCAGAGCCATGGCGTGGCCAGCTAGCTAGCTTGGAAGCCCTGGCCACCGAAGGCGTGGCCAGCTAGCTTGGGCGCCATGGTGAGCGAGCTCCGAAGCTTTTGCCAGCTAGTAGCTTAGAAGCAGTGGCCAGCCAGCTTGGAAGCCATGGCCATGGCTAGCTCTGAAGCCATGGCCAGTGAGCTCGGGCAGCTAGCTCAGGAGCGTTGGGCGGCTAGCTATGAAGCCTGGGCCAGCTAACTCTGAAGCCTTGGCCAGCTAGCTCTGAAGCTTTGATGGCCAACGTGCTAGCCTACGGGGGGCCGAGCAATGAACTGGAACGCCCTGGCGGACTAGCTCGGGGACTTTGCCTGTCAGCTTGCTAGCCCCGAAGCCTTAAGTAGCTCCGAAGCCATGGCCAGATAGCTGAGAAGCTGTGGCCAGTCAACTTGGGCGCCGTGGGGAATGAGCTCCAAAGCCCTGGCCATGTTGTCGCTTAGAAGTCATTGCCAGCCAGCTCAGAAGCCACGGGCAGCGAGCTCAGAAGCATGGGCTTGCTAGCTCAGAAGCCTCAGCCAGCTAGCCCAGAGTGAGGCCTTGCTTGGCCAGCTAGCCTAGCGCAGAAGCCTTGGGCAGCTCCCTAGCCTAGAGGCCACGGGCTGGCCAGCTGCTTCTGCCAGCATAGCTTTCGCAACTTCTGCGCTAGCCGCTTCCTTGAGGGGGGGCTTATAGTAGCCAATTCTATTAAGGGAGGGGCCCTTAAGGGGGTTCCTTAACTAAGGGTGGCACACCCTTAAGTTGAGGAGCTTTCTTAAGGAGTTCCCTTAAGGGGCTTCCTAAAGGACCCACTCTTAAGGAGAGCGCGGAACTTGCTTAACTGTGTAAGTACACGCCCAGAAAGCGGGCCCATCAAGGGCCCGCTGCGCTGGGCATAGGTTAACAACTAGACAGACTGGTTGCTCAGATTAGATACAGAAAGAAAAACGAAAAGAGCCGCCAAGCCTGCTCGCGGCCAAGGCTAGAAAGGCTGGCCCCCACTGTGGCGAGGTTAGTAAGGAAGCGACTGCCGTGGCTACTGCTTTGGCTGACTTGCTTACTAGGGAGCCAATGGGCGCGAAGGCTGGCTTGTTGAGCGTCATGAAGTCCATGAGAAAGCCACGCTTGGACATACGCAGGCGCAGAAGTTGGGCCTCTTTGGGTATGATCATGTCCAGGAGAATCCTAAGGCAGAGCAAGCATACCCATGGCAAAAGGTTGTCGTGAGGCCCATGAGAGGGCCACGCTTGGGCGCGCATATCTATGCGCAGAAGTCGGGCGGCAAACACGGAGGCGCGCCAAGCTTGGTCCCCTCATGGACATGGTGCATGACGCTCACCGGGGTCCACCCTTCGACGTGTGAGTCTCACGGCTATCGCCCATCCTTACAGACGTCGACATCTTCGGCGCTTTCTGCTTTCTTTTTCGGAGATGCATGAGCTTGGCCCTCTCTCTCATGGGTGTGATGGTGCTCGCCAGGGTCCACCTTTGAGATATGCAAGGGCCCACGGCTATCATTTTCACAGGCATCGACATCCCCAACGCTTTCAACCTTCAAGCGCGGAGGCTGATAGGCTTGGCCCTCTCATGGACATGATGACGCTCACCGTCACCAGAGTCCACCCTTCAGACATGCCCAGCGCCTTCAACTTTCAAACGCGGAGACGTATAGCTTTGGCCTTCTTATGGACATGATGACGCCCACCAGGGTCCACCCTTCGCGCGTGGGCTTACTTTGTTTTGAGTGTGATCATGTCCGTGAGAATTCTAAGGAGAAGACCCCGTGGACGTCGATGCCCGTGGCCCCTCTGTATCTGAAAGGTGGAGCCTCTTAAGCGTCATCATGTCCATGAGGGGGCCAAGCCAGGACACGCCTGCGCGCTCCTGTGGTCGATTGGTGTGCGCGGAAGGCAGTCGCAGAAGAGAAAGAAGCTAACTCTTTTCCAAAAACTCCAGGGGGGTCGCTCAACTTTTTCTGTATTTGAGCGACCTCCTTGAAGTTTTGGAAGAATTGCCATGGCGTTGGGCGATAAGGGTAGCGGTTAGGAGTTCGTTGCGGCGATTCGTTAGGGCTGGGCGCGTAGTGTGTTGGGGGGGGGGGGTCTATCACCGTGGGGGCTGGCAATTTGGAGGACAAAGTAGACCACTAGCAAAAAACCCCCGGAAATCTCTGGACTGTCGGGCAGAACACGCCTGGGGGCTTTGCTTTCTTTCAAGTTCTTGGAAATCCCCTAAGGAGGGGCCCAATATTAGCCAAAGGCTATAACAGATTTTCTTTAAGGGCCTTCCTTAAGGGAAATTTTTCCTCTTCAGGAACGTGGTAGTAACTTTTTGTGATAGAAATTCTTTAAGGAGAACGCTCTCCACCCTTAAGGAAGGCACTTAAAGGAGTACCTTAAGGATTTCAGAAACCATCGCTAACCCTATAAATACTAAGATTTAATTATTAGCACCGCGTTGGTTTGTGGACTGACTGGCGGAAGCAGTAGCTTCGTCTTTAGTGTCGCAGCCTTCTATCATTCGCATTACTATCAGGCGTGACATGGCGTTTGATGCCGGACAAAAGGGAAATCTCTTCGACAGTTTACTCAAGGCCGCAGACCCAGCGGGGGGCTTGAAAGTGAAAACTCTTAGAGTGTCTGTGTTGTGCAGCGAGAGCGACGGTCAGTGGTCCATCTGGCACCAGCTTTCAGCACGAACGTCGCACCTCGAGATGGGTGATTCCGTGTCGATAGATATTGAAGCTGTGGAGGTTTGGGCATTGTCTGTTTCGGGTGCCTTGACTCCTACTTGAAACAATCCTTGTAGGAGACGGCGTAGACGGTGTTCATTTTTGGAGGCAAGAAGGCTTATAGAAGTAGAGGCTTGCTGCTAGTTTCTGGTAAGCTAATAAGGATTGACGGAGTAGATATGGACCGGGGCTGTTTGCGAAGACTCATAAAGCTCTCTGATTATTTTTTTGCTATGCCTTTGTTGCGTAATTTATATATTCCTTGCTGACTTTTAGTCACTACCTCACTGTCTTTGCCGTTTGCGCGGATTATTAAGAACAAGCAGAGGCGTTCGTGGAGGGGGTTGGAATTTTGTCAGATTTTGTCTAGAATTTTGGAGGATGTTAAGTTTTTAGGAAGAATCCCTGGCCCTGATTTGATATGTGGATCTTGTATTCTCAACATGTCGAAAGGGTATGCCAGGGGTCTCGTCTTCATTAAATCAGTCGCGACGTCAAGCCGATGGCTCGTTGCTGAGAGAACAGGGCAGGCGCCTACTGGTGCAAAGTCTAAGACAGCGAAGCGAAAGGCCTTCGCCCTTTTTTAAGAACGTGGGTGGGGGGGGTGGGGGTGGGGGTTTGCTTATTGTGTCGAGGCCTTGGAATGGTGAGAGAGGGAGGGTCGCCACGAAACTGAAGCGCGAGCATGTCTTGCGCCGTGAGGGTTGCTGCATGCCTGGAGGCGACTACTGTGCGAGCGACGTCGTCTGCCGAGAAGATTGCGACACAGACGACCAAGTGACGCCGCTACAGGCAGAGCATGCGGCGGACTATAGAGAGGAAACCCATGAGAGGCTGGGGGCGTTTTATTTTAATAGACGGGCTGCGGCCGGCCACAGTGAGGAGGCCAGTCACAGTGAGGAAGTCGGTCACAGTGGGGAGGCCGGTCACAGTGCGGAGGCCGGTCGCAGTGAGGAGGTCGGTCACAGGACAGCGCAACCATGAGAGGCGGGAGGCCCTACTGCCTTGGCTGGTGTGGCTTACTTGGTGGGCCTCGGGCGTTGTGTTGTCTGTAAGTTTATACTCACTGCCAGTGGCTGGCCATCTCTAGCACCTGTGAGGGCTTGCCTCGCTCTCTGTCTTTATGATGGACTAACTCACAGGCTTGCGCCTCTGTGCTCCTTCTGGTCTTGTCTCTTTCAATTTTCTGCGGCGAGCAGGGAGGCGGATACTGTGGGGGATTGATCTGAGTCGGCTCAGGGGGTGAAGCCTTCCAAGCCGGTCAAAATCAGAAAGCGTCCGGGCCTCCCCTCAAGACTGAAGCTGCGCCATTGATTTGGGCAGGAGTCTTGTGGCAGCTCAAAGGGCAGGACCTCGCAAGCAGCTCAAAGTAGGCAGCAACGCCCTGAAGAAGCGGGGCTGAATGATTGGCCACGGGCCTGAGAGAGTCAGCGCAAAAGGCGTGCAAAAGGCAAGGCCTCTAAAGCTGCGCAGAAGCAGGCAGCAACATCGGAAAGCAGTGCCATTGATTTGGGTGCGAGATCTGAACCGCCTCAAAGGGTAAGACCATCCAAGGAAGCGGGCCAAGAGTGAGCGCGGCAGCGTTCTCCATTCTCATGATTTAAGTAGCGCCACTGATTTGGATGGGGCGAGGGCTTGGCCTTGAGTCAGCTCCGCAAAAGGTCGGACCTTCCAAGCGGGTCAAAAGTAGACAGCAACTCCATGAAAAGCGCTGCGCAATTTGAATAGGGGGCCCAGCGGGTCAGCTCCTCAAAACTTGGAGCCTTCCAAGCAGCTCAAAAGCAGCGCGCAGCAATCTCCTAGCGTTCCCCGATTTGGATAGGAGGCCTGAGCCAGTTCAAGCTTCAGAGGGTAGCGAAGGCTTTCCAATTTGGGCAGCGAACGGATCTTGGGCCGGTGCCTCCGTTTATGTATTACGTAGCAGCCCGCAGCATGTGACTGCTCTGTTTATGCCGTGCCCCGTTGCTCTTCGCGTCGTTCGTAGTGCGCCGGTAGGCCGTGCGCCCATAGTGTAGAATCTGCAAGCCGTGCGCCCATAGTGTAGGCCGTTGAATTTGCAAGACCGTCCTTTTCGTCTTGCCCCGGCGTGTGTACACGCCGGGGGCGGGGGCACGTGGGCGGTGCAGACTGGTCAGTATGTTTGTATATTTCTGCTGTCTGATGGCCGATTGTTCTTTGCCGTCTGCGAGGCCTACAACTGTTCTTCATCTATTGCGAAGTTTTGGCTCTAACGGTTTTTACATTATGACGCAGTGTTTGCTTGTTCGTAGTGCTCAGCAGTAGAATGCATAGAGAAAAAGTATGACGTCGATGCATTAGGGGCCTGATACGGTAATTGTTTCCGCAATCATAACAAGCAAGACAAGCTGTGCCATTTTTTTCGTCCGCAGAAATTAACTACGCATCAAATGAAAATGAAACCGAAATTAATAGTACCGCTCTTGTTCTTGATCTTGATGCGGAGTGAGCTATTGCTCACGTCAGCAGTTTTCGCATTTCTTACTCGACGTACATTTTCGAAGATTTCTCATCTAGTATCTAGACAACTTTCAATTTTCACGAGCTATATTAAGTAATCGTACAACAGCAAATTCAAAAAATTCTTTCTAAAAATTACCTAAGTAGATCTAAGTTTTCCTCAGAATTAAACACTTGACAGAGTATTTTTTGTTACTACAAGCTCAGTTTTGAGTTAATGTTAACGAAGTTACCTCCAATAGAGCAAACTGATATTAAGCAATCGTTAGATAAAAACTTCCAGGAATTCAGTGACAATGAAGACACTTCTTCAGAGATTTGAACCATTTAGAAGAATTATCAACGCCGCTTCCTCCTAGTTTGACAAAATATGTCTGCATATCGCACAAGAAAAAACAACATAAAAATATCTTCAACCCAGTACGGGTTGTCTCGCAAAGTGCGCAAATTTTGCACATATTCATCCTCGTATAAGGCTCCATGATATGTCTGCATCTTAGACGGAACAGTCGCCCAGTAAAAGACCAACCACGGAGGAGATCAGGTAGTGGCGATTCTCACGCGAGACTTCTTACGTCCCCTATGCCAAGTCTTGGGCGTGTTTGCGATGACTACATTCAGATTCAGACTCGAACTCTGTTTGTTGAGCGAAGGCGTAGGTGTAGGTGGCAGCTTCGGTGATGCGAGGATAGTTCACACAAGATCTGGATATTCTTTTTCGGTATCTGCTCGGCATACATGTCACAAAAGATATTGATATGCTTTTTCGGTATAATAGGCGCAGTCAGTCTGGAACAGAGTACCAGATGAAAAAAGGCTCATCTCCTTGTTCGTTGGTATGACTATTTCCGCCGTAGTTTCCTCGGTTTATATTCAACGGCAGCACGACTCTCGAACTTAGTTCCTACGGCCGTCACGAGTGGCGGCGTCCGGGGTTACTTACAAATGACATCAGACAAAGATGACGAAGTTTCAAAACCCTTTCCTTGTAGTTGATGGGTCCTCACCCTTATCCGGAACCCAGAAACGTCATGCAATATTCTTTATTATCTTACTTAGAAGAAGCATACAAAAAAGTGAAATATACTAGAATTATCGGCTCAACAAAAGTCCACTGCTTCCTTCAAAAATTAAAATGTTAACATGCATCTTCACCTCCACGTGTCGAAAACATGCTGGAAGAAGTGGAGGTGCAGATGCAAGTAGTAGGTTCATGGTGATGATTGTTGTGCGCGTTCTCCAATATAGCAGACATGTCGGGGTCTGAGGGGCAACCCAGTAATATGCCTACTAAGGAGGAGATGGTGGAGTCTCTCCGGCGCGACTTTCCACCGCGATGGGCGATGAAGTTATGACGAAGTGACTTGGAGCAGAGTGATTTCTTGTATTCAACAAACAGGTAGGTCTAAATTATGACAGAGCATTTTTTAGCTTTAATACAACTTCCTTCTACTACTTGTACTTAGTCGTAGAATTTGCTCGCGTACTTCCTTCTTCTAGTTCTACCTAGTAGTAAAATTTACTCACATGATGATCTCGTTTCAGAGTCCCACTGCATTCTAATCGTAGCAATAAAGCACGACCCACGTTTCACGGTAGTTCGGGAGGTTCCGATGCTGTTATCACCCGAGGGCGTTGTGGAGCTACTGGAAAAGATAGGCAATGACCGGAATCTTGGCGCGCTGATGCTTGGTACTAGGTCTATTATTTCAATCATGATTGCAATCACGAGAGCGATGTTCTTAAGTAACATCAAGAATGAAAGCGAGTTCGCTAATCGCTACGTCTAGATGACTTCCCAAGAACAATTTCGTTTTTTCCTCCTCTGCAATGAATCTGCTGCTCAGCTCTACATTTACAACAAATGCACCACCACAGGTAACGCCGTTGCCGGTCAGCAAGATGGGGACAGGCGGTTAATCGTAAATTTCACACGAAATGCGACTGCGATGGATCAAGCCTTGGTATTGGAGTGGTGCAGTTCAGAGATAGCGTTAAGGACAGGCTTTCTTGGTGTTACCTTTCGTTCAGAAGTAGGCTTTTCTGGTCGAGAAGTAGCGTTTAGTGTTCCTGGCGTTACCGTTCGTTTTGCATTTCTTAAGGGGGAAATAAAGCATAGCGAACGGGGTAAGGTAACACCAAAAGCCTACCTCTAATAGCGCAGGAAATGCATGGAACTCATAGACTCACACTGAAAAACGGTGGCTCCGTTTTGGTTGATGTTTTTCAGTATAAGGGACAAAAGTGCTATTGTTGTGCTATGGTCCGATGATTTAACAACTTGAACCTCTAGCTCCAGCTCCTGCTGGAAGACTTAGACAAGAACCTCCGAAACATCGTCTCGTTATAGTTTCCACAAGGTCGGTGTTCCTTTCGTGCTCGTGCATCCTCGTATCGGTTTCGCATGGCTTCCCAAATTGAATCGACACAAAAGTCGAAAAAAGCCTGATGGTCTATTTCATCTAGGACAGAAAGATTCATCTCATGTGAATTTCCGTTCTTCTCTCCCCAAACCAAAATGAAAATTACTTAGTCAGAGTTGTATTAGTATGTGAAAAAGTAGAAGGTAGTACCTTTGATTTTGATGTATCCCTTGCTTCTTGTTGTCTGGGCATATTGAATTCATTCCCACCACAACTTCAACTTCCATCATCGTATCATCAACTTCCATCATCGTATCATCATCATAAAAAATGCCGCAGCCAACCGCGAAAGAGGTAGCTGAGTTTATGGCTCAGTTTGAGGTGGGAGGAGGGAAAAAAGCGAAATCCTTGAACGACGGACCACTGACAGATACCCAGGTCAAGTTCAAGAAAGCGGTGTACAGTGGACACACACTTGTGGGACCATGGGATGATAAACGGTACTAAATTGTTATTGAATGGCTTGTCATGATAATAATTTTGATGATAGATAGCTTATGAATGTTGAAAAAGATTATGATAAGAATTTTATTGATAGATAGAAACATAAAAAAAAACATATACAACACTTGTGGTTGTCGGAGCATGGAGGGATGATAAACGATACTGTTATGGAGTTCTTTGAGGACGTTTGCGTTGTTATTTTTCGACTGAAGGCTTCGTATCTAAATCTATCAACTGCTAGGGTTTAGATTTATTATTTCCCCGTTAAGTTATAATCTTCTACAACTCCTTACAACAATTTCGATCTTCTCTCATCACTTACTGGATTATGCCATGAACGACCTTCCGCAAAGTTCATCTGAACCCGACCTCGTGACAAAACAGTATGGCCCCAGAGTACCAGCACGACGCGCGTATGCGAAAATTGTATCAGTTGCCTGGCAAGATTGGCGACTGGAGCACGACGTCTGGCGACTACGGTCATTTTGCTGAAAGAGATATGTTATGGCCCCTTGTTTTAATCCATCTCGTCTGTAGAGACATTTAACAATCCATGTCTAGGAGCTCTGTAGGAGAGATATTCCTCCAAAAACTGTATAACTCTGTTGTCGGAGAGATATCCCCCAAAAACAGTGTAAATTTAATATCTTCTCGTCAGTGGTAGAGACATTTCTCAAGAACAGTAACAGTATATCGTTGGTGTTGACTCTAGTTGTAGTTCTTGTATCCTTTTAATCCATCTTGTTGACTCTAGTTGTATGGCTCCTTTTAATCCATCTCGTCGTTGTAGGGCTCTAAACGTGCGAGATAAGCTCACGCGTATCAGAAACATCGGCACCTACAAGCGCGATGACTTGGGCGACCCAGCGGAATACTACAAATCTAGTCAGGTAGTTACTTGAATGCATTCATACTTTTCTCCTTCTTGAATTAGTACGCCTCGAAGATCATAGGATTTGGAATTCAACGTCCTCAACATGTGGTTTTTGCGACATTGTTCATAACATTTAGATTCTCTTCAATCTCAATCAATCATTCGATCTCAATCAAAATCTCAAAGAAGCCTGATCTACAACAACAGCGCACTCATTTCGCGGACCCTGGAGGAGTTGAGATGCCGCATTTTGACGTCGGCTTGCCAGAAGAATTTGTCGAGGAATATGCCACTACATGGTCTAAAACAGATCCATACATGCACCGTTTCGTTATGGTCGGACTTTTTTACATGTACACCTCTACTAGGCTAAGTACAATCATTATCATCATCACCATCAATATTAACTGTAATAATTGAATACTAAAGATGACCTTGACCATAATAATGAGTTGTACCTTGTTGTGTCCATCTTTCTTCTCAGCTGGAGAACCAACGTCTTTTAGTTGTATTGGCCCGAGTACATGAAGAATAGGGACAACTAGGACATCCACAAAAAACTTATAAATATTAATTATCTCCCTTCTGCTCAGTCTGATCTTTTCGGTTGTAAATGGATCATAGGTACTTGCGTCGTCAGCTATCGGATATGTTCTTTCTCGTTCTTAATCATTCTGGCAGTTATAAATTATCTTCTTTCTGCTCAGTATGATCTTTTCGGTTGTGTCCTTTTTGTTGTGCCATAGAAGATCCACACGGGAAAAGATAGCGAGATCGGGGGACCGGGTTGAATAAAGGTCTATTCTAATTTTGACAGTAAATACGCTGGCGCGTGGTCGGATATGGCGGTCGATAAGCTGCGCCGAGAGGGAAAATTGGAGGAAGGCGATCCGGCTAAGGGCCTCTGAGTTTGATTGAAAAGTATGTTGTCACGTAAACTCTACAAGTACAACAACAAGAAATAAAATATAGTATTAAACAACAACATGAACATCATGAGGAAGCCTTTTCTGCAACTAAGCCTACACATCATACCAGAGAACGTAGTACTCTATCAATAGAATTTACGTAATCAACAGTAAAAAATCATCACGTAACTCACATCAATTGGTAAAAGGAGAAGTAGTAACATTCACGATCCTGTTGATGAACATGAGTTCATGTCATACCATCTACTCACATTTCATGAATCCATCTTGCACGACCCACAAAGACCCCCCTTCATGTCCTATAATGCACATTCTCTTATTTCTCATTCGATACATGATTTACATTTCATTCTTCGCTATTACGTTACGGACATCAACATCATGCCAGTGCACAAAAAAATTCCTAGAATCTTCTATCAGACCAAATAACACGAGACAAGCCTGAACGCAAAATGCAGATGCACAGCCAAATGCAGCTACCGAGATTTTTGCTTCCGCAAATTATTATAAACGCCACTACAACTACAACATCTTTCTCTTTGCGCCACCCTTGATGTGCGACTTTGAAATTACAATGAACAAGGTCCATGTGACGCCCTTCAGCGATGCTCTTCCACAATACTGCAAATAATCCTGTAGAAGATAAAGACTTGTTTCAGAAGACTTTCAATCATTGCGAGGAAGATGTCGGTTAAAAAACAGCAAACGTACAACTTGGATTCAATACGAGATGTGAAAATAATGAGTTGCAAAAGGTACGTTACAAAACGTGTAACCGACACAAAGACAAAGAAGAATCGGCGAAGCATCGTCTTGTTCTGTTTTGTAATCTTCATGCTACAGGGAGATACATGCAGATGTTGGAAGTTGCACTATACCTAAGGTCGATGTTGCTCTAGATGAAGCTGCGCCCCACGCGCATTTTCTGACTACTTTTTGAAGATTAGAAATAACTACTACGACGCCCTGAGGCAGTCTGCACTGAATCTAGTGCGATATTTATTGTATTGATGTATCTATTGTACTATGTATAACTATCTTGTCAGTTTCATCACCATCACCAAAGAAAGCATGGCCGCCGCCAGCGGATTGTCTTTCGTTGTCGGCGAGCTGCCCGCTGCGGTGACTCGCGAATAATTTTTTGCCACTGCGCAAGTCGACGCGTTTCTGTTCGAGTATGCGCCAACATTAAGGCTTCCGCAGAAGCACGTCTGAGACGGTCTCCTTAGTTAACTGCTTACACCATGATCTCAGAGATTTTCAACAAACGTACCGCTTTAGAGAAGGAGCAGGCTGGGAAGAAGAAAGGCAAGAAAAGACTGGAATAAAGATTGGTCTGAACAAGGCTGGAGGATCCTCATCTAAGGTGAAGAAGGTGGTGAGAAAACGGGAATCGAAAAGACGACTAGAGTGTGGATGTCCTTTCCTGACACGACTGGATATTATTCTCAATCATCCACGAAAATTGATCAGGCATATGACATAATTGAGGACCTTCAGGAGGACCTCCAGGAATCTCTACTGTAATATCAGGACCATAAAGTTAAAGCACGCGTTCTCGTGAACACTGAACCCCATGTTGACTCAAAGTTGTTAAAAATATATAAATATGACTTCTTCAAATGGAATCAGTTGCGCTCGGTTTAACTGTTGTCTGGACATGACATTCTTCTCTGGGCCACGTGCTTACCCATCAGTGTTGTTCGTAAAAAGCTGGTGAGACAAGTCAGCCTGTACTCGGTTGTCCCAAACGCCATGATATGCAGCCTTCGTCTAGGTAGGAAGGTGACCGCCTCAGGTCAATTATCTACTTGGACGAGATGGAGATGTGTCATTTTTGTTACAATGAAATTCTTTTTGTAGTTGAGTGAAAGTGGCAATCGGTGGCTCAGGGAAATGTGGCAATCGGTGGCTCAGGGAAATGTGGCAATCGGTGGCTCAGGGAAATGTGGCAATCGGTGGCTCAGGGACAGCTTCGGGGAAAAGTTCAAAGTCACAGTCGTTGCACAATAACTAAAACCAATCTTTTGCTCTTATTGATAAGCTCTGCCCGAACGCATTCCCCATCCCCATAACCCATTGGCGCGATAATAAGCGTTCCACATGTTTCAGGGCTCAGGGCTACGGTACCCCCCCTAGCGCAGGGGGGGGTAGCGGTAGCCCCGGACCCTTTCGGGAGCCATCTGCCGCGGGTGGAAGGCTTCCAGAGGGTCGCGAGAGACCAAGAGGACCTTTTAATATACCCTACAGACCTGCGAAGATGTCGATATAGAGGGGGCGCTTCGGCTCGGCTTGCTGCCGGGGTCTCGTATTAGGCTTCATTCTGGGCGGAAGAAGACGGGCGACGCCTGCCTCTTCTTAGGGGTCCAAGGGGCCTCCTCCGCTCCCTTCCGGCAGCCTGCGTGTGCCCTACAGGCTGCCGAAGTGCTTCGCCGCCGCAGCAGTGCGCCGGGGGTGGAAGGCCTCCGAAGGCGGCAAAAGGCGCAAGGCTGGACCCCCTGACCCGGGTGGCTTGTGCCCTCCTTGCCCTTGGTCATCGGCTTGCTTGCTCTGGAGGCTGTGGCCGCCTTCGGCATCCGTCTCCCTCGGAGGCCTTCAGCCTGCGAGGGTCAGCAGGGGCCAGGAGGCCCCTGTCTGAGGAACGAACATGCAGAGAGGCGCAAGGGGAAGCCCGCGCCCAGTTTTGACGCCTTCCACCACTAGAGCCCGCGGAAGTGAGCGCGGAGAAGAGCGCGCAAGCGCCATCGCAGGGCCATCCACAGGGCCGGGGGGACCGTGCAGTCTTGCAGCATATATATATTTATAAGTAGGCACATCCACATGCTTAATCGGTGAGGTGAATAAGGTGAACGTGCATGGATGTAGTGATCACCGTATTAAGTAGAAGACCAAAAGATTGTCAAACAATATCAATGTCGTGGCATACACATCCGCCACTGGAGGACTGGAACGGAAATATTTTTACCTGTATGAGTCCTCTCTAGTACTGAGAGGGCAGCATGCTCAGCGTCGGTTCGTCTGTTTTTCATTCCGTCATCTTGAAAAGTGTTGCTATCAATCGCATTGGTGGCCGCGTGATGAATGAATGAAACCTCCGACCAAAACTGCCCTACCTCTCTCGCCCGTCCATCCACCACCAACAATAAGAGTGGTAATAGGATAATTCGACTCTACAGCTCTTTATCAATATAAGGATCATATAGTAACAAGAGCAAGGAATCTACACGAACTTCCAGAAAGTGATATGGTTGGTCTAGTCCGTCTAAAAGTTGCTCGAGGCCATTTTTAGCTGTAATAAATGCGAAATCAGACTTGTAATTGTACATGTACTCGTCCTGGACCAAGTGAGTTATGATTTGGATAGTACTACAACTACCAAGAGATTAACCAACAGCATCAAAGCGCGCCGTACTGGTCAGTTTAGAAAGACTATAGCAAAAAAGGTCAAGGAGTGGGATTCTCATCCCGCAAAGCGTAGATTTGCAGAGGGACGAGCATAGTACTGCATCAACATTTATAAACCAACAGCTTGCATTAGCATTTTTCTGAAGAATCTGACTGAAGTGTGGGCTGTAGTTGTCTGGCTCTTTTCCCGTGTGGGTGAGGAAGAGAAGAACAAGAACAACCAAAAGAGATCTACATCTAACTTCATGCCCAAGCTGGCTCGCCCGGCAGCCCCCGGCGCTGGATGCGGCGGGGGTAACGAAGGGCTAGTTGCTACCATCGACAAGAACCAGCACCGCACGACCAAGAAGACTACACAGAAAACGGAGTTTCTGTATGAGGCGGCGGCTGAATATAGCACAGAAACGGGCGTGGATGCGAATCATTATGGGAATCGTGGGGCAACGAGGATGCCCCAGCAAAGAGACAAGATGGCCACCACAGCGGACGGTCCACAGGGTACTAATAAATAAAGGTCGTCGGGTTTTTACCTAAGTAGATGACCATTGCTTTGTGGCCAGGATGCAACTCTCATTTTGAATGTCTACGGAAACAAGTAGTTCAAGTTCTTTATAAGTGATCCCTGCGGTGGTCTTTACCCGTCTTAAAACGTTCTATCCTGATTTCATGACCCACAACAGGTTTCAGAAAGAAATAGAATTAAAGACATGCAACTTATAATTTATTATATTTATGAATAAATACAACTCCTCCTGACGCTCAGGGACAAAGCTGGCAGCTGTCAATATACTACTCGTTTTTCTTCGGGCTATCCTTCAAGTTGGTGCAGGATTTCGCCGACTCGTCCAACAGTGCACTTCTGTGCTGTTCCTGATGGTCCTGCATGCACGAGTTGCGTTTTCTGATGCAGGTGTGGCGCTTACGTTGTGGGCGTCCCCTTGTCTGCCGTTGTTCTGCGAGCCTGCTTCTGCAAGGCAACGGCGAAACACTTGTCTTCGGAGTGATGTAGACGCACGGGACGAAAACGTGGGAGCAAACAGAATCATGTGGATGCGCGCTACAGCATCTTGGATCAGCATAAGCACGATCATGCTCATTTCTGCAAGCGCTAGCATTTTGTTTTTGACCACACCGAGCACGTGGCCCTTGCTCGGTCACTGCGGGCTTTTGCTGTCCGTAGCACTTTCATGTACGCTGATGGCAGTTGAAGTTGTACTCGAGTTAATGCTGCTGGGATGCCTGCAGTTTCTGTTGGTAGGTGCAGCGCTTTGCGTGGGGCTTGTGCTCGCGTACGAGCTCTTTGAGGCGTTACAATATGCACCTCCATTACGGTGTCCAGCGTGGTTGGGTTTCCGTTCCAATTCCGTTTCCGGCTACACGGTGCACAGCAGGGGGAGTAGTGGCAGGAATATGCGAAGATGGCTGCGACGTTTCTGGGTCAACACCTGCGACGACCTATCGCATTCCCTTTGGTCCTACCGTTATCGAGTCCGACACTGGGCGTGGACTCGTCAGTGGGCTCAGCCACTGAGAGGATCAGCGGCCGCTCATTGCTCGGTGACAGAAGTTCTCTCAGCGAGGACATCATCTTCGCGTCTAGCACGTTGGCAGAAGAACAGTAACACGCAGCAAAAAGATAGAAGAGGAGGCAAGCAACCACATCGAAATCGAGAGGGTCTTGCTCTTTATCATCTCTTGCCAGAGTCCAGCTCTCCCGGTCGCCGTTGCTTTGTTGCGTCTTTCTGTTGCTTTTTCGGTACTATGATTGCAGACCTGGAGCTTCCATCCATTGCCGCTCTCGCAACTAACAACAAGCAGCGCCAGCTCCGCAAGGCGATGCAGATCACGTCAAAAGCGCAGTTTTTGGAAGAGACTGAATATTACAGCGAAGAAGCGGGTTTGGATACGTATACGAACCATCATGGGAGTCGCGGGTTAACGAGTATGCTCCAGCAAAGTGACAAGGTGGCAACCACAGCAGAAAAGCAAGGTACTAAGACATAGAGGTCCGTAGATTACATGGATGACCATTGCCAGGATGATGCAGCTTTTTAATGTCCACGGCAACAAGTACTTTATGATTATAATATAGATATCTTTCTTGTGGTCCACCTTGATGTCTCTTCCCGTTTTAAATAATGCATCCGATTCTTATAATTCAATGAAGATCTCCAACATTAAGTTTAGGAAAGAGATGAAGATATCTTGTCATATGATTTAAATTGGTAAGAAATACTAGGGAACGCTTTGTCATCCTTGTGAACTCAATTATAGGTGTTCTCGAAGCGGTGAACGGAGACAGCGGTAAGCAGGTGAACGAAGCCCAAGCGGAAACTGCGGAAATTTCAGAGGTTGGAACTGCAGAAGACAAGGCTACGACTATAATTACTGCAGATGGGGCTGCTGTCATCTCCGCGGCGCCGGCCACGACCTATGGCGTCAAAGGTGATGACAAAGAACTTGCTGAAATCGATATGGTGACGAATCTCCTGGCCACTACCCCGGGTACAGTCGCTCTGATGAGTGAGTACTTCGAAACGAATAAGGTGAGTCCGTCTGAAATCGATTCGGCAGAGGCGATGAAGGCCTACACGGCGCGCGAGATCTGGAATAGCATGCAGATTCATGGAGGAGCCATCGCATCGGCTCAAATCGGGGGAAAAGAGCAAGGCAAGGCCCGCGCTAAGTGGAAGGCGTCGTCCCTCGGAGCCGCCGTTACGATGAACGCGTGGTCTTTGCAGCAATTGCTTCATGTCTACAGGTACAAGCAGGGACAACAAAGTCAGAAGCTGGATACCCTCGAGCTGTGGTCTTCCAGCCGCGCTACCTTTAAGCAGAACTCGAAAACGCCAGCAGCGTGGAAACACGTTGACGTTGATGTCGTCGAGATGACCATCGCAGTCGGCGCCAGTTGCGACGGTGCTATGGTGAGCAAGTCGATCCACGTGCTCGAGTTTTCTTTTCATGACATTCCTATTACGCTGCAGGACGTGGAGGCCACTTTCCCCGACTCGGAGGACTTTCGCAAGGTGAAGGAGTTTTTCGACTATGTCAAAGATGTCGTTCTGAACCTGAAAGGAGAGAGGGCTATTCCTGGGATGATTGCCACCGCAATTGCCGCCGACAAAGCTACCCGTCCGAATCTAGGCTTTCCGCCTTTTGTCGCGCGCCCCTGGTTGCAAAGCGACCATTTGCCGTTGACAATGCTGGCTGAGTTGCCGAGCGTGGAAGGCTTCGATGGACGCTTCATCGTGGAACTCTTCAACTGGAACGTGCTAGGGCGTGGTGTCACGAATATGGCGATGCCGAAGATTACGGCTACGCTTAGGGAGGATCGGCCAGAGGAGGACATCGAGAATGTGCAGTCGTTGTTCCAGCTAGTTGCCTTGAGGAAGAAACTTGAGCAGTTGAGTGCGCATCTTCTTCCCAAGGGTCTCAGCGATGATTTCGGGGCTCACCTTTCAGTTCTCGCCTTTCAAGAGGACCTCTTTGTGCACGCAATCAGCGACAGCGACGCCGCTAATCAGAAGATTGAGCTTGTGCGGGGCTGGTGGACGCGCGTCATCGCGGCACACGGTTACGAGCAGGCATTCGATGCGACAAAGTCCTGGCACAATGGTCTTCCGCCTGGTGCTAAGCGTGAGGCATTCTCAAAGTTCAGCTTGGACAAGTCAGGTGGCTCGGTTGTTGCGAGGGAATTCTCTCCTGGGAAGGGCGCTTCTCCCGTGTCTGTTGAAACTCCGGAGTTTGAGAAAGACGCAAACGGAAAGGCGACCCAGGAGTTCATGATGGGTAACACGGTGTACATCAAGTTCAGCGACAGCTTCAAGGCCTCGGGCTGCAAGCCTAAGGTAGTGCAGAGCGGCTGGAACGCCAAAAACCACCCAATGTATCCGAACGCAATCATTCCCTTTCGATCAGTGGCGATTGCTTTTGTTGTTTGCGAGCGGGATAAGACCATCGTGGCTGCGTTTCCAGTTGCCCACTTGGCGGGTGGCAAGTTCGATGACAATGTTAAGGCTTACTCGTATTCATCTTGTGAGGCATCTTTAACGTGCTTTTGCGGGGAAAAGTAGGTACGTTAAAGTAGACGTTGCATTTGAAGATGAATTTAGGTAAGCTCTAACAATGAAATTTTCAATGAGGTTTTGAAAGGACACTACGTGCCCGCAAACGTCAGGCTGGGAGATCCTAGAAAATCGCCTTGGGGTAAAAACTACGCGCAGATGACCGATGAGCAGAAGAAAGACCTTCCGCCCTCCGCAAAAGGCGAGGAAGGCTTCAATCTGTACTATCAAGGTGCGGGCGACTTAATCCGAACGATGGTGAAGGAATTCATTCGGCAAGTCTACGTCGCTGCAGACAAGATTGGCTTGCGTTATGCCAAAGGGATTCCGATCATTATGCCGATGGACATGAACGCGAAGCCGGACATGCCGTTCTTTTTCAAGCATGTTTTCGCTGCGTTTCCGAAAGAGTTGCAGTCGGCAAGCATGCAAGTGGACGAAAAATCTGCACTCGTCAAAGCACAGGAAATTGCTGTGCAGCAGTTAATTCCGGTTCCGGGACCAGAACAACTCCGAGCCGAGTCCGAAGGTGGTTCCGTTTCGACAGTCGCCTCGTCCTCAGCCGCGACCGCGGCACAGCAGCAGCAAGAGGCAGGTTCTTGCTGCGAGTAAAGAAATGCACTTCTAGTTGTGAATGTTGAGAGTTGTGAATGGCTTTTCTGTGAAGGCAGGCCATTTGTGTTGAAGTGAGGAGCTCTTGTTAAAAGACGAGGATGTTGGGGAAGACTCTTCTGAAAGAGTGGTGTCCACATGATGAAGCAGTGGGCGGAAAGAGTCTCAGAGGCGTTCTTGGTTCACAATGGGGAAGCACGTTTTCCATCGCAGCAGCGACATCCGTTCTCACAGACCTGACTAGAGTTAAGGCTCAACTTTCCTTGGTCATGGAGGTTGGTCACTGAGATCGAGGAGGGGCTCTCCTTAGAGAACAGGGGAAAACGAAGGGAAAACAAGGTGAGAGGCGCAGGGCCCTTTTCTTTCAGAATCAGTGACCAATGAGTGTCGACGTTTATTAGAGTTTATTCGTTCGTGACTTTCGTAAATGGATAATAGCTACTTCCTTGCGTCGTCACCTATCGGGTATGTTCTTTCTCGTTCTTAATCATTCTGACAGTTCTTTCTCGTTCTTAACTGGCAGTTATAGATTATCTCCCTTCATCTGCTCAGTATGATCTTTTCGGTTGTGTCCTTTTTCTTATGCCATAGCGAAATCGGGGGAAAAGATAGCGAAATCGGGGGGCCGGGTTGAGTAAAGGTCCATTCTAATTTTGACAGTAAAAACGCTGGCGCGTGGTCTGATATGGCGGTCGATAAGCTGCGCCGAGAGGGAAAATTGCAGGAAGGCGATTTGGCTAAGGGCCTCTGAGTTTGATTGAAAAGTATGATGTCACGTAAAACCTACAAGTACAACAACAAGAAATACATACAACAACATCATGAGGCGGTGGAGGTCTTTTCTGCAACTGAACCTCATCATACCGGAGAACGTAGTACTCTATCAATAGAATTAACGTAATCAACAGTGAAAAGTCATAACGTAACTCACATCAATATCATAGAATAATTTATAGAACGGATCATGTAGGATGGACTTGGATGGATCGGATCGACCCCCCTAAATCTTCCGATCCTACTTGAAATGGTGGGAAGTCCGTCCGATCCGTCCGATCGATGCCATCCCGGACCTGACACCCCTCTGAATTATTCTAATGCCAATTAGAATAAGGTAAAGGAGGAGAAGCAACTTTAACGATCGCGATCCAGTTGAGGACTTACTTAGCTACTTCTAGTTCGGAGGTTTTGCGAAATTGATGTTGGTTTTGTGAATCAGTCAGTACATCGAGTACGGTGCATAGAGTAATCAACATCAAGCCTAGTGAAATTGAAAAGATTCATGATCATGATCATGTTGGTCTACCAACGCGAGTTCATGTCATACCATCTACTCACATTTCATGAATCCATCATGCACCCACATCCCCCCTCCATGTCCTATCATGCACATTCTCTTATTTCTCATTCGATACATTTGCATTTCATTCTTCGCTATTTGTTATGTTACCTACATCATCATGCCAGTGCACAAAAAAATTCCGAGAATCTTCTATCAGACCAAGTAACAGACACGAGACAAACCTGACCGCAGGATGCAGATGCACAGCCAAATGCAGCTACCGAGATTTTTGCTTCCGCAAATTATTATAAACGCCACTACAACATCTTTCTCTTTGCGCCACCCTTGATGTGCGACTTTGAAACTACAATGAACAAGGTCCATGTGACGCCCTTCAGCGATGCTCTTCCACAATACTGCAAATAATCCTGTAGAAGATAAAGACTTGTTTCAGAAGACTTTCAATCATTGCGAGGAAGATGTCGGTAAAAAGACAGCAAAGGTACAACTTGGATTTAATACGAGATGTGAAAATTATAATCAGTTGCAAAAGGTACGTTACAAAACGTGTAACCGACAGCACAAAGACAAAGAAGAATCGGTGAAGCATCGTCTTCTGTTTTGTAATCTTCATTCATGCTACAGGGAGATAAATGCAGATGTTGGAAGTTGCACTATACCTAAGGTCGATGTTGCTCTAGATGAAGCTGCGCCCCACGCGCATTTTCTGACTAATTTTTGAAGATTAGAAATAATAGAGATGGCCCTTCTCCCCCCTCCTCAGTCAACATCTTCAGCGCCGCACTTCTTCTTCTTCTCAACTCCTTCTTCCACAAGACCCACCTCAACTAGAACTTGAACGCCAGCACCACAAACAACAGCAACAGCTCCAACTTCAACATCAGCGTCAACAACAGAATACAACTGGCGAAATGGTAGTGGAAGTAGATAACACTAAGGAGCATAAGCAAGAGGCCCCGCATCCTTATCAACAGTATCAACATCTTCAACACAACAGTTTTAACATCAGGGAAATCCGTAAAACTCAGAAGAGACTCAGGGAAGTCGTAGGACAACCCCGAGCCGACTATTAACATCATTATCAGAAATAACTACTACAACGACGCCCTGAGGCAGTCTGCACGCGGAAAATACGCAGGTAGGTTCTGACTTGTCGGAACTCGCTCGCACTACAAAAAAAAAAGCTCATGAGAATAAAACGTTTTATTTTCAAACAATCTATGACGCCCTTGTGGCAGTCTGCACTTTGACGCCGCGCGGCAGTCTGCACTGAAAACTGTGCGAAAATCTGTTGAGAGTTTGAGTGGCCTTTGACTGGTGAACACCGCATCTCAGTTATGCAAAGGTCGTCACCGTCTTTTCTTAGGTTCGCGCGAGTGGTTTCCTTTGTCTGTCGTGCGTTGAGTGCTTTTTCCATTCGCTCAAAATCGCAAAATTTACGAGTGTGAGCGATCTTCTAAAAGGGAGTGAGCTTACGTTCGATTATTATGCAACGTAATTGAAAGGGGGAGAGCGTCCCATCGCTCTCCCTCACCGATTTTTTATCTCCCGCCCGGTTGTGGCTATCAGGCATAAGGTAGCCCCTTTGGTCGGAGTCAGCCCTCCAATTTTTTGATTTTTGTTTTTTCTCTCATTGGCTGCATAGCGGGAGGAGCCGGCCACAAGAAGAAGATGACGCATGAAGATGAAGGAAAATCTTAAGCCACTAGTAGCACGTAGAGTTCCTTTACCAATCTAATTCTAATCAGCGCGCATGTTCTTACTTAGTCAAAAAATCTTCTAGTTTCCTCCACCAATCAGTTGCCGCGCAGATCCACCTAGGGCCCTTGTGTACTTATTTAATTTGATTGAGCGGACATCGTTCCGCGGCCCATACACTTAGCATTCCCAATAAGCGCGTGATGGGGAGACGGACATCGTTCGCGGTGGCAGGTACTAGGTGTGTAATTTCTCCTGCCTTTACTCCTAGGGTTCAGCATTTTAAAATCGTAGGGGCATTAGCGTAGTTGTTAAGGAGATTAAGAACTCCCCCCTACGCCGGTATCCACGCGGAAAATACGCAGGTAGGTTTTGATTTATCGGGACTCGCTTGCAAAATACGCAGGTAGGTTTTGACTTATCGGAACTCGCTCGCACTACAAAAAAAAAAAAAGCGATATTAATTGTATTGTATTGTACTGTACTGTGGGAGCAATCAGAATCAGGTGGATGTGTGCTGCAGCATCAGCATCTGGGATCAGCATATGCACGGTCATGCTTGTTTCTCCCGGTACAAGTTAGTAGCATTTTGCATTTGGCCACATTGACTATGTGGCTCTTCCTTGGTCACTCCGGCTGCTGGCTGTCCGACGCACTTTCGTGTACGAGTACGCTGGCGGCAGTTGTAATAAAAGCACTCGAGTACCCGTTTCAGCTGTCGTTGGTAGTTGCAGCATACTGCGTGCGGCGTGTGCTCGCGCACGTGCTCTTGGAGGCGTGGTTGGAGCACCAACACCGTTCGAAAGCCGTGTCCGGCTACGCGGTCCACAACAGGGGCAGTAGTGACAGGAATATGCGAAGATGGCTGCGCCGTCTCTGGGTCAACACCTGCCACGACCTATCGCGTTTCCTTTGGTCTTACCGCTATCGAGGACGGCATTGGGCATGGACTCGTCAAGACTGGGCTCAGCCACTAAGAGGATCAGCGGCCGCTGATCGGGGAGCAGACGTTTTCTCAACGAGGGCATCATCTTCGGCTCTAGCACGTTGGCAGACGCAGAGGAACATCAATAGCACGCACATCAAAAAAGATAGAAGAGGAGGCAGGCATCCACATCGACAAGGGAGTCTCTCTCTCTATCAGTTCTTGTCAGAGTCCTGCCGTCTGGGTCGTCATTGCTCTGTTGCATCTCTCTGCCTTTTCAGTGCCATGATTGGGGACTTTGCGCTTCCATCATCCATTGCCGTTCTCGCAATCAACAACCAGCAGCGCCAGCGTCGCGAGGCCATGCAGATCACATCGAAAGCGCAGCTTCTGGAAGAGACGGAATATAGCGAAGAAGCGGGCTTGGATGCGAATCATCATGGGAGTCGCGGGGCCACGAGTATGCTCCAATCAAGTGAAAAGTCCGCGGCAAACGCAGCAGTCCCACAAGATTCGAATATAGGTGCGTAAATTACTTAATAGATACACGGATGTGGATGATTATTTTTATTGCCAGGATGTAACTTCTAATGTCCACGGCAACAAGTCCTTCATATCGATCTTGTGGCTCTTGATGTCTCTTCCAGGTTTTAAGACATTCTATCCTGATTCAATGAAGAGCCACAGCACCAAGTTTCGGAAAGAAGAGATGAAGATATGTCATATCTATGCATATAAATTTAGAAGAAATAGTACAACTGGGTCTGGGGAAAGCTTTTTCATCCTTGTGAACTCAATAGGTCGCCGTTTCGAAGCGGTGAACGAAGCCAGGAGTAAGGTGACCGCTGCCCAAGATGCTGTGATCGCTGCCCAAATCTCGGTGATCGCTGCCAAAAGCGCGGTGGCCGATGCCGAAAGCGCGGTGGCCGATGCCAACAAACTCGTCCCCGACGATGCTCAGGCCAATCATAAGGGGCTGACTCAGGATAGAAGTGGGTTGACTGAGGCCACAAGTGGGCTGGATAAGGCCGCAGGAGGACTGACTGAAGCCAGCGGTGGGCTGACTCAACAAGCCGAGAGTGCCCGACAAGCACTACAACAAGTACAATTTAAGGAGATTCACTTATAGCTTTTGAAAGAAAGCGAGTAGGTAACTGAAATAACAGAGGTATACCTACGTCTCTTGTCTTTCAGTATCTTGCGTATTTTATAACTAGTTACTTGCGAATATATCTTCAAGGTCTTCTAAAATAAATCTGCTCCAGTTGGTGCACGAACATGAAAAAAAATAAAGAAGAACGAAGATCAGTCGTAAGTAGCAAGGACACGAGCAGCCAATATCGGTGCTAATCGCATTGATACAAAAAATCTCTTTCATGTTTTACTACTTGCATTCTGAGGCCGATGCGATTGAGGATAAGTTCTTGAACACGCTCGACGCAAAGGAGCTTGCCCCAGCGGATGTCTTCAAGCGCGATCAAGACGACAATTTTCGTGGTACTTTTTTTCTCGTTGTGGACCGAGCACCTGGTTGTTCCACCTTCAAGGAGGAGACTTCTAGATCGATGAAATTCCTTTTGTGATCTTTGAAGTAGTACTACTAGCCACTTCGAGTTTCAAACATGTGTCGATGTTGTAGTGGAACGGTGTGTAAGTAAAAAGCAGAAGATGCGTTAATAGTAGAAGATGTTGAAAATGATAATGAAACAAGATTTAGATCTATTAAAGATGCCTTATCTCTCTAGAGTACTTCTAGAGTCGTAGGCTCTTCATGCCTGTATCTTCTCTTATCACACACTTACCAGTGATTAAAGATGCCCTAACAAGTTTGACCATTATACAGCAAATAATGCTTCCGGGAAGAACGTTGCAAAAGTACCATACACCCTTCTCACAGCAAATCCTTCCGCGAAAGAAGGGTCGAAGGCGATTTATTTCGACTTCAAGGATGACGTTATTACTTACGACTGGTTGGTCTTTGATGCTGACATTAAGGCCACCGCTGAAGAATCCTCAAGTAAGATCATCGTTGGCTCTTTTTCTACTTGGAAAAGACGCTAAGCAGCATACTCTCAGGGATGCCAATGCCGTAGCTCTAATGTTGAAAAGTGCTGGATACCTGGCGCTAGGGGTAACAAGAAGCCTCGACGACCCGCACCCGAAGGAGACACAGCACTGCGGAATCGTGGGCGGTGCTTATGACGGACTCTATTACTGTTGACATTTTTGAGCATTTTTATTTTCTATGTCTCGTGTGCTGCGGTCTAGAACTACGCCTTTTTGAAGCTCATCATTTTATTGTTTGGAGTAAATTTTAATGTATCTATTTCATTCCATAGCGAACGCAATTTCCCGGCAACGTCCACTTTGTTCTTTCCCGTTGCCACAACTTCATGGAGCCCACTACATAGCTTCGTCGCCTTTTGAAGACAGCAGCTTTCATATTCCTTCTCGCACGACACGGTCGAGCGGCTGCTGGGGCCGCACGCCTCCTTGTCCTTTTCCGATCTACCAGGTCGTCAAATACCAGTATTCCGGATATTCAAAGACCCCATGACGAGGAAGGAAGTTGTGGAGGATGAGCTCGTTGACTGCACTGAGCTGGTGAATGAGGTCTCTGCCATTTTGTCTTTATGGGCCAGGTGAGGTTGGTTGTTAGTACTGGTAGGAGGTTGCGGTGGACATTTTCGTTTTGTCATCAAGGAGAAGGTCTAAGATGACTGTAATTTCAGTCAATTATAAGAAGCTAGCTTTCTAGAGCTCCTATATGATGTGGCTCCTTCGGTAGTTTAGCTACAGCTACAACAGGGGGCGAAGACCTGACGTAGCTGATCGATGTCATTTACTAGCGTCGAAGGCTTTTACAATGCAAGCTTGCTGACGATATCAATTCTTTGTGCCACTACCAGAGCGATGACGTTATTGATTTAGTTAATGTACTAACTATGAACGGGGTATAGCATAGATCAGGTTTTTTTTGGGGCCTGCTTCTGCGTTACTGTTTTCAGGCTTCCTTTGTAGGAGTTCCAAGTATGATGATTCTGAGTCTCCGTGTTCGTTCTACAACCTTGTCGTTTGTAGAGCAGGTGGTTCCCTCCAACGATCGATGTTATATTATATAATATTAATCTATTCATGGGGACTAGTCGTTCTTCAGCATTTGTCGTGGTATCGAGCTTATCTGACATAATCGCGGTCGTGTGTAGGATCCACAATTAGTAATGTAATTTCTTGTGTTGCACTGTGTTGTAGTTGTTAGGCATTGCGTTTTTAGTACAATACTCTTCAACAGCACGACAACTGTAAGAACCTAGAGCCATCTGACCTCTTCTAAGCTCTGGCGACTTGGTTTACCACACAGACGGCAAGGCTTTCGACAAGACCGGAAAGTCACTGACTGCGGACGATATACGTGGCATATTAGAACGAAAACCACAGGAGCACGAACGTGGGGCAACGACAGGCACTAAGACCATGGTTATTGTTTTGAGCAACAAGTGGAGCTTTAATGAAGTCCTCGACTACTACAGGCAGATGGTGACTACATGCACTGCATTTTTGCTTGCTTTTGACGTCTTTCCTTTAGGGCTGCAAGCTCTATGAGAATCCCATCTCCAACGTGTGTATAAGGCTAAAACTGCTAGAGCTCATTCATGACCTCTATCTTAATAGTAGGGATCTAGACTTCCCGTAGTCGAATGATGGCAGTTAACACTTCTTAAGTAGCTAGTAGAGGAGCCAGAACGCCACTCAACCTCGATCCTTCTTAGAGTTGTTTGGTACACAATCTCGATCACAAAAGACGTTGCCTGCAAACTGCATCATAACCAGGAACAGCAGCGGTAGCGGAAACAGGTGGCGGAGCAGGCTACCCTGAGTGCCCTTCCCCCTCGTCAGCAGATGCAGAAGACACGAACCACGGAGCGGCGAGCGGTGTTGAGGCTCTGCCGGCAGGTGTACTACCAGCTCAAGGTCGAGACCTGGTCCTGGCCCGCGCAGTGGCGTACTATGGCTATGCAGCTGGGCTTCGTCCACCTGTTGGCGGCCCCGAATATGCGCACTTTGTGGCTACTTATGCTGGGCCTGCAGCTCTGAATGCACATGTAATAGGAGTAGATTAGTAGTGGCGTTTGTTCGATCTGCAAGCGTAACTTCACGTCATGGATGAATGCTCGGTGATAAGAGTCATCGTCTGCGATAGTTCAATCACGCATGAGGTATCGCTGGGCAATTTCCAAGCAAGACCTCACATTAGATAACCAAGCGCTCAACGCATTGACACTAAAAACACTTTTTTAGACATTTGATGAGCCACATTATCACTACGAAGAGTCATCAACATCGTTGGGGAAATCTTGGGCAGACTGCCGCATAGATTTAGATTCACATCATCGACGTCACGACTTACTCCTAGTTGGACAGTATATTATATATAAGGACCACACGACCTATAATGCCAAATCTTGGGAGTGTTTGCAATGATCATTGTTGGTGCGAGGATAGTTCCCACAACATCTGGAAAATACCCTTTTTCTGCTCAACAGCATATGTATGTCACGAAAGATATCGGTATCTGCTCAAAGCACCAAGTAAAGCAACCGGCTCGTTTTCCTTCTTTATCTTTTAGGCTATGCCTTCATGCAATATAACCCACAAAAGATATCCTTTTTCGGTTTGGCCGCAGTCTGGTGTCACAGAGGACAAGTATCCTCTTTCGGTATTATATATAGCTAAGCCGCAGTCTGTAGCACGAGAGTACTACTGGAGGATGACATGTAAAAAGCTCCACGACCACCCGCCTCTTTATAGATAAAGACGAGTAAAAATGAATTCTTCATTAAGACCCCCCTTCATTTGTATTTGAGATGTTGAGATATTCCATTTTTATAGATCATGTATCTATTAGTCGTTCTCGTTGTCCATCCTTTTCTCCTTTTTTTTCCTAGGTAGCTTGCACGCAGGCGCATGGTCCGATATGGCAGTCGACAAGTTGCGCAGAGAGGGCAAATTGCAGGATGGAGATCCGGCTAAGGGACTCTGAGTTTGCTGGAAAAGTATGGTGTTGTCACGTAAAAACTGCACGTCGTAGTAAAACTACACGAAAACATAGTACGGAGGTCTTTTCATTCTGCATTAACTAAACCTCAAACTTCGAGAACGTAGTCCTCTATCAATAAAAGTAACGTAGTCAAACAGTAAAAAGTCATAACGTAACTCACATCAACTAAAAGTAAAAGGAAACGTAGTAACATTCACGATCCAGTAGACGACCTAGCTAGTAGTTAGGTTTTGTGAAATTAATTTTTATGTCGGTTTTGCGAATCTTCAGTAGTAAACCTAGTAAGTACAACTATTCATAGAGAAAGCAAGAACGTCAAGTCGAAGTTTACACTTGCCTAGTGAAATTAAAAAGATTCATGATCATGATCATGGTTGTCTATCATCATAGGTTCATGTCATGCCATCCACTCACATTATTTCATGAAACCATCATGCACCCACAAAGACCCCCCTTCATTGAATTTTGTCATGTCATATCATGCACATTCTCTTTGTTCTCATTCGATACATTTCATTCTTCGACGCGATTACGTTACCTATTTCATAATACGACCAGCATCATGATACCAGCACAAAATTCCTAGAATCTTCTATCTTCAGACCAAATTTAACACAAGATATAAAAAGGACCTGAAGCTGAACGCAGAATGCAGATGCACAGTCAAATGCAGCGACAAAGATTTTTGCTTCCGCAAATCATTCTAGACGACCCTTTTTTAGCGTTGCTCGTCTGCAATACTACGCCAGTCTACTCCCGTTGTAGTACCTTTTCATCAACCGATTTCAATGATTGATGCTCATGTCCAGACATCTTCATCTTGCAGATGATCAATGATCGTCCCGGCAAATAATTGATTCTTCTAGAAGTAAGTAGATTTCTAGAAGACACGACTTCATGTCGGTAAAAAAAAACAGGCAGAAAGGTGCTTGGAAAGCTTAATAGAAGAAGAGATATGGTTCGCAAAAAGCATGTTAAAAAACGTGTAACCGGCACAAACAAAGACAAGGGAGAACAATCGGGAAGCAGAATCGGTGAAGCATCGTCTTTTGTTTTCTCGTCTTCATGCTACAGGAAGATAAATGCAAATGATGACAATAGCACTAAGCCTAAAGTCGATGTTGGTCTAGAAGCTGCGCCCCACGCGCATTTTCTGACTACTTTTCGAAACATGATTACTAGAACAAGAACTGTCTCTCTTGTAGTTCTATCAGTCTTGTTTTATCACGACAATCATCAAGAAAAAAAATGGCCGCCGCCAGTGGATTGTCTTTCGTTGTCGGCGAGCTGCCTGCTGCGCTGACTCGGCAATACTTCTTTGCCACAGCGCAAGTCGACGCATTTCTCTTCGAGTATGCGCCAACTTTAAGGCGACAGACGCTGATAGCTAACATCATGATCCTTGGGAGGTCTTCTAGAAATACTATCAACATATGATAGTACACCATGATGATGATCGATCCCTGGGAGGTGGAGGTCTCCTTACTCTTCAGCATCCTCCTACAACGAGCATGATTCTTCTGCAAGGGGATAAACCTCAACGCCATGTTGTATGGTGCTTGAGAGGTCTTCTTTTGGAATTGGGGCTTCAACAAGAGAAATATGATCCTCCAAGGGCAAGGATATTTCATCACACTCAAAGTAAGAGATGCAGATGAATGATATCGATTTATACGAGCGCGGTACTAGCTCTAATAACGCTGCTTTTCGACACGGGACCAAAGCTGGTGCTCAGTTGGTCCGACTTCTTGTATCGATTAAGGCCCACCCTAATTCATCTCCAGGCGCATCTTGGAGACCTGTCGCATAAGGGGAAAAGAGGGCTAAGATGAATACCGCAATGGATAAGGGTGAGCTCTAAGTCGAGAAGTCTACACGGATTCAGCACTGCAAGTATTTGTGGATTTGTGGACATCGTTGCTGTCGCATTTAGTAGTGTTGAGTCTTTTGTACTACCTTTGGCGACAGGGAGTGGTGTCGTCTACGCTTAATTCGCGGAGTGCAGCCGGGTCCCCTGGACGAGTAGGCTCAATATTAGTAAGGGTTCCCAGCACATTGCATCCTTCACTAAACACATCCCTGACTCTTTTTTCAGTAGGAAAGAAGTCAGCAGGGATGTTCTGGGGAATGTAATTCCGTAACCTCTAACAGTAGGAAGTGGAACAAGTTTTGGAACAACCACAGAGGCTTTCTATGCTTGGGAGGAAGAGGTTGCGACGTTGAAAAAGCGCATACTCCTGTTGAAAAGTGGAACATCTGCAGGAGGTGAAGCTGAAGAAAGTAATGATGCGACCACTGCGAGTAGTAATTCAGCGACCTCCTCCGGATCGAGAACGGATTATAGTGGTACACGACCTCCACCGACAGAAGTATCATCAAAGAAAAGCAAAAGCAAGCAACAGCTTCCCTTTCCTGTGCTACCAAAACCACCATGGAAGACAGAGTTGAAACTCTCCTTCTCTCCAAGTGAAACCATTCCTGAGCAATTCAGTCTGATGCATATGTGTCGGAAGATGACTGTGGAATCTTTGCCGGACTTGCCACACTTGCTTGGCCCAGATCCTGCTAGTTTGAGTTTGAAATTGGGCTTAATCCGAGGTTCCTATGCGTTACCGCTGTCGACGCGTGGAGGATTGCTTGGCGGGAAAGTTATGTTGATCATTTTTTTACACAGTCTTGTTGAAGAGTTGTGGATATTGCTGGTGCTCCATGACTCGTCCATGATGTTTGTTCCGAAGTACTACCTACTTGGTACTTGTTACTTACAAGATTCATCACTTGTTGTATTTACATAGTTTTCAATCCGCCCTGCTTTCTTGTTCCTGCAGGCTTTAAAATCGGTCTTCTAATACCCGCAGCACGGCCGCACAGGCGCAAAGCAGCGCCTTCTCTTTGGACGTGAAAAGACCGGATGCTAGAGTTGAGGCTACTGTATGCAACCGCGAGATTCAGGATTTGACTATTGCCCTTGCTGGTGTCTACGTGCGCAACATAGGCAGTGCCCTCAGGGATTTGAGGCATATTTTGAGGACGAGGGGCGCGACTGGTTTTCCGTTTCCTCTGACGGGATCTACATTAAGGGTAGTTTAAAGATCAGGTGTTTCTGTTAGTACCGTTCGTTTTGCCTCTCCTAAGGGAGAAAGGCACAACAAACGGGAAACAGAAACACCAAAAAACCTACCTCTTCTATTAGCTACAACTTCATCAGGTTCAGGACATCAAGCGACAGCGCAGCAGATGACAATGAAGAGTGATAGAAATGCTCGAACACCATCAACGTCTTGGGGCAGTTTTATCTTTGACAAGATGAGAATCGCAGCCAAAATCGTCAGAAATGTGATACGAGCATGCTTGTGGGCAGTGTTTTTCCACCTAGTCTGGTTTTTCGAACTGCTCATCAGTGTGCAGCTTTCCTGCATACAGCTTCGAAAGATCAGTTATTTTGGACCCTTTGTGCCGCGTTGGCTGTCGCCTTGGCTTGGTATTAAGGGTTGGAAGCTGACCACTCTACAACCAAATCTATGGCCACCTTTTACAATAGGAAAGTCATAGACCTGCGAGGCAGATTGGTTAACTTGCAACCCCTAATGGTAGGGGCCACCGACGCGAATTTGCGCCACACTTCTCAGGAGTTTTGTGGATTTTTCAGGTTTTGCCGATTCCGTTTATCTCTGTGCAGCTTCCAGCAGTGCTAATACCCTTCCTAGAAAGCGGACATCTTGGCGAATTCATCATCAGCAACAAAGACGCAATGAAAACACCACGGCAGGAGCAGGAGACAGAAAGTGACTCGGAAACTGAAACAGATGAAGATGATGTTGAAGGAGGAGATAAGATTACAGGGAAGGACGATCTTCATCTTCAACAAGAACGACTCTGCAACCCCACGAGTAGAAGTAGTAGAGCATCTTCGACACTCTACACGCCTCCACCTTCTAGACGTCGCGTCACAACTTCTTCAGGTAGAAGCCAAAGCAGGAACAAGATAGCCAACGCTAAGAATCTCACTATCACTTCTGCAACAAGAACTCCGACGTCCGCTTCGAGAGGCAATCTTGTGAATCGTTTAGACGTCTCGCGCGTGCCGATTCGAAACCTAGTGGAGCAAGGCTCGCGACTGTTACAGCACTGGTCTCTCGATTGTGCTGCTAGCGTGCATCCGCCGTCGAATGCGGAAATCGCTTTGTTTACGACCACATCAAGGACAACATTCACTACTTTCCAGCATTTCCCACATTTTGAGAATGACAATATGTTTATAAGAACTATTTAGATTTTATTGAACTTCTTGACACTACCGCTAATTCGATCCTTCCAGACCGTTCTGTTGCGAAAGTTCTTGCTGAACCTCCCAGGAAAAAAAACGATATCCGACTCCGCTGTCGAGGCGGCGACCTGCCGAATGCAAGAACCTCAGCTAGTTACATAAAGATCGAGCGTCTAGAGATGAATGGGCAGGCTCTGTTCCAAGAAGGCGGGAAGACGTCTGAGGAGGGAAAGCAGTCGACTAAGACAACAAATTCTACCTCTTCCCTAGAACCAGAGGAAACTGTGAAGAAAGTCTTCAGTGAAGCCTCCTCTCTGCCGACGGAACGGAACACGTTGATTCTCCGGCATCGTGACAGCAGTCGGCCTCTAGGCGAGATTGTCGCGGAAGTGCTAAGCTGGATTGTAGAATATCAAAACACTAATTTTTTCGATATTGCCAAAGCTGAAGCGACGTTTCAAGAGCTTGCTGAAGAGGATCGCATAAGAAATAGCGCCAATTCTTCGAGAACGAGGTCGACTAGAAGCACTCTAGCATCTTCAACAGGAGTGCCGAACATCGCCAGCTGGTCTTCTTCTCGCAGGCAAGTGTTCAGAAACCGACTACGGGATCAGATCGAACGACGACGTGCACTCTTAGACCGGAAGTGCGTTATTGTGGACTTGCTAAAACGATTCCGCATTGCCGCAAATCTGGAGACGGCAGGGCCGTTTTGTCTTTCATTTGTCGAAGATGACGATGCAGATGAGCAAGAGACGAAAAATCACATCAATGAAGTCGTGAGACGATCAGGATCAAGGAAAGGCACAACCTCATCCTCGCGAGCGCCACCTCCAAAAACAACGATCCTCTACTATCGAGACGACATGCGATGGTCGTTGCAGACGAGTACTCGAATGCGCGCTGTACGACTCGAGAAAATGCACTACGTCACACGCGATGTGTGGCAGTTGGGCCAGAGATCTCAAAACTTTTTGAGGATACCACATTTCCTAGACATACGCCTCATACTGCAGGGCTTCCAAGTACTGGACTGCACGATTGACGATGACACGGACCTGAAGCACGCTTTCTCTGGGATGCGAGCGTGTTCTACTCCAGCGGATTTGGTGATTACAGGGAATGCATTGCAAAATAGTTCTTTTAGTCAAGGTTCTCTTGCTAGCGCCTCAACGTCTTCGTCTTCCTGTCTCGAATGGCGTTGCGCAGCCAAGGAAAAGATTCAATTCGAAGCGTTAATTTTGAATCCAGTTTTGGAGAAGAACGAGATTCCGGAGTTTGGCGTCGTAGCTGGGGATTTAGTCAAAACTCGCCTTGCTGGGGAGCTCAGTCTCGACGCGCCGTTAACATTGGTGTGCAGAGGGAAGGAGACTAAGAATTGCGCAGTACTTGCTGGTAGTCCTGCTCTGAATGGCACACAACGAGAGGTTGATGAACTCGTGGATCATGGTGGCCTGAGACGTAGAAGAAACGGATGTGAAGAACAGTCCACGCTTAGTACAGATGACAGCACGTCTTCTACATCAGTTGGTCGTAAGACGATCAGCAGCGATAGTAGGAAGATCAGCAGCAAAGTCGACGAACAAGACCCAGACAGTAATTTGATTGACGCTGGTTTCCTGAATGGCACCACCGTTGAGATCGCGCTCACCCGGGCCATCGCGACCCTCGGCGACCGCATTATCTACCTCGATGGCATTGGCATGCAGGCTTCGCAAACTACACCTTCTGTCGAGCGAGCCTTCCGGCAAACGAAGAGAGCGTTTTGCAAACTGTTCGAGCAGTCTACTTCTACCTCCAGGACAACTTCTGCTTCTGGTCAGGAGGCGATTAGTCTCAAAACTGGCAGTGAACAAGACGAAGGGGCTCCTCCTCCTCCGCCAACAGAGGTGGAAACACAGCAAACTGTCGTCAGGATTGAGGTCCTCGAAGCCATGGTTGGCGAAGGACCTGCGCAGGAGAGCTTGAACTCCATCAATCCGATAGACTTGAAGGTCACTTGGAATCTGCGAAAGATGTCTTCGCCTTCCAGTCTTTCTTCCGCTTCAACTAGTGTGATGGCGTCGTTATCGAAATACAATCCGGGAACAATTATGAGGAACTACACCAGAGATGAAGACGACAGCACCAGTGTGTCAGTCGCTGATATTAAGGCTACCGCTGAAGCATCCTCGTCCTCACCATCATACATTCTTGGCCCCTTTTTCAAGGGAAAAAAGAAGCCAAGGATGCTTTCAGGGATGCAACTGATGCAGCTCTAACGATAAAGACAGCGGCGCCTTCTCATCAATGAACAGCACCGCTGCGCCCTCGCTGAGCCCCCGCGCCGATTTCTCAGAGATGGTGCTCTTACCGCCACCTCTAACGAGGTCATCGTCGGCAGCTTCTGGAGTTGGCGAGGAAGCCACAAACGAAGCGGAACCGAAGCAAGGAGCTCACAACAGTACTGCTACGTCACCTCGCAACATTTCGGGAAGAGAGGTCGACTTTTCTGTTCTCGAAGAGCTACGACGAAAAAAGAACAACGCTGATTACATCCGCGTTTTAGGGAGACTGATGTTTGGTGAGGTGCAGCCGGTTGGTAATACGAGAACCTCAACAGCAGGTCTAGAACAAAAGGCAGCAGAGACGTTTTTTGCAGCAGAGCAACAAGCTTCTCTTTCTTCTAAAAATACGGCACAAGCGGAGCGCCATTTTTCGGACCAAATTCGTAGACGTGGAGACGATGATACGGATTCATCGTGGACGTACTCCGGGTCTTCGGATGACGAGTGGCTGGATATGAATAGTAGTGGCGCAGCTTTCGGAGGTGGTCGCACACCGACTGCGAGTAACTCCCCAGCCAAAACCACATACCATGATGGTACTTCAACGTCACTACAACGCGCAGGAGCAGCGTTTGGAACAGTGCCGAAAAACAAGCATCATAGTCGACCACGCGCCCTGAAAGTGTCAGAAAACTTTCTTTCTTCGCCACGCGATCAGTCAGCAGCCAAGTTGAATCGAGATAAGAACGTCTTGCGCGAATACTTTGCTTCCAGGAGCAAAGCGAGTCTTCAACAAGTGCTAGGTGGACAGATAACCTCTAAAACGACAAGAACATCGAGGACGAATTTGAAATATGCACGTAGGACGACTCCCATGGCCATGTTGGACGGTGCTAGCCCTACTTCTTCCCCTGATGGTAAAGGTAACAACAATTCTCCTCCTCGTGTTTTCTCCAAGGAAAGTATATTAAGTGGGAGCGCTCGATCCGAGTTATTTTCCTCGGATGAGGAGGAAGAGTTATACTTCTCGACTTCAGAGGACGAGGAAGAGTGGTCTGCTTCATCAGCCCACGAAGAATTGCAACAGCCGCTTGTGTCAACAGCGATAAGCGGCACTGCAGAGGAACAACCGCTGCCAACGTCACTTAGGGACAGGTTGAAGGTGGTCGTGTTGCCGTTTGTTTTGGATGAAGTTCTAAGGGAGTGGGAGAAGGGCATGTGTTGAACAAACGGGAAGCAGAAACACCAGAACCCTACCTCTAAGTCACGGCAAGGCGGCTTGATCCTCTACTCCGCCAATCAGCAGATCGCCGTAAACCTCTTACCCCAGTTTTACGCTCGCGGAGAAATTACAGCTAGCGTCTCTAGCTTAGGGAACCTGTCGGTTGAGAAATTTGTCCCCTGGGAATTTGCCACGGCGTCTAGTCCAGGACTTCTTGGTGGAAAGGACACTACTTCAGGAGTCGTTGAAAATCAACAACAAGTAGGTCAAGAGCATCAAGGACATGGAGACAAAAATGACGATCATCAAAGTCATGTCCTCGTGAAGGAAACATCTTCAATCTCACCAGCATTGATAAGGCCAACAAAGTACGAACATCAGGGAGATGATGTTGTTGATCCTAGTGAAGCTGAAGATGTTTCACCAGAAGAAAAACTTGCGGAGCTCCAGCGAATCGCCTACTCTTCGCCTCTCAAATACCTCTACCTGAACACGTTCAAAAGCGCACAAGTCAATGCCTTGATGCAGCAATGCAAGGAACATGAGCAGCCAGGAGGTGGTCCTTGGATGAAGAAGAATATCAACCTATATGATCTGAAATGTGTAGTCAACATACTCAGCAACTTAGCTGCTTTCCCACTTATAGTTGCTAGCTAATTTGTTCTTGAGTATGGGTACATCTATTTCTGTCATAACCTACCCTGGCACGTGATGTCTGATTGGCTAAGCAATGACGGCATTGTGGCCGGAATTTTTACCATTGTCTCGATCTTGGGCAGCGAGCAGCTTTTCACCTGGGCTGTTGAGGGATATGGCCATGCAAAGCGCTTCATTCGTATTCTGGATGACATGAACATACAACAATGTGGAGACATCATTCCCGCACCGAAAATGATAGAGTTGATATTTTTAGTGCTGTTTAGACGTGGAGGTGAAGAGCAGCAGGAGGATGGTGCCTTTTCTTAAGGGTTTCCGAATTACATCCCTCACTGCCGTCCTTGGCTCCTTTTCAAGGGAAGTAGAATAGGCCAAGGATGTTCTGAAGAATGCAACTCGGCAGCCTTTAACTTTCAGCCGGAGACCCAGCCACGACAAGGACCTACTCGACGGGGCAAGAGCGTCTACGTCTTGCAGCTAGTAGAGATCAACAAGGTGGTAATTATGGCATAATGAGTCGAGCGACTTGTTCTGGGCCTGGAGGTGGAAATCAGTTGAGCAAAAGCAGATCCCTTGTTGTGGCTGATGGCGGGAGAGAAGAGACAACTTATTATCACTCACGTGCTGGTGGTGGATCTGTTTCTGGTTCCTCCATGGCGTTTCACAGCTGCTACGGAGATGAGCGCATATCACTAGCTTCTCCTGCTCCGGCTCTCCGCGGAAGTGTCGGCGCGTCCAGGGTAGACTTTGGAGATCAAGTAGAACTGGCACCACCAGAGCCGGATGAATCGACCCAGGCACGACGAGCAAACCTTGTTGTGCAGTCCTCAGCTACTGCCTCATCTCCTGTGGACGTTGTACAGGAGAATCATAGTGGAATGTTCTTTGTAAAGAACGCTACTCAAGCAGACTACGAGAGGGTTTATCAAGTTTTCAAGGGCTTGATCTATGGAAACGGTCTCGATTCGGATGCTTGCAAGGAGCTTTTGTCTAAGGCTTTCCCGGTTTGGTACACCAACAACGCGTTTGATATTGACCGTGGCTTGCGCATTATCAACCGAATTGCGATTCCAGTACCCATGCCGCCTATCGCGCCTTCGCGAGCTCTGGATAGCAACTTGGCGTCTCCACCACTGCAGGCGTGGCTAGATAAGTTGCCGACAGCGGGAGAGCTGTATCGGCAATGCGACAGTGATGCTACAAATAGAATTTTTAAGGCTCCTAGTCCTAATCCATCTCGTGAAGCATGATCTTCCTAGAGTGATTTTTTAAGGACAAAAGAGGTCCAGGTCCAGGACGTTGAAGCCCAAGATGGATCATAAGAGCGAGCTCTAATAGAAGTAGTACGAAAACAGGGAGGACCACTTGTAGTAGTTCCAGCAAGACAACCACTAGTTCTCCTGTTCTGACTGCTGTCGTCGCGTTAGCTCCCTATCTTTCCCGTGCGCAGTTGCAGTACCTGGTGGAGCATGGCTTCATCGCCGCCAACGCGGGTAGCACAGAACAAAAACACCGACTCAGCTACGTTTTGCATTTGAAGAAAGTTTTATCCACCATCGTGGATGACATTGGCGGCAATTCTTTACTCCCGCAGACCCATGGCATCGCGTTTCTGCTTGGCGATACGTTGAAAAGGAGTGCCTCATTAGGCGAACATCAAGAAAAGCAGAAACATCGATCCAATGCGAATTCAGATGCAACCTCGTTAACTTCATGTTCTAGCAAGAACATTGTTTCAGTTTTTGGGAGTTCTCTTCTCGGACCCGAAGATATGGCTGGCCTTTTGAGGGCCATTCTATCCGCGCCAAGCTTTGGGCATTTTGCGCAACGAGCTCTCAGAACCTTGATGGAACTGCTTCAGAGGCAACCGCTGATTTTTGTGCGAGGCGTCTTTTACGAGCTGTCGCTGAACGGCAGTCAAAGGGTGCTGGCGGGATTGTTGATGTTACGATAGAAGACTGGTGGTCGTGGGTAGAAGTACTTACAACAAATCGCTGCTAGAATAATTTTTGGAAATTGGAAATGTTCGTCCCTTGTTGTAGGAGGTGTCAGATGAAAAGTCTTCTTCTCTCTACTAGGTAGAGTAGTTCTTGTACTACCTGTGCATTATCTAGTGAACAAGCGTACTCCAACTCCTACTCCACCTCTAATCCTCCGCCTCCTCGAAGCGCCTCAGGATTGTTTTCGTGTTGAGGTGGACTATCACGGTATGCTTGCGAGCATGCTGGACATCCATAGTATCCCGAAGCGTGGAGACTATTAAGGGTTGAAACATTTCATTTCTACATGCTCTTCTGCCTTGTATGCGCCCAAGGTTAATAGCCCCTCCAATCAATTTGTACATGCTCTTCTCCCTTAACTAAGTACATTGCTAGCTAGAAATGAAAGGCCGCTTCAACCTTTTTTAAGACCACATGGCTGGCGGAAAGTATCAACGGCGTAGCTACTACGAAGCGATCTACCGTATCGCGGCCAACCTGATCGATGAAAGTGACGATTATCTTGCTTTCAAGCAGCATTTGACGGCAAATATTCAGGAAGATGGGGGAGCAGTAGCAGATGAGGAGCATGAGGAAGAGGAAGAGGCGCAGGGATGTGCAACGAGTGCAAAAGATGAAGGAACTACGCATGGTAGTCCAGTTGTTCGCTCAGATGCAAAATCTGGCACAGTTGCTCTTGCTGCAGCTACGAACACAAGCACTACCACCACCTCCACCAGTATCAAGAAGATAGCAGCAGTTGTATCGAATTCTTCATATCGGAGCCAGTTCCTCTTAACAAATAGCGACTTTGCTGACCTATTACAGGCAGCACTAGCTGCTGTAGTGCATGCAGATAGGGTCGGATGCGCGTGGCTACGAAATGCAACGAGTACAACCAGTCAGGAATCTAGAACTACTTCGACCAGTTCGCCCAGTACTCCTCTTAAATCTCCGTCTTCTACAAGTACTACTCCAACCCGTCGCGCCGTGACCGCCGCTTACAGACAAGCTTTCGACCTCTGCCGCGAAGCAGTCTCAAGAGACAAGCGAGCCTTGATTCGTGAAACCTGGCTCAAAGACTTCTACGAACGAAACTATGAAGCTCTAGTGATTTTCAGCATTGTCCGGAATGTTGTGGACGGCACTGACCACATTCGCAAGTGGATTACCGTTCAACCGTGTTTTGAGGCTCACTATTCCAATGTTGGTCTACTTGATGGGAATGAAAAAAAGAAGGATAAAAAGGAAGAGAATTATGTTGAGATGAATGGTACAACTGTAGACGTAGAGGGAGATGAAGACGAAGAGCAAGCTGTTGTAGGAGCTGGAGTAAAGCCTGAAGATGCAGAAAGAGCCACCGCAACCTACAAGCTCGGACTCTCGCCTGTGACCGGAGAACAACTAGGTGCTTCACCTCTTGGGCCGCACCCTGCAGCAGCGTCGAAAGGAACCACCACGACGACACCATCTTCGAACCTGAAGAACGAAAACAACAAGTCCTCTTCTACGTCTGCTCTATCTGCTCTCGACCAGTTTCATGCAGACTTGAAAGAGTTGGAAAAGAGCCTGATTCCTTTCTCCGCAAATCCGCAAGAAGCAGAGGCACGGGTGAGGCGTCTCTATCCAGATGAATCCTATCGCATGTGGTGGAATGGGCCGTTACAGGAAAAAGAACACGACCATCAATGCCCGAGTTCGGTCCTCCGTACACAGCAAATACTCCGTCGTCTTGCGCATCTCTTAAGGCTCAGCTTTCATTGGTCATAGAGGTTGGTCACTGAAATCGAAGAGGGCCCCCTTGAGAGAACGGGGGAAAATGAAGGGGAAGGGGAGAGCCTTGGAGGGGGTCTCTTCCGTTCAGAGTCAGTGACCAATAAATGCAGGGCTTTAAATTTCGCTATTGATGCGAACTATTTCTACCAGTCTGACCGACAGTTGATGCATCTTGACCCGCTCGTCTTGGCATTGATCTATGAACTGCCACCACTACCGGCAGCACCATCTGCTGAAACAAGAAATACAAAAACTCGTAATCCTCTTGAAAAATTCGCCATCATTTCCGGTATGGGCGTGATCACGGACGGGGAGAGTGGGCACGAGATGAACAAGACGTTCGACAGGTTGTACAAGGAGTACAAAGTCCGAGTTTTCAGATCTGATACTGGGATTGCGAGACACATAGAGTACAACGCCAGCAGGATCGAAACCGCCGTTGGGAAAGCGATGTTATGGCGTTCGCGATGGTCAACATTCAACAAGTATTTCACAGAAGATTAACATTATCCTGCTCATCTTCATCATTGTAGCGCTACCTCGTCATTCCCAAAGTTTCTCTAACAACAGCAGCCGGCGTCCGCCATTGGGGATGGATCGGCTACAGTCAGGGTTGCGCCAACATGTGGAAAGCCGAATCGAACCTGAACACTGGGACACCTGATATGCGGAAAGCCCTCCAAGGTCTTTGCTGTCGCAATCAGATGTATTCAGCGGCCAACGGTACACCAATGGGCACAAGTTTGGAGTGGCGAGTCTCGGAGGGAATTGCGGAGTTCGAGATTTTCCTCAAGAATTTGCAACTTCACATCTCGAACAACCTGAACCGGGTTTTGATGCATTTGTTGTTATGTTGAAGTTCCTTCACATCTCGAACAACCTGAACCGTGTTTTGATGCATTTGTTGTTATGAAGTTCCAGTGAGTAGGATTAAGAGGTGTAGCTAGAGATCTGCTTTCACGACTGCCCTAATTCCCTCCAGCTTGCTTGCGAGCCGTGGCTTTGTTTTCCTCATTGGCGGATTGCATTCGCTGAACAACATGGCTTGTATTCGAGGCTTGTGGCGTGGCGCGAAGCACAAAGCTAACGTCCCCACCCTCGCAGTGCGCGCAGTGAGTGAGCAGCACACCATGCCTGAAGTTTTGACCTTCATGTGCAACTATCTGTCGACCGTGGCGAAGAATGTACAACCCGATAAGCGCAAGAGGGGTCCAGGTGTGATTGAGAGGGATGAAAGCTGTCCATATGATTTTGGTGGATTGCTGAAGAAGATGAGGGAACGGGCCCCGGTGCCATCATCTGGGTCTGCTGCAGCTGCAGAGAGCGAGGAAACAACTACACCGAAGACGGTGGATACTGAGACACCACTAACCACTCTCGAGCAGGTGATGAACAGACGAAAGAAAAGAAGAGGAGAAAAGGAGGACTTCGTCTCGTGGGATCAAATGGTGGAGCCTGATGGTGCTACGTGGCCGCAGGAGAAAGCAATTACCACAACAGCAAATACAACCGTAGAAGCACAGAAGTCGCTATCGTCCAAGCCGACAGGAGAACCACAAGGAACAACAGAGAAAAGCTTCAACCCGTTTCTGAGTTTGAGACCTGCAGAACCGATCAACCATGACTCCCAAGTAACCGCTTTGGAAAGCGAAGGCTACCCCTGTTACGTTCGCAATAAGAATGGTCGAATGCTCAAGCGCTGTGCTATTCGCAACATGCTGCATCGTGGACATCATTGGGTGCCTTTGTTATGTACCGTGTTGTACTAGTTGTACTCGTGGTAGTCGTGGCAATGTAGTATAGTTGTAGTCGTGGCAATGTAGTTTTTCCATATATAATGAACTTGTAGTTGTGATGTAGTAAGTTGTTAACAGAGATGAAGATGATACTAGTACTTTATAAGTATCTATCTTCAAGGCTGAGGAAGAGGATACTCTGACTTCTTCTTCTTGGTCCTTGTTCTTCTTATCAGCAAACGAGGTACGCTACGATAATACTCTAACATCTCGCGAAATCGAAACCGGTTTCGTGGAGACGGATCTCGATCGAGCGCGCCAGGTGTACCAAGGTCCCATGGACAAGTTGGTCTTCCCTTTCGTCATGGTAAACAGCAGATTTGGTGTTATTCCGCGAGATGAGGAGGAGCAGCAGCAGGAGGAGGGGGAGGAGAAGGAAGGGAAAGAGGAGGAAGGGGAAGAGGAGAAAGGGGAAGAGGAGGAAGGGGAAGAGTTGAAGCGGTGATAGATTGGGTCCCTGAAGAACGCTACTCGTCTCCATGGTTCTCACGAAGGATCATATTATATTAGATGCCACACATTTATTACATTCATACATTTTCATAGTTACGTGGTGCTCCTAAGTAATGCTGTCACCATTTGCTACATCACTGAGTGATGGTGGCGAGCTTTGCCATCGTCACTAGAATCTTCCTTACAGATACCATTGATAGCATAATTCAGCATTTTCCACTGAGTGGTCACGTAGAAGAGTCATAGTACTCTCCGTTTAATTGCTCAGTGAGACATTTTTTGAAAAATATTGTTGATATTCGTTGAACGAAAAAAGACAAAATACTGGGGGCCAGAAGTGTCCACTTTTCCGAACTACACATCGATGGCACTAATTTCCAACTACAGATGATGAGCTAGAGATTCAAATTTCTAAGTTCATTTTTGCTTACTTGTTCATACTGAATGCTTCTTTTGATAGATCATATTTTCCGTGAGACCGCTTGCCCTATTAATTTACACTTGTTCATCACTTTATTTCCAATCGCTTGATAACTCGTCGTGATTGTTTGACGAATCAGAGTATCAAAATGGGTGAAGATTTTCTTCAAACACGATAATCTCTTCTTGTCAGAATTTCTGATCGGGGCACAATAAATTTGAGGAATAGATGCTAGCAAGGATCCAAAGATGCTTGCAAGGAGGCAAAGGCGTGGGCAACGATCATCCACAGCCACGACCATACATACTGATCAATGAAGCAACCACCTACGGGGATTTACAACCGAAACGATTCGCAGGTAGTTCCCTTCCCTCATCTTGAGTCAGCATCGCGTTTCATGCTCATAGTTTTGTTTCCTCACCTTCTAGTTCTACTTCCTTCGACCACTACTTCCATGATGAAGGCTTTCTCCGTTGTGTGAAGACTTGGTGTGTATATCATCAAATTGTACGACAAGTCGAAGTCTCGTTGCTATCTATTATAAGCATTTTCATCAAGTGTAGTAAAATGGACGCCCGTCTCCAGTCTCTTTTACAAGAGACTACCAGTATCCGCAAGACTTGCACCCATGCTGAAGCTGTCGGCGCCTCCTTGATTGCGGTTTTCGAATACGCGGTTGAAGCTTTGAGACAACAAGTAGTTCATGGAGAAGATGACGAGTTCAGTAAGAAGAAGAGATCCCCTGAAGAAATCGACTTGGATTTCTGTGATAGAGAGCTGGCGGCATTTGAGGAGTTATTGCTGACAAACGAAGCTGGTGAAGATGTCGTTTCGGAGGACGAGGAAGGCGAAGACCATGATGAAGCAGAAGATGATCATAACGACGATACTGCAGGTTCTACATCAAATATTCGTAAAAAGTCCTCAAAAAAGAACGACAAGGAGAAGGAAGTGACCAACGAAATTATGTCGATATTGAACACGGGGTGTGGGATGATATTAAGCGAAGATCACGATTCATCTGGTGACGGAGCTTCAAAACAAGAGCCTGTGCCTCCTGAGCCACGTGGCTTCGTCCGGAACCGCCCAGTGGGTATGGAAGCAAATGGCACAAGGACAAGACGGCTACTGAGCGAAACGACAACAAGATTTACTGACTTCTTTAAGGCTATTGGTTCGTAGATGAAAACTATACTCGAGCCAGCTCGAGGAAAGATGTTCTAGCAGAATCTTTCCAGGCAAATAATCACGCTTGTTGCATTTTCATCTCGCTAGTAATCCTTTACTGAACTATAGTTAGCAACCATAACCAATACCGGTTAACTTTTCCCTCAGGATCCTACTCGTCCTAGGTTAATTGTCCGTTCAGTCAATCAAGGTCTACTACAACGAACTACTAGTAACATGATCGACACCAGTGTCGTTCTTCTTCTAATCGGCTAGCCGGAGAAACCTTGAAGAAGGACTACGTTTTCGATAAGCTAATGGACGTAGTGGACTCGGACGAGCGACCTCTAAAAGCAGACCTCCACTTCTTATCACGACACTTTGCGAAATACAAACCGAAGCCAGAACTAATCAGACCAGGCGAGGTAGAGGTCGTAAATAACGTACTATCGCAGAGGGTTCATGGCACCAGGAGAAATGACGGAAAGTCCTCGGCTGATGGTGGCACAGGAGGAAGCTCCAGGAGTGCAACAACTTGTTCTCAAAAATCGGCCGTGGTGAACAAAGATGAACAAGAAGTCCCCATACCACCTGCTGAGGAAGAAGAGGATGACAATGCCATCGTCGTCACAAAAATAGTTCCTAAAACGACAAATAAGACTCCTGCGTCAAATGATGCCGAACAAGCTGGACAACAAGCATCTACTTCTACCACCTATCCTTCTGACGCTAGTAGTAGTACAAGAACCGCAAAGCAGGAACAAGATTCGAAGCTTCCTCCTGTCAGTAGAGGTGGTTTTGTCGTAACAAAACGCGGCGGCGGTGGACCGAAGATAGCACCTCTAGGAAAAGTAGTGGTTCTCAATAGTAGCACTCCTGGCTCTGTGTCTGGTCCTAAAGTTGAGGCAAAAACCTCGACAAAAGATGGTGTGGAGGACGATTATGACGAGGATGAAAAAGCTACTCCTACTTCGTCTACTGAGCGTGAAGAACAACGTGACCACAAGGTGGATTCTTCAAGATGTTCTTCTCGAGATAGAAGTGCCAGCAGAAGAGACGACTACAAGAAAAGCTCCACTTCTAGTAAGCGAGATAGACGCTCGCCCCGCTCGTCTAGAAGCAGGTCTCCTGGTGCTAGGCCAAGTCGATCCCGGAGTCGAGGTAGAGGCAAGAAAGAAACCTGCTCTTCGCGGAGAAGTGAGTCAAGAGATCGAACGACAACTCGGAGTAAAAAAGAAACGGCCCCCTCCAGACGGAAAGATTATCTTTAAGGCTCCTCGTCGATGCAATTCATTTCCAAGGGTCATTTTCATCTTCGGTCGTTTCCTTCCTCGTAGGATCTTCATTCTTAAGAAACGAGAAGGCAATGGCAAGACGAAGTGAATTGTTTTGCGCTCTATTAAGATAGAAGGAGGAGCGAGTCGAGGTCAAGAAGCAAATCGCCGGATCGCGATCGTCATAGTTCTAGAAACGGCGCTACTACTTCTAGACGTAAGTCAACAGGTTCATCTCGCTCTCCTGCACGTGGCAAAACTAGAGACTCACGAACACGCGATCGCCGAGCGAGAGTTAGAGATACGCGGGACGATAGGGATAGTCGTAGTCGTAGAGATCGGCGAAGTGAAAGTCGGCCTAGAAGTCGGCGGAGATGATGGTGAAGGATCAACATATTGACGCCTTGATCTGTTTCTTGCCCACGACGCCTTGACCTATTCATAATTCCCCTATAGGTGTCACATCTCCTGATTCAGATTCTGATATGTACACTCCCTACGAATCTTGCCAAGGGACTCATATAAAAATGTTGTCACTGTTCATCCATATTTATCACAATTCTCGAAGACTTCGCTCGTCGGTCTCGCTTCTGATACTGTACACGGTACGCGGTGGTCGTTGAAGCGCGTAGAAGTACCTCCTCGTCGATGGATTCTTGTGTCTTCTACTTGGAAAAAAATTGTCTATCCCAGATGCGCACAAAGATGCCTCGTAGAAAAAGAGAGTGAGATGATCATGTTGAGAGGTCTTTGTCGCACTCGCATCCGCTTCATGGAGGCTTCCTCACATTACCAGTACAACTCCTCCCAGTTGTACAGCTACAGCTGCTCGAACATGCTCAGTTAGAGATAAACAGTTGTCCGACAGCGACAATCAAGCTTTTTTGTCGCACAATCAGGCATTTGTCATATCAAAACTAAAGCACGCACGTCACAGTGCTCTATTTTTAGAAATGTTCGGTTCATGACTCAGAAAAAAATTTTTTGAGGCTATGAATAACAAGAAATAACTTCACGAGAACAAGCGTTGTCCGACGCAACTTTAACTCTCCCTTTTTGGTTCATAAGTATGAAATTTTGAAAAATCATCTGAAAAGATAGATCATTTCTAGTATGGTAGATTAGAAGTGGAAGTATAGATCGTGATCGTTGTGTTGGTTCTTCTAGAAAGATACAAAAAAAAAGTAGAAGAAAATATCGTCCTCTTCATCATCATCCTCGTTCCGCCAAGTGACCCGCTCTTTCAAGAGCGGCTCTTTTTAGAGGATGCGGCGATGGGCAGATATGCGCAGTGACGATGAGTCGGAGGAAGGGTCCCAACGTTTCTTGACACGACAAGATGACGTCAGTTATCAGGGTACTTATATTATAAATATACATATACTTACTGATGTCATCTTCGAGATATATTTATGAATGGTTCCGGTATTTGGTAACCTGAATTTGATCATAAGGGAAAACAAGAAGAGAACCCTTTTTAGGATCAAACTCAGAGCACCAAATACCAGAACCATACTATTTAGCTCTTGGCCTCGCGGTATTAGCTATCATACTACAACTAGCAAGGCTATGCCTTGTCCTCAATCTTCTCTTTCGCAACGATCCACAGGTGCGCCATCAAGCGAGGTCGAAGACTCGCGAAGGGGTCTCAACGCTCGCATGAAGCATGTAGCGCGACCGCAGCTGAAGCGAGTCAATAGTGATGCGCCGCTCAAAATCGAGGGCACGGGAACCGCGAATAGCAGTCCCCACAGACCAGAAAGTCAGAGCCAAAGTCAGAGGTGCAAACCAGATGATGCCAGCATGGGCGTCAACGGCAACAGGTGTGGGACGAGAAATGAGCCCTCACCATCTCAAGACGATGCTAGCATGGGCGTCAACAGCAGGAGTTGTAAACTCTCTCAAGAAGATGCGAGCATGGGACTTGGTAATAGCAGGCAGCGAGACGACAGGACAGCAGCAAACAACGGCTCTTGTAGTTCAGAAAAACAAATACATCAAGTAGTGGCGAAGCCATCTGGTAGCGCTCAAGAAGCAGATGTTGGTGCCACTTCTTCTTCTACTGCACTTCCTCCTACTTCTAGTGGCGTAGTGGTTCATCAAGCAGCAGCTGCTCCAGCAGGAACTTCTGCGTCCTCGTCCTCTTCTAGTAACAAACATCAAGCGACTTCTTCAGGAGAGTCCGCCGGTGTTTCGGGCGCACCTGCGACAACAGCAACTAAAACAAGAGGACTGCCATCAAGCTCAACCTCCGCTAGTTCGTCGGCGACCGACTTTTCTGCGCTTTACGAGCGTCAGAAAGAAGAGCAAGCGGAGGCAAATGGTAATCGTCATCGCCTAATATGTCTACCTCTGCGTCCGGCCTCTGTTTTGATTTTTAGTTGTGTTGATTTTGTTTCTTCTTCTATCATTTCATTACGTCCATTTCATAACTTCCTTTTGGTGTTATTAGTTACAAGTACAATTCTTTACTTCCTCCTCGCAACTACAGGTCTCACTGCCACGTCCGCAATACCTGGCCGCAAAACGAGTGGGGACGGTGAGGCTTCGTCAGCTTTTCCAATGAAGCGGATGCCCATGAAGCGACCTAGAGCGTCATCGATAAAGCAAACGCCCGGAAGTTCGCCGAACGAGAATGGTACGACTAAGGAACAAGGACAAGGAGCAACAGGAGGAGGAAGGCTCAGTATCTCGGAAGCAGCGGGGGCTTCTAGTTGTAGCGCTGCGTCAAGTACTCACTTTTTGATCATGTAGAGCTCTTCAAACAAAACTCGGCGGCATTATCTATGTATCCGCGCCAGCAGTTGGCTTTTATGATGAATCGTGTCTACATCTTTTTCAATACGAATACCATAACCACACCAGGTGATGCTCGCGCAGCGGCGCCGGCTGCTCTTATCGGTACCAGCGGCGCTGGTGGATCGACGTCTTCAACTGCTAACCGAGCCAAACGAAAGAGCAAACAAGGAGCCCCAGAAGCTGGCAGCGTGCCGAGCTCGTCATCTTCAGTAGCAGGGGCTAGCACTAAGGGCAGTGGCAAATGGTACGGCAAAGGCTACAAAGGAAAGGGGGGCAGATGGATGAATGGCAAAGGTCACAAAGGTGGCTTATTTGGTGGCAAGCATGGAAGCAACTATCCAACTTCATCGTGGACAATGCTTGACGCAGACAATCCGTCACAATTTGGTCAGCAGTTCCTACAGCAGAACGGGACACCTGGAGCACCAGGCAGCCAACAGTGTTGGGTTATGACGACAGCGGGTGGTTATCAGATGCTGGCTCCAGCAGATCAGGCCCAGCAGATTCAAGCGCAGCAGTCGTTTATGACACCCGTCATGACGAGTCGCTCGACTGTTTCGTCGGTGTGCTCCTCCGACATGCTTTTCGCTGCAAACAGCATCACAGCAGGAGCTGGCGCAACGAGCGGGGCCGTAACGCCAGCGCTGTCCGTGATAGACGACGTTACTGGTGGCATGATCGGGGAACTTCAGAGTTCCTGCACTGCTGTTGAAAAAAACATCAACAGAATAACCACGTCGGCGACAAATGGCGTGCCGCAAGAAGGTTTAGAACATCCAGGTCAAAATCAACAACAAGAGCAGAATGGCATGATGATGACTGGCAGTAGTACAGCTAGTTCATCAAATGCACCGGCATGGACAACAAGAAGTGGTCTGCGTGGTGGAGGAGCTCCGACGAACGACGGCGAAGCGCATGCGCAGCTGAACTTGTCACCCGACTGCACTATCGATGGATTGGGTCCTGATGGTGTGATACCGCCTACACGAACTTCGTCATTGGTGTCTGGCTCGGGCCGTGTTTTTCTGCCGAAAAACGCCGCGTCTGTGTTAACAAACATGCAGAAGGACTCCATGTCTGGAGGCGTTGCCTTTGTCATTGACGGGAAGACGTTCGTTGCTCCGCCAGGCTTTGACTTCTCGGAGCTACAGAATGGCGCGCCGATCATCATGGATGACGAGGACGAAGAAGATGGAGATGCAGATGCAGAAATGTCACAACTAATGGGGGGAGGAGCAGGTGGAGGCGTTGTTGTTCCTTCTGGTGGTATAATGGGTAGTATAGGAGGTGGTATAGCAATAGCGGAAGCAGGTTCAGGTGGAACATCTTCAGAGGCTGGAGGTGCAGCGTCTTCATCTACATCAAGTTGCTCCACGTCGATGGATGTAACTCCAGGAGCTGCCAGTGTTGGAGTTGCTGGTGGTGCTATACAACCTCCGAGGCAACGACCGCCTCGCGTCGACCTCCTTGATCGCCTAACGCCTCCGACTTCTGGTGACCAGGTAGTGGCTCACCATCACGACCACTTACAAGCACCAGGTCCGCACAAGGAGCACATTAGCTTGAATCCAGGATGTGCCACTACTTCGTCGTCTTCGAGCACCGTTACACCGCGACAAAGCGTGCAGCTGTGCCAGTTCCCAGTAGGGACGATGGATCACTCGAAATTGCTGGGACACTTGGAGTCGAACGCAGCGCGAGATCGAGACGACGTCAGTACGGAGCAAGTGGAGTTGAGCACTGAACAGGCAGAACTGGAAGACCAAGATGATAATGACCAGGGTGTAGCACCAGGAGGAGCTTCATCTAGCGCGAATGAAGACACCAGCGATCATGATAAGAAAACAGACGTTGGTGCGAAAATGGATGATGTGGTCGTGGTACCTCCACCAGAAGTGGTGCATGAGATAGGCCTACACCTTCCTGGACTGCCGCAGCGCAAGAATGGGACAGATGGAACCATGTCGAGGACGAACTCCATGCGCATCGAAGAAATCTCGCTTACTTCACCTACCAGAGCGCCCCCCGCGTCGGATTTCACTGCAGAAGAGCTAGCCGCGCGTATCATGAATCCTCCTGGTTCGTCATCGTCAGGTACAGCTTCTTCTTCCTCAACATCAGGAGGTACTACTAGCAGCGTCCCAGTGGTGCAACCCTTTCCTCCACTTTCCAACAATGGTCCGACAGCAACTCCAGTGTTCAATTTCAACACTATGTCTGCTGGCATGGGCATGTTATCCTCGACGACTGCTACAGCGCCGGGACCTACGAGTAGTACAACGATGCCAGTCGTGATGTACAATCCGGCCACGGGAACGAGTATTGTGAACCAGGTCGCTGTACCTGCTGCTAGTCCGATTCTGAATCTAGGACAGTGTCGAGGGCCTCTGGAGCAATTACATCCTGCTTTTTCGAAAAGGTTGCGTGCCGGGACTAGCACGACGACTGCGGAAGTCGAATCTTTGATTTTGGAGAAGGGACCGAGGAAAAGGAAAAAGTACTACTCCTGTTTGTGTCACATAGGCTGTAGATCCTGGCTATTCATGTTGTAGTAATGTTGGTAATGGTATACAATTCCAGAAGATTCTTTCATGTTGATCATGAGTTCAAAAGGTCATCGTCAATCATGTACTTGTTACCAACTGCCTGTAATAAATACATTGAGTTTTCAAAATTGACAGGGTTTCTCATGGCAATACGCGACACGGACGCGAGAACTTGCGGAATAGGGCACCGCGTGTTGGTACTACTTATTTGTTGATCGCAACGTTGCATACTAAACCGTACCTTTTTCTTGACGCTAGAAGAGATCAAGAAGCATTCACGTATATTTTTCGTAATTCCTGAGTAAGCTCCGATGAAGGAACCTTTCCATCGAACTAACCCACAGACGGCAGCGACCCAGCGGCAGCAGAGACACGAGTCCAGACACGAAATGCACAGATAAAGCACTTCAAGGATACGAGAATTTACGTCCGCCTCACAGAACTATCAGCGATGGATACTACTGGCAGGCCAGAGACTCCGAAAGTCTCTGTCACCGATCCGAGAAGACATTGGAAGTATCTATTAGAGACAAAAAGCTTCACTGTGATCCTAGTGCATGCAGTATAGATTAGGAAGAAAATAGTACTGATAGTGATATTCCGTTTTTTACAAAGAAACCTTTGTTTTGACACTTTCCATCATGACCTCTACTTTCTGCCGCAGTTGACGAAGAAAGATTCACAAGAAATAAATAATAACGAAGAATTTTGAGGCACTTCTGTGTCCTTGATATTGTTTAGTCTCCCAGATAGTACATGTAGATGTAAGACTATGTGAGACTCATGCCATGCCCACACCACAGAGCCCAATACGAAAATTGGCGAAAAGCAGCTGTGGACTTTGTCGTCGAGCGCGATCCCGAGTACAAGCACGCGAACGAGGAAGAGGACATGCCCTCAGTGGCGGATGAACCGGATGAGTGACAGTGATACAAAACGTGCTCTTGTTACTTGCTCCATTATCTATACACAACATTTTTAACTACTTTTTTCACGATCAACAATCTTCACCAGTTATTTGAACTCTTCAGCAAAGAAAATATTAACACTATCTACTTTCTACTACAAATTTAACAGGGAAATTGATTATATCTTGTTCACAAAGGCTATGGCTTATTACACTAAGAAATATACATCCATCTACGAACTTCAAAAGTTTCTGTCTTACGAAGCTGCAATTCTTCTCTGTTGGTCGGCTAGAGTGGTTGGACTAGAAATGGTTAAAATACCTTAATTTCTACCAATACCTCCACCTCTTCGAGCCACTGACAGAGTCAGAGTGAACAAGGGTTCATTTTCTTGTGAAGTGTATGATATTTTTGAAACAAACCTATAATGGGAGCATCTCAAAGTAGATGGCTTTCTTGTCTTATATGATCGTATCGGCGCTGTCTTATTATAACGTTAACGCTATTTCCTTTCAATTATGAACAAATATTACTGATTTCAAACTATGTCTTCCAGATTCAGAGGACGCAAAGTATTCTTCAATAAATATCATATCTATAATCTTCAAGACTTTTTTTGACCGACTTCTTCGACGAGGAGCATTGTTAATATGCTATTACCCGTGGGTCGTGGATTAGTATGTTGTTGGGTAAGTGCTGGGATCTCGCGACGGCAGCGCGAGCAGTAGTTGAGTCTACTGAAAATCAAAATTTGACCTCCATAACAGGGATGAAAATCAGTGCACTTCCCTAGTATATGATTGAGCATTCAGACTATTGATGCAGATGCAGTTCTTATAGATGTCGTGATAGGTAATATGAGTTGTCGTAAAACACGAAATGCACAAAAGATAAGCAGACAGGTGAATTGGCAGTCAAACAGAATGAGGGGAGGTGGAATTGATAGATTCAGCGCGCACAGTACTAATCTCCGACGGACTTTCTACTTTCCAAAATTAACACGCAGGCCTTAGCTTACATTTAGATGAATTAAAATTTCATCAAGTTCAAGATGCAGGTTTGGAAGTTACTTAGTTTGTTGTGGTATCTATGATAATGGTACTACGACGAGTTACAGTTAAATCCTTTCGGCGAAGCGACTGACTCAACAGACGGAACGTCGGAAACACAGCTATTGCTTGGTACACTAATTTGGTTGTTTTTGTCTGAGGTTCATCAATCATCATGCTTTGTAAGTCGTATTTTTTAGTAACAGTACTTCTAGCAGAACATGATGATGATAATATTGTAAAAAACACTTACTTCTAGTCGGACACGAGGGCCACCATTTTTATGATGTAACAAAAGCATGCAGCTAGCGCTACGTAACTCTCAAGGCTTTGTCCGTGTATATCACCTTTTCGTTATTTGTCGTGAACAATCAATATCAACGTAAAACGATTGAAATTGATGCATGGGAACTCTTCTTCTATCTCTGTTATCTATCCTGTATACTACGCCTAGGAAAATGTTCGCAACCTCCTGCTTCCTTGTTGCCGCTGTAATTGTACTACTCTTCTCCTAATTAAAAAAGTCCTCCCCGCGCCCGCCACACGCATAAAAATCAACGTTTCGAACTGCCTAGAGGATCATTACGACCTCGATTCCCTCAACAAACGATATTCGTCCATACAACAACTGCCTATTATACCATTGAATAAATTCAGAACTAAACACCTTTCCACTACAGCACAGTAACCACCTATAAGCTTTTTCTTGGTAAAAAATCCAACTATCGTTGTAATCATCGATCGATTTCCAAGTCAGTTTCTTATCTCCTTCTTCGTCTTTGCTCTCAGCATCTCTCGGGAAAAATAAGGATGTTGAACGTTGGTTTATCCATTTTTTATGAGTTTACGTTGGTTTACAGTCAGGAGAGTTAGTTACTAGTATTAGACTGAATAGATGAGTTGTCGCAGCCAGTCGCGTCGTCGTATATTTTGATAGATATAGCAGAACCACAACTAAATTATAGCTTCTATGACAGACGGGGCTATAATAAGGACAATAAATAAGCACATTTTTCGATGTCTTTCCACATCAGAAACCATTCCATTAAAACGTACACGCTCTTGTAACAAATAAGAGTTGTCTTCAAGAACAAACGGTACAGGATTATGGTGCGTGGACCCGGTGAAGAGGATTCCTGTAGAACAAGAAGATCTTGAGTGACGTGTGTTCTATGACGACTCCGCCATGATAGCATTGACTGAGAGAAGATGAGAGCTCTAGTACTAAAACAAGGACATAATTGAGATGTTTGAAGTTAGAGGAACATAAAGATAATAATATGTAGTTAAAGGTGCGTAGATTCGGACCACCGCGTATCGCCACTTGAAGATTGATTGATTGCGTAGGCGACAATAAAACTTATGAATGCTTCACTACAGTTTCACCTATCAACTACTCAACATTGACAGCTTGTCTCTTTCATGTTCTTCATGATATCCCATGCACCTACAACCACAATTTCACAATTTCTATTCAATTTTTCATCCTCCACTTTTTTTACTTAGAAGATAGATTTGAATTCTAAATTCTCTCTGACTCCGACTCGAAGAGATACAATGTCTTCCACCAAACCACGTTCCGTCTCCCAAAGCCGCACAGTGGAGGACTTGCGCCGCTGCGTAGCTACTCTTTGGACCAGAGATCTCGTCGCACCTTCGTCCAAAAAGGCTTCAAAGGGTCGAGATACAACACATCAAAATGCAAGTTCCTCTACAGGACCGAGCACTTCATCAGAAGTAACCCTCGACGGCGAATCTCTAACCTTGGAGCAACTGTTACTCCTAGGTGAGCCAAGCACGAAAATTTTGGTGTCGCAAGACGCGGTTGATCGGATGCGACGGTCGAGGAAAGTCATCACGGATAGCATGGACAGTAAACGGGTGGTGTATGGCATTAACACTGGTTTTGGTCGATTATCGAGTAAAGTGGTAGATTTGACGCAACTAGCTGAACTGCAGGTAAACCTGATCAGATCGCATGCAACGGGCGTTGGAGCAGCAATACCGAACAACCAAGCCAAGAGAGTGATGGCCTTGCGAATCAACACGTTGCTGAAAGGCTGTTCTGGGGTGTCAGAGGATACGTTTACAAAACTGGTACTTACCTCCTTTGTACTTTAATACAAGTCCTCCAGCTAATCCCATTCCCTCCAACCAACTTCCTCTCGTTTTAATCCATGGCTTTTAGAGCAAGGCTTAGCTTACTCTGCGACCTACAATCTAGTCCTCTCATCATTAATAAGTGCAACTTTGGACAGAGGTCTACAAACATTATCATGTCTAGTCTTGTAGTACTAGTACAACTACCGTGGTAATATGATCTGTCCATCTTTTTATAGATAAAAACTATATCTACCGAATTATCCCAGCACTAAAAAACCCTCCACGACACACCAGGTAGCCTTTTTCAACAGTGGCTTGATCCCTTACGTTCGCGCACAAGGAACCGTCGGCGCAAGTGGCGACTTAGTCCCACTAGCTCATATCGCCCTGAATGTGATCGGCGAAGGACAGTGTTATTCGCCCAAAATACAATCTTTCGTGCCCGTAACAGACGCACTCCTCCGCGAATACAACCTGACTCGCGCCACATTGCAAGCTAAAGACGGCTTAGCCCTGATCAACGGAACGCAATTTATCTGCGGCGTAGGTGCAGAGGCGGTTGGGAATGCCGTGCGAGTCCTGCAAGCATCGCACATCGCTGCAGCAGTCACTCTCACCGCCTTACAGGGACATCCAGAGGCATACGACGCTCAAATCCATTCAGTGCGTGGCCATCCAGGTCAAATCGCCTCAGCAGCGTTGATGCGAGCTTTCTTGCCGCCAGGCTGCATCAAGGATCCTAACCGGTTTGATTGTCAAGACCCCTACAGTCTCCGCTGTCTGCCTCAAGTGCATGGGCCAGTGGTTGAGAACGTGGAAAGAATAAAACGAGAATTAGAGATCGAAATAAACGCTGCAACGGATAATCCGTTGGTATAGGACTACTATATATGGTCTTGTTATGCTTTTTGTGATAGAAAATTATCAATGCTCGACGTAGTTTGGTTTTGATAAACGAACAACTAGATCGATAATATTAACCGATCGCACGACACTGATACAGATACACGACCCTCACCTAACAAGAACGACACACTCACTCTTCCATTCAGATCTTCGGCGATACGCAGCGGATGATATCGGGTGGAAACTTTCATGCGGAATATGTTGCGAAGGCACTGGATTGTTTGGCAATTTATGTGCACGAACTATCCTCTATCTCGTATTCCCGTTTGATGCGAGTTCTGAACCCACACAAGAACAACGACAGCCTTCCGACGTTTCTGATTCGGAGTGCCGGTCTTAGCTCTGGGTTCATGACCTGGGAAAACGTGTCCGCAAGCTTAGTGTCGGAGAACAAGGTAAGACGACTTACAATTTCTATTCTTGCATCAAGTTGGCCTAGAAGTGATGAAGATCAGAGTAGAGATAGAGTAGAGATAGATGTTGTAGAGTACGATCATTTTTAGCTTCCTTGACAAGGTGGAATAGACAAGTTGTTTATTTCCTCCAGGACCGACTTCCCCAGGTCCTCTGCCATCCGTCGTCAGTCGACTCCCTTTCTACCTGTGCAGACAAGGAGGACCACGTGAGTATGGGAGGAATGAGTGCGAGAAAAGCAGTGCAAGTCTCTGAGAATGTGGCGAAATGCATCACGATAGAACTGATGGCTGGCATTCAAGCCCTGTATTTGCTGACGGACGGCGAAGGAGGTTATGAATAATGGATCGAAGTGAGTACTTGATTAGAGTGTCCACGAACTTCAAAGTACTTAGGTGCATTTACATACTATCTACAATGATCATCATGAAGTTGTTATCAAAAAGAAAAACAAAATTATCTTCTGAACATCAACATCTTCTTCTTTTTATCCACCCCTCTAACACCCAAGCCCAATCAGACTTCCACCGATGGTCCAATGCGTTTTCGAGTTTTGCAAACCGGATTTCGCGAAGTTAGAGAGCGATCGCTATTTGGTACCGGAGTTCGATCGTCTGTATCAGAAGGTGATATCCGGAGAGCTTTTCGACCATATCGCTCCGATGCTGCCATCGCAGAGCGATGCTGAGGAAGGAACTGGCGTAGGTGCTGCTGGAGGAAAGCAGGCTAAACTTTAGCGAAGAAACTCTAGATCTAGATGAACTCGAACTTGTGAATCAATTTTTGTATTTGTCGTGCAGAAGAAGAAGATGGAGCCTATTGATTTTTTGATAACATGAAGATCAACATAGAGGACGTTCATGAACAAGTTGCTCATCCTATAGTCGTACATAGTCAAAAAATACGCAATTTGCATAGCGTTTGTGTACAAAAGTGTTAATGACAAGTCAGTTAAATATGAGGTACTTACTGGTGCTTTGTAAAGGACATATCGCTAACGCTATCGCGTAGGTACAACTTATTTTTATATTTTTCTATCATCTTGATCTTCATCAAGAACTACAGATGTTGAGCAGATATTGAGGTTTTGGTGCAGAGCTTGTGCTCTTTCTTTTGAAAAGTTGTGTACAGGTAATTTTTGTTAGTTTTTGAGTTTTTGAAATAGCACCTATTGATTGCTGCTACCATTCTCGTGCAAGTACTTCAACATATTAGAGTGAGATAGCAACTTCTTAGCCGAGCAACGGAAAAGAGTATACAGGAATGATATGATAGCTGATTTATTTGAACAGTGTGATCGCTCAGAAATGCAGATGTTGTAAAATCCTATCACTGAAGTTAATAGCTTTCGAAGCTCAACGAACGCTAACTTTTAACAAAAACCTGAATTCGCTACCACTTATTTAGAAAGATCATGATTGAATAATCTACTACTTCTACTTGTACAAGAACATCAACGAACTACTCACTCATACTCATTTCTGAGTGGTTTTTTTAGGAACCCCATCCCCAAGCGGAACCTTATGGCTGTCCTGAGTGGTTTTCCTTGTGTCATTTTAATGCAAATAGCAAGAACTCGTCTGGGAAATCTTAGGCAGCTCGCCGAATAGATTCAATTCATCAGCAAGACAACGCACCCAATACTAGAACAAACGCAATCATTACCAACACGACACTTTTTCAACAAGAAGTTGTTCGAAGAGTTACCCAGCCATTCAAGAGGCGCGCATGCGCACTTCCTCAGTTTCTGTGCCACTTCTTGTTTCCGAATTCCAACAGCGCATCAAGATCAACATGATCAGAATGCAGCGTTCTTTCAAACATTTGCTCCTGCGGCCTCAGGCCAGAAGAGCCACGGGACGATGCCTCAGGGCGTGTACAACTACGAGACTGGTGCAACGCTTCTCCTCGTCTGCCTCAGCTCCACAAGCTCACGCGAAGATCAATGAGTCCCTTTTTCCACCAAGAGACCTAGGTGGCGACATCCCACCTTCACATGAAGGAGCATCTTCTGGAGAAGTAGCTACGGATGCACGCCCACCTCCATCATCTTCATCTGGTGTAGCCACACCTCGCCTAACCGAGGAACAGTTGAAGGGAAAATCAAAGAAGTTAAAGAGATTTTACGAAACGGTGACAGCCAAGAAAGCAGAAGTCGCAGACCACGAGTCGCAGGGTGCGGGCGAAAGTCATCAACTCCTCTTAGACGACAAAGTTCTGAAATCTCCTGACCAAAATCCTCTCCGGATTCCCTCCCAGATAGTCGCCGATCTAGTCCGCAACGAATGGGACGCTCAAAAGGATTTGATTGATGCAGAGAAGATGCCTATTCACACGTTGCTGTGCACAGCGGTCGATCAAATGTGGAGTGCGGAACAAAGGAAAGACGAAATCCAGCGTCAATTGTTGAAATTCTTAGAGACAGATACACTGTGCTTTGTGGGAACGAGCAGTACGAATACGCCGGAAGCATTGTTAAGATGATGTAAATAGGTACTAAGTCGTACTTCTAAAAAATGTTGTAGACGTGGCTCAACACTTACATAGTTGTACAACAATGTAATATTTATAATTCTCTACTTACAACGAACTAGTTCTTATAATTACTCTTTTGCATCTTCTTCTTCAGATCTACCTAAAAATTCCATTTTTGAAAAATTTCCCTTCTAATTGCTGAAAAAAAGCAAGAAGAGCTGTGGGGCCCAGTTCGGGAGCGCTTTTGCTCATCTTTCGGCGTAGAGCTGAATACCACCGCAGGCTCAGCCTCGTTTTTGCGACTTGAGACCCATCCTGAGGCAACGTTCACGAAAATCCACAAGGTCCTAGAAACTATGTCTCCGTGGCGACTTACCGCAGTGTCACTCGCCACACAACAACTAAAGTCTTTGATTCTGGCCATGGACTTGCTGGTTGGCGGTGAAGGTTCTCGAACGGAATCGAAGAGTGCTCCTTCGGCAGAGAGTGGCGATGAAAAATTAAGGGTAGGTTAAAGGTGCTTTTCTTACCGCTTTTTATGCCTCTCTCCCTTAGGATGAGAAAGGCATAACTACAAGCGGCGTAAGCGAGCACCGAAAACCTACCTCTAAAAAAACATGTTGCACGAGAGCAAGCAGGAGAACGGCTTCATCAGTTTGCAGCAACGATGACACCAAACAAAACTTCTGCTACGATGTCACCAAAAGGCCACATCAGAGCCTCTAGTACCTGTACTACCGCTTCGACCAAGACCGGTGAACTACAAGCCCTTCACGCATCACCAGCGACCACCCACGAAGACCTTTGCGCTGTCAAAAAAGCGATTGATTTGAGTATGCTAGAAGAACAGCATCAGAGAGATTTTTGGGGTAGTGATGACGAAAGTTTCGCACGTGGACGAGCTGAGATGGAAAAATGGATCCTTTCGTGTAGGCTTTTCGCGAAGTATATGCCAGCTTGAACTTCATCAGAATACATGACTGTAGTTGAAGATCTACTTGATCATGTGGTGATGAATAAGAAAGAAAGGACGCATACGCACACTTCTGTTAGTCTTGTGAACAAGTAGTGAAAATTAAGAAAGAACTACACCATGATCCAGTGAAGAATGCTGGTGGATTCTAAAAAATAAAATGATGATTCTCTCTTATGTCCTGTGGTCATGACGTCATTGAAGACGTTTTTGTCGACCGCGTGTTCCACTTTTTACCTGCTTGTCAGGCACGAATTCAAAGCTTTTGTTCGGCAAATGGTGGCGACGAGCGATAATCAAAAAATGATTCGTCCTTTGTGATGATAGAAATCAGGTGAAAGAAATCAACGCTTGCATTCCTGTGACCTCAATTGCAGCTGCGTGTTCCGCTTTATTTTACCACGACTTCTTTTGTTTTCTTTTGCTTACTTTTGGAATTCAAATTTGAATTATCAGCATCAAAGAGAGCAGCTGCACCAGGCCTAGACTTGCCACTGTCAACATTCTTGAATAACATTTTTTTTGTCAGTGGACAAGGTGCATCTCGAGTGTCCTTTCCTTGTTTTTAGTGTTAATACAAGACCTTAATGAAGTTTTGTCCATTTTGATAGACGACTGAACTTACTTAGTAGATTCTATTCTTTGGCTCATTGCAAGCACACTCAACACTAAGAATCCATTTCTTCTGCTAAGAATTTATCTTCTTTCCCACGACTTCATCCCTGCTATACCTTGAGCAGAAAACTAGTCATTTTACCAACACAAGTCTTGAACACGTTATCCTTTCCTTGCCTCTAGCTAAGAGGCACCTCAACTGACACAAGATGAATCCGGAATACGACTATCTGTTTAAGCTTCTCCTGATAGGAGACTCAGGTGTCGGGAAGAGTTGTCTGCTTTTGCGATTTGCCGATGACACCTACACCCAATCTTACATCTCCACGATTGGTGTCGATTTCAAGATCCGAACAATCGATTTGGAAGGCAAGACAGTGAAGCTCCAGATCGTACTTTCTATACTGTCGGCTAAAGCGTCATTATATTGGAATTTGACCCATAGTAGAGATAGAAATAGATCTGCAACATCAAGAATATCAACAAAATCTCAAAAATTTTCGAACATTGACATAATAATTCCTGGAAAACCCATTTGCTTGCTTCGTCCTCACAAAAATCACCCACACTGACTCCTCTCTGCATCAAATTCAAACAAACCAAAACCCAAACAAACAGTGGGACACGGCAGGGCAGGAACGATTCCGCACAATTACTAGCTCATATTATAGAGGAGCACACGGCATTATTATCGTGTACGATGTCACGGATAGGGACAGCTTCGAAAACGTGAAACACTGGATCCAGGAGATCGATAAATATGCGGCAGATGGCGTTAAGAAGTTGCTGGTATGGATTTTTTACGATTTTGAATCGGATTTTTTACGATTTTGACGACGCAAGGATGCGTCATTGGAACAGTAGCATGCTTATAGCATGTCGTAATAGATGTTCAAATACAACTTACTTTGTTTTTCATCACTTTATTTACTTCCTACTAACACCTGCTGCTCTTACAAGAATATTATCTTCGAGGAATCCCCCTCACACTACTGATTCTACTACATCAGGTCGGCAACAAGTGCGATTTGGCCAGTAAAAAAGTTGTGTCCTACGACGAAGCGAAGGAATTAGCAGACTCTTTGGGTATCGGCTTCATGGAAACTAGTGCCAAGAACAGCCATAATGTGGAGCAATCTTTTAGTATGATGGCTGCGGAGATCAAACAAAAAATCGCGACACAGCCCAAATCCCTTGGTGCCGCAGGTGGAGTGCCGCTCGGACCAGGTGGCGTTACACCGGGCAACCCAGTGGGCGGCGGATGCTGCAACTAGAAGGACCACAGGCTTCTGGCACTTGTCTAAGTTCTTGTAGTGGTGTCGAAACATCTAGTTGTAGGCGTAGTCGTGCTGTTACAACTTCCAGTTCCATCTCTTTAGAAGAACCAGAAGTACTAGATCATCAAGTTGTAAGGACGACGAACAGCAGAACTATTACTACCACCGGTCATCAACAAAGTAGAGCACCAAGAGATGCGGGCACGACGAAGTCAGCTACTTAGTATAATTTGCTGTTCTCTCCTCGTATCTACAACATGTATATCAACTATTGTAATTTTTTCTGACAAATTTATTGACAACTACTACAGTACTTTTCCTTGAAGATTCAGATAAGTATTGGTTAATATCATTTCATTTTCATTTGACTTTTCACAATGGCAAACAATCATTAGGACAAGAGAAGTATCTAAATTGGCATCATGATGTAGTACTGTGAACAACGTTGATGAACAGGACGGACAGAGGCCTCTCCACCCTTTGCCTTTGCTCGTGAGTAGGGAATTGCGCCAGCTGATTCGCACGAAAATTAATTAAGTCACAACACAACTACAACTAGTTTTTGTTGATGTTTTTTGATGCAGCAGTCAGTTCGTTGATGTTGAATGTCTGTGATGAAGAGATGAAGCTCCTCAAGACTATGTGCTGACTAGTCGTTCTTTTTTAGCATACCATTCATTGACACGCCACATTGAAGGAGAACAGAGCACATCTACCTCTACCAGAAGATCCTCCTCATCGTTCTCACCGCGTTCAACATCATACTAGATGAAAGAAGTTGTTTCCTTTTTTGACCTAATCACTGACCACCTCATTCCAATGGTAACATGATGTACCTCCTAATATGTTGTGTTATCATTGGGTTTGACCTTCACAAACCCATGTAGTTGACCCCTTTCACGACGACCTCGTTAACTTCGACACACAAAGCATCGCAGGAGCCACAGAGTATGTATGATTATGCATGCTTCTGTCGGCCGAGTTTTCTGTTCATGTTCTGCTAGATCGGGACTACTTTGATGAATAAGTAAATTAAAGTCATTGTAGTTTTGCCTCTTTTTTCCCTCCGTTGGCTAAGACGGTCGTCTTTTGAAGTAGTGCGTGATTTACTACTTCCCGCAACCGCAAAAATGATCAACTACCTTTGATCCGCTTTCGCGACGTGATCTGGATCCGCTCATATAATCTACAAAGATCTCAACCTCTGATCAAGTTGTACCAAGTTCCGGAGACGGGAGGTCATCATGGTCAAATTATAATTATAATTATGTTCCTCTCCTTCCTGTTCCTCGTTGAGGATGAATTGCGCATGTACAACATCTTGTTCGTGGAGGTGGTGGAAAAATGTTGCTCTTCCCGAACGAGTCGAAGAAGTTGTGAAGTTTTGGATGCATGAGCATGATCTTGTTCAATCCATCGCGGCGGGGGTATTTTTATACCAGAATAAACGAGAATATTGAAGATTCACCCGTAGTCGCGGCATTTTTCTAGTGCACAGTCGACAACTTGAACTGCATGAAAGCACTCGCAGCTGACACCAGATTGATATAAAAAAGTAAGCTATCAACAATCACCACCTCCGCCAACAGGTTCTTAAATTTTTTAGTACCCCTAGTACATGCAATTTATTTTTATCACTTTGCTTTGGTATTATTAAGTTACGCTGTTTTCATCTTGTTCTTGTAGAGTGAGATGAATCGTGAGGTTGACGAGTAAGTTTTATTCCCTTTTGAGGAATTTTTACAGCATCGCTTTGACTTTGTGTGCCTTTACTCCTTGGCTGTTCAGGATTCTTCCAACATATTATTAAAAAGGACGACACTTTACTAGATTAGCAATAGCAATAGCTGATAGAATGAGTGCTCATTTCGAGGGACAACAGGCGCAGGTAGCGACAGTGCGACCACCTTCGTTCTCCATATGGAGCATTGGCCAGGGCTGGGAAGGGACTCCTGCAGATTGGACAGACTACATCTTTCTGACCTTGGGCTTGTTTTCTCTCATCTTTTACTTGCATCAGCGAAATCCCAGTTACCTAGGAGACGGTGTTGAATTGAACGAATTGCCTGAAGGATCTACGGCAGCTGAAGAAGGGCAAGACGCAGAAGGAGAAACTGAAGGTAGTAGCAGTCGTGGTAATAAGACAGGTGGAGGAAAGGACAAGAAGGAGGTGGAAAGTGAAACGAAAAAGAAAGCTTGAAGACGCAGTTGTTTGATCCTCCTATGAAGACGTTCCCTGCAACTGCTTATGAAGACATTTGTTGACGTCGCTTCAACCTTTTAGATCTCGCTGTGTGTTTTACAGAGCTGTTGCTTCGAGTCGCGGGCGAAGGCGAAAACCCCAAAGTTTTTAACAAAAAGTTGAATGGTCTTACGCATACGCAAAAAAAAAAAAAATGATAAGAAAAATGAAGGACGATATCCGGGACACACACATGAGGACATTATAAAAAGAAAAAAAGAAGTTTAAGCCGACTACATGCATCAAAAGAGCAGATTGCACATCTACTTAAAAAGTTCAAATTGAAAGTAGCCACAAGGGTCACCACGTGTGAAGATCGTTTATGATCTATCTTCAATAACTTCTAGAGCTGGAGGAGGGAGAAAGAAAACAGAATGGGGACCCCTGACGAAGGCGAGCTTTTTGCAACGAAGGAGGCTGGGCCACGGTCATCTCCTTCAGCCTCTGCTGGAGCAGACGAGAAGCCGACGCAAACAGTTTCTTCTGCAGATGGAAGAGGAAGCACAACTGCTACTGCAGCATCTTCGAATCCTCAAGGCGCAAAGAAGTCCACAAACCCGTTTTCACCAAGACCCTCCCCTCCTGCGGTCAGCCGTCTCGAAGTTGATACCGATGCGACCTCTGGTAACATACAAGCACCTCCATTACCTGAGCAAGCTCAACCTACGTCCCCTTCTTCGACATCAAGTGTTGCATCCATCCTCAAGACCGGACTTATCTCTTGCTCGCAGCAGATCTCCCAGATGATGAATCAAGGCACGACAAACGCTCCTGTGTTTTCCCCGACATCCAGGTCGCGATTTTCCCTCAACAGTACGACTACATCAACGTCTAGTACGTCGACTACAGCCACAAAAATAAATATGTCTACCGCATCAACATCAACTACAACAACAACCACGACTGGAGATGTGAGTAGAGTGTCAGCTCCAGGACCACCTAGTACAAATCCGTTTACATCAGCATCAATATCGGGACCTACAAGAAATAACACAACCTCCTCCACTAAAGTGGAAGAAGGTCGTGCACACGTCGGAGGTAGAAAAAAAATAATGGGTGAAGGTGAAGGATTTAATTTTAACCTCCCTCAGTTCGGGACTAGTCCGTCAGACGATGTTGCCTCACCTCCTACGAGACCTGCACGAGAACAATCGCGCTTTATTGTGCAACACCCACCTCGTGACGCGTCAACTGCAACCTGGAGCGATACTTCGGATGAGCAACAAACTGCAAAGATCAACGCTACAACCATGATCAATGAGAATAGAAGCAAACTACTTGGAGAACCTACTCCAGCTTCTGCTTCTTCAGCATCAGCTGTTCCACCTGTAGCTCCGCCAGCTTTTGGTTCAAAGAAGTCTGAAACTGTTAACATCCGCAGTAACCCTTTTCTGCAAGCCGATGCAAAAGCAAAACAAGCTACAAGTACAACAGGAACAGGAGTTGCAAATACAGGAGGATCATCTCCCTCTAGTACGAATGTGCAGCCTTCTGCTTCGGGAATGCCTTCTTCATCTTCTTCAGGAGGCGGAAAAGGATTTGGAGTACTTCTAGCTACCTCCGCGACGACCTCTATTAAGGCTAGAGGAAATCCATCCTCACAGGCATCATCTTGGTCCCGTTTCTCAAGGGAAAAAAAACGGAAGATGCCGCTCAAAATGGGGGATTTCTTCTAGCTCTAACTCTACTACATCTTCTTCAAGTACAAGTACAATAAAAAATAAACCGGTGCCGAAAAATGCTGGTACCGGACGTAAGTTGGGGAAGTTGAATCAGTTTGACTTTATTCGGAAAGCCGAAATGGACATGCAGACGAGGCCAGCGAATTGGCGAGCGGAGAAGAACAAGACTTTGATACCTATGAGCGAGGTGGCGAAGCATAATAAGAGGCACGATGCGTGGATGGTCTTGGGCGGGAACGTCTATGACGTCACGAGTTACATGGCCTATCACCCAGGAGGAAAAAGCGAATTGATGAGAGGTACTAATACTCATCATACATAAATAATTAAATACTAGTATTAAATACTACTATTAAATACTCATCATGTACTACATGTCTGAGAACAACTACGTTGTTTTTGATCGTCGATCTGATCGAGTAGAACCGACTAGAATCCTAACATCAACAATTACACTGACAGGTACTTTCTTGTTGAATCATTGATTCTTCCATAGTTGCAGATTCACCACGCTCACAGCCACAGTCACCTCCTCACTCATCATCAGGTATAGGCACAGACGCTACCCAAATCTACAACGATGCGCACGCATGGGTTTCGTGGGATGGTATTTTGAAGTCCGAATTCCTCGGAAAAGTAAGCTACAATGCCTTCGACAACGCGGCTGCCACATCAACAAATATGGGAGGTCCAGTAAATCTTACTGGACTACCAGACAGCTGGTCTTCTTCAAATGCTTTGCAGCCACCTCCAGGCAAGGAAGGACGGATGGATAAAAGTGGTGGCAAAGGAGGGTTAATGGATAAAAGTGGTGGCAAAGGAGCAGGAGCAGGAGGCGTAATTCTAGATTCTAATTCTGGAAGAACAAGTGCTGGAACAAAAGGAGGAGATGTTCCAGTATCTGGAGCTGCGCGAAACTCTATAGGCAGTGGAAGGAAGTTACTCGTACCCCCTGGTGGTGCACCCTCATCTGGTCCTCCAAAGTGAGCGACACTTCAGATACTACCCCATATCAAAACAGACTTGTTGTCAGTGTACTACACTTTCCCTGGGTGGCCCCCTTTAACTGTTTTTCGCGTCAATGCTCTTGTCGTGCATAGATGAAGCATCAAAAACCGCAAGGCAATTTTTCAAAGCATTTTTGATCAAATCAATGTTACAATTAACAGTACTTTACTACTAGCCGAAAGTAGTGCACAGAGGTACCATGACATGACATGACAGAGCGTTTGTTCTTAAAGATGATGATGATGATGATGATGATGATGATTTTCCCTGACGATGGCACACGACTTTCTATTCGCCGAAGGTGACTGCAGATGTCAATTGGAAGTTAAACGACACAGGTCAAATCGATGTATCGACGCAAATTCATCCCAGCAGTGGAGGTCTACGGCGTGTCGGTCAGTGCCCACTGTGCCATCTCTGGGGGCCTAAGTATGAAGACGCCAACTTGTGCAAGCGCTGGCTGAGGCTAACGCCTGCCTCAATCTTCCTTCTGTGCACTTGGCAAAGTCGGTTTTGAAACCAACCAATTCTGTGCCGAAGATTGCAACTGGTGAAAGCTGTAGATGATAACTTTTAAGCCTATGTAACGAACCTCGCTTTCATACTGCACTTAATAATGTAACTGATGTGCTTTTTCACTTTCTTTTGTTCGCCCACCCGCTGTCTTTCGATTTTTTACAAACTTGCGAAAAAAGTCTCCAGGTGTGTATAAAGCTATGAAAAATGGGATTCGAGGATAAGCTAAATTGACCTGGATCACCGGTGGGAACAACGTAGAATGTAGACTGACATCACTCTTAATCTTCATGATGTCTTTTTTTTGTCCTTGACCTAGGTGAAAAAGAAAATGGACGATCCAATCGCAGAGCTAAGATCCGGACAGAAGTGTCCAAATTGTTGGATGCAGACTGAGCCCTACCACACTGCATGGAATTGTCCGCATCCACAGGTTGACGTGGAGACGCGCTTTAAGCGTTTGATCGCTGCGCAACCTAAACTATTCAGAGTGTGGCGGAGACAGTATCTGGAGTTGCAGGAAGAGGCAGACAAAATCTACGGAAAAGAAGATGACGGTAATGTCCGTATTGTGGAGAACTATGGAAGTTCCTCTACATTGTTGGAAAACTTGATTTGCCATCAAGTATCTCCGACTCCAGCATTGCTGTATCTGAAACAAAGATGGGGCAGCACCGACAAGGACAACCGCGACAGGCTCGAGCAGGTAGAGAAATTCCACAACGACATTGCTTCGTACTATTCAGGAGGATCTTCGGAGGCTTCAGATCGCGAGGATGCGCTGGAAGATCCAGCTAATGATGGCAATATTTCTCCTGCGCAGGTCTTAGACCCTCATCATCGTCGAAAAGCCGCGTTTAAAAAAGCACAAACACAAAAGCCCTTCGCCACAGAGAAGGAGCTCTTGGATTACTTTTTGGGAACAGATTTTGGAATCTTCAAGAAGGACAACGATAAGTCGGGGTCGAAAGACGATTCATCTTCATCCTCTGCTACGGGAGATACAACTGACTCCGATTCTACTATGACCGACTCTACTATGACATCTTCAGAGGATGACGCATCAACGGAGGACAATATATCTCTGATAAGGACGCCAGAAACTACCCCTAGTATCTTCAGGAGATCATCCTTATCTTCGTCTCCAAGCCCGATGACCAATATTAAAGATAAAACTGAAGAGAATGTGAATGACAATGAGAAAATAGACCAGAAGATCCAACCCCAGACGGCCTCAACATGGGAGAAGCCTTCTGCGTTTGTCGACCTCCAGGCAATCGTCGACGGCGTGCAGACGGCGCCGCCAGCACAGGAATACAGTTTTGAGGGCAGCAGCACATTGAAAATAGCTCCTCTACCGTCAAATCTCGACTCGATCGACGCTGATGATCCTGTAGCAGCGGAAGACTCGAGGAGAGAATGGTACGCCAACCTCAGTAGTGGAACATCTTCAGGTTTTGGTGCGCAACCAGACCCAGAGTCCCTGCTCAATAAAGAAAGATTAGCGTTTTTACGCGAGGATGATGATGCAATGACAAAGTTTAGAAGTGCTGCGTGTCAGGGAACAGGGACGAGGGGCACTTCCACAGAAGCCAAAGAGGGGGATGTGAAATTGAAAAAGATACCCGAAGCGCAACCACATCACGCAGCTTCCAAACCAAAGCCTGCGAAAAATGCGGCTGGGAAACTATCCCTAATGCGCGATCGAGAACAAGAAGCCGACAAAACTACGAGCAGAAAGCGATCTTCGAAAAAGGCAAAGGGCAAGAATAAACGTAGAAGAAGGAGTCGAAAGATTAAACAGGAAGCTTCTCAAGTCAAAGAGTGCTCAAAAAAACAAGAATGTTCGAAAAAGCCTGGTAAGAAGCAGAAGAGCACAGGTGCTGCACAAGAAACGACCTGTACCGAAATGGAGGTGTACGACTGGAAAAAGCGTTTTGAGTATACCTTCCCTGGACACGAGGCGCTTGATGGCTTACCCGATCGTGATTTGCGTGAGTACTTCGGTACGAAGCTTCTCAAGAGGTGGCGAAGAAGAGAGCGGGAGAAGGAGCTCGATCGGTATTTGATTGAAGGACGCTATGGCAGTAAAGGTCCGATGATTTACGGATGCAATCCGTTTCTTCGGACAGCGTCGTGGATGCATTTTCTGCAGTCGTTTGAGGAGTGCTATTGTCACAAATTTTGTAGTCACTACGACCCGTCTTTGCCGAACGTTGGCCATTTCACCGCAGACTGCCTCGCCCAACCGCGATGGTGCGGCGCTCAAGGACTCATGCTTAGTCGCGGTCACGCAGTGACACCCTGGGTTGGACCGTACACCCCCACGATCAGCAACGCGGAAGAGTCTGCGCTTACATTAAGGCTAATTTTTTTATCTGCGGAATCTGAATGAATCTCAACTACTTCATCTAGATGTTTGTTAGTTGTTCCACCTCGAGGACTTTATGTATGAGGGGTTAATTGTAGTTATTTAAAAGTTTAATTCTTATCTGCTCATGATGTAGACTAGAAGTATGTTGCTGAAGAAGAGTGAAGAGAAGAGCCGCCCCTAGAGCAGAAACTGACGGGGAAAAGGGGAACTCACTCAAGCACGCACCAGTAAAAAACCACCCCTAATTACCACTGAATTCGCACGTGAGGTGTTGCAGAAACGGCGAGTGCTCAAAATGCACGCGTTGAAGGACCTTGAGTATGACGGGAAAGAGTGTACTCATTGCACTCGTCAAGAAAACAGGCAGCTTCCTACTTACAGCGTGCCTATTTTCGTGAGGTGGATGAGTACTACACTTTTATTTCCTTTTCCCTGCTTCATATTGAGCGCGAAGGCTTTATTCTTCGATGTCCAGAATACCCGGAGCTGCGTGGCCGTCTGATCAAGGAAAGCCCCTACTTTTCGCGGTATGACTGGACACGCGGAGAAAACGAAGATGGACAGTTTGTCACAGTGCAACTCCTAGAAGTTCGCGGCGAAGCAGAGCGCTTCTTCTTCCATGACAAGTTCCTAGTGTTGAGAAGGAAGGACGTTTTTCTCGGCCCTAGGGAACGAAAATTCGCTTTGTCAACACTTGAGCTCGCAACCCGGCTCATGTGGGAAGACAAGGCAAACTTGACGCCAGAAGAACTCGAATATTACATCCTATCAAAACAGATGAAGGACCAGGACAAGAAGAAAGGTGGCGAAAAGGATGACTCAACAGAAGGAGATGCTGAGCAAGAGGGCGATGAAGATGATCACGAAGAAGAAGAAGGAGCAGCGGATGATGAAAACGAGGACACCAAAAGTAACACAAGAAGGGCTTGCGCTGTAGTTGTACAACGATCTTCCAGTGGAGATGACGTAGTTGACGATGAGTCACACAACAACTCCTTCATCTCTAATGAAGAGCAGGACTACAACCACAGCGAACAAGATGAACAAGACGACTCTTATTCAGATGACGAGGCAACATACGATAGCGAAGATGAGGAGAGTCTACTTGAAGAACGAGACTCAGAAGATGACTTGTCGGAAAGGGAGGACTATGACGTTGAAGATTCTGAGGGGCGTGACGAAGATGACGACCAGAAAAATGACAATGAAGATGTTCGCGACAACCATGATCATGATCTTCTTGATGTTGGAGGTGGTGAAGATCACACCAGTTGTACGAGTTCATCATCTGAAGAGGGGTATCGGCATGATAGTATCTTAAACAGTAGTCTGGAAGAAGTAGAAGACTATCATCGACATCAGCGTGATCGTGATGTGAATCTCAGTGCTGCCATGCGCAGTCCTGCTTCTACTTCTCACATGGAGCTGGGAGAAGGAGAAGAAGGAAAGGATCAAGACGCTCCTGCAGCAGAAGAACAAGAACATTTAGATGAAGAGCAACTCTTGCAGCTCTATGAGGCGGCAGAGGAGGCTCTTCGTCAGTGTCGCAAGGTACATAGATTAGATCGCAGTAAGAGAAGGAAACATACTAGACCACCAGTGCGGAGAAAGCTTCCTAAAGGCTGGGTGGTGCGGGAAGGGTTTCAGAAGTATACTACCGAAGACCAGTGGGAACTGGCATGGAACCCAGCTGACAGACAGTGGGACCGAGACGCGGGACGATTTAGATATCGGAGCAAAAGCGCAATAGAAACCATACTGCCGCTCAGGCAGCTTCGGCTTAAAAGTGCTGCATACACCGCCACAGTGGTTGGAGATGGGAGAGGCCTGGGTGAAGATGTTGGTGGCGCTTCTTCGTCCTCTAGAAGTAGGTCTAGACTGAGAGCGAGAGGCACTACTAGCACTAGCAGAGGTCGTCCTGGTTCCCTGCATCCCCTGCCTCCTCAAGGAAAACGGAAGATGCGCAGCAATTCGCACTTCGGGTTTCGTAAGCCGAAGATGCCCAAGTATCAATATCATCTTGATGAAGACAGGCCATTCTTTCATCCGTATCCCATCGAATTCTCGCGAGAGATGTTTCCTGTGAACATGTTGTGCGCCAACTGTGGATCCTGCAGTCATAGTGCGCGCGACTGTCTCTATACACATTTACGGCGGCTGTCAACGACAAATTCGAGTTCCAATATGGATATCGATAATAGTACTCCGAATCGCCACATGATTCTATCTAGAATTTCAATTTAATCTTTAGCGTTCCTCTAACATGAACATCTTCTAACCTCAACCTCACATGAGGGCCAAATGCCGTTTTCAATTTTTGCTTTCATCTTCTTCTAACCTCACATGAGGGCCAAATGCCCTTCTGGCGGGCTCACAAGATCTGTCGTGTCCTCGACGGGTCCTTCTCGCAGACGTATTATCTGTGGGGCAGTGCTGCCTGTGCGGGGTCCTATCTGAAACCGGAACGCGAAGCTGTCCAAGATTACATGTTCAAACCGGAAGACGAGCTTGGTCGTGAATTTTTTGGGGACGATCTTCCCGGTTGTTCGTCTGGGAACAGTGACATGGAGGACAATCATATGGCAACTGGTGATGGAGTGCGAGCGCTTGTTGTAGTCAATTATAATAATGAAAATGATAGTCACTGTCACGGAGAACTAGAGGAACAGCAAGCTGGACGACGAGGTGGAGACTTTATTTATCAGGATACTACAGGTAGCAAAATGCACCCTTTTCCGGACGTGAACAAATTTCCTTTGCACCAGCGAGCGGGATTTCGACAATTCAGTTACCTGAGACTCCGCGATGAAGATTAAGGCTTGCATTCGTATTTTGACCCCTGTAATGAAAGGTTCTTTCAGTTTCAGATCATGCACTAGTTGAATAGACGTCGATAGAGTCCTCTACTAGCTATTCTATTAACAAGACATCTGCTCGTACTTCTGGTTTCGCTCTCGTCTAAAATGGCGTCCCCGAGAGGGTAGACCTTGCTATCGACGACGCAAAGGAGGTTCGTCTGGCAAATAAACGGGCTTATCTGGTTGATAATCCAGAGGAAGACCATCAAAAAAAACGAACAGAACTTGGGATTGGGTATAGGGGCGCTAAGAGATCCGAATCCGATGATCATAAGGATGGTGGTGGTAAGGATGGTGCTCGTGCTGGCGGTGGTGGTGTTGGTGGTGGCGCGTCTAACGCTAAAGATAAAGGAGTCGAGGCTCAGCAGGCAAATGCTGAGGGTATAATGAAGAGACCAAAAAATAAAGGTGATCATGGAGATGAAGAAGGTGATGACGATGAAGTTTGGAATCCAATTCCAAATGACGATCTACTTGCTCTTGCGGATGACGGAGACAATACTGATCGAGGTGAAGATGCTGAACAAGAGGGTGGCTTTAATGAAATAAGCGCTAACGATGACCGAGACAGTGACGCTGACGAACTCGATAACAGCTTCAACACCACGTCTGATGACACTGGTGGAACAGGACCGTCTTCAACGAAACCAATTATGGGTACTACTTACCGTCAACCTATCTTTTACATTTGGTCTTTTAGTCAATGCCTTCCAAAAGATGCTGATGTTCTCTCTCAGAGATGAAGATGGGTTGCCGGTTGTACCTCTATTAAACGAGCAAAGAAAAAAGACGAAGCGGGCAAAGGAAAAGGCAAGGGAAAAGGCAACGGAAAGGGAATGGCGGGAAAGAAAAATAAGAAAGACCCTATAAATCTTAATCTTGCGAAGGCGTTTCAGGCTCCCCATAGTGACGCTGAAGACGAACCCAGTAAGATAAGGATGCGCAGGAAGAAGTTGGCAAATATGGAGGAGCAAGAGTTAAGGATCAAGAATACAATTCATTTTTACACGTCATTTCTTTTTCTACTGCCTGTTAATTCCTTCCTAGGATCATTGGGAGAAATGAAGGGAAGAACAAATGAATTGCTTTGCGCTCCTCTAACAGAGCGTGTCGATCGCATCAACTCATTGGCAAGGCAGAAGCGCAAAGAGCTTCTGAAAGCAACAGACGACAACTTGTTTGTTTGGTATGAGACGTACCTAGACACGTTCTTAGAAAACCCACACGTTCGTCCTGTCCAAGACCTTGTGTTAAGGGTTGGAAGTTGACCTCTCGATCTCTATGGGCATCTCTCTGGCTTCCTCAAGTAGGAACGCCATACACATGCGAGGCAGAGTGGTCGACTTTCAACCCCTAATGGTGCACGAAGCCGTGGATGTCGACTTGTGGAAGGCTGTGCAAAAGCACGCGGGACTACCAAAAGACCTAGTCAGGGTCGACCCTAGGACTCAAAGTTAAGACCCCTTCAGGTATAATCCATCTCTAGAAGCATCTTAGGACCTTCCTCTATGGGAAGCATCTTGGGACCTTCTCTAGGGGCTTCAGGTCATCCGTCTCCTCTATGGGAAAAACAAGCCGAGGATGGCTTTCAAGATGGATTCCCGGAGGGTGGTCTAACAAAAACTGAGACAAATTCGTCATGATAGTGATGCTGCAGATGACCTGGACGAGGACTCGGATCATAATTTTGAAGATGATGGCGCGTTATCGTGGAGTCAGATAGAAAACATTACTGCAGAACATCAACATGGCTCTTCAGGTTCAACATCGGGGTCTGGCTCCTCTGGTGGCAAAGCTATAGAAGATCTTGGGCCTCCCCAAATAGCACAAGTAGCACAACGACTTCCACCACGACGCCGCAAGGGCCGTCGGGCTGCTTTCGATGCTAGCGACGACGCCAGCTCAGACTCAGACGAGGATATTGATAGCAGTTCAAAGTCTGCGGTCTACTCAGCATCTTCTTCCTCCAGTGGTGAACTCTATGATAAAAACAACAAACCTAAAGGTCGTGAACGTCGAAACGGTGCTGGTGGACTAGGCGGTCGTGGAAAAGAAGCAGATGAGGAAATCTCAGACGAGGATAACGAGTCACTTGGTGCAGAGATGACGAGAGAGCAAAGGGCCTTGAGAACGTCTACGGAACCTTTGCTCTTTCTCCCACGAATTACCCGAGATTTGGAACGCAAAAATAATCATCACACGCAGATCGAACGAGCGCTACCACAGGAGACATGCATTTAGGCAAAAAATCATCAACATGATCATGACACACATTCCAGAATCTTCTTGTTTCCGTCCTTCACTTACTCCACGACGTCCTTCTAGGTTTTAGCTACTCATCCTTGTTCTCGTTGATGTTGGTCTGGTAGAGAGATTTTTGGGTAAGAATGACTTTCGAGGATATGGCGCTAATGTTTGACCGAGAGACTGCGAAAGGAAATCGCGGCGTTGGTTTTAAGTCAAAAAACGAATGCATCCGTTGAAGCCAACGTAGTACGTGCGGGGGGTCAGCTATGCAAGTTCGACGAGCAATTGCGAGCACGTGAGAATCCTGCAACTGACGATTATGATAAAGGGAGTCAACACCATACGTCCTCTAGAGAGCAGGCAGATCAAGGTGGAAGCGACGATGTATCACCAAAAATCGATGACAAAAAGAACAAGCTACTTATCTCTGCTTCTCTGCCAGATAGATGGATTACTCATCCTCTTAACGGCAGCATTTCTTTAGACCTGGCTATGCGCAGAGCCTTGGCTGCTGTGCGCGATGACGATGGCAAGGTTCTACCAAGAGCAAGAGAGACTAAGACAACCGTGATGATGAAAAGCACTGGAGATTTTCTCAGTAGAGGTGACGACCACAGGGACAGTCATCACAGGGACAGTCATCGTCAAGAGGAACAAAGTAACTCATCTTCTACTTCTTCGTCATCTAGCTCGTCAACTGACGATTCTTCGACGGATTCCTCTGGCGAAAGCGACGAGCTTTCTCACGATGAGGACGACTTAGAAGGGTCGACGAGTCGTGGGGACTCAGAAGGAGATTGGCTGAATAAACAACAGACTAGACAGAAAAATAACAAGCGAACCGAAGACGCAACTAAGAAGGGGGATGCTGTGATCACTAATCTGATGGATAACCTAATGGACGCACTGAATCCTGCAGATATAGAAAGACATGTACGTCGTGAAAAAGAACAAGAGGCTGCGGCAAGAAAGGCTAAAAAAGATGATGGTGGAGGAAAGGGAAATCCACGTAGGAACAAAGCTAAGATGAATCAGCATAATTTGGAGAAACTCCCCAGCATCGAGGCAGCTGCTTTCGATGAAGATGACCCAGAATGGCGTGACACAATTGCTAGACGGCTGTTCCCGGATCCTGAGGACTTTGATGAAAGTAGCATCCCATGCGGAGGAGAAGAAGACCTAATCAGACCACCTTGTCAGCCGTTTCAAGGACCAAATCCACCAGAGATCTTCCTAAAGAGACAGAACAACAAGACGGGCAAAGGGAAGAAGTCTGACTCAAAGAAGCCAGTTGCACAAAGCTGTCACGTTGACTTGGCGCTGTTGTCATCGGAAAATTCTGCCTCTCCTGGACAAGCGCCGCTCCTACCTATCTCCCCGCATGGCATGTTGGGCGAGGGGATACTAGATGATAGTGCGTTTAACCCTCCACCACGAGCCTCTACCTCCAGACCCGAAAAGAAACAGAAACGCACTGAAAAACGTCGAAACAAGCTATCTCCTGATCGTTCTGAGGAGCAAGACGCACCAAAGGAGCTGCGTACTAGTGCAGAAAACGGAAACGCAGAACGACCATCCCGTCGCCCGCGTGAAGCAAGGCATCCGCCGTCACCGCCAGTTGTAGGAGAAAATGAACTAGAAGAGGCCTCTCCAGCAGTTGAACAAGAGCAAGCCCCTCAAGAGCCTCCTGTTACTAGAAGACCACAAGAAGCACCAAAGAAGCGTGTTCTCGTCAGCAGCAAGCGTTCGACACTGCCGCCTCCAGCTTCACCTGAGCCGACCGTTCAGGTCCCCAGTCGTCCTCAACTGCCAACGCGAGTTGTTGGCCGTCCTCAACTGCCAACGCGAGTTGTTGGCCATCGCACCATACACACGCCGCTGCGAGAGCCTTTACACGATTTGAGTTCCGAGGAGGCAGGCCGGTCACCGCCTCTTGGTGCTGCATGTTTGCGTGAGCCTAATTATATTTCGTCCTCCAGAGGATCTATTGCTGAGAATACAAGTCAGGGACGAAGAGGAGGACGCGATAAGAAACGAGTCAAGAACACCACACAGCGCGATCATGTGGTCAGATCTGAAGATAGTGATGACACTTCGAGCAGGCAAGATGCGTCTACTCAGAGGAGCAGGGATGGATCTGCACTAGCTGTAGGGAGACGACTGGCGAAGACTGGAGCTCGATCGACATGTGCAGCTAGAGGACACGGGAAGCATGAGCATAGAGAAGGAGATCAGGGGCAACGTCAATCGCGTCGCCAAGTAGTACGGCGCAACATAGCAACCCCGTCTTCCAGCGAATTCGAAATTGCGCGTCGTGGGCATTCATCATCTTCTAGTGAGGGAGCTAAATGATGGAATCATGATCGCCTACTTCATGTGGGGGTCAGCTAGATATTATATCATGCGCGTGATATTTGTGGAGCAACATCACTTGATCAATTTTTGTCTTTCTTGTCATTTTCCACATCATTACTTCTACACCCAGATTGCCTCTCAATATCTTATACCTTTTTGGCCCTTATTAATGCCATTGATGATGTGAAACTTGTGTAACTCACCGCCGTGAGAATCACAAACAACTACGCGCATTGACTCATCTCAGACAAAGGCAATGCGACACATGTAATGTATTTGATGAGTGGGAAATGTGAGAGAACAAGATGACAGAGATTGGTGAGTTGTCATTCCGCAAAACGAGTCACTAAAATAGGATTTTCCTGAACTGGATTGTGCGCCGATCAATCAAACAAAAGTAGTAGGACCAGGCGGAGTTGTTTCTGTTTGTGATGTGTTTGCTATCCAAGATGCAAAGCATTACAGTTTTTAACAATACCTCCATGTTGAAAGTGAACAACACAAATACTTGACGAACCTCTACTTGAAAAAAGCAATGTCCTCTGACGTGAAGACGCTTTTAAAATTCGGAGGAGAAAGAGCAGTAGTACGAGGGGGATATCACTGCTGCTGTGCCGGATCGATAGTACGAGGTTCTTGATGGACGAGCAGCAAACGTAAAGGAAGGACAGCGAAGCCTGTGCTCCCCAAGTGCCGAACGAGGTCGTGAGTAGATCAGTACCCGACTCGGAATGCCTTTACCACCCTCAGTGCGTAGGCTAGAGGAAGCTGTCTCACAGGTTGAGCGCCTCTCACTGACAACAGCGAAGCCAGGAGACGGCTCGTCAGTTTCGGGTTCTATTATGCTCTTTGGCTTGTAGTTGTGCAAGTAATCTTTCAGTACTTTTACTTTAAGCCTGCCTACAATGATGTCGTTGACTTCGTACCATGATTGATGAGGAAGACCTCTGTCGATGAATGTAGTTTTCAACTATCTGTATCTTCACTACTAGGAAAAGGAAGTATAAGTACGCCGGTCGTGTAGTATCCACCTCTAACCTTCCCGCGGCACGTATGAAGCCAAGAACGGGTGGATCAGGCGAATCCGTGACGTCCGTATCTAGTGCCCGACTTTCAGGCGAAGATGAGTCTTCGCTTATTGCTCGTATCGACGTTCTAGAAAGAGTTACGGTGAATGACTATGACATGTTCTTGATGAGGCTTTATTATTGAACAAGTCTGCTATTAAAGTCTACTAAGTTACCTCAAGTAGAGCAAAAAAGTTATTATTGAACAAGATTTCCATATTGATGATAGATAAGAACGCGATGCGTCGGTGTGCAGTACGGAAGGAAAACATGAACCATGCTGCTCATGTTCTAAGCTGCAAATTGCTTCTAAGTAACTACCACTTACTACAGTTATTTCCTCAAGCTCTCTAAAACGTAACTCGAGGATGCCAAAGACGCCTTATCCTGTACCGAGAGTGCGAGAGCGGACAATGCAGACTTTGGATTCAGGGCACGTTTCATCTGGCTGGTCTTCCTGCTTATTCTGCAGTCAGGCAGCAGTATGATATGGTCCTCCTACACTGCTCTCCTGGACCGTCATCCATCAATTATCTACTTCTCGACTATGCTGATTGGAGCAGGAGGTACTTGTAGTTGGTGTCTCTCGAACCCCTTGATCGTAATGAATTAGAGCACTTCTAGCTCTTTCTTGACCGAATAATACTGATCTGATCCCTCGATCTACTCAGTGCACTCCTCCGGTGAACAGGAACACTCTATCTAGTTGTAACTAGTGCGTTACGCTTACGGTAGTTACCGCTTGTTGCTCTCCATGATGGCATCTTCGTTCTTTTCTTTTCTTTGATCCAAAGATCCAAAGTACCTTTTCCGAATAAGAATAAAAATCGAGACCCTTGGTCTAAAACTGATTCTTTGCGAGTAGCTTTCGAGGTAATCCTCGAAGCTGCAAGTTTTTCTTGGTTCTATAATCCTACAACAGGTAACGCCGGTGGCCAGTCGGTCGTCTACGTTGTCAGACGATTAGCACTGGGCGAGAAGGTGAGCAACTGGAAGCAAACGAAAATAGCTTTCATGCTTGCGGGAGCATTAGCCATTGTCGCCTCTTTGCGGTTTGCTATCCAACATGAAAGCACCTATTCCTGGCCGAGCTATCGAACGAACGCGGCGCTCACAGTAACGGCATTTGCTGTCATTTTGTCAGGGGCTCTCTTGGGTACTGATGAAAGTACTTATTTGCAGCCATTTATTTAACGGAGGCTCTTTTGGGTAAATATCTACTCTTAGCAGAATCCAATTATTCTGGCTACGTTTTACTAAGTCTAAGGTACTGATATAGCTTTTGTTTTGAAATATTTGCTTTATAGACTTGCATCTGAACATCAAGATATTACCTCATCAAGTAGTGCTTCTTATTTGAGATTGAGCCTAACTGCAATCATATCAACTTCAACACTCCTCAAACACTCTCCAATACATCTTAATATTCCAGGTACCGTCTTACCCCAGTTTTTGTACAAGATGCGCATCGATCCGGCACACGCTTCCGCGATGATCCAAGTCCTCATGGACATGCTCGCGCTCGGCATTGTTTGCTATGTCTGCCACGCCCTACTGGGTGATGGCGATGAAGGGCATACATCGTCACTCTTGGTTAAGATGAAGATGATGAAGATTCTTCATTTTCACAGATGAACTTTCTTGGTTTTCTTCTTAGGACACCGAAAAAGATGCACGAACGGCACAAAAGAAATGAATTAAAATGGCGTAGTTTAATTATTGCGAGCACTAACATAGGACATCACGTAGAGACGGGTCACAAGGGAAGCAACTTCGTGTTGTCCTCGTTGCTTCCAACTGAATGGACGAGTGGAATACGAAGTTTTGGGAGGATATTACTAGGCGAGGATACAGGAGCAGGAGGACCAGGACGTCACGCTCACGACCAGCATATTAGCACAACTTCTATGGCAACAGGACATCATCAGACACATCTTCATCAAACTCAGCTAAATGTTGGAGGAGTGGGAGGAATGATCGAAGCTGATGCTGGGAAAAATGCTGGGATGGATCAGAATAATCTTCCGAGTTTTCTAGAACATCAACAAGGTAGTGCTGGTGCTGCTATCATGGCAAATCATCTTGGAGGCGGCGGCGGACATCATGTACAGCAAACGTCGTTCCTTCAAGCCTTGTTGCGGGAGATGCCAGCACAACTGAGCCTATTCCCAGACCCTGAAATGCGGTAGAGAGCGTTCCTTCGTTCTTTTTGTTTCACTTTTGCTCTTCCTTGACTGGGATGAGCAGTATGAATCTAGTAGAGATCAAACTTTCACAAATGAACTTCTTTGAAATTGTAGACACGTCTTTTACTTTTTGAAGATCAATGTGCACATACACATGATACTAGCGTAATATAACACGTGAATGTACTTGTTTATCCTCTCGATATCCCGAGAATACAGCTCCAGACTACAGCTAATGCTTTTTTATCATGTTTGATCCTATTTCTTTTTAGTCATTTTTGTCCGTGGCGACCATGATGCTGATGACGCAAAACACAATATTAGGACTCCAAACACGCACGTAAATAAAGATTCCTGCACTCACTTCACAGTGACAAGAAGATGAAGATTGGAAAAGGACAGAAAATGAAAAACCTACGATTTGCTGTGGTACCTAAGTACTTTTTTTGGTATGAAAACATCCAGAAAGAGGCCCTCGCAAAGGTGAGCGAGGCGTTCTGATACCAGGGCTATTTGATTTCTACCCCAGGAAGAACTTTAAATGGCTGAGACAATACTGATAAAAAACGATGACCCCCAGGCACAACGCAGCACAAAATTAAGACATAGAGAACAGATTACATTTTTTAGAAACAAGATTCGGAGGTTTCTCATCGTAAGTCTGTCTCGCACACTACTCACCCAAAAGCGCACGACATAGAACCTCTCAAGAAACAATTTCTACTCATCCAATCAAAACAAAAAAAAAGCATCACCATCACTACGACCTGTGCTCGTCGGCCCCTCCTGCAGCGCCATTATGAGCGAATCTGGCGGATCGAAAAGCGGTTCGCAGATTGCGAACAACATCAAAGTTTTTCTCCGCCTTCGTCCTACCAGTCGGGCTTTTGTCGGCTTCAACCAGCGCGAAGATGAGGATATTGTCGAGTTCGACCTGGACCGGGGCGATCCTAATGCATTCGTCAATAACAGCAAGGCAAAGCACAAGTTCAAATTTGACGGCATATTCGGGATGGATGCGACGCAAGAAGAAGTGTTCAAGTCGGTGGCAGTGCCCGTAATAACAGATGCGCTGAGCGGGGTGAACGGAACGATATTTGCGTATGGGCAGACAGGGAGCGGAAAAACTTATACGATTTTATGGACTTCTACATGGTGATGCTGGTTTTCAATCTTTTTGATTTTTCAGGCATGCAGATGCGTAAGTACCCATATTTTTTGTAATGTTGTTGCTTGTCTTGTTGATGTAGTTGTAGGAGGGTAGTTCTTGTTGTGCGTACTTTTATTTTCTGTATCCGCCGGGAAGACGAAGATACCTCCGACTTCTGTTCAGTTTTACACGACGGAGCCCTCTTCTTCTAATCCCCACTGGTGGCTCCGAGAAATATGTCGATCGCGGTTTGATTCCTCGTACGATCAGCGAAATTTTCGACCATATCCGAAAAGACGGCAAATCCAGACACCAATGCTTTATCTCGTACTTGGAGATCTACAACAACTTTGGCTACGATTTGCTAAGTCGTGACGAAAACGCAACAAAGTTAGAGGAACTACCAAAAGTCAGTCTCCGGGAAGATGAAGATGGGAATATGCATCTGAAAAATTTGTCAGTCAATGTGGCGAATACAGAGGAAGACGCATTAAACTTGCTGTTTTTGGGAGATACAAATCGGGTATTGTTCTTAACTTCTCCATTCATCTATCAGCCACATCTTCTCCAACCACTAGTAACCCAATCTTCTTCGCATTTTTAGTTGTTTAGCAACTACGTCCTCGTTGCCGCTTTCAACACTTTTTTTCAAAAGATTCATAACTTCTATTAATCTGTGATTCATCACATGATCTATTACTCTTCACAGCCGCGTCCTTCCACCCAACACCAGGTAGTCGCAGAAACGCCAATGAATGATGCATCTACACGATCGCATTGCATCTTCATCGTATGGATTCAATCTAGTGAGCACGGCAGCGACACTGTTCGAAGGTCCAAGATACATTTGGTGGATTTGGCAGGATCAGAGCGTGTGTCGAAAACGGGTGTGGATGGAAAACTGTTGGCGTATTTTTTACTTGCCCTGCTTCGTTTCAAAAACAAAATCTTAATCTTGTATCACAATCACGATCGAGTTGTTTGAATGTTGATGGTGGAGAAAACTACAATCATGTACTAGTACTATGAATGTTTTTCGATCCTCTTTCTCCTATTTTCTTGTGAAACAACATCAACAAGAACATCTGTCTCCAACTCCAACGACTACACCCAAACAACATCACAGGGAAGCAAAGTACATCAACATTTCCCTGCACTTTTTGGAACAAGTGATAGTAGCTCTGCAGGAGCGTGCGAATGGAGGGCGTAGCCATGTGCCCTATCGTTAAGGCTTCCCTTCATCCATTTTCGGAAGCATCCTCAGTCAAGAGGGTTCTCAAGGAGAAAAAGCATCCGGGATGCATCTTGAGACGGATTAGGGTGAGCGCTAATATCGAAATAGTATGATGACTTCAGTCTTGCGGGATAGCCTTGGCGGAAACTGTAAGACAGTGATGCTTGGCACCGTTGCATTGGAAACCAGCAATGTGGATGATTAGGGCTGGTTGATGTAATGTTTTTGGATGTTTAACACATAAGAAAGAATATACTTGATAGAAGATAGCCTTTTCTTTTTTCTACCTTCCTCTGGTCTTTGTTTTTCTAGTTCTTAGGTCTGCTCCGCCACAGATATAATTAACCGTGCCGTTACCAACATCATCGAACTACTATACTATAGATACAACTAACCTTTTATTTCCCTCTCCTCAGGTGGATGATGGGGGTCGTTCCACACTGAATCACATTCACACTGATCCATAATTCCAAAACTCCACTACTTCATATCTCTAAACCAAAAGCCTTTCAACATGCCGTTTCGCACAGCGCGTCGCTTGCATTAAGAATTCGGCAATTGTGAACGAGGAGCTAGACCCGAGTCTCATGATAAAGCGGCTAAAACGTGAAATTTAAGGGCACGAACGTTTTATAGAAGGTGCTCCTGTAGTGGCCATTTGTTTTGTCTCGTCTCTCTCCACCTAAGGGAGGACGAGAAAAGCATAAAAACAAACAGGATGAAACAGAAACACCAAGAAAACCCTACCTCTAAGAAATATTGGAATTGAAAGACCAGTTGAAACAGTATCAACAAAGCGACGAAGACCAAAATGACGAGCCACTGTCGATGGAGCAGGTGGAAAAATGCAGAAAAAATGTCACGGAATTTGTTGAGGATATACACACAGCGAATTTCTTGTTATGTCGGGAGTGAGATTGACATTTCTTTTTCTTCTTCTGAAGATGTGTAGTCAGGACTGCAGTCTTCAAGATGTCCACCAATAAGAATGTGAAAACATCATCAATCCGAGTGCTGCTAGTACAAGGACCTTCTTCTAAGTGTCGTCGGCGGTGGTCAAAAATGGATGCAAGAATGTTTCCGACAATTCCGACAGCTCGCTGTGCGTGGTGGCGGTCCTTCAGGAGGAGGTGGATCTTCAGCTAGCTCAGGACTTCCCAGTTCAGCAGGAGGAGGGCCCTCCAATGAAGCTGCAAACAAATCCTTACAGCAACAAGTGAAGCAGTTGCAGCTAGAGGTAGCACAACGAGACCAAGAGATTGGCATTTTAGTTTCGATAGTGAATCGGAATGGAGGAAGCTATGGAGGTGGTGGAGGTGGACCTCCTGGTGCTGCTGGAAATTTCCAAACCGGGGGATCATCTCCGTCCAAACCTCGAGGACATGTTGGCGGAGGTGGACAGGATGCTTCTACCTATGGCTGAAGAAGGAGAAATCTAGAGGAGAAGTTTTGTTCAACTCCCATTTCTTTCTTGTTCATTCTACTTACTTTTCATTAAAATATTGTCGTCCTTTCTGTTTTCGTGGTTTTCTTTTGCAAGACTGACTAGTACAGTCCACTGGTGCTTGATTGTCGCACATGATAGGTTGCCCTCCATCTGCTCTAACCTACGATCGCTTCTTCATCGATCGCAAATACTAGCATGCTATCGTCAAGCACCGGTGGCGGTGCGACGCCTTCAAATTCATCGCAAATTTCAGCTTCACAACAACAACTTCCTCTTGGCGCTGGTGCAGCTATGACCTCGACTAGAGCTGGAGGAGGTGGACCCGGAACCCACACTCAACAGCATCCTCTTACAGCTGCTAAGGGTACGTTTTATAGGTGCTCCTCCTGTAGTTCCCGTTAGTTCTTTTGCTTTTCTTAAAGGCAAGCCAGGGGGAAAGGAGGCATAACTAACGGGGGGAAAGGCAAAGGCATAACTAAAACTAACGGGGTAAGTAAATACGCTACCACTAAAACCACTCTACTCAACCTCTAATCCACCACCGCACCAACCAATAGCGCCCGTACCTCGAGGTCGCGAAGCGGCAGAGCTCCTGTTAGATAGAGCGAAGGCGTTTGAGGTTTTTCGGAAGAGCGTACGGAGAAACGAGTCCTTTGAGGAGAATAAAGAGCTATTGCGGAAATTCTACACAGAAGCGAAAGGTCTCGGCGAGGAAGCGAACAACGCGAGACAGAGAGCAGCGCAGACGAAAACAGCGATACAGCAATTGAGGTTGAAGAAAGCAATGAATGAAGAGGAAGTTAAGACAACAAATACTGCCCATTGTTTAAAATTGCGTCAACATGATCATATAATTGAACGAAGCTAAGACAACAAACACTGCCCATTAGAATTGCGTCAATATCATATAATAAGTTGAACGAAGTTAAGACAACGAATACTGCCCATTAGAATAGCGTCAACGTCATATAAATATAATTGAACTACGTATCCTTATCCGTGGTTCGAGACAGACGATTTGCCTTATATTTAAATGGTGCCCCAATGAATCCCTAAAGATGATCAAGAACTGATTATGTAATGTGTCCTCTCTTCTGATGAAAAAGACAATTCATTGAAAACTTCGTCGGTAGTTGTACTACTTTCGTCGGTAGTTCTAAAATTTGTGGCGAAGGAGCAGAGGCGAAAGGCCCCTTACCCCCATCAGTGGAAGAACAGGGCTTGCTGGATCAGCTGGAAAAGGACAAGAGGGTCTACTTATGGCAGTTGAGTACTGAAGATTGTTTGTTGCTCTCTCTGTTGATCACGATCACCGTCTAGTACTCTCATTATTATGGCGGTTGGTTTCTTCATGATCGTACGGTAGGAGGGAATGCGTCATCAATGAGTTGTATACAACTTCTTGTATGGATCATGAACAGACCGTTATCTTCGCTACCATGTTCTTGCCGTCAGCATCATTTTTGGTGTCATCAACATCATTTTTGATGTGAAACATCAGCATCATGGTCATTCAACTTCAACGATCTATCTTCAAGAGAATTCGTTTTCATCTTCGTATGATCTAATCCCCGGCGAAGCCACTGGTCGTCTGCGAACAGTAAAACACGATATTGAGAGGGTCCAACAAGTTCTTGAGCAGAATAAGAAGCGCCTTCAGAAAGACTTCGAAAGCTGGTTCGTTTCCCTCAGAAAGTTAAGAGACTTCTCCCGCAATTACTTCAAGAAGTGTAATAGTTCAAGGACAGGGTTACTAGTGCTAGTGTCCTGATATTTCACTGATTCTATTTCTACCTACAGGCCTTCTTCATTACGTACTAGTATGATCCATTGGTATACTACTTAATAGTTGAATACCGAATGTCAACGTTCTCTTCATCTTGCTCAAGAAGATGATACTGGTTGGTTAACTTTGATAACTACATCCCTTTTATGCATCCTTCTCTAACGAATGAAGCGACCGAGAGCTTACGGGACGTGCAATCAATTGAAGAGATGGAAAGTTTACAAGCCAGTGCTGTGCCTCCGGAAGTGAAACTAACTGGTAACGAAGCCGTCGATGAAGAGGTAAAAGGCTTTTACAAAGCTCTCAGCAAAATAGGGGGTCCTCCACCTCCAGGAGCTTGAAAGTGCCCTTATTTATTATGTTTTCTTTTGTTTTCACATCCTCGGAGTCGAGCCAGGTGCCGGAACGAGGGTTCCATGTGCAGGATCCACAACCTACCCTAACCTAACCTAACCTAGGCACTACGTAGTTGTAGCCGTTGCACACCGACGTGGGTTTATGTTTTCTTTTGTTTTCACTAGGTCGCAGTTGTAGCTGTAGGCGTAGGCGTACACTTCTACACTGCCGACGTCGGTTCATCATCATCAGATTCCGAATCATCATCACCATCATTACTTGATAGATCACTATGTTGTTTATTTTGTTTTTTCCATGCAAGTCAAAGTCTTAGTCTATTATATGTAGTTGTAGGTCTTTTAGAAGAAGGTAAAGGTACTTTCTCTATCGTCGCAAACGCAATCGCTTTTAGTATGTCTGTGCGACTTCTTGGTTGTTAACAACTCCTTGAACTCTACCTGTCCATGGGAAGAAAGACAATAGATTCTAGTACGACCACATCAAACATGAGCAAGTCAATCAGTGACGAAAGGAAATTGTTGATGAAAACCATGTGAGAACAAGAACCAATGTTGACCTGGAAATGTGTTCAATCTGTCGTCACAAAACGATCCGTGTCGAGAGCGAATACACTCTTGAGATTAACTGCTGTCTTAACTTTAACGACGAGAGAAAGATCATGTTACACTTCTGTCTGCTGTGTGTGAGGACGTCCTAACGCTGTGTGTTCTGTCTACAGCGACGAAGTGGTGGAAGCTTCGAGGTCGACGAAGTGATAGAAGAGATAAGGAAATTTTGGATGAGAAACGTTCTGTGGTCTCTGGGAACGAGCTGTTGAGAACGAGCAAAATGACTTCTGTCGAGATGAGGAATAGACTCTGTCGATTTGTCAGAGGGATAGAGAGAGATCATGCTTCTCGTTATCTGTCGAGTCAGATAGAGAGATGCTTATCTGTCGAGTCATGAGTGTTCACCTTATTTCAAAAGTATCTTTGTAATCTTCAAGAGACTGTCGTCTTCGCCTTCGTGTTGTGTGCCCTCTCCTTGAGAAGGTTAGTTGTATACTCTGCCACTCATCTATAGATCTTCAAGTCCAACAATTATTACATCTTTGACCTCCACGTCCACCATCACCTTATACATATATATTAACTAAAAATGGTTGTTCCATATATATTAACAATGTTGATGTTCGTCTACTCATTCTCCACCTTTTTACAGGCAAGTGCACATATCTGAGACTCAGAACTGGTTTCCCAAGGTTTCAATCCTTGTTTTACTAGCCGTCAACTTCCTCTTTCACCCCTTATATCGTCTCTACTTCATAGAATTAGAAGACGAGTTAGAGAGGATTACTAGTACTACACCAAAAATATAATTGTACGTCTCCCATCGTCATCAGTTTCGAAACTAGGTTCAACTTCAAGTTGTTAAAGTTTTCCTGTACTATAGGAAATATTTGGAAAGCGAATAAGAACTTCTAGCTGCTACCTAGCTACCTGGCTTCTTTCAAGAAGATTAACAAGAACCCTCTCTCCCAATTTGGTCAAAATGATGAACTTTGCGACGTTCGCGGCTTCGGCCGTTGCGGTGATCCTCAGCTTTGTGACCCTGTTCGCAGGCAACCAAATGGATGGTACTAATATTTAGATTATTTAGTAGTTCTAGTACTACCAACAACTAGAAACAACTTCTAGATATTACAGGTCTTCCTTCTTGTACTACTTGCTGCTGAAAATCCGTTCTAGACTGAGCTCCTGCTAGCTCATACTTCTACAACTTGTGCTACTAGAAGCTCTTGTGCTTTGCACCCCCTTCCCTTTTCGAAAACGATTCGCAGGCAATCAATTGGATATTACTACTCCTACTACTAGATACAACTACTTCTACTGCTAGATACTACTTCTACTCCTAGATAATTCTACTACTCGTCGTCTTCCCGGTACCCCCCTTCCCTTGACAACTTCTCTTCGGATGACCAAATAACTTCTCTTCGTTACAATCAAACGCGTCCCTTTTCGAACATGATTGTCAGGTATGGCCATGGGCGAAGTTGAGAATACCGTGAGCGTGACTATTCCGGTAGGGACAGTGAAGTCTAGCATGGTCTACGTCTTCGGTTTGCACGGGACGAAGATTACAACGACCTCGACAGGTGAGCCAGTGACGACAGTGCAAATGACGTGGGAAGACCTTGCAAAAACGGACGGAACCGGCGATGTGGACAACGTTTTCAAGAACGCCTGCCCTGCCGCTTCCCACTTGACAAATGCCACTTTGGTGCTCATGATGATCGCCGCAATTGTTTGCTCTGCCATTGCCGCTCTTGGACCCTCTGTGCCGCAAGGAGGCTTGATCGCGCTCGGCGTTGGAGGCGTCGTCGGATTCTTGTCCCTCATCGCAGCAATTGTCTATCCAGTCACTTGCCCAAATGAAATCGCATCGCTTTTTGAAGACGCTCCTAACCCCACTCCGGGGGCCTCCAAGGAGGTTTCGACATCGATTGGGGCGGCCTGGTAATGCTTGTTTGATAATAGAGTAGTTTATAGAACGGATGTAGGATGGACTTGGATGGATCGGATGGACCCCCCTGATTCTTCCGATCCTACTTGAAATGGTGGGAAACTCCATCCGTTCCATCCGATCCATCCCATTCCGGATCTGGCACCCCTATAAATTACGCATCTATCCTGGAAGACGCTACTAACCCCACTCCGGTCTTGGCATACACAAAGAAAAAACTTATCCTTATGTGACCCCGTGAAATCTGAAATCATCCACAGGGTCTTGCATTTCCTTGCGCTTATCGCCACGGTCGCTGCCGCGGTTTGCGCGTTCATGCATGTGAAGAGCCTGGGCGCTGCTCCCGCTGTCGTCCAAGGAGTTATGAAGAAGGCCGAAGGCGAGGCGGCTGCTGCGGCTGATGCCGGCAAGGAAGCTGCTGGCGAAGAGGCAGCAGCTGCGGCGGATGCCGGCAAGGAAGCTGCTGGTGAAGAGGCAGCAGCTGCGGCTGATGCAGGCAAGGAGGCTGTTGGTGAAGAGGCAGCAGCTGCAGCGGACGTTGTTGTCGAAATGCAAGAAAAGGTATAATCAGACGTAGTGAAGATAGTGCAAAGTATATTACTATCTGTAAAACCTTTGTTTTTGTTCAACAGAGGTTGTTGATTGTTCGTGTTGTGATTTTCTCGGGAGCAGAACCAAAATCGTGTAAAAATATGACTTCTAAGAGTCTCCTGCAAGTGAACTAACTCCTGTCCCAGTTCGTGTAAGTAGTAATAAACATAAAGACACTTCTTCATCTCAACACCTATTTATTAATATTACATGATAGTCAGGAGGGAAATCTTAGGCAGATGCAGATTTTTGCCGAATAGATTCGAATCATCATAGTTCACTTAGGGCAGCAGTTCAACTGGAGTTATTACGTTAATATATTTGTAAGCTCAGAAGATGATTGCGAGCTTCTACATAGATGATTTTTTTTGAGACTTCATCAACTTGAGTCGGCTTCTTATTGTTGAATGTCTCAGGAGTTGTTTCATCCTCGCTATTAGATCTAGTATGTTCTTGCGACTGCCGTAATTCAAGAAAAACAAGTAGAAATAAGTAACATAATAGGTCTACGTAATGAATTACAAGAAAATATCTAATAATTCGAATATGAAGTAGAAACAAACTGGATTGATATCTGCAGTGTTCTCTTCCATCCTATTCAAAACATCTTCACTCCGCCCCTGGTGGGGAGGGAGACAAATGCCTCCGAGAGGACAAAAACCCCGCACCTGGTGGTCCGAGATGCCGCAGCCTCTGAGAGGGAAGGCGGGGTGGCCCCATGCGGGACACAGAGACGCGCCGCAACGCTTTGCAGGAGGTGCGCATCTCTTGCGGGCGAAGCTGACGCGCGCGGGGCCTCTGCCATAAGGAGATGATGGGGCGGCGCCTACTGACGTGGCTGGTGGTGAGTCCTCCAGGGATGAAAGGAAGCGAAAGAGGGACGGCTAGCCCGGGGCGTCCCCCTCCATTGCGTGCCAGGGCTTTCGCTCTTCTGATGAGATGAGCGCAACGGCCCGGCAGCCGCGAGGGGCGCGTTGGCTTCCGTGCCTCTTGGCTTCTGGGATCCCAAGATGAGGAGAGCCACGTCCGGCTTCGCCTCGTTTCTCTCCAAAGAAAAGCAGAGACCCGAGCGGAACGGGCAAGCCCAAGGAAAAGGTGGCGCAGCTGTGAGGAGATTCCTCAGGGGGTTGTTTGGTTGGTTGGCTGGCCTGGTGTGGTTGCCTTCCCGGCCCCCCGGTCGGTGTGTGAGCCTTGGCGCGTTGGCCTCGTCGGGATTGTTCGTCCGCCTTGGCACCTTCTTCCCCCGTTGTTCTCTCTTCGCTCGGTTGTGGGCGTTCGGTCCATGTGTGTCGGCGTTGTGGAGGGTGCACCTTACCCGCGCACTGACCGCCAGCGCGTGCCCGGCCCCAAGCGAGCACACAAACTTTGTCAAAGCGCCAAGCCCGCGCTACTTTTCTGGGGCGGGTCTAATCGCTCGGCTGGGGGGTTGAGTTGAGGATGTCCTAGGCGGACCTGATCCCTTGAGGCCGTGCTCCTCTAATGAACACCTGCCACGACCGGCTCCTCTGGTGGGGTTTTCTTGCGTAAGTCTGAAACATGCGCGAGCGTGACTGCGTGCACGGCCCCCGGCTTGGCCTCGGGTTCCCCTGGAGACTGAACACGGGCAGCGCCGCAACTCTATTACACCGCGTAAGCCCCCGCATGTTGATGGGCATGGGCCCCCTTCAATACATACATAAAACAAGCCACTTATCGTCTAGGACACATTATATGGATATTATTTCCACTATGTATCGAATACCACGACTGGTGCACATATTTAGAACTAAAAGCATCTTCTTCATACCGGTGGATTCCTTCGTCGTCATTCCCCTGCCCTCGTTGCGCAGATTCTGAATGTCCTTTGAATGCCTTTCGAAGATTCGACCGGTCTTGTATTTGTTAATAGAGTTGTATAAAGACGTCGACGTAAAACCTGAATGAATTGCAAGAGCTATCTAGGATAGGGACAAACGATATTCCATTTCAGAAATCATGCATAGCCATGATGGGATAACCAACATATCCAGAACAAAAACGATATGACACAGGAAAAGATCATTCAAGATGTTGGGAGTCTTTGTTTACGCCTTGAATGAATCGACGATCAAAAAAAGAGGATGAATAGTATTCAATACAAATTGAAATTTCCTTTTCCACTGCTTCTTGATCTCACCAAGAGCTCCTGTTGTGTCGTGGAAGAATATTTATTAGTGTTCAACAACGAACTAGTGGCATTTCGTCCGTGCAGAAGGCATTCCAGCAGGGCAGGACTAGCAATCTCGTAGGTCAAGAAAATATTCATGTTTTCGAAGGATGACCTCATCACCTTCTCGTCATTTACAGTGAGTATGATCATCTTCAATAGACCACGAATGGAAATAGTTGTCGTAACTAAGACAGCACCAAGAAAATGGTGAAACTAAATCGAGATCGGCTGTCAGCAGTAGTTCTTGTGAAAATAATGAGGAGAGTGGCCCTCCAGCACCCACACTTTCTTAGGTCCCCATTCCCGATTATACCCTTTTCGAACTGAAATCATCGGTCTTGAAATCCTACACAGCAACTGCATAAAATTCAAAAATTCAAATCTTCTTCCATCGGTGAAGTCAGATGTTGCACTCTTCCTTGGTTCCATTTGCTCCACCTAGAAGTTCGAAAGTGATCGCTACCAGCGCCTGCTGAGTACAACTCTGCGCCGTTGTAACTGCTACAAACTACACTTCCTCCTATCTTCCTTTTCGGCTTCTGTAATATGCAGTTTCTCTCGAAACCTATTATATCAGGTAACGCCAGGTCGTTGGTGCCTACTTCTATAATTACAAGTATTTTTAAGATTAACTAAGTTGTACTTGTAATGTAGAAGCATTAGCATCCATATAAATTTTGTCATTAATCATTCATGATGTCGTCTTTGTGACTAACGAGAATGGTGTTGGCTTCATTTTACCTGTGGTAGGTCATTTTCAATACCCAATATGTAGATGATAATTATAATTTTTTTTTAAGACAAGACAACTGGGTATTGGGGTAAACTACGCTTATTCATTCATCAATACAATCCAAGCAAAATGTTCTTGCTCATGTTGTGAGGAATCATGGATCAAACAAGCAGTAGAGCCAGACGGTTTTTTTTGTTCTTGTTCTCGTCTTGCTTTGTAAAAATGGGTGAATTAACGCTACAAGAACTTGTTGTATGAGAATTTCTTCTGCGCTTGTGATATGGAGCCAACTACTACTGAAGCGACGTCGTTGCAGATGCAGAGGATGATGTTGGTGTTTACCCTACCGCAGGTTCTCTAGGAGCGTGTAGTTGTCGATATTTTCGCCGGAATCCATCGACTTGGAGTTGGAGATCGGTTCCAGCATCTTGAAAGCGATATATTGACATTTCCTGGTCATTCCCGCCTACCGAAAATAAATCTCTCTACCTCCTCAGTAGAAGCGACAGATGTGAAGCAACGTTTGCAGCGCTAACAAGTAGAACGCGAAGCAACGACTCGTTCTTCGTAAGCATCAGACTAGTTGTAAACAAAAATTGAAGCAGCTGTTGTAGCTGTACAACTTCTACAACACCTTGTTCACCTTCTTCAGAAGCAGATATCTTCATTATCAAATCATCAACATCAACTAGTGCGACTACTACCTCAAGATGGGCAAAAACCGCAAGGCAGACCGCTTCATCGAGCGGGAGGCCGATGAGGGCGACGAAAGCGAAAGCGATGCCCCGGATGCGAAGAGGGGAAAGTACGAGGATCGAGAGGTGAACGAGCCAAAGGAGGTGAGACAAATGCGTGAGGAAATAGAAGCAAGAGAAAGAGCCGCAAACGGTCAAACCGGTGCCAACCGATTGTTCGGAGACTTCTTGCACAACTTGGAAGCAAAAGCCAGAGTGGCTGAAGAAGCGGATATGGAGTACTTTCTCATCTACGATTTTCTATACTTTGATTCATTCTTCTGAAGCGGATCTGGAGTACTTTCTCATCTACGATTTTCTAGAAGTATTCTGTGATTCATTCTTCTGAAGATGTATTAATAAATTCTTGCTCATTATATCTATTTTGATGAGAAGAATCAGAATCTGCTGCATGATGTTCATGTAGAATCTTCATCTCTCTGCATTATTACTATGTTCATGTAGTTCGTTGTGGAAGATTTTGATCTAATAAACGGATCTCTTGACCTCTTCAGACGTGCCGCTGCTGCTCGAAGAGATCATGATGAAGATTTATTTGCCGATCCTCTAGCACAGATGGCCGCTCCAGCAGGGACAGGGGCTGCTCGTCCAGCAGCTAGTCCACCCGGCGAGCGAAAGATCTTGAGCTCAGCACACCTCTTCGAAGATATGAACGCGCCAGGAACAAAGCCTCCTGCGCCAGCATCCCCTCCTAAGATACCCCAATCCTCCCAACGAAGAGCCAGTAGTAGTACGGCACCCGTGCAGATGCCGCAGGTACATCTCTATTCTGCTTGTCGATACTTCTTTTACAGCCACTACTACAGTAACTAAGACTCAGTGGTCTTAATAATACCATATCAGAGTAGTTTATAGCACGCATGGAGTACTAGCATGGAGTGCATGGAGCGCAGAGCTTTAAGAGGCGCAAGAAGCTCCCCCTTTAGCTCTATGCTACTGCATGTGATCCATGCACTCCATGCAATGCGAGCTGTGAAACCTTATAAATTGCTCTGTTATATAGATAGGATCTTACAAAAACTTCGAATGATTTTTCAGTCAATAAATCCAAATCAATCTTTTTTTAGACTTGGATACTCGATTTCGAGGCCCGGATAGTACCACAACAAAATCCCCGATGATCAATCAAACACAAAATCCAACCACAATAGAGCTACGACCCAGACAAAGTAGTAATGCCGAGATTAGACGATCCGAAGCTGTGGTGTGTCAAAGTTTTTGGAGATGGCGTCGAACTGTGCAACACGCTGATGACGAAGCTGGCCTACAAGCAGAACGAAGACCCAAATTATCAACCTCCAATCTTTTCCGCATTTGCAAGCGATCACATCAAAAGTACTTGTTCATCTATAAAAATCTTGTAACTTCTTCTTTTGAGGTCTTACATACTACTTGTACTTAGTTTCTTCTTCTTGCTTACTGTTACCCACTCAAGAACTCTTACATACAGCTGCTTCGTTTCTTCTTCCTGCTAACTTACAGTTACAACCCATACCCACTCAAGCTCAACATGAAGATCTGCATGATTGTCTATGGTGGCGTGAAATGCACATCCCATCATTCTGCAACAGATTACATGTACGTAGAAGCTTATAAGGAGGCGGACTTGCGAACATTTCTGCAAGGAGTGAGAGGAGTTTCAGCGTGGGATACAAGACTTGTGCCAGAAAAAGAAATGGGAAACGTTTTGAGGCAAGGAGTCGGCCAAGCACTGACGAATCCAGTGGAAAATATCAAAGCAGGACGTATATCTATTTCGGTTTTTCGCTCCTCGTCTCTAGCTGTCTACACGACAGCTACCACTGAAGACTATTAACTTGGCTCTTGTGTTATATTTTTTTGTCCAAAGAAACTGAAAGATCTTGGTCTTCTTCGGTTCAAAACACTTTTTCGATTTTTCTTTCGTTCTTGTTTCTGCTTGTTAATGACAGCTCAAGAATGAACAGTCATGTTGAATACTTGAAGTGTTCATTTCTGAACAGAAAATCTACACCACGACCTAGTGCTGGTGCCACTTGGCGTTTTTGACTTTCTTGTTCTCCCTCTCTGCACGTACCACGCCTCTACCTCCACAACAAACAACTCGTACACACAGAATTCGTCCGCATCCTGGCGCAGGGACACTACAAAGGCGATCTAGCACGTGTCCTCAAGGTCTCTCAGAACGAGATCGCAGTCCGACTAAAGCCTCGCGTGACCCTGGGAGACTCTGCGAATATGACCATGAGAAATTTCAAATTCAAAAGTCAATCACAATTTCGGCCAAAGGCAGATTTTTTGTCCTATGATATCGCCGCCAGACATCCAGAAATACAGTTGGACCACCACGATTTGGAACAATTTCGTACTTAATACTACAAACATGCTTTGGCTTAGCCTACTCATTGTCACTTTTTCTTACGTTCTTTCTTTAAGTGCACCTCCACGTTATTACCACACCCCCGTCGTGTCAGTGTTTTAGGAAAAATGATCTTCGTTCTTATCCAACCCCACACAGAAATCCGATGCTACGTGTGGAACGAGACGTATTATACCAGAGACAGTGGTCACGTGATCAAGGTTTTCGCGCATAGCAAATTGGACCCAAATGTAAGGGTCACCTTTAGTGATCAACAGGCGTTTTCAAACATCAAATACCCAGAGGATTACGCGGTGACTGGGGAAGAAGCAGGAGCCTTAGGGCTGATGGGCGGAGATGTTACAAGTACCCAGATCTTAGATCTTACGCTCGTTTTGTTGTAGCATGGTTTTGGTTCATCTTACAACAAGCAACAGAAGTTTGTCTAGTCGTTCCTGTTCATGGATTTACGTCAACTTGGCGTCATAAAAACATATTATGCAGGCTTATTTTTCGTACACTTCAGTTTCACCAAGAAACATAGTATCCACTGCTATTAACTTGAGTAGGAGTACTACATCAACACCCCCACAGACCGTCCGTTCAAGCAGGGCGAAAAGATTCGCGTCACTTCTGGCCAACTTCGTGGGGTCATAGCCACAGTCCACAAGATTCTAGAAAACGGAAATCTCATGGTCCAGCCGGCATTGGAGAGTCTAGGAACTGGGATGGTCATCGTCGACCCCGCACTCTGCGAAAAACATTTCGTGAAGGGTCAGAGGATAAAAGTCACCAAAGGCCCAAAGATAGGCATTGTCGGAACAGTGTGCAGTGACGTCACACAGCAAGGAACTGTGTCGATTGCGGAATTGGGAAGCGTACTACTTTAATTCTGGGGTTCAAGTGTGGGGTGCGTGGAACATTTTTTTACTGGAAAATGAATGTTCTTGTAGCTAAACTACTCTCAATAGAAGGAAGAGGAGCTGGTCAAATAAACAAGAAGAAGAACTATCATAGTAGGAACTGTAAGAACTCATTTTTTCTAATTACAAACTTCACGAAAAAATCAAAATCTTCAGGTCGCCGGCGAGTGGCCTCCTGTCCACGAAGCCAAGGTGAATGACTGCGAAGTCACCTTCGAGAGCGCCAAACCAACGTTTAACGATGATGACGCTGCCGCCAAAGCAGCGGAGATGATGTCTGGGGGACTCCCAGTCGGAGCAAAAGTCAGCTTCAAGAGTGGTCCAGAGTTGACGGTCCTAAGGGGCGTAGTCACCGCAATCCTAGGAGACCGAGTCAGAGTCTTGGACTCGAAGGGGAACGAAGCAATACACTTGCCGGGACGTAATTTCTTTTGTTGATGTTGGTTTGTTTGATTTAAGATTAAGTAGATTTGTTATAAATACGTAAGCATTTTTTGCGTGTCTCCTCCTCCTGTGTTGCTTGATGTTTTGTATTTATATAAATATAATTTTCTTGATTTTCATCTCCTTCCTCCTGCTTCTGTAAGTTTTCGTCATGAAATATCATCTGCATCTGCAACAACACAGATTTAACCTTGGAAGCCGGTCCTTTCAACCCTGACCCTCGTGTCAAACCGCACTGGAAACAAACGGAGTTTTTCGCCACCGATAAGCGCGGGGAAGAAATCGGAGTTGGTTCTTCGATTAGTCTCCAGCCTAAGGGCGTTTCCGCAGGGTTTGTTCCAGAAGCCACTGTTCATTTTGTAGAGGTAGACACTGTGTATGCACGCGATGCTAACAAAGTGTTCTACTGTTGCGACCCGAGCAATTGTATCTTGTTGGAGAAAGCAGAGTGGCAGAAGCGGGCAGCTTCGGCGGCTGGAACTAGTAGTAGTTCAAGCAGTGCATTGGCGTTGCTAGGAGGAAACGAAGCGACAACATCAGCAATGTCTCTGTTAAGGCTGAAGATGGAATGGATTTAGAAGAAATTAGTTAGTACTGCTTATATATTTAGTGAAAGTAGTATGCGGCAAATAGCATTAGAAAATCCGCCATATGTTACATGATGTCCTCAGTTGTATCTTACACATGATCACTTTGCACCCTCACAACATGATCCTCTAATCCCCGCCGCATTGATCCCTGTGAAATCGTCCAAAAACGGAGCAGCAAATAAGTTGGCTGCGTCTTTAGCGAGTCTGCAATTAACCGACGGCGACGACAGCAAGAACACACTTCCAAAGCCGCCAGCGAGATGGCATTATCTAGGAACGGTACCGGGAGAGAAGAAATACAAAGGCATGCGCATGAGGATAATACGGTCGACGGCGCTGGCTCCGTACAAAGGACAATTCTGCGAGTTCAGGCAATACGTTGATGCCGACAAGATCAGGGTGGCTTTGAGCATCAAAGCGAAGATGGTCGTATTGGAAAAGGGTACAACTACTTGACGATTGATGCTGATGATTCATGTAGTTGATGTTCTGTTTGACTTGACCTTGATGATTGATGTTGATGATTCATGATTGATGTTGATGTTCTGTTAGTAGTACTTAGACTAGTTGTGTTAGTAGTACTTAGACTAATTGATGTAGTTTGCTTAGAAGTTGTCCAGCCAACAACTACAACGTCATCATCGTTGAACACATGTTGATGTTGATCATCATCAAGACGAGAAGACGAGTTTCATCTTGTAAACTTCCTGAGCAAAAAAGTTGGACCAACTACCTGAAAACAGCCAACGTCATCATCGTGGACCAGAAGATGTCGGACGAATTAGCTTCTATCGATTGCAACGCGATTCAAAAGTATGTGATCGGACTCGGCACGCGCATTAGGGATGAGGCGGCTTTGAGACCGCAGATAACTGGTGCTGGAGCTCAGTTGTGGCAGCTGATGGCTGACGAATACCCCTCCATCGTCCCACACATACCGAAGCAAAAGAAGGAGAAATACGCTATCGCAGATGCTAGTGCATCTTTGGATAATGATGCGTCGTCGAAGACGGCTGTGGCCATTGAAGACAAAAAACCGGAGAATAAGGTACAACTGAGTACAACTGCAGACCAGATTAGTAGTTGTACACGAAAAACTATAACTATGTCTAAGATAAGAAGTACAACAATAACTTCGTGCATGAGCATGATTATCGAAGATTCAGATGCAATTAGTTTTTAGGCCTTATTTCTAGAAAGTGCTAGATGGTAGCTGACGCTGAGGAAGTACTGGGTAGCTGACGCTATATCCTCATGATCAACCAAGAATGAATACCTCCCTCATCTCTAGCACATCAAGATCAAACCCAAAATAATCTAAATCTTCCTTTTATTTCAGGCTGCGGTGAGCAGTGGAGATGTGATTGCCAACAAGGTCTTTGCCTCATTGAGCAGTGAGCTTGGGCTCAGCAGTACGAAGCTCCCAGGTTTGACGTTGATTGATCCTGCAAATACCAAATCAACCGCACTCGTTGGCGCAACATTAAGGCTCACGATACTCATGATTTTTCCTGTAGTTAATAAGGTTATATATCAGATGAAAGAACTCGAGGCGCCTAGAATACACGGATCCTAGCATAAGCGTGGCCACTATAGTTCTTTTTTAAGTAGTTGGATTACAACTTCCCTTTTATGTAATTCTGTTTCCTAGTTAGACGTGCTCCACCGGTGTTATATATAAGAAATATTTATGATGATCTCATCATCTTTATTGCGCTCCCTTATCTAAGTAGAAAGTAGAAAAAAACGTCAAAGATGACTTTATTCTTTCAAGTTAAATATAACTTATTGGGAAGGTCCTCTAACAACAGTAAACGGTAAAGCAGACAGCAAGCAGTATGCTCCATCCGCACTAGGCGCCTCTGGAGTGGATCTGTCTGGAGTGGACGGCGATGCAGTGATTGAGGACTTGGCGTTTGATCCAACTTTTGGTTTGGAAGACGTTATGGAGGGGGACGACGACGGCGATGGGGCTACTAGCAGCATCATCGAAGTTGGGGCAAGAAGCAATGTGGGGGCAAACGACTATTGGTCAACGCGAGGACATGCGGGCGGCTATGCTGACAGCTACAGTAACAGCTACAACAAAAACTACAATGCTGGCCCCCCAACTGGTGGAGGTGCTGCAGCTACTGGTACAACTAGTGGAGGAGGTGCACAAGAACAGAGTGGTGGTGCAGCAGCCGCAGATGGAGGAGGTAATTGGTGGGATACACCTGCTGATCAGTCCTGGAACAACACATCCTCAGCCAACAACTGGGGAGGCGCTTCTGGAACCGGAGGGGGCCAAAACTACACCAGCGAAGAGTGGAAAGAATGGGCCATCAAAAAATATAATCAGGAGGTGGAGTAGAAGGGTCAAGGGGAAGAAGAACACCTCCATCTAGTTGTAGATAGTTGTACTTCTTTTTGCAATTCTCTTGTTGTAGCTACCTCTAAAGACGGTCTCTTGCAGCTACTTCTAAAGACCACTATTTTTTATCCAAGTTGCTCTTGACCTTGACGTGATTGTCTTCTTATTTGGAAAAAGCAAGAACGTCAAGAAAATGCAGTCACGCAGCGTCGTCAGTTCATTTTGAACGGCGCAACAAGTCAAAGCACTAGCATCAAAGATCAAACTGCTCTTTCAATTTTTATAAACGAGATGATGTTAAAGTTAAAATCAACTGAAATTAGAAACTGAAAAAATGTTGGGTACTTATAATCATTTTTATACCCAAGACTAACCTAATATTTTTTGGAAATCGAAAATCCTTCTACGCGAAGATGAAATCGAAATCACACTTGAAATTGATAATGATTTAGGCTGAGTCAGTAGGTGATGGTAAGAATTACTTCCTTCTAAGTAAGGGGAAGAAAGGAGCAACTATTTTTAGAGATTGAGACTTCGCCACTCCGATAGAGAGTTAGAGTTGATGAAAGATCACACATATAGAGTTTGAGTTAGACGAAGCATAAGTATGGATCATCCGCCGATCTGGCCTTCGCCTTGTATGGCCGTTTGGCTTGCAGTATGAAGATGATGAAGAATACGGTAGATAAAAATCATGAATATATATGGTGTGAAGGATGAAGACGAGGACACCGACACATCCGTTGCCCATGATTCGACAGCGAATACATCCATTCCAGATAACATGTTGTTCCGTAGCTGTCCCCTCACTTGTCATACTAGCTCTAATCAGGAGGCGACAACATCCTGAACATCAACTTCTGCTAGAGTCGCCATTCACTAATTTTTTTCTTGATCATTTATTATTGGCTCCTACGCGAAGAAGTGGCCGCCGCGATGATCGTTCGCGCCATCGTTGCACACGTCGTGCACGTTTCGTTGTTTCTTTCGTCAAGTAGAACACATCAGAAATATTAAATGCACCTTAGTACTATTTGTGAACTACAATTACCGGTAGTACCCATATCATGATGAACAAGTCATAGTGTTCCTTGTGGTTGCCCTGTCTGAGGACAGAAGATGGTTGATTTACCTGTTGATGTGCATATGATCATTTTATTTTCACCCACTCAAAGATGTCTTCAATGAAAAATTCACAAGTTGTATCCTCCAGCATTAAGGTTTCAGTCACTACTTCTAAGCTTGCTGGTTCTGTTCCGTTGACGAGGAGATCAATCCAAAAAAAATAAAATTCCTTATCACAACGAGATCCCAATGTTGACTTCTAAGAAAGACAATACAATAAAATAGGAAATCACGTCGAATCACCAAGACGATAAAAGCGAATGTTCAAATTTGTTAAAAGATCAACCAAATGAATGATCATATAGATACGAGAGGAGGTTAACATCCAGGCAAGTAAATTGTAGACTCTTATGATTGAAGATCGTACAACAAGAGGCACTTTTCTTTCTCACACCATGATATCCTATCAAATGCTGGATATGGAGGTGCTTCATCTTCATGGAGTTTTTTTCATCACCATGCTAGCGAATTTTAAGACCATGAAAAAAAAATCTTCAAAAACTCTTTTTTTGACCATGATAGGCCACCAGTTCAACTTTCCCCCGCGCTTTCCCCGCCCCTTGTACTAAGTATTACTTTCCCTTAGACGAGTTGTTTCAGAAGAATTTGATGCGTGGCGTGCAATGAATCATGTGTGAGGATACAGTAAATTATAAATATGATGTTTCAACAGTATGATCAGTAGTTCGTTGCCCTTGCAGTTGCATGTTCTTGTACTACTTCTACGGGGAGAAGCTGACTTCTGCTTTGTCGCTCAATGAAAATTTTCCACAACCGTTACCATTAGTGCGTGTAGGAGGTTTTATTGTTGGTGAGTCTACTCTTTCTCAGTCTGATTTATTGAGCCATGTCGTCTTCGTACCAGAAGTATCAAAAATCGTCGGCATCTGCGTCGACCCGCGTAGGGGACTCGCGGTACAGAAGCGACACCGATCCAGCTAGGGAGAGATCCAGAACGCCACCAAGAACTTCACAATTTTTCACTTCGGTGGAGGATTATTACAATGAGGTATAGTTTTGTTTTCCAATTGATTTTGACTCTTTAGTTGGATTCCTATAATAATTATGGTGTAGCATGTTTATTGGTCGCACTTCTTTTACTGTGTATAATCTGGTGATTCTGATTGACGTCTAGTAAAAGAGCACGTTGTTATTCACCTTGTTGTGTACGTGATTACATTCTCATCTTCCTACCCTAAAACACATCAATCAGGTGGTCCTCAGACGCTGCATCTTCGAACAGTCGCCGTCAAGAGGAGGTGGTGGTCCCCGAAAAAGCGCTTGTTCTCCTCTTCTAATTTTGTTAATGGGTCTTCCTGGCGCAGGCAAGACGACGTTGAAAAAAGGACACTTTGGAAAGTGCGTCATTACTTCCATACGACCTGATACGCAGTTTCCACGCAATGGCAATGTTGACGAAAGGAACAACAATTACACGCGGAGGAACGGAAGAGAAAACCAACATGACCGGCGCAATAATAGTAGCAGTAGTGGAAGTGAAGGAAACTACTCCTGCGAACAAGAAGGGAATCCACATCAACTTCAAGCAATTACCTCCTTCTCATCCAACGACACTGACCACATCAATAGCCAACAAGAAGGCGGGAACGAAGACCGACTCCAGGATGTCCAGATACAAGAGCCACGACAGCACAAGTTCTTGTTCGATCTAGAGCCGGATCGTTTGAAAAAGTATCACAGGGATTTCGATGATCGCGATGCAGACGAAAACGTCCATAGATGGAGCGTCATCAAAAGCGTCGAATTGATGGAAAAAGCTGTGCGGAAGCGGGTGAGTCTGATATACGATTGCTCAGGGAGCAATTTCAGGTATTTCAATTCATAACATTCATAATACAAGGTCGTTTTTAGTTCTTGTAGATCATCATGTTGTCGAATGAAAATGATGTAGTGGTGCTGGATGAACACAGATTAATATTGGATGTTGTAACTAATATGTCCTCTACGCTGGTCTAAGTCTATCTGTTGTTCTTGTTTGCCATTCTTCACTGCTCTATGATTTGTTATAATTTGATCACATTCTAGATCGAGACTAGACGTTCCTCTGTTTTTATACTTCTCACTGATGCTGATCGATGGAGCTGGGAAACCGTTCTACTCAACATGGCAATTTAGATTTACTTCATGATCATTCATGGATTTCCGTTTGCCTTTGCTAGAGCTATTGATGTCGTACAATAGTGTAGAACTAGCTGATCTTTTGTGAAATAATTTTTGCACTTTCGAAGGACCGTTGCGCGGTGCCGTAGTGGCTGCGTCGAGTCCGAGCGGCGCCACCCGCTGAACGCCAACGCTGAAAGCGTAAACTCAACAAATACAGCTCTGTGCTAGAAACTAGAAGTCAAAAAATCTAGATCATGATCAAGATGATTAGATACTAGGTGGATGAACGTGACGTGTGTGTAAAAGCAAAAGGTTGTAGTTTTGGTAGCTGGAGGTTCTAACGTTTGATCTCATGGGACTGCTCTATAATATTGTACTTCAAAGCAATTTGAAAGTCTGGTACTTTTGCTTAGGACTTCACCAACATCAAGTGGGTGATAGCAGGTTACAAATCCATGATCTGCCCTGAAAGAAACGACCGTGATACCCTAGCGAACTCCCTTGGCTTTGATTGTGTCGCCCGCTCCAACATCTCAATTTTTTTTTCAGAGCCCGACTGCCCCGGGCGGTTTTTTGCCGCCTATGTCTGTGTTTTAGCCTGTTCTTGTGTTGTGTGTCGTTTCAGCGGCAGCTAATATACCTCTGGTGCCGTGTTCATCCCTCCGCATTAGCAGATCGAGGTTAGTGTCTTCACACCCAGTATTGTTCGTGCGCCCTCCCTGTCTACAATGAAACCCAGAATTGAACATCATCTTCACTGATCCATTGATTCTCTATCTCGAAATCCTTCTCTCAAAAAATTCCCACAGGTGGATGGAAGACCGAGCCCGTTATGCGTTTGATCGTGGGTATGAGGTTGACGTTATTTACGTCGATACTCCGCTTCCAGTTTGCTTATACCGGAACCGACTTCGCGGACTGAACCTAACGCCGCGCGACGTAACGGAGGCATTACTGCGACGACCTGACATGCGCGCTCGCGCTGCGATTAGAGACAAGAGTAAAGGATCATCTTCCTCTGCATCCTCTTCAGGCGAGAGTGCTAAGAACAAGAAGCCTTCAACAACGGACCAACAATTAAGGGTTTCCACATTGCATTCCTCACTGCCATCCTTGCCTTGTTTTCCACTAGTAAGCAAGAAGTCCCAAGGATGTTGTTCTGAGGAATGCAATGGCGCAACCTCTAAAACAAGACAATTACAACCCCAGAGGGCGTGACCGTCGTACTGGCAGTGACCGTGGCAGACGAGCGCAGGAAGAAGAGCGCGACGAGGAGCAGAACGGTGGTGAAGATCACAGGAAAAACAAAACTACTTGTTCTAGGGAACGCGACAATTTGTCAGTTGTACAACTAGCTGAAGACGAGCAGGAAGAGCATCCTCCACTAGAAGAGGATGACGATGCATGTTCTCAAGTTGACGATGACGGATTTGGAGGAGAGGAAATTGCCTTTGACGAAGGACATTTCGTGCCAGAGGAAATCATCCTAGAAAAAGCCGAAGTAATCAGTGACTCTTTTCGAAGGTTGCAACGATGCAGATATGTCAGGAGAGTTGTAAGAGAATGCTGGGAGGGCGAGGAGGATGCTCGTCCTACAACTGTCGTACAGGAGGAGGACGAGGGAATACAAGATCATGATCCGAGGACTCATGCTAAAAATCTCCGAGATCAACGAAAGCAACTACAAGGTAATAAACAACTCGAGATGCGTCGTGCGTTAATCGATCTTTTTTGCTATCCTGCACCACGATTCGAGACTGTGAGTCCTGTGGACCCTTTGTACGGAGTCCCACCTAACGGTGCTTGTCCAGCAGACGTGAAAGACCCTTGTGCAAGGCGTACTCTGCGTATGGCTTTATGGAAACGCGATTTGCGTGTTGCAGAAAGGAAGAAGCATCGATTGGGGTGGATGGACTCGGAATTAGAGTCTAGGGAGTCTTACATCTGGCGAACGGTGTTTGGGTGCAAAGATGGAAAACGACCGCGACCAGTACGAAGAAGAGATCATATTAGAGAAGCACTTCAACTTCATCATCATCAGCATCAAGACGTTAATGCAGCTAGGAAGAGCAGTAGAGACCACAATTACAACACAAGAAGAACGACAAGTAAAGAAGATCTTCAACATGGTCCTCGTGGAGACCACACTAGAAGTACAACTAGAGGAGATCGTTCTTCTTACGACTACAATCCTGGCAGCCGAAGTTGCCATGGCCGCGGAAGAGGTGGACGTGGAGGCGGCTATAATAAGAATAACCTCCAGAGCAGTAGAGCAGGTGCTGGAGCTTACACTTACACCTCTTCGTCGTCATCGTCATCTTCTTGTGCTGCTTCTGACAGGAGAAACAACGGCGCATTGTACAATCTTCATGAGCAACAACGAGAGAATAATAGGGACGTGGTCGACGATAGGCGGATCAATTTTCGTGACATCAGCCGACGAGGGAACAATACGCACTACCAAAACAATGGTAGGGGATATCACGTTCAAGATGGCCCGCCGCATATCAAGAGGAGAAGATATCAACAAGACAGTTCTCCTTCTTCAACAATCGACCGTCGAACGTCGAACCATCATAATTGTTCTTCTCATGATAGAAACAGACACTACAACAATAACAACAACAGCAACAATCGTGGACGAAATCAACACCAGCTGCAGCGTCCTGAGGCCCCGACTGCCCCTGCGTGGGTTATGGAGCGCAATATGTTTCCTTACCAAATGCCTGACGGCTGCCAGCACTGGACTCTTTGGGCGCAGGAGGAGCTAGCCCACGACTCCATCTGCCGCATCGTGGAAGAATGGATCCAGCAGAACGAGGATAGCTTAGCTGTTGCCTTAGAACAGGATGGCAAGGGGCAAAACAACTTCCATCAGATTAATCAAGAGGATGGAGATCAGGAAGAACGATTCGGAAGAAGTCGAAGGCAAGCTGGCAATGGCAATTTGAGTGACTCCTCGTGCTGCAGCGACAACAATTATTCGATGAGCCGTGACGACCAAGAAGGCCGTTCGAACAACACCAGCATCAACTCCACCTCTATTGACAACCAGAAGAAAAAAATGAAGGTAATCTCGTGGAACTACGATGACAACAACGCGAGACGCACGATTGACATTCCGCACGTCCACGTCTACCTGAATTTTGGCAAGGTCACAGACGTCAACGACGGTCGCGTTCCTTTGCGGGAAATGCTGCTTGATAGGAACATGCAGCCGCCTTCCAGGACTAGTTCTAGATGACACTGACCTGATTTTGAGCACACCTGAGTTGTATTGACCACGTGGTCTGCTGCTTCCTCCACTCGCGAGCGGACAGACTGAGTTGGACGAAGAGAAGATTTTATAATGCTTGTTGACACAACTGGTGCGGAGACTAAATTAATAGTACATCAACAACATTTAGTGCTGTAAAGAAACTACAGTAAATATAACAAACTCAACTTATTACTTGTGTCTACAACTACGCATGCGCATGCACCATATGATCTACCCAAATGGAAGTCCCTATCGTCCCTCCACCCCCCCCCAAAGACTTAAGAACGCTGTCCCCAAATGAATCATCCTCAAATTATGAAGCCAGATCCACAATGTTCCGCTGTTGTCCTCATCAATTTGATGGAGGTGGAGAACGAGAGTTGATAATGCTGTTGATGGAGAGCTAAGTGTTCTGCGTGAGTCAATTCGACCGCGACAACCGTGAAGCTGAAGTTGAGAAGTCTAAGAACGAGTTGCATTATTTATGACGAGAAAAGAAGCGAATGCGAAAGTCGTGGGGTCGCAAAAACGAGTTGTTGTATTTAAAGCCTGCTTGTATTGCTTTTGCTTCTACCTCCAGTAGTTCATCATGTTCGCCGATGTTTTACGGAATCATTCTTTTTTTTATGTTGTTGTCCAACTACAGCGCCCAGGAGAGGAGAGTGTATGTTATTTTTTCTCACCTCCTCCTCGGTGTCTGTCGACCACGACGTTCCGAGACTTGTCTGATGATTGAATCAGTTTCGATACTCTTTTTTTGTTGATAGTCATCTTTCTAAATCGGTGTATGTGTATGCATATCGTGTAAGTAAAGTGAAAGTGAATAATTTTTTGAGTCCAAGTATTCCATCAACACGACCACATCTTTTGTGTCATCTTCAGTCCTTTCCATTTTTTTTTGACTAGTCATAAACCCTACAATGACGAGAACATCGCCTTTCGAGATAACAATGGCATATTTGTTGTTTCTGTGAATTTTTGTAGTAGGAATATCACCCAATTTCAATAAGTTCTATATCAAGACATCCACATCTTCTCCACCATTTTCCTCCACCAACCGACGTAATTCCACCTCATTCAATTCAATAGTTGTTGTGAATACATAACAAGACACTAGAGGATCTTTTCCCATACTTCTAGTTCTAGTACGTTTTACTTGTAGGTGTATCCTCCACACCAAAAGAAAATGGGTGCTGACGCAAAACCGAAGCAGAAGGACAGCGATGCTGTCGCCTTCGCCAAGGATTTCGCTATTGGTGGCGCCGCAGGTGGTATCTCAAAAACGTTGGCCGCACCAATCGAACGTGTCAAACTTTATGGGCGGAGGCTTGTGTTTCTTCAACACGACGTGTTAATTCATGTTAATTTTAAATAAAAAGAGGCTCTCAGGGGACATGATGATTATACGTCTATTAGGGACTCCTGGTTGTGTGACACTCGTTTTCTTATTTTTGCAGAGAGAAGAAAATTGAACTGTTATTCTTGTAGATAAATTTTGAGTTTATCGTCTAAGTACTGCTGATCCAGACCCAGGATGCCAACCCCCGTATCCGATCTGGCGAGGTGCCTCGTTACACCGGTATTGCGAACTGCTTCACACGCGTGCAAGCAGAACAGGGATTCTTGGTATAATTCAGACCTTGAATTATACATCAGGAGGGTGATGAAGATCACATTTTTTCTCTATGCAGTAGGAGAGTACCAGTCTGAATCTTCCTCGTGATGAACAAAAACGGAAAATTTTGATATACAACTCTTGTTCGTTTGTTTTGATGCGCTCCGAAAAAAAAAATATACAACTCTTTTACCTCATCAAGTTCAATCTACATCTTCAGTAGAAATTAAGCGAAATCTATATGCCCATCCACCTGCTCAACATCATGCTCAAACTAACAGTCTTTCTGGCGTGGAAACGGAGCTAACGTCATCCGATACATCCCCCAGCAAGCGTTTAACTTGTCCTTCAAGGACACCATCAAGAAGTTGTTCCCGAAGTACTAATGATTTTTATTTTGTACGAAGGAAAACGCAGCTAGTTGCATATGTGTTGTTCGACGTGGTAACCAATTATTTCCAAAGAGCACCAAATCAACATCTAGGTACAACGCAAAGGAAAATTTCGCTGGATTTTTTGCGGTTAACTTGTCGTCTGCTGGTATCGCTGCTGCCGGCTCCCTCTCCATCTGCTACCCATTGGACTTCGCACGTATACCCTACAAAGATTAAGAGATCTTCTTGCTTATGGACGAGAATTTTATCACTTGGTTATAAGTATCTTCTTGAACTACGACATTGGAATTGGATGGCCTCACAAGCAGCCGATAATTGCTACAGAAGAGGCACCATGACATGACATACATGGTCGCAAGTATTAGAAGTAGTTTGTTTTGTGAAAGAACTGAGTGAAATCAATTTTCAAGTAAAGATATAACACCACGAGGACTACATCATGGTTCGTTCATCTCGTTATTGCATGATCAAGAACATGAATAACCTCCATGTTGTGCATGATACAAATATTATAGGTACGCGATTGGCATCGGATGTTGGTGGCGGAAAGAAGACTTTCAATGGCATCGGGGATTGCATTAGGAAGACAGTGGCGAACCAGGTATTTTTGATACAGAGGACGATGACAGCGTCTTTCAGGTTTTTTACTATGATTAGCAGTGCCACTAGTAGATCATCTTTGGTGTAAGAATTGATCATGCCAGTAGAAGTACCTGCTGTACTACCACTCCTAGAAATCTATCTTTTTTTAGTAAAATTTAAATTTTTTTACCAACCAAAATCTTAAAAATCAATATGAATATGAATATCTATGTTTAATACAACAGGGCGTCCTCGGTTTGTACAACGGATTCGGAGCGTCTGTTGCTGGTGTCGTTGTCTATCGTGGTCTGCAGATGGGATTTATGGATTCCATTATGGGGCTCAACCCTTGGCAGAAGGATCGCGGTATGATGGGTCTCGTCACTTGCTTCGTTGCGGCGCAGGTAATGATGGACTAAATTGATAGCACTTGTTCCAAATAATTCTTATTTTCTCGTGTAGGGGGCATGCACAGCTACGAGATGCATTTTTTTGTCAGCTAACTATAGTTCATCTTCTTGGTTGCACATGATCTTGATCAACATTTCTTCAACTTTCGCTTTTTATTACACAGTCAGATGGACCAATGATATAGTAGATAAACTACAAGGTACACAAGCTCCTGCCAACTACAAGAAAATACAACTTCTTGATCGTACTCCACGTCGACCTTTCTCTTGTACCATCACCAATCTTTAGTTTGCCGGCGTCGCCGCCCGTCCGTTTAACTACCCGTTCGACACCGTTCGTAGGCGCTTGCAGATGGAATCTGAAAAGCCTATGAACGAGCGTATGTACAAGGGAACTTTGCACTGCGCTGCCACCATCGTCAAGACAGAAGGCATCACCGGTTTGTACAAGGGAATTTTATGGCCGCATTTTTAACTATCTTCAAGTTCGAGTAGTTCTTGTAGTTTTATAACTTCTAATCTAATTGGAATTGGTTTCCAAGAATCTGGTAGAGCAAGATGAAACTTTTTTCTACTCCAAGAATAAGAACTACTTTTGTAACTGCTAGGTCGTGCAACTTGTCAATATACATAGATAGATGACGCTCAAAGCACTTAAATAAAACAACGGGTTAGTTTTTACGTCTGCTACGTAGCTGTATCCCTTCAAGCAATATATATAGATAGATGACGTAATCAAAGATTTGTTGAGACCGTAAAATCCAACGTATTTGATCGTGTAAATGTTTTTGATGACACACATCTTTTTCTAAGAATTGTCGCCGATGTCGTCCGTGGTGCGGGTTCCGCTCTCGTGTTGGTCGCTTACGATCGTATCAAGCTGCTCCTCGACTTGTAAACAGTTCTAGTACTTTGACATCACGCAGTAGATGTAGAAGTTTGTAGTACAACAACGCACAAGTAGAGAAGAGTTGCTCGTCCTGCGCTCGGACCGACAAAAACGGTCAGGCGGGAAAAAAGAAGCAAGACGATCCACCAGCACGCGAGTAGAAGAGAAGTACAACCTTCAACGAAGAACGGGAACCCTCCGAGTTTCTTCCTTGGTGGAAAAACGGCAGTTGTGGATCACGATTTTCACATATTTTTATTCGATAGTACAACGAAACATCACATCACATTAACACATCACGGGGTATAATTTGGTTTCAAGAGAGGACAACAAAGATTATAAGATCATCATCATGGGAATTTGACTTCTATAAGTAGTCAGATGAGGTTGTTATTTGATATTTCCAGCAAGAAAGAAAACGCATCTTCTTCTATCTATCTCGGAGATCGGCTGAGATTGATAGAAGACGTTCTAGAATTAAAAATCTTCCGGTATCGCGCACACTAGTGTGCGCGAGACCTTCTAATTGGAGTGTTGTGCCAGTTATTTAATTCGAATGTAATGCATACAAATTTCCCTCTCCATGAAGATGATGGAATAACTCAAAATTGGGTCAATTAGTTATGAGATTTCATTTTTTTGTAAATGTTAAATCGTAAAATCGATAATAAGTTTCTGTTAGTTGAGATGGAGGACGAGGATGGAGGTATCGATACAAGAATTAATTGTTGAAATTAAGTAGATGTACATAAGAAGATGAAGATAGCCTCAGCCATTCTTGTCAGGACAACACGGGGAAGATGAAGGACATGAAAACATTGCTGAGGATGATCGATGATCATGTTTGTGGCGGTGTTTCTCCCGCTGATGTGGTCACTCGTTGGGCCTGAACAGATGAGACGCAAACACAAAATGAAAGATCAAAAATGAAAGATCAGTCGATGATCATTCTGTACTCCACCACCACGACTATGGTGTGACCTCTCTCGTCCGAGAAGGTGCAATCCCACTTGACGACGAAGATGCGCAGTGCTGCTTGTCTACGGCGAGGAAGCAAGGGACGGTGTGCGCACTTTTAACGGCGTAGCTTTATTTGTCGGTATCCGAGACGGTTCATCATTTATGCCAAAGGTGGGTCGTGTGGCACGATCATGATGGACTGCTTGATCATGGGAGAGAGGAAAGAAGAGTCTGGCTAACGAAGTAGTCTCTAGATCGAATTGCTATTGACCATCATTCTGTGGAGAGTCATCAGGAGTAGTTTATGCGCGATCAATAAGTTGAAGTTGATCCAGGAAGAAGCTGTCCAGAGACAATCATTGATCCGCCTTTCCCTATTTGAAAGGACGATTTTGCGGTGTCTGTGAACTTTCGGTTTATGAGAGATTTATACATGCGTATTTTGGTAGCTCGATAGAAAAGGATAGCAGTATCAAACCTGCCCGATGAAGCCCTTTCCTAGCCGTTCTTTCATTTATGTTTGTTGCGACTACTTGCTTACCGAAGGATACCTGCTCACGCAGTATGGTTTTACGTCTTTCCTCCAACTTGTAAGTTCGTAGTTTTACTTCACGTAGCTGATAGACTTTTGCTTCAGCGTATATTGAGGACCACGGCTGGTGCTATTATCACTAGTAAGTACCAGCCGATGAATGAAGTGGTGTGATAGGAAAGTGACGGACACTCTTTGCGATTGCTCTCTCAAAGCAGTAGCAGGTGAAACTTGGGTCGAAGGCCACGCAAGGGCACAATTTGTTGACACGTACGCAGACCCCTGGTGACGTGGAGGGAGTGACGAAGCGCGTGATGTGCGTAGGAGTAGCGTACCGACCAATCTCTTGGAGCGGAAACTGCAGTTCCTGTGACGGAAGTGGTTTTCGATCGTAGGCAAGTATGGATTTGCCGGTCGGAAAGCATGAGGGCAGATGAGGAGCTTTTGACATGTCCATGTGCATCGATTGGTATCTTGGTGTGCAATGGACGGCATTGTGGGGATGGAGTGTCCCTTTCGTTGCATATACTATCGAGCACGGGAAAGCACGTCGGTCAACATGGCTTCTTGTAAGAACACCATGAAGAGTCGAGTGAATTGTGCGAAGCGGTGGCATCGGCGTAGCACAGCGACGGTTCGGGACACGTTGGGGACGCGCTCGTGCTCGGATAAGTACTTCAAAAAAGATTCGGGAACAAACACAGCAAAACCATGGTAGAAGAGAAGTGTTTTGGCATCATACTCCGGGAAAGGCAAGCACAGTCGAGCACGCAGATGCTGTCGGCGGATGCGCGTTTTCATGGGAGCTACGAAGCATTTGTTGCCATGAGTGGATGTCGCGGATCCTCGATTCACCACAGCTCGCTGCACGTATTCACCACGGAAACCGTTGGAATTTGAAGAGGAGTGCCTAAAGTTGTGGTTTTTTCGAATGACTGCGTTATGGCAAACACCCGGCGACAGCTACAGCTTAGCGTGGAGACGAAATTAGTGATACGAAGCGGATAGGCTGTTGGAGATTTCGATGGTACACGCCAGCTTGAGATGAGTTGGAACCGAGTGACTAGGTGCGTGACGCTGTCGAGTCAGCATTAGCAGAAGGCTACCGCAGTGTCGGGACGATCAGAGAGCGTACTGTGGAGATCACGCATGCGGTAACGCGGGCTTGTAGTTGCGATGAGAGGGTTTTTTTCTTCCGAACGACGAAAATGCGATTCTGGTTTCGGGCATGTAGCTCTGCACTGCAAAAGGTCAGCAGTCTCGCATGACGAACCACAGGAAATCCGGAGACGCCGATACTATTGGTCACCCTGCCACTAGCCGTAGGTGAGTAGGGGTTTCGTAAAGGGGACTAGTGGATTGTGCTATATCTTCGATGCCAGCATAGCGTGCTTTCCAGGTCATTGCCAGCAACGCGCGGTGTCTGACACACCGATAGTGCAGTGTCGAGTTCGACAGCGAGACATTGCCAGCAGCGGGGCTCACGCGCTGTAAGCCAGAAGAGACGGTGTAATTCAGCCGCTGTGGGGACACCGCGCGTAAAGTGGATGGTCCCGACACCAAGCGCATTTTTGGATGCGACAAGGAGTTGTGCAAGGTATACCAGTCGGGTGAAGTGTGAGATCACATCGAAGCACACTGCCGACGGGCTGAGTGAATAAATGGCTTGTTCGGTGCTTATGCTTGCTTCTGGCGAGGGCTTGCAGCAAGCGACCTGGAGTCGTCAAGGATGCGCACAAGCAATGCTGAGCGGATCTTTGCAGTGATGTGCCTGGATGGCTAGAAGCGCTGCTTGAAAGGAAACATGACGCTCGGCGAGCTTTTTGAACGCGCGATCCTCTTACTCTGAATCCTGTAGTGTACGCGTTGCAAGGGCAGTTCTGAATGCATGAAACCGAACCGACGCAGTGGCGCGTCACGTCATGTGGGATCACGGGATTCTGGCTGCGGTAGGAGGCGGCATAGAAGAGCGGCCACTGAGGAGGCTTCTGGCGCGCCTGGTGTGACAATGGGTCGATACTGTTGAGGAAGTATGACAAAGCGTCGCTGGAGGGTTTCTTGATCACACAGACTCCTACGAGCTGGTTGTTTGAGATTGCGCGCACTTCTGTTTACTGAGCTATGTGGTCATCTACTAATACGATATGAAGAATGACTACAACTTCGGCGATGTTGATGCCCTTTCTGCACAACTCCTTCCGATTGAAGAGCTATCATCTGCAGGTCTTATTTCGGCATCAGGCAACAGGATCGGTGGCACGTCGATGTATTAGTGTACAAGATGCAAAAGGGGGGGAGAGACTAACCCGGAGTGAGTAACTGCTGGTTGAAGAAGTAGAAGAACGAGTGAGCCGTAACGGGAAGGTAAGACAAAGAGGCCGTCTGATTGGATAACGAGTATATGGTGAGTTTATAGTCTTGAAACAAGAAGCATTCTGTGGTTGATACCCAGACATCATTCTTCCTTGCCACTATCCAACTACGCACGTCAACGTTATCTCTCACGACTAACTTGATTACTCGACTTCATCTCAACTATTGTTTGATCTACTTCAACAAAATGTCACCCACGCACGATCCGGTTTCATCCGGTCCACGCGATATCCGATTGTGAAATAATTGCGAAACGATGTCATTGCGAATCGCGACGGCTGTGTGGATTTTCACGACTATCAGACACGATAAAAGTACTCGGAGCGCCGCTCTAACAACCACAACCCGTCAAGATGGCGAAGATGATGAAGATGTCCGGTACTACATGTCACTTCTTTTTGTGGTTGATAGGGACTCGGGATTGAGTATAGGGACCCCTTTTGTTGATGCCACAGAAAATGACACTAGGATTCTCATAACATGAACGACTAGGACCAGGTCTTGTATGACGCACCTCAAAGCCAACCTCAGCTTTCAATCAAACTCACACACAGCCATGAAGATGGCCATGAAGAGTGGCATGAAAAAGAAGATGAACGAGTACTTCACCAAGATGCAGGCTGCCCGCAAGGCCAACGCCAAGAGCTTCGAGTACAAAGGCAAGACCTACGTCCAGATGAAGGCCAAGACCGGCATGATCATGTACAAGGCCAAGTAAACGGTTGGAACCTTGAAGATCAACGTCATGTTGTGGATCAACATGTCGCCGGAGGGGAGGATGTTTGGTTTGTCGGTTGTCACGGTTTGTCCGCTGTTGGCTCAGAGGTTCGATATCGAGTACATTTCTACGGTGATCTAGTTAGTGGATTGCTGGCAGAAGGATCCGCTGATTCTCTGAGGATACGCAGAAGGCTTGCGTCTGTTATCGCGTCCGGTGACGATCGAGGTGCAGATTGTCTGAGGACACGAGGGAGATTCGCTCCTGTTTGCGTGTACATTGCAGACTTTCTGAGGACACGAAGATGGGTTTCTCAGCTTCGCCAGTCCGTCGACGATCAATGCAGTAGTCCACTAGCATTACTTCTGGGGTTGGATGAAGATAGTCGTAGAGGTGTGCAGATATCGGTCTCTCGCCAACATGACGAAAGGGCTGGACACATGAGACGCAGTTTTCACTGTCCAGTGATTCACAGACTCTCTTGTGGTGTAATTCTACAGAGTGGGTTTGTCGAAAAAAGTAAGAGACTCCGGGAGGAGTGGTGAACGCAAGTAGAGAAGTGTTCCACTATGTGAGTCCCTTTTTTTCCAAGGACAAACGAGCGAGAGATGTCACAGCTGCATGAATGAGAAGAATCTGATGACCGGGAACGAGAGATTTTTTGCTATGTTGTTGCAGTGCATTTTCACACATCTTCCATTATGGCGCAACCTTCTATTGATGCTATGGTTCATCTCTTTCATCTTTTAGTACAAGTTTCTTTCTCCTTTTGTCTAGTTTTCGATCAACATTTTATTTTGCTTATAGAACTTCCTCTTCCATAGGTTAGTTGTTATTATGATCGGGAAGTCAAAGTCCTTGTTTCTTTGAGCAGTTTCAACTACCATCTTGTTCATTCGTCATCACCCTCTCCCAATCAAACCAACACGTAGGGAAATCATAAAACTTTGTAGTCTTTTCGACTTCACACAACACTCCTCAAGATGGCCAAGATGATGATGAAGAAGGCTGCCGCCGCTCCGGCCCCGGCTATGAAGTCCATGAAGAAGATGTCCATGAAGATGATGAAGAAGAAGTAAATCTTCTAACATCCTTCAAACTTCAATGAGGATGAAAGCCTAAATGGCTAAGGAAAGTCTCGCGAGTCGTGGGATCTTCTACGCTCGCTTGAGACAGAAATGTAGAAAATGTGAGAAGACGTAGGGCCTCTACGCTCTTGGCATTACTACGAAGAAAAGACTTAGACGCTCGGCGTTCTGTGGCCTGTGTTGCTACTTTCGTTGACGGTCACGTCATATGTGTTCCTAGAATTGAGCGAGTCCATCTCTTGAATGCTAAATGTCGTGTCGAATCCTGACGTGCGTTCTCACGAACTTCACCACTGCTGACAGGCTTCCCAGCGTCGCCTTTTCTACTTCACGAGTCCAGATTCTTCCTTACTCACCGCTTAAGGCGATCCAGCCCTGATCCATCCTTGTTCTCTGCCTGCTACACATCCAGAATACACTGGTGATTCCTTGAGAATACGAATATCGATTTCTGGCCTGAGGTCCTCATTCGCAATAGAGTTGCCAACAGGTGCATGCTGTCTGAACGGCCATTCCTCAAGTGATTCATTCCACGGATAGAGATCAGAGTATCTCCAAATTACCACTCGCTAAACGCAGGTTCTAACGATATGCTTTCGTTCCACCATTGCGATTCGTCCTCAATTTTTCTACTGCTTAGCAGATCTCAGCATTGTAACCATGTGTGTCATCTCTGACATCTGAAGTTGATGAACAAAATGGTGTCCATGCCTACGGCATACTTGGATCCAGCCTCTCCGTCCTCTCTCTGTGCGACCGTCGCATCCGTTCGCCAGGCGAACAAAGGACTCTGCTTCCTGAAGCTAACTGACGTGGATGATGCTGCCTCAGAGGTCTCAGTCGTGCAGCTCACTGTGTGGAATCTGCCAGCGTTGACTCGCCTGAAAGTCGCTGATAGAATCAAAGCGACGTCAATAGAGCCGGACCCATACGCACCCGTTTCAGAGAGGTCTGTGCAAGCATATCTTCTTCGTGATGGATCGCTGCTTGAGATACTAGGATCATGCGTTGACTCTGTGCGATCGGTGGCGACCTACGCAGGTGTAGAAAGGTTTCACTTCACGCCAGACAATGTGCGATGGGGTTCCTCTTTACGGCGAATGCGCGTGGGCGCAGTCAATGTCCTAAGCTGGTCAGGCGACTCAGAGGATGCACTTCCTATTCCTCCTTATGCTCGCAGCAACTTCCCCAGTGACAATCCAAAGATCTTGTCGCCTATTCTACTGCCGACGACTGACACGTCTGCTGTTGCAATTACCAGACATCAGGAGGCTCTCCGTGTCGTTGGATGGCGAGTTTGCTGCCCCAGTGATCCTGAGTTGGTAGAAATTCTTAGAGACAAGGCGCAACTAGTCAAGCATGCTGAGGCTTTCGGCTTGCGTGAGAGGCATTTTCCTTGGTCTGTCAATGACGCTGAGATTGTCGCACTTCAAGAACCTCCTTACAAGCGCTTGCCTGCAGTCTGGAAGCCGCGCTACGGACAGTTTGGTCGTGGGGTGCGCCTCATTGAAACAGAAGGTGAGTTAGATCAACTTATCGCTCACTGCAAGGAGAAACATGGTGATGCAACCACGTGTCGAGAGGTAGGAGGCTTCCCGATGCTTGGTGTATTGCAAGAGTATGTTGGAGGCGCGCGAGAATGCTCAGCGTCTCTGCTCGTGTGGAAAGGCAAGATTGTTGATTCTGTGGTATGCGAGTACTACTACCACGGAGTAGCTAGTTCATCTGTCTGCTCTGGCACCAGTAAAAAGACTCTGTCACCTCATTGTGTAGCCGCACTTCCCGATTCAATGTCCTCTTCTAGTGTTAGTGCGTCCGAAACGAGGAATCGAGATGATGGCAACATCGAGGAGGAAGCCAGTAAGAGGGACCTGGAAGCCGAAGCAAGCATGACAAATCAATGTGGTGGATACGAACACGCCTCATCTGAGGTGCCACACATCTGGCCACAGAAGGCTGTCGAGGATCGGACAAAACGGCGTTTTCTAGAACTCCCACGCAAGCATGCGCAGGTTTTCGAGCAGCTTCTAACTCCTGCTTTTTCTGGCGTTTGCAACTTCAACTACAAAGTCGTGATTAAGCAGGACGAGGCGGAGGAGGAGAAACAGCCTGTCGTCGAAGGAGAAGACGAGAACAGCAGCATGATTGAAGCTCTGCGTATTTTTGAATGCAATCCACGACCGGGCGGAGATCTCATTCAAGACGCCCCACGAGAAATCGGTGCGAGATTTCTCGAGAAGCTAGACTCGCTGCTGCGCGAAGACAATAGTGCGTCGACTGCTTCTGTGACAACTGCTCTGTCGCGCTCAAATAGCACAGCCTCGTCCTCTTCCGATCCAAGTAATGCGACAAAACTGTCGAATCCGTCGCTCGTTTCGGTTGTTATGCCGTGTTACAATGCCGCTGAAGATTTAGATGCCTGTATCGAATCCATTGTCAAGCAGACATATCCGAATTTGGAGCTCGTGTGTCACGACGATTGCAGCAGCCGAGATAACACACGAGAACTACTGCTAGATTGGCTGGAAGCGTGTCAAAAGGTTCTCTCAGACCAACGTAGAGACAAGGAGGCTCAGAACGGTGCAAGCGACAACAGCAGTGGCAGTGCAGTAGAGCGTGCCAACGAGTGGATCGGCCTAGGAGAGCAAGATCGCAAGTTTCGGCGGCGGGATGTACTGCGTCAGCGGCGACTAGTGCAAGGTAGGGCAAACTGTTTCTCAATCGTCCTTTCGTTCGGTGCAGTGAATCGTGGAGAGGGCTTTGCTAGGAACGAAGCCGTTCGCCATGCCAAGGGCGACTACCTCTGCACGATGGATGCTGACGATTTGATGCACCCAGACCGCATTATCTCGCAGTACAAGCTGTGCCTTGTGCATCCGGACGCTCTTATCGGCGGAAACTTCGAACGCGTACCTGAGGGATCCACGCACCGCTACACGACGTGGGCAAACGGACTTAGCGCAGAGGGTGTCTACTTAGACCAGTATCGGGAAGTGACGATGATTCACCCGACTTGGTTCATGCGACGTGAGGTGTTCGAACGTGCAGGTGGCTACCACGAACGGGAATTGCAAGGTGCGAACCGGTGGTCGGATCAGGTAAACATTGCGCGCGGAGCTGCGTCTTGCCTGGCAGCAGGACTAACGGAAGCTATGACGGATTTTCCGATAACGTCCTCTGAGGCAGCGCTGCTGGAGAAGACGTCGCAAGAAAGGGACGACGCCCAGAACAAGTGGCGCTCTCCTCTCGCAGCAGATTTGCGATTTTTTCACTGTCATTTGGATGCTGGTGGTTCCTTGCGGAAAGTCGATGACGTTGTGCTGACCTATCGACATCGTCCCGGAGCTAGCTTATGCGCAGAAACGAGTAGGCGAATCTTGTTTGAGGTTCGATGTCGAGCACTGGAACGGCGAGTTCTCTTGCAACGTGTAGTACGGGCAGCAGGCGATGGCGAAGAGCAGCAGGGCCACATCATCAAGAACCATCATCTCGGAGGACAGCTAGTACGTGACTGGAGGTCCGAAGGCTTTACGATTTGGGGTTGCGGGAGAGACGGAAAGCTGTTTTTTCAGACGCTATCCGAAGTGGTCAAGCGAAACTTCGTGAACGCCTTCTGTGACGTAGCTGAAAGACGGCTTTTGGAAACCACGGAAATCACTGAAAATGGGAAGCGACGGACCACGAGGCGAAAGAGGACGGTGATGTCTGGGAAAAATGGTGATAGCAAAGGAGGTAGTTACTGCGCATCGACGACCTCGACGAAGCCATCTTCCCACATGAGGACCACCGCAAAGCGTTTTTACGTTCATTGCGACTACGGTGACCTGAAGATCCCGATATTGGCACCGGAGGAAGCGAAGCCACTTTTTATTATATGCGTTGCGAAATGCCGCTACTACGCAGAGGTGATGGAAGTGATGCGAACACGAATACCAGGTGGTGAGAATCTCGTTGAGGGAAGGGATTATTGGTTTTTCTGCTGATGGGATTTTAATTGCGTTTTGAACCCTATGATTATTGATCCGTCTGGAACCACAAACCGTAACCGTCGTGATCATGATCACGACTGACTCTACTACACGGTGCCGATGAGCGCATACGTGGCATCGGTTTGCAGCGTGAATCTCATCTGCTACTTCTTGCGGACCTTCGGTGCGGGACTGTTCTCACGGAACATGACACCTAAGATCGGCATTCGGTTTGGACAAGAACACGCGAGTGAAATGAGGACAGATGAAATAGTGACACAGAAATATGTCGGACACGGAAATAGTGACAGCTGTAGATCTAGTCGGTCCTCGTCCTGCAAGTAAGAGCGTATCGTACTTAAAAGCTTGGAGCGTCGAACTTCCAAAAAATGACGAGTCTTTGCTTGCCCACTGTGTGAAAGACCACACAATTTTCGGAAGGTGCTGTATGTATACCAGTCATGCTCATGCCGGACAACAGCCAAATGCAAGTACTGTTCGAAACGATCGAGAGGGAGCGGCGTGACGCCGCAGACGTGCTCGAGCGGGCCGGAACTGATTTATGGCGGCATATCGAATCCCTAGCTAGGGAGTCATTGCCACCACGAGATCTCTGCTACGCGGAAAGCAAATTGAGACTGGTGCAGACTGAAGTCGAACTATCAGCCTTCATCGAAGTGCTGGACCGGTTTACGTCAACAGGAGCCGGACCAGGAAGTGCTGGCAGAAAGCACGATGAGGAATTCCGAATGTTATCGTTGTGTGCCGTTTTTCTGGACTCTGACATGGTGCAAGACCTGATCCGCGAAGAAGACGATCGCGATGATTTGTCCTCGTGGTCATCGTCGTTAAGGCTCCTATCTTCGCTATCTAGTACTGGATTATCAGTGGTTGTAGCGCTTTCAAAGTTTGTCGCTCTTTCTACAGCTTTATGAGAAATGGAGGCGACCATGATGCTCCTCATCCTGCTCTAATCCCAGATGTGTCAACGCCCGCTGCAGAGCTCTGTTGGGAACGCATGTGCACTTTGGTCAAAAAAAGACGACAAAGCATTTCTGTCTTTGCGAAGAACAACCTCGTTGATGAGCATAGTACTTGTACAACTGCTGAACAAAGCAAGAACAAGAAGAACACGCTCTATACGAAGATGAATCATATAGCTGCGTTCCTCCTTGAGGATGTGCGGGCAACAGCAGCGGAGCGTTTGTGTGGTTACCAGGTTGGTCGCTGTGTGCTGAGAAACTTGAGTCGGGCTCCGAGTAGAGGTCTGAATGGCTATTTAGGGAAAGCCAGATCCTCCGAATTGGCGACCTTGAGACCGAATAATTCGATGATGGGCGGCGCTGCTTCGATGTTGAGATGAAATACTTGGATACAGATGGTGTTTGGCAGTCAGGTCATATTAGATACTAACTAAGTCTAAGCCTAAGACTACATCTTGAACTTCATCACTACATCCGCGTCCGACCTCACATCCACATCTTGCTTCTAAGAATCCCAGTCGACACATCATCCTCGGTGGTTCGGACGTCGTCTTTCGCGACCTCGTCTTGCACCGAAGAAGAAGACGAGGATTTGTCGTCGGCGACTTCGGAGGAGGATGCGGCAAAAAAAGTGGAACGCAAGGCTTCGGAAAAGCAGACAACGGAAGTTCTAGACACAGCGCTGTTTCAGTCTAGTTTGGACCTCGTTTTGTCGCGACAGCCTCGCCAAAGCGCGACTGGGTATGCTGATGGTGAACAAGGTGGGCAAGGAGAAAAGATGAACGGGAAGATGACATTTTTAATGTCGCATCTTCCGATTTCCGTTCTCTTGACTCGAGAAGAACGACAGCGGCTTCTAGGCGAATCGAAGTCAGAGCAAAAGAGCAACGTAAGGTGCTCGAGTGCAGCAACTTCCGCTTTGACTTCCACCACTAGCGTTCCACCAGCCACTTCTACACGTCAACTCTTACAACCAGGAGGAGGTGGATCGGTACAGGTGACGAATTCTCGACCAACGACACCTAGCTCTCCCACTGCGGCTGCACGCATGGCGAGAACTGGAACTGTGGCTGTCGCGGCTGTTGCAAAGAGTGCGGCCCTGTTGCCTTCACAACTGTGGGCAGCTGCTAGAGACCGGCTCAAGGCAGAAGATGATGAAAGCCTGGCGCCTCTATTCGGAACGAACAACAGAAAACCAGGTGCTGCTGCACTTGCCGCGTTGCTGGGGGAAGGAGAAGACGAGTCAGCTTCAGTCGATGAATCAGAAGTAGCGCATCATAAAAATGTTGAAAAATGCGAATCCGGAGGACGGGGAGGTAGTAAAAAAGTCGAAGAACAACTCCTCCAAGTTGTACAAGTAGAACAAGATGAAGCCAAGAATGAATATAATGGTAAAGCAATAGCGAAGAAGAACGAAGAACGTCAAGAACTAGCATCATCTGACGATGAAGAAAGTGAAGAAGATCTCCTTGTCACTGGAAAATGGAGGAGTAGTTCTACTTCAGGACTAGCTGAAAACAAATTCATATGCATAACGTCAACTTCTTCCTCGGGGGGTGGAAATTCACATCTACGCGACACTTTAGTCAAGGCTCTTGCTGAGAAGATTGAGAAGTCTCCTGACCTCGACCTAGAAGAACGTTTGCAACAAGAAAAGCTTTTTCTACGATTGTGCCTGATCGGAAAAACTTGTTGTAGTTCTCGGTCTACTAGCTTTACTTCATCTTCTCCTTCTCCTCCTTCTGCTGCCAGCGCAGATCATCTAGATCTACCTTCTCCTCCACCTCCTGCGTCGATTATACCTCTTTCTTCAGAAGTCGTTAACGTTCTCATCTGCCAAATCCTACGTGCCTACGCGAAGCATGTTGAGGTCATGTGTCGTGGCGAAATGGACCTGTTGTCTTCTCAACATCAAGTAGATCTAGATCTTGGAGGTGGCGGTTCATCGGGTTCTCCTCAACTCCTCATATCCGGCGTGCTTCTAGAAGCAGAGAAACAAACCTTTGCGAGACAGCTGCAGCATGCAGCGCGCGACATGCTTTTTGCCAAATTTCAAGAAGAGTTTCAAAGGGAAGAGAATGATAGGACGAGAAAAGAAATAGAAATATTAGGATCTTCCACAAGTAGTAGTTCAACATCCTGCTCGTGTACTTCATCTGTCCGTGACCTTTTAGAGGAAACCAAGAATCCCTTGACGACCTTCGCATCTGGCAAATGCCTGCCGCAAGGGCGAAGCGCTCTGGGTGGAACACTGTCACCAGAGCACGTCTTGCCGAAAATACTTTACCTTGCTTGCCGATTGATGGTAATTCTCACGTATATTCAGGACGATTGTCGTGGCAAGAAGAACGACCACCATCTTCAAACTGAAGTAAGTGCTTCATCTTCTCAGGCCGCAAGCGTGCTTCGTATTGCCACCACCACAAAAGAAGAACTCTCCAGTCTTCTTGCGTCCTTGCTTGACTCGAGTTCACTCTCTGCTCTTGATACAGTGACCAGTTTGCTTCTGCGCTTTTTGTGCTGCTGTGACAAATCCTCTACTGCAAGTCGTGACACAACTTCTGGTGTGGCTGGTACTACTTCTTCTTCTACTGAAAATCATGTCGTGGACATGGAGGTAGAGCAAAGTGTTAGTCCTGATGATAATCATCAAGCAGATCAACAAGAACAAGGAGAGGAAACGCAAGAACAGCATGCTACAGAGCTTCTGCACGAGGCAGATCATGTTATGGCTCAGTCCTAGTCATTGTTACGAACATCATCTTCGCATTCGCAAATCACTGTAGTTATATTTTTTTCGCGACGGAAGTACAAGAAGTGCGTCTACGTGGTTAGCTGTTAAAGCTAATAATAACTTGCCGCATGAACGTGAAGCGAACGACATTCCCCTGAAGGTCATGCCACTTCTTCTAATCTCCAAATCCTTCGTGCTCTCCTCGCCGTTTTCTTTGTATGCAAGCGTCTACGCTCCTCCGCAACGACAGTCGTAACAGCATTACGCCGCTCCTTTTCGAAACTGTGCATGGCACTTGTTGGGCGCAAAAAATTTGCTCTGCAAGTATCAGCTGAACTACTCAGCGCGAAAAGATTGCAGAATAGCATTGTGCGAGATGTGACGCAAACGTTTACTCATGATCTTTTGAACAACGACCCTTTTCCCTTAGGATCAAATTCAGGTAACCAAATACCGGAACCATTCATTAGTGCCCACAAGCATGGTATCCTGGAATTAGCACGTAAACGATTTCAACTTCCGCCACTACAAACGTCCATGATGAACAAGTTTTCCACCTTCTCCAACTCCAACCAACATACGCTTCAGCAAGACGAACAGGAACGCAATGCCCCTGCCGTATGGCGTGCCGGGGTTCCGACAGTTTACCTCGCGCCACGTGCGCGTGTCTTGGCACTAGACTATTTTTTGGAAAGTAGGGTGTTTATTGAGGACAAGAATAAGAAATAGAAATAGCAGCTGGAGAACATGAACAAAGTGGTTTTCAGTTTCACTGTGTTAGGTTTGCTTCTAGTAGAAGCAGCTGGTGTGATCATGTACCAATTATATGCAGATAGTGAGGACGACCGTGTGAACATCAAACAAGCCTAAGAAGTTGTACTAGTAGTACTGCGAGCCTTTTTTTGACTTTTCCTTGTAGCGACGATGAATCAGATGCACATCTGCTGCCAGTGATCTTCTTGCTTTCATCTTTGAGAACTAAAAATTTTGCGATCATCACATAGTCCACCACTAGCATGTTCTGGAATGAAAAGAAACACTACGTTTACCGTCAAACTGACGAAGATCTTCAATATGAGGAGACATGCCGCTCTACCGCTTTGCCTGGATCTGGTTCCACTCCAGAATCCAATAAACCGGCCTTTTCCTGCATCACGTAGTTTGAATCCTTGAACTCTTTCTGAAGAGACATATGGTATTAAGTCAATAAGTAAGTAGATTGACAACTTCTAGTAAAATTTCACTATGCAGCTTTTTTAACAGACCACTAGGGACGACAATTTCTTTGTAGTTGTATCCGCCATTGCCTCGTTGGCAGGAGTGATAGAAACTGCGAACGCCATCTAGAAGCTTACAAACAAGAAGAGCAGCAAATAGTTGTACTAGTACTTCCTAGTAAGTCAGGGAACAAGAAAAATGGTGCTTGACTATTCTCGTTGGGCTCACATTGGCACTTCGTCAAGTAGCGATGATGAGCCACTGCCACAGAGGAATGCTCCTACGGGTTCAATTAAGACAATCACCTCATCTTCTCTTGGAGATGGGGGGACACCTGTTTTACTCAATGACGGAGGCGCAGGTAGCTCGTCGTCCTCGAAGCCGCTGTCTCCTCTCTGGAGCACCAAAGTGTATTCGGAAGAACACACGCGATGCATGAAGAACAAAGCCCCAAAGATGTGCAGACTGAACAACGACTCACGGTTGGTTAGGCCTGAACACAAGGACTTCTTCGTCAAGGAAATGACTTATCCGCAAAGGATAATGCTCTTGACGAGATTTTGGAATGCGACGGAGTCGGTATTTTCACGAGAACGATGATGTTTGCTGGTCTACTACGAGGCCTCGAGCTGCTAGAAATTCGAACAAATCCTTTGAATTTAAATACTCCATATTTTGGTCTACTTTAATATCTCCTGTTCGTGTTTCATCACGACTAGTTCTACAACATATTAAAGAATTAGATTTCAATTTCATCTTACATGACCTTCACTACAAGTATAACTAACAGGTAGAAGACCGTGCCGTCTTCATCAGACGCTTAATCGAGATCCTCGAGAAGTCTGGTGCGCCTCACATGGCGAAAGGCATTGGTGGAGGAGCTGAGATTTTAAACAATGTAGCCATCGACTTAGCCGCAGAGACAGTTACGTACCCACCACAGTGGCTGGAGTACTTCAAGAAGCGCACAGTCACAGAGAAAACTGAAATCTTCGAAGCCTTCTTTGCAGCAATGGACTCGAAGGAACAGGCGTGGCTAGTTGGGGGTCTGAGTGGGTATGGAACGCCTGGGAGGGGGTGAAGACTTTAGAAGGCGTTCCATAGGTAAGAGGACTTACTTATACTTGGGACAAGAACGAGTGAATGCAGAAATACAGTGGGCGTCTTTCAAGAAACTCTAATTGTACGTCCCACTCACAAGAAAAGAAGGTGCCCCTACTTACTCCGTTTGCTGACGTAAGTACTGCCCGCGTCATCGCGCTGACATGCTCACCCCCACATACATTAACCCCCTTGTTAGCATGCAGGAACCCTGTAAAAATATAACAGAGTAGTTTATAGCACGCATGGCGCATGGAGTGCATGGAGTAGCATGGAGTGCATGGAGCGCAGAGCTTTAATGGGCGCAAGAAGCTCCCCCTTTAGCTCCATGCTACTCCATGTGATCCATGCACTCCATGCCATGCGAGCTGTGAAACCTTATAAATTGCTCTGATATAAAACTGTTCTTTTTCACATGACCCTATTCCTCAAAATACTGAAGGCATTGTGCAGCGGCCGCGAGTCTTGACACGTATACGATACTGTTTACGGTGTCAAGTAGAACAAGTTGATGTTGTATTCCGATGCAGCTGATTGTTCAAAAATGTTCAACCTACGCGACTACTAGAAACCGGAGGGATTGTGCCGACCGAAAAAAATAACTCCATTTCGCAATCTGTGGCGACCGACGTAAAATTTTAGTTTTGCCATCCCGATCGGTGTCAAATTTTACTCCCGATCTGTCGCGTCGGTATTGAACTGCGTACATCAGTTGCGCACGTAAGCAGAAGCCGCTACTGCGTGTGATACCCCTTTTTTATCGGTCTGTATCTCAATCGGTCAGCCATTTGGCGCAACCCAGGACTCTCTCCCTTTTCCCCACTCCGATTGAAAATTCGCAAACTCTAATGAATGAAGCGGTATCGCAATTATAGAAGTGGCTGCTGCTTCTAGGTTTTCAAAAACAGTTTGATGGTATCGTCGCACTCTTCACATGCACACTTTGCTTTGCCCCACCAGAATGAATAAAGATATAGGCTTGTGCTGTCTGCTTACGGAACAGAGCATGGTCCGTCACTCTCCTTCCTGTTCTCGACGTTCCCCAAAACAAGACGGTTTCGCTAAAAATGAAGTCATCTACTGTGTCTTCATCCCTGTTGCGACGAAGATGCTATCTGTTAGTTCTGCTGCAAGGACGAGGACTGCAAGTCATTGCGCACACGAGTACTACTGCTGTTGCAGAGTCTCCTTTTGTAGCTGCTGCTCAAGCGGCCCTAGCAAATCTGGATATTGATCATGCCAGGACTGCTGATGCTGATCAAGAAGGTTCTGAAGATGCAGAACTAGATGATGATGATGAAGATAGACTAGATGGAGACCGAGAAGAAATTGCGAGGTTGCCTAGTATTAGGTATACGGATACCGGTGGTGGTAGTGACGAGAGCAACTACAACAACCTACTGCAGCAGGAAGATCCATCATTAACGTCATCTTTGTCTGCTGGTCGTGCCACGAGAGCAGGCTCCATGACATCTGATTACAAATACCAGGGACAAGGATTAGGACAAGAAAGAGCCTCACCATATCAATCTCTAGATCCAGACCCTGTCCTAGAAGCACTAGCTCGTGATGTGGAGTCTTTTTCCAGGTCAGCACAGGAGTTAGGGCGTCGCGCAGAGGCGGCGATTGCCGCAGCAATGACAGCGCATGCAGCGAACAAGAGTTTCGAAGCCGAAAGGCTGGCGACAGCTGCAACTTTCTATGCGCGTGCAGCTCAGTTGGATCTACGGAGGGCGGAAGAAGCAGGACGATCGCTTGAAGAGAGGAGAGCTGTTTTGAGGCAGGTACTAGAGTTCTTGAGGTACTACATTGAATGTAGACAGGTTCTAGAGTTCTTGAGGTACTATAATATTGAATGTGGCTCCTGTGTGCCTTTTTTTACAATTTGTTTCCTTGGTTCCTGTCTTCAAAGATGATGTTTTTCACATAAATAGTACGCAGTGTAGTTAATGATCTGTCGACGTGTCGTTCCTCACGACATTGCTACAGCGGTCTTCTTGTTTACCGTCAACACTTTGGAAAAACGACAGGTAAACGGAATAACTCCTCCTGGATACAATAATGGAAACACTGGGAATCCCTACGGCAATGGAAGCCCTGGCATTGGATCATCAGTGCCATCTCCTGGAAGTAATGGTAATGGAGATTACCAACAACACGGATACTACGATCCAGGGGGGAACTATTACAATTTTTTCGACGGCCAGCAGAGCACCGCAGACACAACCAGCAGTGGCAACGTTATGAAAACCGCAGACTCATCTTTTTCAAACTCGATTTTTGAGAATCCTTAGAGCTGCACCGAACTTCTACTTGGCAGCACATGAGTAGACTACGCTAGATAATTGATTCCATCTCTAAAATTGATTCCATCTCTAAAAACATCCTGAACAACGCGGCGTACAATTATGGCGACATACGATCACAAGAAGACGACATGGGTTCGCAGACTGTGCCAGCATACTGGAGTCCATCACAGATGTGGATGCAGATGCTGTGGTTCCTGTTTTCTTGTCTCTGCTGTTTCGGTTCGCTCTACGGTTGTGTGTGGATTGCGTTGGGTGGAGATTTTCTCTTCGGCGGCGGAGGTGGCTACAATCGGTCTCGGCAAACCATGTCAACAGCACGAAGAGATGGCGTTCTTGATGCTCCTTACTACACACATTCTCGTGATCCAGTTTGGCTTTCCAATATGCGTGCTGGGTGGAGGAGGCTTACGAACTTCAGAGGGGATCCGCAGTACTCTGGATTGTATGGGACTTCTTCATCTCCCCATCCACCGAGGAATTCTAGTATGAGAACGCCTGCTGCTCGTGGCGTAGAGGGGGGGCATGGGCACTATCAAGTAGAACAAAGGAGAGGTCCAGGCTGAGGAGCGGGAGGGTGGTCCATATCATGATCCTATCAGCACTTCCACTAACTCGAAAAAACGGTTGGTGAAGAAGATCACCATAATGCTGTTGCCGCTACTACAGCTAGAAGCATGTTTTCCAATAATTCGTCCTGCGTGTAGCAGGTGTCATATGCCTACAATGTAGTACAATTATGGACGCACTGGAATGGAATGATGTTGCTGTAAAGATGGCCGCTTACTCCAACCATGTATTGCACTATAATGATGTTCCATCAACAGACAGAGACTCACTTGGACTTCAAAGCGTTTCTTGGGATCCTAGCAATCCACACAAAAGTAGTACGGGTGGGACAATCATGCTCATGTGACGTAGTTAGAGCAGAGAATCTTGGCAAGAGATGAGGGAAAGTACGACCACCATGATGACAGAGCGACGGAGCGATAAAAGACGCAACTACCTAGTACTACAGACGAGTTGTTGAGATGTGAAGAGCAAAACGTTAACATGATCCATATCCGAGTGCGTTATCATAATGTTGAAACTCTTGAAAATACAAATTTAACAATTACTGTTCTCGTCCAATCGTAGCTGGAAGCTGATTTTCACATGTCGAAATGACATTTTTTCGTGCTATTTTTGTCTTCTTTTGTTAAGAAACATCATAGCAAGAAATTGAAATTCAATTTTGCAAATTCAAGACTCGCAAGTAAGAAGTTACATTTTGAGCAATCTATCATATTTTTAAGCAGTTGTAAAATCCACCAAGGTATAACAAGTAGAACAACAAAGAGCACACAGCATTCATAGTTGAAATCCACATCACAAAAACGTAAGTCAGCAGGTTCTCCACGTCTCAATCTCATTGTGCGTCGTCCTGGTGCAGTGTTGAGCGAGGACCGCACAGCGTCGCGACCACACGACGAAGACATAATGGAGGCCGACACAAAAGTTCCTCTCAACGAGGACGACGTCCCTCGCCTTCCAACCGTCCACGAGAAGATGGAGGAGATCCTTTCTCCTATGGATCAGGTTGTTCTAGCTGGTTTTCCGCAAGAAGAAGTAGTAGATGCGCGTTTGCTGCAGATGGAACGCTTTCTAGCGGAGTGTGGACCAGAGGCGCTCGCTCCTTTTCGACAACAGTGCGAGGAGCTGATGCTCTATGATCAGCGTGACTTCTGCGGTACTTCTAGTACTTCTAGCACGTTGGGACGAGGAGATGGAGAAGATGAAGAAGGTCGTGGAGATGTAGATCCAAACATCAAGGATGTCTTGGGCTTGCTCGTAAAAGGTGACTCAGCGTTTTAAGGCTACAGAGACGAAATATGAAGATTCACCATGGTTTCTTGATCGTTGGTGTATTTCCTAAATATCAGACAAGAAGAAACTATTCGGATTTCCTACATATCATGAATTATTTTTGGCCATATTTATTAGAACAAGTTCTAAATCTTGGTAGGCAAATGCGCTGACATAAGAGGAGTTTCGAAGCGCCAGCTTCGAGGATTGTATGAGGAGGCAGAGGACCAGAAGAAGGAAAACTCCGAAAAAAAGAAGCATTCGACTACGTTGATGTTAAGGCTTTCATGATCTACATCTATCTTCGAGAAAAAGTGGTGCGGATCATTCTTGATGTAGTTTGTTCATCATCTCAGTTTATTGTTATTCAGGAGCCTGCTCCAGGGACAAAATCATGAACTACATGTAATACCTGCTCATTCGAAAAATGAAAAGAAATAGTTGAAATTTTGCGCATCTTGAGTCGGAAACTCTTTTTGCTTTCTTCATTTCTGATTTCTAAAAAATCCGCTGCAGAACCAAGACAAGTCAGTACTATCAACAGGCTGCAAGGGTGATCAAGAATACAAGGTGTGGGAACAAGGTGACCAGACGTTAGTCCAAATTGAGAAACGTAAGGCTGCTCGCAAGCATAGACTCCAAGAGCTGGAGGCAGAGGCGCGGAAACTTGGCCGCTCTTTTGACCGCACTTTGGCAATCAAACAGATCGACGAGGAAGAAAAAAATGACAAAAATTTTGGAGGTATCTATGTATAAGTTTAAAGTTTAACTACCTCCCTGTTTTTCTAACTGTAACTACACTATTTTACTAAAACTGTAAGGATTAGGATTACACTTTCTACATGTAGTAGATCAGCTTTTTCATCACTCAAAACAATCGATCCGATGACGCTGAAATAATAACAATCTGATGTCAACAAAGAGAAGACACAACAGGATTCCCACAAACTACAGCTTCCTGGAGGCACGACAAAACTGTGAAAGTCGTGGAGATGACTCGAGGGCAGATGAAAATGACGATGCTCGCAGAAGGCGTGATAGAAAAGCACAATCTGAAGGCGGCTAAAGAGCTGCCTCGGCACCTTGCGGCCGAACATGTTCTGGAAGAGTTGGAGAAGGAAGAGTTGGAGAAGGAAATGCAAATGCAGAACAAGGACATGCAGTTGGAGGAGGATCACATGGATGCTGTTGAGGGTGGAGGAGCTTCAGGAGTCGAGCAAGTGGCGAAGGGTCGTCGAGGCAGTACTTCTTCAAACAAGAAGAGAATGAGCTGCTTTGAAAGTAGTCTGATTTTGAACGTTACAACAGCGGCTAAGCAAAACAGAGTGGTGAAGACAGAACAAGGCAACGCGGTAGTTGGGGTCAAGGAAGAAACTACTTCTGCGGGTAAGATTGTGGATAGCGATATCGCCAGTGCCAGCAAGAACATGATGAACAGCATGATCAGTACAACTAAAGAGAAGGATCAAAATGTCGCAGAAGACGAATCAGCTGTTGCCAAGAAGACATCAACCACAGTAAAAGCAGAGCAAGTCGACGTGGAAATGACAGATGTGCACCAGACTTTCACTGAGAACAACAAGAACAAAGACCAGCAAGAACCACATGTACATGTTCCTGACAAGAATATTCAAGCTTCTGCTCTCCTCTCCGAACGGCAAGTAGTTGCCGCAGAAAGTACGACCGAACAACAAGTCATCAGCACGAAGAAATTGACGATGCAAGCCTCAACTACTTTGCAACGCCCAGAGGGACTCGATATTGACGAACTGCTTCCAGAACTCTCACCGAAAGTCGCTGACGGATTCGATGACGATCTGCTGCTCGATCCTGCCTTGTCTCCGCAAATGGCAGAGAAGAAGGCGAAGATTATGGGGTGTTGGTTTGGTTCTCTTGCTACTTTCTTACTTTTGTAAAAACAGTACTGCTGGACCTCCTGGACCTAGACATTGTTTCTCCTGTATAGGCTCTCACTTTTGTCCTCGTCTAATACCCAAGCTGCATCGGTGACATTTGCCAAAGCGGCAGGAGGTGAGCCAGACGTAGCCGATGACCCCCACCTTCGTGGTCCGGGAGAACATGACAACACAAAGCTACCAGTGCTCCTCGGTGGTCCTAGTCCGGCACCCAATACTAGTCGCGGACAAGATGGTTCGCCACGGCCAGTGGTTGCTCGTATGGGGGACCTGGGATTTGCTGACTCTATCGTACAAGCAGCAGAGAACAAGACCTCAATTAAGGCATACAACTAGGCAACCGAGAGAGCATCCTCAACAACGCCATCCTACTTGGCTTCTTTTCAGGGGAAAACGAAAAGGGGCACAAAGAGGATGGTCTCAAGGATGCGACGGCGGAGGCTCTAACTCAAAGACACTTGTAGAACACGTCGATCCTGAAGTACTCTTAAGGGTAGGTTAAAGGTGCTTTTGTTATCGTTTGTTATGGCTCTCCTAAGGGGGACAGCCATAACAAGCGGGATAAAAGAACACCAAAAACCTATCTCTAATACTCCGTAAGAAAAAACTCCAGTCTCTCAACCATCGTGCTTTTGAGTTGCTTCAAAAGATGAATGATTCCCATGAGAACTTCGAAATCAAGCTAAAACGCAAAGCAGTTCGCAATGTCTTGATGGAGTTCAACTCGGAGTTGCGACAAGACTACAACACACTGCTGTTGGCACAAATTTCGGATCGGATTTGCGAGAAATATCCGTTGCCAGAAGATTGGGATTTTAAGTTAAGTGTTGTAGTATCTTTTTGGATTTTTTTAAATAGAAGTCTGTCGTTCTTGTAGTGCCACGCTCCTTCTGTTTGTAGTCTCTCGCTTTGAGGACTACGTACTTCTACTAGAAGTACTAGAAAAGTTCACTTCGCTACCTTCTTCAATTACATCAGCGACTTTATTACATACAATTACATTCATCGGTCTTCATGATAAAGGTAATATCATTGCCATGATTGATTCCCACATGCTGATCCACTCCTACTTTTGTTGCCGCCTTTCATTTCCCCATCCTACACGCGAGGAGCGCGAAGCACGATTGGCTACGTGTCAGCATTGTCCGGATGGAGCTAATATGCAGTTGATACCGAAGGATGCGCCTGAAGGACGAGCGTCGAAGACCAAGAAAACGAAGCGCGTAGTTAAAAGTCAGTTTCCCCTATTGTTACGGCCATACATGATAGATCATCTTCTACTAGAATATGAGCCCATAGCCAAGCAGGATGCTTGCAAAAGGATGCCCATGCCGTAGCTCTAATACCGGACGCAAGGAAAGCTCAAAGCACCGCGCCCTGGGTTAGCGATAAGCAAAGGCGCGACTTTGTTTGGGCACGTCTTCGAGGAATGTTTATGGAATCGCAGTGGAAGAACAAGAATTTCTTGATGGAACGAAGTCGCATCCGTAAACGCAGACAGGAAATTCAAGAACAGGAACCTCTCGTAAACCACTGTGCTTTGGCTTTGGTACAGGACGTGCGGCCCATTGGAGATTGGATGCCAGCTAGTGCGGATGACTTCTTCCCTCTGGTGCATAAGGAGTACGAAAGACTCAAAGCGGCACAGAATGACGTGGAGTCGGGAGGTGTGAACTACAAGCGCAGACAAGAAGAGATGAACGAGCGCTGGCAGATGGAAAAATTGAGATTGGAGTTTGAACGATTTGAAGCCAACCTAGACGACGGGATCGAAGCCCATGACGAGCTAACTCGCATTTTTTGCACTGCAGCTGAGACGGTACGTGACGCGTTTGAGTCGTCTCTTATCCGAGTAGAAGAAGAAGTGGAACAGAACCAGAGTGTGGTGGTGAAGAGTGAACCTGGATTTGGAATTACTTCAGCTGAAGATGGTGCTGCAGCCACTAATAAAAAGCGTCCTCGTGGTAGTACTAAAAAAGTGAAACAGGAACCAGGAGCTGAAGACAAGAGCACGCCGACTCCGACACCTAGTGCCACAACTACACATACCACATGTGTGACGACAACAAAGTTTCAACTATCACCAGAAGCACAATCACAAGTGGATGACTTAGAGCAGTTTTTGCAGAAATTCACCGTCCGCATGAACTTGCCTGCTCACGACTTGCTGTTAGCATATAGTTAAGAACAAGGATAGTTTCATCAATCAGCTTTAACGTTGTAGTAATTGTAATAGAGATGATTGGGTCTGGGTGAGGTAGGTTGGATTCTGCTTCTCGTCTTGCGGCAATCTCTCGTGTTAATTTGAGTCACAACTTCTAGAACCATCCACATGATTTTGACTTTGAGACTATATCTTCTTCAACATTGCTAACATTACCGTGTCGCCGAATACTGCCATTTCAAGCTCTACCATCACATCGACGACGAAGAGATCCTGAATGGGGGACCCGGTGTGAAGGAAAAGAAAGCTATCCAAGACATGGTCATCCATCGAACCAAGACCTTCCTTCTGCGCATCTTACACAAGGTTGGTCCAAAAAACTCGGTCTTGAGATCAGGACGAGATGCGGCGATTCCTCAATTACGAGGCGGAATAACGGGACTGCTGCTAGAATACTACATCATTGAACAAGGCTGCATTCCTTTGAATTAGAAGATTGTTCTTGGCCGTTTTTCTTTGGTAACCTCGTCAACCTCTCTCTTCCTCTAATCTCTCCCTCCAAGCCCTTGATTCCGACCGCAGCCGCTTGTTGGGCGCAATCTTCTGCGACGCAGCCTTCGCCAAAGATCAACTATGATGCAATTCGTTTCATTGAACTGCCCTCACCGCTTTGCGACAAGCGACCTTGGCGCCAAGATAAGTTACCTGAGGGATTGATTGCGCAGATCGGTGCTAAATTTAAGGGTCAATTATATACTATTTCATCTTAAGAGGCATCTTATTTGAGGTCCTTGCAAGGGGAAAATGGTCACAGATGCTCAAGATAATTACAAAGAGTGAGCGTCTAATGAATGGAGACCGGTTCTGAAAGTGCCGAAGTTTCAAGACAAGTTCGATGAAATCTTCTTGAAAAACGTGCATCACTCGCATACACTCCCAACCTTGCTGGGATCGGACAACTGGCGAAGATTTTTGAGACATCGGTTGCCGAGGGTACTTACAAGAACTGAACTGCTTTGTTCGATTTCTCGCTCATAACTAGTGGTAGTTTTTTTCGTCTTTTTAGAAATGCACCAGTCAATCTAGTACTACGCATGACATCTTCAGAGATGTAGTGTAGTTGATAAAGAATTACTGTCCCGACCCACAAAAAACACAGCTGAAAGCGAAATTCGGCATGCCACCAATCATCGTGGGGGGTATTCCAGCCTACGGAACCGACAACGTCAGAGGTATTGGGACGCTGGTAGAGCTAGACAAGGAAAACGATGACGATGACGAAGAGCAACTGCCATTTGAATTGAATGGCGGGACCAAAATCGGCACCTCGAATATATCAGTTGGACAAATTATGGAGGAGAGTAGAAGTCTTATTTTTCTTTTTTTGATTCATCATAGTACTTGAATGTAGTGCCAAGAACTTCGCGCTCTTGCTCTTGGCTCTTTCGAACAGGTGTAGTAACTAGTAAAGTAATGTAAGTGTAAGTCGTGAATGTTGTATTATGAAACAAGATCCGGTCTTCGTCTTCGTCTCCTGCCTAAGAAACAGAAGCTACAGCAGATCTTTCTACTACTGGATAATCTTGATTTTCCTACTTGTTGCTAGCTCTAATGCACATGGACCTGGCTCAACCGAAGAGCGCGAAATTCCTGAAAACGAGCTTGATCCTTACGCTGCCGCCGCGGCAGGGACCTCAACCAGTCTGAAACGCCCTATGTGGAACACTAGTGACAGCGGCATGGTTAGGAAGAACAATAGAGGTGTGCCTTTGCCTGTCCCGATCCATATTCCTGGCATGCCAAGCCCTGACGATGGAGAAGAGGAGATCGAAGCTGAGCCAGGCGCTGAAAGAGCTGCAGCTGTGAATGCAAAAGCGAAAGCAAAAGCGGCTGCGGCAAAGGCAAAAGCCACTGCTGGTGGTAAACTAGCGGTTGGAAAAGCTACGGCAAAAGCTAAGAGTGCTAAATTTGGTGCGGCCTCTGCTGAGCCAGCTGAAACAGGCTCATTTGCAGATCCTCCTAGTAGAATGAAAGGCGCGAAGGCAAAAGCTGGAGCTTCGAAGGCTTCAGGCGTCGAAGCAGATGAGAACGACACACAAGGGGCTTCATCTTCGTCGAGTGCATCGGGAATGACCACAGCTTTGGCGACAGTCCCAGAAGGCAACCATGAGATTTATGACAGGTTTGTTCACTATCACAACCACCCGTGAATCTGAATACTTTTTTCTTTTGAGACTTTCCATCTGCACTTCCACACCCTCACCATTCCCATTCGCATTGCTTCGTTCATCGTCCCGTCGTAACGGCCAAGCCTATGCTCAGTTCCTTAGGACTCGTTGGACCGCCAAGAGGAGAGACGGAACGTCCGCGGAAGGTTGGCATCGATCATGAAAATCGTCGATACAAGGCACTAGGGCCTTTAGTTCAACCAGATGGATGGGAGGAAGACGAGCTCCAAGCTGAAGAGGAACTGCAAGAGCGTGTGGCAGAACTGCAGGAACAATTAAGGGTAGGTTAAAGGTGCTTTTCTTACCGCTTTTTATGCCTCTCCTAAGGGAGAAAGGCATAAAAAGCGGGGTAAGCGAGCACCAAAAACCTACCTCTAAAACAAGGTCTCGAAGTCGCCGCAAATCTCACGAAAGAGCAACTTTGGAGAGTTCAACGATGGAGCGACCGAGCGCTGGACTTGACCGACTACGAGGACCAAGCACTGGATCTTCCGCACATTGCTGCGCAACCGTCTCTTTATGGGAACATTTGAATGGAGGTCATGTTTTTTATCGATGTAGTTGCTGATTGCACTGACTGACTGAGACTTTGCCTCTGGCTCTGCCATTTTCACAGCTCTAAACAGCAGCAATGTGCGGAAGATCCAGTGCTTGGTCCTCGTAGTCGGGAGGACCAAGCACTGGATCTTCCGCACATTGCTGCGCAGCCGTCTCTTTATGGGAACATTTGAATGGAGGTCATGTTTTTTATCGATGTGGGGGTGTCGATCTTGGTATCGCCCGCCATCTGGTCTCTAGGGTGGTCGAGCATGACCATAACAGGGGCACATACATACATTATCGATGTAGTTGCTGATTGCACTGGCTGACTGAGACTTTGCCTCTGCCATTTTCACAGCTCTAAACAGAAGAACTGAAGACGCATCCTGCCATACGTATGTGCTTGCCGCCATCAGAGAAACTCCTGGATACAAAGGTAGTACAGGATTTGACAGCACTAGTACTTTGGCCATGTATTTATGAGTATAACTAGTATGAGGCTATAGCAGCGAAAAATTCGTTGCAGCGACGTGAATGGCCAAAAGCGACTCATCTTGCTGCAATTAATACTACTACTCATGCATCTGGGAAACAACTTTTAAGTGCTATAATCGTTCTTGTTCTCTTCTATAGATGAAGATTAGGACAATCGTCTTGAAATCCTGTCCTCCATGACCACTACTGTCTCCCACATCAGACTTCCATGCCTGCTGCCCTCCCTGAAGAGGGTCATCCTACAAAACTGGTCTACCGGCAGCTCAGAAACGATCAGAAGCATTTCGGTGTGTACGCAAATCCTAGTGAGCGAGATTCAGGATGTCGACCTTTGAAGTTAAGATTCGGATTTATTCACCCACTGATGCTCACCTGCGCGAAAGTGTGATTAGCATTAGCCATAAATTCTTCTTACTGTTGTTCCACTAGTTAGTCCGCTTATTTTCTCTTTCGTTTCTTCTTGCAATGGTTCGCTCCTCCCCCCGTAGCAGCTACATCACCCCTTCTTCCACACCTTCTAACTCCCGACCGTCAGCGGAAGATGGACCGAAAACTCTGGGACCACACCCACAACCTCCAGAAGCGCCGGAAGGAGTCTGGTTGTGCTGCTTTTTCTTGGGTCCCAGGAAAGGAAATGCTACTACGCGATGGTCATCCTAGAGGGTACTGCTGTATGACCAAACAATTCGCCGATTACGAAGGTAAGCGCTGGCCGTGCAACGACTCGCGTTTACCATTGGCTTTCATCATCCACAAGGACGGTTCGCGAATGGATAATCCAGTTTTTCAAGCACAGATTCGACAACTCAACTTGCAAGATTTGGAGTGGGACTCCGAGTCCAACAGTCGCACAGTGGACGATTTCCACTGGCTGGTGGAGTTGAAATTGACGGTGAGGGAATACGAAGAACTCTTTGATGGGGCGGAAGATGGGAAGAAGGAGAATGAGGGTCGTAAAGGTCGTAGTTGTAGTGCCCCTGCTATAGGAGGAGGACAACAAGTCAAAGAACCGGAACTGGTTTCCAATCGGAGCAATCAAAACGCCACTTCTGCTGAAGAAGCCAAGAAGAAGAACCTCTTAGAGCGGGAAATGGCAAATATTCACGCGTTTGAAACGGATTTTGCCATTGCTAAAGCACTTCATTCATCTGCTCTTCAGGACATCAACAACGCCAGCAATGAAAAGAACCTGTTCGCTAAACACCTCTTGACAACACTACCAGGCGTTGGGCAGATTCTCAACGAGCGACTGCGACATCATCTCCTTGCTTACTGCTTCACAAACAGCAATCGCGATAAAGAGATGGTCAACCACGCACAGCTTTTTCACGAGGAAATGCGAGTGAAGAACAAGAAAGAGGAAAAATTTCCAGACGATGTCACATTCGTTGGAGGAGAAGACGACGACGATCCGGAGAATATTAAGGCCGCAGAAGATCTTCAAGATCATTATCATATTTATACCACCGAGAAGATCTTCAAGATCATCATCATAGTATACCACCGGTCGTGTCACCGCAGAACAAGATGAAGATCATTATCATACAGTATACCACCGGTCGTGTCAGCCTATTGCTGTCACAGGAAAGTTTATGTCGTGTTTGTTCAACAAGATCCACTTGTTGCACCTCTAATCACTTCCCACCATTCCAAGAGTTTGGTGATATCCTTCGTTGTGAAGAGGGACCTGAACTCGAAGCGGCACGTGCGATCTACACACTTTGGCGTAACAGACGCATCGATGGCATCTACGGAACTGATGAGAGCAGTGCGGCTTTGAGGGCTAAAGGTTATGATGATATTAGGTTTTGACTAGTAATCAATGCTTTTTATGCTTCATCCATTGTTCTTGTCATAAAAAAACATTGAAACAGCAACTACTATTCTACTTAGAAAAACCTTGGTTCCAGACCCATTCTACTCCTCCTCTAACAATCCGGCATCCTGACAGAAGTGCAACAAGTCTTTGCGGCTGCGGGATTGCGCTGGACTTTCTTCGAAGAGCATTCTGCGCTAGTGAAGAAGGCTAAAGCAAACTCGGCTGCGATGGGCAAGAAGCCGAGAGGCATAGGCAAAAGACTAGAAGCGGCAGAGGAGGCAGCGTACAACACGTTATGAAGTTGAAGAGTTGTAGCCAGCACATTTATATTCATACATAAGTACTTCTTAAAAAAGTTGTAAAAGCGTTCTTGATGTTGTTAGACGAGAACCTCTTTACAACTTCTACTTATGTAGTTCGCTTTAATCCTCAAAAAAGCCGGAGGAATTCCACGCGCTGTGAGTCTTCTTAGCGGACCGAGTCGACCTGCTGAGGTGAGTTTCGTGGACGCGTGTCCCGTACCAGCCCCGCCAGATCTCACGTTGATGCCAAAGGGTGCTCAGCAAAAAGCTGAAAAGGAAGCGTTATGATCGCCGTTTTGAACTAGTAGAAGTATGATGTAGTAGAAGTTTGATGTGGAAGATGAGAAGAAGTTTGAGATGAAGATAGTATGTAGAAGTTTGATGTTCAGAAGATGCGATGTAGTAGAAGTTTGATGTGGAAGAATCATGGATGTGTTGTATCTTCTATCTGTATAAGTACTTCTTCTAGTACTACGAGACCACGGATCTATTTCTACGAGGCGTTGTTGTATTTTTGTTCGACAATGTATGTAGGAGGATCTTCACCGACCTAGTCGTAATTTTTCTTTTTGCTCGACAATGTATGAGGATCACCGAGTCGTAGTCCACGACTTCTCCTCTAAATTGACTCCTCAGAGCCGCGGCACGAGAACGTGGAGAGTGGGTAGCACCCACCCTCGACGAGCTCAGTTTCATGGATGCTCATACTAGGACAGCCGCGACAGACGAAGAGCCCGATGACTCCTGGAAGGACAAAGCCTACAAATCCGTATACATCGATATTTCTCCCTTTGTTGGGGAGTGGTATGCGAAGCGAGCGCTGAAACACGAAGAGAAGAAGCAGGAGAAGGTGGAGACTGACGTTGGAGCGTTATTCCAGCAGAAAGTCGACTCCTTGTTGAAGCAAAAAAAGGCTTCCTGTGCCACCGCGACGCACCGTATCGAGAGGATGTGCAGACGTGTGGGGTTGCTTTTGCCTTTGGTTATGAGGACTGGCGATGACTTACTCGATATTTAGTAAGCCTATTGTTACTAGTACAACTAGTAGAGTGTTGAAGAAAGCATTTGTTTTAGCAAATTCTCTTATGTTGTGTATTCGAGATAGAGCGCCTCACATTCTTCATAAGATGAAGAACACACAACTCGCTTCTAATCCAAATTACGGTGAATTTGCGCAACGTGTGGAGGGCAACGTGGGTCAGATGCTAGAAACGATGGCTCAAACGATGCTGGAAAGAGGCGCAGCGCAAAGCCTTGCTCTGCCAACTGAGAACGAAAAGGATCTACAACAGCGTGAACAACATGATAACGAGAATGCAGAAATGAACGACCCGAATGATAGCATGAACAGGGAACCAAATTCGGCTTGCTACGCTGATCGTGCACTAAAGGCATTGTCGCATTTTGAATGGGGTAGGACTCGACGTAGGGATTGTACCAGCAAATCCGAAAAAGACGACGTCGAAGAGAAACTCTTGAAGGAGTTACTAGCTATGGGCATCAATCCGGATGAGAAGGCGAAGGTAGATGGGGAGCAAGACACTTCTAGTGGTAAAACTGCTGAAGCTGCAGGTGCTGAAGATAAGAAGGATGATGAGCACCAGAATACAGGTAAGACCACAACTACGTCTGCTGAAGACAACGAGAGGACCACTACTTCCGAACAGCACACCAAGAACACTTCTCCTGAAGACCCCAACAATGACAACGATATGAACATCGACTTTGACGCTGCTGAGCCACCACCAGTTAACAAGAACGACCAACCTCTTCTAGAACTGGGAGGACAGCTCATCTGGGATGCCCTGTTGGCAAAAGAGGATCTGGGCTGCGCAATCAAGGGCATTCAGAAAACGAAAGATCGCGGATGGTGGAATCGCAATGTGCACTACCTATTGGAAAACGAAAAGGCGCGTGAGGGCAGACAAGCGGAGGTCGTTGAGTATGCCAACAAGAGGCGTGAGGAGCTGTTGAAATTGAAAGTTATGGATGCTGAGTTGTAGTTGTTGTTGTAAGTACGTAGTTTGATCGTACGTTGTACTTTGCAGATGCGGGGACTCAGCAACAACATGATCAAGAAGCTTGCAACAGGAGTAAAGTTTATTTTATCACCGGTTCGGGTGTGAATGACGATGATTTGTTTGCTGGATGTCTACACCCTTGATCGAGCTTGGTGTTTCTTCGTAAAGTCGTAAACAAGGTCTGAAGAGAGATAAGGCGTAATTGCGCCTTGCTTGCTTTCCTGCGACGTTAAAGTATATAATTAAAGGGTTGACGTTATATTATGGGGCAGGTGCGATCTTTGGGAAGGCTAGTGGTAGTGAACCGGTACCCATGGTTACCACTAGTAAGGCGGCTTCCCTTAGATGCGAGCACCCTTCCCCTAAAGCTCCCCGCCAGGAGTACAGTAGGGGTCGGGACGCCATGGGCAGAAGCATCCTGAAGAAAATAAATAAGTTAAAACTAAATTAGTGTCTCTTGCTTTGCGTTTCAAACGTCCGCTTCCTTTCGATAACGAACACGAGTGTGAGGGAAATGTTTTCTCGATTCGGAAAGAGAGACGTAAAAACGTAACTCTTAAACAACTGGGTGATGGGGTCTACAACTTGTTAAAATGCATTATCAATGGCAATATCGTCCTAATACTCGTTCATCTTCTCTATCTCATCTCTCTAACCCTCCCGAACGCGAGGAGAAAGGCCTGGTCATCATGCCCAGACGAAGGATCAGACGCAAGCGGAAGAATGCGCACAAGCGTGCCCAAGTCGCTATCCGTAAAGTCGAACGCGCTGTAGCGAAACAACAAAAGGATGGTGACAAAGAACGTCAAACGCTGAAGAACCATGCACAAAGGTTTCTCCAGTTTCGTCGAAAGCGCTTGAATCAGATTAAACAGATCAAGAAGATAGAAGAACAAAAGTTAGCTCTGAAAGATGTAGAAGACAAGCAACAAGCGATAAAGGATGGCGTTCTTGTAGAGCCAGAGAAGAATCAATCGGCTTTGGCAGTGAGGGATGTAGCTGTTGAGGATAAGAAGGAGGTAGCACCAGACAAGGATGTTGTAGAAGTGGTAGAGAACAACAAGGAAGCTGCTGACTCATCAGGGGGTGGCGGAGAAGGCACAGGAGCACTGACATTACGGACGACTTCATCTATTTGTACTTCATTTTTCCCTTACCCTTTTTAGATAAATACACGTTGGTCGCTGTTCTCGCGAAACTATGATACACACTTTCAGACTGAATAAGCCGATTTTTGTTCTACACCCAGTCCTCCCTTTACTTCCTCCTCTAAGCGCCCTCGTGAAATCCGACAACTCCTCCACCGAACTGCTGGCGTCTACTGAAGTTCCGAAACTGCCAGAGTTGAGCCTGCTTGGTCGCGTAACGAACGGCTTGATTGATTCTGATCGACAGATGGCCTCGATAATCGAAAAACGCAACAAGGACAAAAACAGAAGAATTCGTATGGCGGGTCAATCCTATGCATGATTAGCATTTTTTTCCTGTTACTGTTTCACAGTAGATTTTATGTCTGTGCAGGACCGCTGGTGACGCAGACGCTGATGTCTCTCTCAGATTCTCATCTCATTCAGACTCGTAGTATGTACCTCATTTTCCTTCAAAGGAATTGAATCATTCATCGACCCATGTGACATTGGTCCTCCAAAGAGAGAAGTGAATGGAATCACTCATCCACATCGACTGAAAACAGCCTTCTCCTCTAAGATTCCCACTGACCCGAAGAAGAGGGATCCAGTTTTGGCGCTCGAGGATGATGCTGTCCGCACCTTATACGGAACCGAACTAGCTCCTCTGGGTATGTCAAAGCGCGGCTACGACGCGGCATTGCGGCACTTGGTTCCTGCCAAGATGGAAGAAGAGAAAGAAGAACAAGAAACAAGCCAAGAGTTGGTGGAACATCAGGACTTCAAAGAGCAGTGGCATCAAAGAGTTGCGCCGCTAGTTTCGAAGATCCAAAGCGGAGCTAGAGATATTATGGGTCACGCATTTTAGTATATTAGTATTAGATTTAAATGCATTGGCATCCAATCTTCTCCACGTACTTAATCACAAGTTGTAGAGAAAGCCTGCTTTTAGTAAGCCATTATTTATAGTTCTTGTTCTAAGACAACAAGCCGAATCGTGCGTCTGTATCATAATCATCTTACTCTCGCTTTTCATCCTCTAAGACTCGAATGCGCCTACATTATCCTGAGGATGTTGAACGTCTACGGCTTTCTCGCCTAGGATTCAAGATGCCGCCGAACAAATCGTCGCTGCTGCGAACGGAAGACGGACTTTTGATAGAACAAGGTCTCTCCAGACCGTTCGACCCGATCGAAAATACTCGGGATATCATGGGTATTACAATTTCATTTATACGTAGGCTTTTTATGCCTTATTCTACCACTTTGGGGGGAAGGTGTGGGGCTGGAGCTTCGCTGCTGCTCGGGAGAGGAAGCGGCGTGCAAGCAGTGTGGGGAACCTCTTCATCACCGTGAGCGGCTACTGCTTCCGCCGTATTCATTGGTGGCCGCCTGGGTCTCTTCTTCGGTCAAGAGCTGCCATCGCTCCCGCGCGCTTGGCTTTCAAGGTCGACTGTGCGGGCTGTGTCGCCTTTCATTGGTCTCAGTCATTGCCGGCAGAAGAAGCCGCAGGAAAGGAAAAGGCAGAGCAGACCCCCATCTCCAAAAGACGCCGCGCAGGCGCTAGCGCTGCCACTACTTCAAGGGCATTGCCCTCAAGTGCACCAGAGCACGAAGCGGCCGGTGGGGGGGCCAGGTTAAGGTCGAGATCACCGTCCATAGCGACCTACGGGAAAACGCACGGGAGGGCGTGCCCTACCCGCCGCATCAGTTTCCCCGACCCTCCCGCCCCTGCCTCCTTGGCCTCTTGTGGGCTCTCCAGTGCTCTCCCGGCAGCCACGGGCCCCCCTGGTTACCTTTGTAGAGAGACCAGTAGGGACCCAACAGGAGGCAGGGGCGGGCGGGCAAGCTGACGGGGGTGGAAAACAACCCCCCATGTAGGCCGCTATAGGGAGCGACCTCGGCCCTACGGGGGGCCAGGCTCTTGAGCGGGCGCGGGGGGTGAGCGGTCGGGAGCGGCAGCACCCACGCCGAAACGCAACGGGCTGGCGCGCTCTTGGCGGTGTGGGCTGATGATCTGGCGCGCTTTCTGAGATGCCGCCCTTACTGGGTTAGTTGCCAGACTCATGCCCTGGCGCTCTTGGAGACGTTGGGCGCGGCGGGCAGGCCACACCAGTCGCGGCACGCTACGAGAGGCGCCCCTCGTACTTGCTCTGACGGACGGACCGACCAGCAGCCTGGCTAGGGAGAGCCCGGTGAGCTTCTGGCCTTAGTTAGATAGCCGGCTGCCCTTTTTGTTCTTGTTGGCAGGTGATAGGCGTTGGGCTAGAATGGCTTGGGTGGGGGCCTGGCTGCCGGCTCTTTATCTTTCAGCGATGACAACCAGAAAGGCCCAGGCGGTCGGGGGTGAGTGGTCGAATGTGGAGAAGAGTGAGCGCGAAGCCCATAGCGATCGCAAAGGCAAAAGCATGAAGGTGGCGGCGTCGCTTCTCGGGGTTTGTCATTACTGGAAGGGCTGCCACCTGGTGAAATCGTAGAGGGGGACCGACTTCGGAAGATGTGCGCTACCGTCAAGAGCAAGACCAAGACGCCAGCAGAACTGGGCAGCTGTATAGAATGGCAGCAGGGAACGCCTCGAAAGTGCGGCGAACGCAAGCCGGCCACCGTGGCCCCCGGCGAATTTAATCCAAGAAACTGGAAGGGCCGCCTTCCCCGCCAGATCAATAATTGACAAGACCCAGAGGCGAGAGGGCTGCACGATGAAGGGAGGGCCAGCGAACGCACGCGGGCCCAGCCTGGCGCTTTTTGTTTTTCCAGGTGGTCTTTTACGCGAGAGAAGGCGAGCCGGATGCTCCCGCGGAGTTACAGGCTCTGGGCAAATTTCAAGTGGCCAAGAATCAGACTACGTTGGTCGACCCGCCAAATTTTTGGTTTGATGATGCTGACGCCGCCGGTAGTTGACAGGTGGCATGAGCTGGCAGAATGGTACGCAGCTGCCTCGCTGCCTCGACTGAACAGGAACAAGGGGCGCGCGGTCGTGTCTCTGGGTGTGGACTGGAGCGGACAGGGGCGGGCGGGCTGTGCGCGTGGATCTTTATCGCTGGAAAATCTACAAGCTTGGCTATCTGGCTGCTGCAAAACTTTCGCGCCGGGGCGGAGTCGGGAAAGGAAAAACTGGCGGGGCTGGAGCCCAGCGGCAACAGTTGACGCGACAGCTTCGCGCAGGCGGGTCCGCTGTGACAGGGTGCGCGCCTTTTTTTCAAACTATTAAGGAAGGAACAGGGAGGGGGGCCGCGGGTTTCCTCGCTCGGGGTTTTCGGTGTTTTTCATGACTGAGCCTGAAGCGTGGCGCGCGGCCACGCGCCTGCACTTATTTGCTTCGGCTGTATCAACTTCGCTGGGGAGCTTCGTAGTACTCCTCACGTACACATCGTGACAAACAAACTCAAGCAAAACAAAGAGAAGCAATCTCCAATCAACCCAATGCCCAGGCGATTTCAACTTGTTCAAAGCAGACGAGAGGCGCGTCGACATCGCCGCACCACTTTCGAATATTCACTCGGTGAGATGGCGCCAATCTAAGATGAACCCTGGCCCGATCCAACTCGTCACTGCTTGGGCTACGCAGCAAAGACTTCGTTTTCTCGCTTCCGGAAAGCAGGCAGATCCTCAATTTTATGCTTCAAAAGATTTTGGATTTCGAGCATGAAATAGCTAGACTTTTTGCTGTTGTACTTACAGCTACAAAAATTAGTAGCAATTTACCAACACGAACACCACCATCGAAGAACTACTAGAAGGAAAGCAATGAATTGATACGGGTTTTTTTATCCCAGCAAGCAGAAGAGTGCTACATCCGTCCCTAGCAGAATCCTATTGCTATTCATTGCTATCGCGATCCCGATTGCATACGCGTAGCCCAAGACCATTTTTTGTCTCTAAGAAAAAGAAGAAGCAGAGAAGCAGTTTCGCATCGCAAACCGTCTTGGCCTGAAGCACGCGTACGCCAGCACCTTCGTAGAGCCACAGACAATGTCCATGATGCTCGAAGATGCTCCGAGAACTACTGAGTCTGCACCTGCAACCACATCTTCTGCTTCTGGGGAAAAACAATCTGAATCGCAAGAACTTGACAAGAAAAGTGAAGAACAACTGGTGACAATGGATAAGACGAACAAAATTAGTGATGAGCCCGTAGTTGATAACGACGGTGATGAAGATGACGACGAACGACCGGGAAGTGGTCCTGACGGCACAGTAACCAAGTACAAATTAAGGCTTTTTACCCTAATCCATCTCAGGAAGCATCCTTCTAGCGAGGCTTTTTAAGGGGAGAAGGGTCCTGGGATGAATCTCAAGATGAATACGGGTGAGCTCTAAACAAACGAGGACGAAGGCGACCGAAGTATGTCCCACCACCTATAAAAGATAAATCATTGAGGGGCAGACCTTTGCTGCTCCAGCGTTCGGTTCAGACCTTGATGCCCACGCTCTATCGTCCAAAGAAGCGTATTCTGGGACTAGGTGGAACGCGCAACTTGATGGAAGACCAGTATGGACACGCACGGCGAATAGGAATTACGGATTGATGATGTTTTGATCAGATTTTGACTGGCAAGATTTGTCTTGATAGAATGATGTAGTCACTCGTCTTCAAAAGAGCCTTTTCCTCAATCTTGTTGTGACTTAATTCCTTCTAGATCGCTTCAGTCTCGTCCTTTACTACATCGCGTATAAAGTCTACCCCTCTAAAAAAGAAAAGAAGAATGAAAAGCAGCTGACTGAGAAGCAAATCGTGAAAGTGCAGAAGAAGGAAAAGAAAGAGCTGAAGATGATGCTCAAGAGGTTATGGCGCAGAGTGTGTCACATTATTTATTTTGAGGTTTGCTACAACTAGTACTACCGATTACTCTTACTTACTTGGGAGTATCTATTAGTACTCCAGATGACAGGACTCACTAAAAATACTGGATATTATATGGAACGTAAAAACCTACTCACACTCTCAACCACTAGATTTTGTGAGACGTATTCGTATTAGGTTCAGGGCAGCTGAAACTAGCTAGTTAACTAGATAGTTTAAAGGCCAGGTAAGTCGAGCCAAGTCGCGAGTCTCATGGACTGGAGGGCCAAGTGGAGATCTGAGTAGGTCCTATCCAGCTGCTCAGGTCTCCAGTTGGCCCTCCATGAGACTCGCGACTTGGCTCGACTTACCTGCCCTTTAAACTATCTAGTTAACTAGCTAGCTTCAGCTGCCCTGGGCTTAATATGTCTCAAAAAATTTAGTTGTTTAGAGTGTGAGTAGGTTTTACGTTCCATATATTAATACAAGCGCTTTTGGTTTTACTTTGATTTTATCCATCAATGAAACTTATGTCTTACGACTCCTTGCCTCCTACACTTACAACTTCTTCGAGGATCTCTAAGAACCGAGCCTGCTGCGAAAGAGGCATTGGCCTTAAAGGATAGGGTAGGCTTCACGACTCTCCACAAGATGCCGCGAGGGTGCTTCTTCCACATCGCTGCCGAGCCTAAGGACTGTGGCGGCCCGCAGTCTAAGGAGAAAGGTGCTATTGACGTCATTAAGGCTCGAAGATACATTAAAATTTCCAAGAAGGATGACTTTCATTCTTCGGTTTCCTTCTTCTAGGATAATTCTGAAGAAAAGAAGGCAAGAATGAAATGGACCGACTGTTTTGAGCGCTAACGCCCTTCCCTATCGACGACCGGATCAGGAAAACAGGTACATGATTCGTCGCATTCGCGGCAAAAAGGTTAAGACTGCGTATACGAGAGCGCAAAAGGCTTTGCATTTATGGCTTGAAAGTAGATGGGGTCGTGAAGTGATTGTTGAAAATGAATGTAGAGTGCTTGTGCATGTGCTCCTCGTCCTCCTCCTGTTCCTGGAAGCACCAGCACCAGATGAGCATGGTGTATTATTTCCATAGGTTCTTGAATTCCTACTAACTTAATATCCACGTGCAGCACCTCATCTAACCAATTACCAAGTCAAGAAAGCTAAACTGGATCAACTTCGACAAGGTACTTTGGCTTTGGGCAATCGTCAGGATGATCCTCTGGCTCTAGAGAATCGAGATACTACAGCTCTAGGACCAAAAGCACTTGAAGACAAGCTGGCTCTGGCCGACAAAGCGAAGCAACTGGCTCTACTTGACAAGTCCGATAAGGCTGCTTTGGCTACAGGGGAGCACAAGAAACCTTCTTCGGCAACATCCTCGCATAACTTGGCTCTCTTGCCTTTAGGCAGTGCATCTTCGTCTTCATCTTCAGCCGGAGGTGATAACACGTCATTGGTTCCTGTGGGTGCCACGTCTCCTACGTCAGCAGCCTCAAAGGATTCGGAAGGCTCTTCGGGGGATGACAAAGAGAATGATGAGCTTACATTGAGACCAGCGCTGGGAGCGAATGTGCTGATGACTCAAAAACAGCGAAACCGAAAAAAGAAGCAAATGCAGGACTTGTTATGGAGAGAAGTGTGGTGCTAGTTGAACTTAGTACAACTCTTACATCGATACCTATTCCTGAGAAGATCGTATTGATTTTCTATCCAGGAATGCGCTCTTCCTCTTCGTGATTGCACCTCTTCTAAAAACCCTCCACACCCTGCACCCAACCGGTCTTGGACGTCGGGTTGGGCGTGTGAATGGCACCAAGAAACTGCGATCCGTCGATCCCGACTTCGACACGCTTTCCCTCGTGTGTTTTGACGGTGTTCCTCGTGACGAGGATGGAGCTATCATCGAGCGCTTTGATCTCTTCGTTCCGCAATGCTTGACCCGATTGCGGTACTTGCTTAACGTGGCCTTGTGGCTGAAAGTCGAGTGTCTGCGGTTAGAACAGATGCGTAAGGAAGCGAGCTTCGATCAAGAGCAACGTATCAAACGACGCGCGAAAAACAAGGAAGTTGAAAAGACTAGAAAGAAAATGCAGGAGGAGGAACGCAGTGAGCATCTGTATCAAACGGCACTGTGGAACGTGATGACGATGCGAATGGAAGGTGAGGGAGTAGTTGGGGAGAACAAGATCAGGTAGAAGTTCATCTTCATCTTAGGTACTTTCTTAGGGTGTTTTTTTTGGTAGAGGCTGTGGCTGGCGATGTAGTGGACAACTTCGAGGTCGTGCAACAAGTTTCATCGAAGCAAGTTGTATCTCTAGGCCTTTGTTCATTGCGTCTTCGACGACGCAAAATTTTATCCACACAACCACCCCACAGCCTCGATTGCGCTCCTCCCGAACTCGTTGGCGAAACACGCTTGACCAACAAAGCCTTGGACCGTGCATGCGAGATTTCTGAGGATTCTCTCCACACCATGATCCCTTCGTTGGATATCGATACTTCCTTCGCAAACCGAGTCCGAAACCGTAGGGAATTCGCGTTAGACCGAGAAAAGTGGATCGAAAAACGCACTGAGTTGGACCCCTTTTTGGAGCAAAGGATGGAAACGATGGCCGATCCAGAAAAGGTGAAACACGCGACAACACCAAGAGTGCCGTACAAACCGCATAGTGCGACTGCTTATGGCTTTCTTTGTTTGTGCATTATTGTTGTAGGCTCTCTGATTGCGTAGAGGTACATCAGCTGAAAATCTTGTTGAGCATATTGTGACCAGAGCTGAGCAGCTGCAGCTCTTGTGCCCAATATACCATGACCTCTAATCCTACGCAAAACACAAAGCCTACATGGACCGCAAAAGAGAAAATCAGGCATTGGAGCGTGCTAAAGCTGAGGCTGAGGCTGCGGAGAAGGCTAAAGCTGAAGGACGAATGGATCTAATTGATGAACTAGCTGGATCTGAATCTTCTGCTTCTGATACTGGCGGTCCAGCTAAAAAGAAGCAGAAGGTAGATCATGAAGTGAAGAAGGAGCAAGATGCGTCATCAAGTACAACTCCATCCGCAAAGAAGAAAGGGAAAGGAAAAGCTTCATCATCGAGCGGAAAGGAAGCCGAAAAAGTACTTGCTGGTGCTTCGATGAGTGCACAGAAGCATGGATTGAAGGTGAAGTTTGCAGTCAACAACAAGGATGCAGCTGGTTCTCAAGATGACGATAACGGGGATGTTGATGGAGACGACGACGAGGGAGAGGGTGGCAAGAAGAAGAAGAACAAGAAGGACAGCGGTAAAGATGAGGCAGACGGGAAGAAGCGCACAAAGAACAAGAGAAGTTTCATCGCTCCAACTGCACAGCTCAGATTAAGGCTTGCCTGCCAAGTCCATATTGATGTGAAGGGGCATCCGTCTTTGGCCTTGTTGACGTCCTTGTTGCAAGCGTAATTGTAAATCATGGTCGAAGATGCGCTCGTTCTTTCAAGATGGATGAACATGCATGAGCAAGGTTTTCTAATCAGAGCACACGACTTTCTTCCTGGTGTCCGGAAGAGGCCTAGTGTTGACGAAATCACTCCTCATCCTGAGATTCCGTTCTTCACGATCGCTGAGATCGCAGAAGAGGAAAAAGAAAATCAAAATTAGGGCTTCGTTTAATCGTAATCCATCTGCACAACTAAATGGAGAAGCATCCTGATCCTGAAGAGGCTATAATTGCTTTTCAAGGGAAATATACTTCTCCTGAAATGGTCACTTAGGGGTACAGCATGTTTCTCGCGATCGATGGATTACTGTAGCTGTAGTTTTTAGCCGTCTAAGAAGACAAGAAACCTGCTGCAAAGGCAAAGGCTGGCGCTGTCAAGAAAGAACCAGGCTCCTCTGCTCCCTCATCATCGGCTAATTCGACACCGATGAAAGTGTCTGCTTCATCACCATCAGATTCTGAAGATGGAACAAATAAGAACAAGAGTTCTGTTAGTAGTACAACTGCAGCTATGAAAAAAGCTGCAACTGCTCGTGCTAAAGCCAAGGTCACGACCGCGAAGCAAGAACCACAGGATTCAGATGCTGGGCAAGTTTCTTCTGCTGCAAGAAGTACAACAAATAATAGTACTGGTAAAAAAGAAGAACCTCCAAAGAGCATTCTGAAAGTGAAGCAGGAACCTGGTGCAGACGAAAAAGTCGACTATTTCCAAGAAGATTTTGATCCGGAGACAGGTGAAGTGAAACAACAGTTACCTCCACATCTACTACGATCACGCAAGGAGGTTTTGACCAAGTTGCTTAAGCCGAGAGCCCCTCTGTCGCAGCGTGTCGAATTTGTTGGCGAATATAACAGCTTATGGAGATGGAAGGAGGGCAGTAGATCAAGTGTTCCGTCTCAGCACATGCACAAAGATATTCTGACTACTGCAACATCTACTTCTTGTTCTTCAACAAGAACTTCAAATGCGCTTCTTATCGCTCTCCCACTCGTACTACTCTTCTATCACATCTCCACTCTAATACCCAGCTTTGTCCCCGGCGAATCCAAGCCTGGTGGCGTGCGCAAGGTAAGCCGAGGATGGTGGCACAGTGCTAAGAACCGCACTCGTCTGCGTGAGTGGCGTCGTAATGTGATTACAGGAGATAGGTGGCGACGTAGCAGTGACGAAGAGTCCGCCTACGAAGAAGCCGTGCTGAACAGCAAGGGCATTTCCTTGGGTTTTGCGGTCAATGGAGATTGCTTTTATGATGATGATGATGAAGATATTGTTATTGTAGAATTAGGAATTTTTTGGCCCGTCACGGGTCGAGTTTCTTGGGTTGCTCGGGTTGCTCGAGTTGCTCACCGTAATTTTTTGCGCGGCGCCCTTCGGGCGCAGCTTTATGAGGCTCCGAGATACCTTAGCAGGAGCGTACGACACTCGACGCCATGCCTCCGATCCCTGGTTTTCTTCTTAATGCGCACCAGAGACGAGAGTGAGTAACCACCTTCAGCTCGGGAACCCCTCCCAGCCACTTGATCAAACACGCAAGGCATCCGCCGCGTGCTCTAGTCTACTTACTTCGTCCTAGGCTGAGTGGGCCGCTCTCCAGAGCAGACGGGAACTCACTGCCACTCCCAGCCCCAAAAGGGACTCATTGGCCGCGCACACATCCGAAGAAAAAAGGGAGAGATTGGCACCGACCCAACGACAAGCCACAGCGACACTCTCCTCCCTCAAACAAAAACCACAACGAGGCGAAGCCGTCGGCCCCTCAATGCCGGCGCTTCAAACGCGCGCCCACACGCTACAAGAGAAAAAGCCGGGGGGGCTCGCTGGGGAGCCCTTCGCAACCGATTGCCCCCTTCGTGAGAGAGCAACAACAAAAGCAGCCACTTCGTCACTCCACGCAGCCAAAACCGTGGCCATACCGCCCCGCTGCGCCGCATTCCGGTGAAGCGGATATCTTGCGGCAACTCGTGGCAACTCGTTCCAGAATTGAAACCCTTCGCTTCGGCAACTCGAGCAACTCGTTGCAACTCGAGTAACTCGAAACCCGATATTTTACTTACTCTATTATTGGTTTTTTCTTTTATTTTACTAGCAGGGACAGGCCCACTAGTCATCGCTAGTCCCGTTATTGACTTTGACGTCTTCATTGTGGTCCATAAGATTCATCCTACAGCCCAATCGATCCACAATGATCAAGAACTACAACTATGTTTTCTTCTAATCCAAAGAGCCCATGCCCGATCCAGACCATGGAACCGTCCCCCAGAACCGTCCAAAGCGCAAGAAGAAGCTGAAGCACGAGCGACGTGCCAAACGCAAAATTTTACTCGACGTTTTGGCTCGAAAAATCACTGTCGCTAAAGCGAAGGACCGCTACCGGTGCTGGCGAGCAGCCTTGGAGCGGCGTAGGAAGCGCCCTTGTTACTTGCCGGTTGAACCGCCCAGTGACTCCGAACAAGAAGGTGGCGGAAAAGCCGCCATAGAAGCAGCGAAATGCGAAGCTAGACTGCGAGTTTTGCGAGTTCTGAAAAGGAAGCAAAACTCCAAAATGTCAGAGGAGAAGAGAGCGAAGATCGTTGCGAAGAGAGCGGAGAAGATTGAAGAAATGGAAATGTTATGGCTTAGGCTGAAAATATCTTTGTAGGTCTATCGTGGTCAGTAGATCGTGTTGAAGACTTCGACGAGCAGGACCGGCGTAGCGCCTGACATCCCCAGCACCTGCTCTTTCTTCCCTCGAAAAATATTTATTAACACCTCAAATAAATCTTCTAAGAACAAGATTGAAAGGGCACCTCGAGGCAATCCCGAAGAAGAACGAGGATGTTTATCAGAGGATTGAGGAGGCCAGGACACGCAGAGAGCTCGGCTACGAGCCAGAGGATGTGCCTGTTATGAGGGAAACAAGGATATTTTTTTTCAGAATCTGCGTCGTGCCTCTGCCAATCAAAGCCTCCTCGCAGTAGGGGACGTTGTTGCTTGATGTTCTTGCCTGCAGTTTCTCTTTTTACTCTGGTCTCTTACTCATACTCTGGTCACTCGCGACACAGAACTCATATTTTTCTATTCATAAGATAGAACTCCCCTTAATAAACTACAAATGAATCGAAACGGCTGATTCTCTTGATCATGAAAAATCTTTGATCGTCTCCATGATGGGATCTTCTAACCCCAAAGTGAAACGCCGTGGTCGAAAGCGCAGCACTGTTCTCACTGCTGTTGGCAATGCAATGATCCCTGGTGGAATTCCATTGGACGCCGTTCCCAAGAACAAGAGGGGCAGGAGTGCGGCAGTCAAAGCTAAAGCCTTAGCTAAAGCTGCTGCTGACAGGGCAGCAAAAGCCGCTGCAGCGGCGGCTCGTGGTGAGCCAGCTCCGGCTAGTAGTGCGAGGGCCTCCGCTAGTCCTAGTCCGGAAGAAAGTTGTGCTTCTAGTCCAGATGAAAAGCCAAAAGCGAAGGCTAAAGCGAAAGCCAAGGGCAAAGCTGATGCCAAGGCTGCTGCTAAGGGTTCTAGCTCAAAGGATAAAGATGCATCACAGGGAGACAATGATGAGGACGAGGAGGAGACGAAGGTACTCATCTACAAATGGCGTCATCCGAAACTTGCTGAGTTGGATGGCAGACATCATACCGAAATCGATGATGCAACGCAACTACCGCAGCATACCGTGATCACGAATGACAATGTACTTTTTCTATTAGTGTAGAGGAGCTAAAAATCTGTTTATCCTCTCAAAGTAACTACTGATTATGTGCCTCTATTCTACTAAACAACGAACTCGAACGCAAATGCTTGTTCTTGTAACGCAACACGTTATGAAATACCGCATCTCACTCCCAGGTTCACGGAAGGCGACGCTTTGGTAAACGCTATGGCAAACCGATCCACCGAAACCTCAACGACCCTGTAGATTGGATGGACGTGCACCTACCTTTCAGCTACCGTAATCGTCGTGTCCCGCTTGTGCGTCGTAGGATGGAAACTCTGTTGATGGAAGAGGACGCTGACTACAACGATTACATGGATGACGAGGTCAAGCTCTTCAACGCCTTGAAAAAAAAGATAGAGAAGGACAGAGCAGCAGCGGAAGCAGACAAGGAGAAGGAAAAAGGTGGAAAAGAACAATCTTCACAGAGCAACGGAGAAGACGTGACTATGGAAGACGCAGAGAAGCGATCAGGAGACGCTAACACGAGCACAACCACCAATAAAACTGACGACGGAAGCAAAGTGGTCATAAAAGAAAAAGAACGTCTTGATACTAGTACAGCGCTGAAACAGGGGAACCCCCTCTTTGGATGGATAGATGATGGTTTGGATATGTCGTACCCTTCTGCCTTGCCTGACACAGTGAAAACCGCGGAAGAGGCTTCTGCACGTCTCTTAATGAAGCATTGTCCAACAAAACTTCTCCACGAAAAACGCACTACAAGTAGAAGTACTAGTACTACGGCTGGAACAACTCCGAGTACAACTAGTGCAGAAGGTACTTCAGCTTGTTCAGGAGGTTCAGACAACATTAATTCTTTGGCTTTTATGGAGTCAAAAGTGCTGGCTCTGAATAACGAAGTCGACCGCTTACGCCGTATCTCGGATCTGGACAAACGCGTGGACGAGGTGCAAAAACTGGTAGACGACAAGTGGAACGACCCGTTTTTCGAAACGTTCTTGAGTCTTATGGCTTTTTTTCTTGAAGACTATGCATCTCAAACTATTTTGTATCTCAAGAACATGTCCTCCGCCTTGATGGACGAGTCATCTTTCTCGTAAGGTCAGCCGAAGCCCCAAGAATCTGTTTCTATTTCGTCTTGCCGGTGATTGGATATGATCACTTGAGGCGCAATGAATGAATGTCCTCCTTCTTGCTCTCCTGCTACTTCTTCTAACCGCAGCCGCGACAAATACCTCGATGGTTGTGATGGTCCCTTAGGCTTCCTTCGATTTGCAGTCGGTCACGAATTGACTCTGGCCATGCGATTCAAGCGGACTAGGGTTCCGCCTCTACGGTTTGGACGTGGTGCTCGTCGATTCCGTGGATGGAACGAAGACATTAATGGAGATGGGCCTCTTATCAAAGGAAAACGACGTGGCTGGCGACCGAAAGCACCTATTCTTATGGCTTGTTGCGCTAAAATGTACTATGAACGACCTTCCCTCAACAAGCAACCCACCGTATAGATACAATCAAGGGTTAAATATCCCAATAGTAGTGATCCGGATCCCTCAACCTTATAGGCTATACGATAGAGTATCATCCAACAAGATAGAGTGAGGTTAATATACATAAAGAGGGCTTACTCTTGAGGGACCCTCAGTAGCCTCTCAGGTTGTATCATGAACAACCAAGGTGGGACAAAGCCCTTCTAATTTTCCAGGTAGAGGATTCGATGGAGAACATGAAGCTTTGGTGTCTGTCGAGCTTATGCAGGAGATGGCAGAAAAGAAGCAAGCGGCTAAAGAACGGAAAGCTGCGAACGCTGCCGCTAGAATGAAAGCCATCATGGAAGAGAGGGAGAATTATGACAAGAACGCTATCTTCGTTCTTTAGGTTTAGTAAGCGCCGTTTGCGTTTGTGTTTCTGTAGTTTTCCGATTCTCAGTCTGACTGTGAAAATTGTTCCTCAATAATTGTTCATTGACGTTTACTTATCGGATGTCGATGTCGTGACTCTCTCAATGTCAACAATCCTCTTCACCCATCCCTCTCTTCCTCTAAACTCGAGAAGAAGCGGCATTACGTGAAATGCTAGAACGGCAAGAGAAATTTCCGTACAAATACAAGAACCCGCAGCAAGCCAAGGGAGGCGCCCAAGCAGCTTACTACCAAAATGCTTACTATTAAGGCAACAATAAAAAATACGAAGAAAGCATCCTCTTTCCTCCATATGAATATCATCCGACCGTGGTGGGGTCTTTTTCAAAAACGGAATTTTCAAAACAGGTGTCGGTCCAAGAAGGAGATTATTTATCTCAAGGAGGATGCAAAGCTCTAATACTACGCGAACAAGGGTTACCCGGGAGGAACGCCAGGAGCTTCTTCAGCGTCGTCCGGAGGTAAAGGCGGAAAGGGTGGGAAATGAAGCAAGGTTAACAGGTAGTTCTTTCGCAGGAGCACAAAGATTTAATATCTATCTCGTCTGATCATGTTTCGTCTTGCTGATGGTAGCTAGTGACCATCTAAGACGCAATGATGATGATGATGATGTTAAATTTATTTCGAAGAAAAATATACCAGACTATCCGAGGATTCAAGAATGGTTTGTGAGTTGGAGGATGGCATTGCCTGTCGCGTCATTGGTTTGGATGTTGTGATACTTTGAGTTTCAATTTTCGCCATACTGATATTTTTTTGGTGACAAAGAGGAACTCTGCTTAGAACTAAGTATGATGCGCTTAGAAACCGCACAGACAATTACATCTAACATCATCCTACTAGTACCACATCAAGCATAGTCCAACACAAGGAAGTTCAGAAAGTGAGAATGGGACTTGCAGATGTGATATAACTATTGCTGGAGCTTTACCTACATAGAACGGAAAAGAGCATGATATTTATCAGAAGTGTCTCCATGAGGTCATGTTGGTTGTATACGAGTACCGTCGGTTTGTGAACGCTAGGACTGCTTATTTTCACCCTCAAGGTGGTGCGTTTTCTATATAATTCCCGGCCTGTTTCAGTTGTGCAAATCGTGAAGGTTTTGCATGATTCTCATGCGGTTGCAAAGTTGTCAAATGTGTGGGCCTTCTTTTTCATAAGTAACGCGATAAGAATCCACATCATTGGCATGGTATTCCAGTGCTGTGATCTTTGTCACTATGGGGCAATGATTTCCATCACGTTCATGCCGATGATCTTCATACTCATACGACTAGGGTCATCATCTTCGTCCTCTTCTTATTCTTTTAACATTTGCGGAACGGGGGAACTGGATCGCCGTCGATATAATCAGCTTCACAATTTCGGACTTGGGTATGACTATGAAGAAGACTGTATTCATTCCATATTCGATTTAGACTGTGTGTGATGTTGATGAAAGTAGCACTACCAAGAAGTGCTCGTCGAACAAACGCTATTTGTGAGATACGACGTAAGCGGAGCAAGGCAATGGAAATGGATGGCTTCGATTTTATTTACAATTTAGTTAGATTATTTACATAGAATTTATTACTATTAGAAGCACGTCATACGACAAAATTACTCTCACGATATGACTAAAACCCGAAGTCCTAGTAATTCGAAGGTCTGCGACTGGAAATCCACTAGTGCTCCAACAAAACGTGTTTGTGAGATAAGACAGACTGACTCATTAATCCCTTGGCAGAGGCAGTCATTTTTTTCACTACAATCAAACCATACATTTTCACCACAATTACTTAGATCATACTAACTTACTCCAAGAACAGGGTTAGCAGTTGATCTTACCTATTTCAAGTACCAAAGACGTGCAGCGTCAAGCGATGGAAATCGAAATGGATTTAGTGGGAAACAAGGATATTTTTTTGCAGAGTCTGAATGAGAATCTGCGTCGTGCCTCTGCCAAAGCCTCGTCGCAGTAGCTGTAAATGCAAAGTAAGCCTCAGCGCTTCTACTAATACTATCTCTATCTAATTAGATTTAGAAGAGCTCTAACTAATCATCTCGTCAAGCTCTTCTATTTTTTAGTTTTTCAGGAATTAAGAAGTTCGTCGTCGAATGATACTATCTAAGTAGCATAAATATGATTACAAAGTAACGATGCAGCACGACGACTTTATTCCACCTTATGTTTTTTTGCCCATGACACAGACATGGTTAGCATAGCGATAGCGTCCGAGATCACAAAAACGTACATCACTACAAGTTTTCGTAGCAAACATGAGGAATAGTCGAGTATACTACATGGATCTAATTAAAAAGTAGCAGTTTTTTAGGGAATACCCACGGTCGGACATGAATCTCCTTGTCCAGGACATAATATTCGGCATATGTTCATTCCGGACAAGATTATTAGATTTTTTTTAGAGGTACGATAAGCAGAAGATAGAACAAAGCGTCTAGTCTTTCATACAACATCACTAGTACTAGTACATTAAAAGTAGAACACTTTACCTTTTCATTGTCAAGCAGTAGTAGTCAATCTTTTCAAAACAAATTTTTGCCGCCATTTTTCACAACATTAATAGTCAATTTACAACATATTGACAATATGATATTGGTTTCATCGGAATCTGAAAGTAGTAGAATTAATGGATGTTGTAATAACATCAACATGATGAACAAGTAATTGTACAATTATCTGCAACAGAGAAAAAGTGGTAGTTTTTGCGAGGACGACATGAGCATGTGTAAGTAAAACTAAAAGATATTCCCAGAATTTTTAGAAGACAACGACACTAGCCTTAAAAGGTAAACATCAAAGGTGTTGCATTGGCTTCAACCAAGTTGTGTAAGACCTATGTGTGAGTCTAAAAACCTGATCATACGGATTCGCGTCGACGACAGAATTGAATAGAATTGAGATCCGGGCGTTCCCGTTGAACGACATAAAACTTGAAGTCGGAGTCTGCGGAGCAAGGTGGGCTGGAAGCTAGTAAAGCTGCGCATGACGGAACGCGGAAGAAACCGCATCAAAATCTGCTTCTTTATTCGGTTGGCGATCTGTGTGGTGCGAACTGTCAACCTTGACTAGAAATGAGAATGACCGCTCAGATAGTACAATGAAACTCGCACGAAAATTCTGTGCAGACTGCCGCGTGGGCGTCATAGAGTAAGAAGAATCATCAGGATCTACGTATATTAAGACTTCAAATGAAATGACAATAGGCCATGGGCAGAAGGGACCGCCCAGAAGATTGATCTATATGTAGTATAGCACAGTTCGCCAAGGATCTCCCTCTTGTAGAATCTACGGTTACTAAGGAGCGGCGGCGCTCCTAATATTGAGCTACTAGTCTTTTCAGAGGACGACAAAAGTAGCATGCTGATTGATGAGGATCGTTTTTTCAAAATGGACATGGAAAGAAGTGGTTTGTAGTACAGGTTAATCTGCCCTCCTCTCGAACCCCTGCTCACCGACGACGCCACCGATGAACAAAAAGAAGAGTGGCAATTCGCGAAAGTTGGCGGACAAGCTCTGTAATATCGTGTTCTTCCACCCTGACACCTACAGATGGTCAAGGTGGAAGAACAGGATATTACAGATGGAACCAATGTTAAGGCAGCCAGTTGTTTCATCTCACTATCCCAGGTGGAGCAAGTTTGCTGAGTATCTATAGAGTCCCCCTTGGAAGTGGATAAAGGGGAACTGAAGAGGGGAAGAAGAGGGGAAACCACTCACAAGCAGGGAATGTGAAAAACTACCTCTAACAGTGCCTACTTCCGCGCTGCCAGTTTGCCTTTCGCAGAATCCAGAATGGAAGACATCTTGAAGGATGGTGGATGTCCGGAGGAGGTGTTGGCAAATTTGGTGGAAGCGTAAGAACGTCGGAGAAGGGAAAATTAAAAGTAGATGAATATCTTCTATCATGTTGCGGACATCTAGCCTTTTATTTTCGATACGTTGCTTGAACTTGAAGTAGTTGATCATCCATGATATTATACTTTATTTTTCCCCGCCATCGATGATCCAGAGAGCTGCAGTACTGGAAGATTCATTGATGTCCTTTTGGGGGGGAGCATTTGCAGCTTTAGATTAGAACTAGTAAATACTGTACTAAATAGAAGTAAAAGCTCCTTCGGAAAAATAAATGAGATGATTATATGCCAGATGATGACGATAGCAAGCGAACACCTCTACGACCTCATATCTTTATCTTCAGCATTATCCTTACATGATCATTAGGATTACAATACGATGAGTAAGAGGTACTATCGATATCGAAATACCTTTGATTCAATTTCAAATAACCATTCTCTAGTAGCATGATCAACAGATACATAAAATGAAGACACATGAAAGGGAAAGGCATTTTCGACACTGTGGCAGAGAATTGTAGGTTAGCGACTCACTGAAAGTGTTTCTTTACACTAGCTTGTCGCTGCATTGCGTTCTGATTCCACATATTGATATTATACCGGTATTTTCAAGACATCACACGAGGATGCTTTCGCCAAAATTTTCCGTCTGAGAATGATTCCAAACCTACCGACGTGACGCGCACTCATAGCTCACAAATCTTCCACTGAACTTTAGTCTAAGGATGCATAGTCCAATACATAGAAATCTAGAGGTTGAGTGACTGCATAGTGGTATCATATTACATGACGTATAGGCGCATGGTCAACAAAAATATCCTTCGTATCATATAGCACATGTATCTATAGAACAAATGAAATTGGGAGACAGACGAGAACCTTCATCTACTTCACGTTCACGCACGAGGACTATCACAGGATTGGCTAACCGCAACTCATACTATCTCTTACTCTTGGACAGGGAAAAGCGTTTACTTCTAATACAGAGGCAGACACAAAGCAGCTGCAGCCGTTGAAAAATTATATGGATGTTTGTGTGAAAGTGAATCCGAGAGAACGGTCGAAAAAGCCAAGGAATGATGATAAAAGCGAAGAAAAAGACACGTACTAGTCATACTGTTACTAGAAGAAAGGATGCAGTGCCAGTGGAGCAAGCTCGACGAAACAAAGCATCGCATCAAAATAAAGACTGCCGTTCTTTATTTGACAGCGATTCTGAAAAAAGATGAGGATAGACGACATTCTCGCTGCCCCTGTGCGGTTGGCTCCGCACGTCTCTACTCTCGAGTTTGGGAACGATGCTGCTACCGTGCCAGGCCCCCACCATCCAGCCCCACACGGTCTTCAACCTCCTAGTTGCTCCACGCCGCCTACGACACGCGCTGAATTAGATCGCATACAAAGTCGTGCTGGTCAAGGTGCTTCTGGTGCCGAGTCGATAGTCGGCAAAACAAAAGGAGGCAAGTTTTCCGGTTCGAGTTTTGAAGATTACAATCAGGAGCGGTGGTCAGCAAGTGGCGCGAATAGACACGGACAATATCATCAGCAACCGTCTTCAGGAGATGCATTAGACAAAGTTTTGAATCTTCAAAACAACAAAGATATGATCCCCTCGTCCTCGTATCAATTCGGTCGGGTATCTGCGTCTGGTGCTGCAACGGTAGCAATAGCTGGAGCTAGTAGTCGAGCAGTAAACAGCGCGAGAGCTGAACATCAGATGAGCAACAACCCCTTTGTGATACACTCGAGAAGATCTTCATCGAACAATTATGGATCCTCTAGTTCCTCTGGTGACGTGAACAGCAGAGCAACAAGACGAGGCCGAGGGGGCCACGGCGCAGGTGGTCGTTTCAACAATTATGCTCCAGCAATGTTGTCCTTGCCAGGAAGTTTCCACTCCAGCTCAACAACTCATTGGTCCTCGGCAGCTCCGACGAGTAGGTTGCCTGTTGTAAACAGCTTTCTTCGAGGGCCAAGTAGCAAAGGTCCTCCATCTTCAATATCCGCGACTGAACTTCACGTGCTGCCCCTTTACGCCACTGTAGGGCCAGCAGCCGCAGCTGGTGCGGCACAACATCACCAAGGAGCAGCTGCAACAGCACGTAGCCACCAACTGCAACCTACGACATCATCGTCAAATAGTAGTGGACGAGGTGGTGCTTTCTTTCATCGAGAAGAGAGTTACCCAGCAAATGGTCCGCTGTTGTCATCCCCTACAGGCCGCTCATCACGGTTGCAGCCAATTGTAGAACATCGATCTCGTCAGGATCATAGGACCCCTGTTGGCGGACAAGCGGGGATGGGGATGTTCACCATGAACATGTATGGAAATGGACAAGATGATAACCAGGGAGGGTTTAACAATCATAGTTCAGCAGGCATAGGAGGCGCAGGTGTACAACAAGGTGCAGGAGCAGCGGCCTCTTCCTCAACTGTAGGACAAAGCAGACTTTTCATGCCTGCTTCATCAATGCGGAAAGAAGCACAAGAAACGCTGTCTAAGATTCTGAGTGTTGGTGACCACGCAAAAAGGAGCCATACTTTGAACATGCTAAGTGGCTCGTCGAAACTACACTGGGGTGCCCGATTGGTACCATCATGGAAAACTGATGAAAATGTTGAGACAGGAGTAAGAAATAGATTCTGAGTTCTTATGCAAGTGATGATGTAAGAGTAAAAAGTAAAGTCTTTGGTACAGTAGAGTAGTTAAGGGTAGGCTAAAGGTACTTTTGTTACCGGTTGTTGTGGTTCTCCTAAGGGGGACAGCCATAACAAGCGGGATAAACGAACACCAAAAGCATACCGCTGAAGTAGTAATCTCAGATACTTCCTCGTTTCAGAGGCGCGTGGACGAATAGGCGAGACCAACATGAGAGAAAGGCACGACCGAGGGAAGAGCACTAACGAGAGCCGCGAGGGCAATGTGGGGAAGAGATGAAGATTTTTGGCTACCTAAAAAACGGGCTAATTAGGTTCACAACGGATATTATCTATAATAATGCAGCCAAAGGAGCTGCAACTTATCGGTCGAGTGAAAAAGCCAACTGCGCTGATCTCAAAGATGATCCTTCTTGACGACCAAGATCTACTGGGTTCTCGGCCTGTGTTTGTCAGAACATCGATCTTCTTGTGACACAATAAAGACACATCGTCAACAAGACACATCGTCAACAAGATCATCCTGTCAAGATGCCGCTGAAACAAGCAGAGCTGAACAATGCTATGGAGAACGACTGGGCCATTGGGCTCATGGAAGCTCCATGCAAACAGCCTGCGCAATTTTGCTTAGGCTTTTGTTGCTGTCCAGGATACCCGTGTGTGGCGGTGTACTTGATGATACAGCAGGGTCATACTGCTTCTTGCTTATGTTTAATATACTAGTACAAGTACTTTCGCTTCAGCTTCACTCACCAGATTAACTCTGTTGAAGATGGCGATCATTCGTGTCGTCGTGTTGAACTTCATCTTACTTGTTGTACTTGTAGAAGACGGGGGTTGTCCTGCCTATCGACGTCCATCGACCATATTTTCGACGGCTAGTGCGTGGTTCTTCAATCTTAACAGGTACACGCAGCGGAAGGAGCTATTGCAGATAACTGGAGAACCTTATGTGTGTTGTGGCGGTATGTTCCCTTGTGGATGCCTCAAAGACCCGCAGGATGAGGGTATTCCGTTATTTTACAGTGTTGTCTTTGATTCAACACCCACGCCTTCGGCACTCCTTCAAGATTTACAGACGCGAAGAACATCGACGACAAGAAGTATCTTCCTCAATCCATGTTTCTAGAGGAGAGGATTTCGAAAACGCTGCTCGTCCTAATACTCCACTCAAAGGTTGCTTAGTCTGCGAAGCCCTTTGTTGTCCGCACTGTGGTGTTGTGGCGAACAGATACCTGGTCCAAACCCGATTCTCGATACGGAATGGCCCATGCGACGAGTTCATATTAACTTTCATGTTTATGGCTTTGGCTAGTTCTACTTGATAAGTGCGTTCTTTTCGTGCTCGTAGCTACAGAATTGTGTTTGTTTTAGTACAACTACGACTCACAACTACAATTGATATTATGAGATGACTTGTTGAAACTTGATGTTCGAAAGTTTTTTAAAATTTGTTTCGGTGCGAGAACAAACAAGGTAGTAGAGAGATGAGCATTCCTTCAAGTTGTATAAAGAGAATCATGTAGTTCCAAGTGGTGGAAAAGATTTTACTTTTTTGAAATTTTCTAACACCCGCATCGTCTCGTGGGCCATCTGTATCCTCGAAACCGTGGGATACGACGTTCCAGACGAGATCGAGCTTCTAGTGGATTTCCTGATAGACGTCGTCTACGCATGTATGCACGCTCAACAGCACCACCAAATACAGCTGGTCAAGCAACAAGCTTATCGACCACCAAGTCCGACGATCATTGTTATGCTGCCACCGGCGCAGCAGGTAATACTTGTTCTAGTTCAAGTTTTATTTCTTGATTCTGCTCCTACTTTTGTTCTCGTTTCTACTCTTCACCGCTCTTGTTGCACCAGTAGTTTGATGAATAACCTTGAGTACACCACCAGTAGTTGCACTTGCAGGCGCAACTACGAAAAATGGTCCGTCGTAGAACCTTCACTTTGGCCTGCTACACACTCACTAAAACAACTCGAACTCCAACTACTACAGAAAATGATCGCGCAGGCGAAGATAGTCCCTCAGCCAGGGATGCCAGTACCTCAGCCACAGGTGATGGGCGCACCCCAGCAGCAGAACATGTACTACCAGCAACAACAGCAGTATGGAGGAGGAGGAATGCAGCCCTTATCACAACAGCAAGCTCCACCAATGTATGTCCAGACACAACCGGTCATGTACCAACAGCAAGGTGGATATGGCCAACAAGGTGGCTACGGCGGTCAGCAGGTGATGTATGTACAACAAGAAGGCGGATATCAGCAAGGAGGGTATAGGTACTAACGCGAAGCAGTCATCTGCTCGTATTAATGCCCCTGGTGTACACTATTTAATTGAATACATTGCAGCTGTACACTATAATTGGTGTACACTATAATAGTACTCATAACATCAACATCATGGAAGAAAATGTGCATAGCCATAGCTCGTCTGATTCTTTTCCCTCCATTATAAAGGCCTTTCGGTGAGACAGTGACTGCCGTCTGCACTGCAGTCAAAGCACCGAGTGAAAAAAGTCACCAAGTGAAAACCATCAAAAATTAATCTGAGGCTTCCAGCGGTCAGGGTCACGCGTTGTTGTAAGTAGCAAGAATCGAAACAAGTTGTTGTTCCACTGTCGGCGGAGTCATGATGGATCAATATGCGTCAAACTAATTTACTGGCTTCGGGGGCAATTACCAATATCTCCTAAATGAGATCTCAGCGGAAGCGGTGTGCTGCATTTTCATTCTGCTTTTCTTAGCCAAAAAGTTGTATCAACAATATCCTCGAGCTTCTCTCGTCCGATTTTCCTTTCGCTTTCGCGGTAGTTTCAAACTGGTAACACTACGTAGAAGTAACGTCTGTAACTACGTACCTCTATCACAGAACGCTACAACTCAAAAAAGAAAAATGTCCACCGTCACACCAATCACCGATCTCTCCCAGACTGTGTCTGTGGGATCGACACGCTGGTTAAAACTGGAAACTCTCACCTACACCGACCAGACTGGCAAGGAGCGCAAGTGGGACCGCGCTGTGCGTGCTACGAAACAAAGCGAGACCTCAATCGACGCTGTGGCTATTCTTGCCACTTTAGTTGACACAGCGACTGCTTCATCCAGTATTCTTCTAGTGAAGCAATTTCGTCCAGCCGTCAACGCTTACACCTTGGAGCTACCAGCAGGCTTAGTCGACAAGAATGAAAGCACAGGCACCGCGGCACTGAGGGAACTCAAAGAAGAAACAGGATATGTCGGCAAAATCGTCTCATGTGGGGAACTCCAAGACACATCCGGCTTCCCTTTGTCTCCAGGCATGAGCAACGAAAGCGTCTCTCTCGTTGAAGTTACGGTGGACCTCAGTTTACCGGAGAACCAACATCCCTTGCCGTCGCCGGATGAAGGTGAGTTCGTCCAAGTGTTTAAGGTGTCGAAGAACAATCTGCTGGCAGAACTGACTAGACTGCAAAAAGAGGATCCGAAAGTGCAGATCTTTATAGGGCTGTGGACCTTGGCAAGAGGAATAGAATTAGGGAAGGCGATGATGAAGTAGAAGGTTGCAGAGACAACTACATCTTGTTCATGGACTTCACTTTTTTGAAATCCGCTTTGTCCGCGGCTTGTTTGCTATAATCCGCGGATTCACCTCATATGAAAAAAGGAACATGATCATGTTTCCCTCTCATTCCCTTTCGTGGCTACTTTTTAGAGGCAGCATTACCATCAGTACAAGAATTGCCTTTACCGCGCGTGTTTGCTTGATGACGAACAAATGATCTTTCATTCAAGTTTTTATTGAACATGAACGCACCTCCATTGACGCCGACACTCATTCCATCCTCTCAGAATCCTCCAAACAAGGAGAACGCAAAGTGACAACTGATCGAAATCGCCATTGGATTGGAGGTGCAATGTTGCATCTGTTGATTCTATTGGAAAAGTCTGATGCGTTCCTGGACCTGATTCCATCTCTGCTTCATGAAGTCTGCTAGATCTGTCTCACTTCCCGGTGTCGGATACTAGCACAGAATTTTTGATATGGGTACTGCGTTTAGAACACGCGTGTTATATCTATCACAACCACAAGAAAAGTGTACCAGAGAGAGGAAATTGCTTTGTACTCCCAAAAGAAAGACCCCTCCCGAGAAGAAACGAGTACAGTTCTACAATCCAGTCTGTCACGTAGTTGTTATCAAAGAGTTTTCAGACGAGAGATGCTCGAGCGGGAACGAGTTTCTTAGTACTTCGAGACCCCGCCTTGATGACCTTCCCCCAACCAGCACTTTCCATATTTCCAGCACTTTCCATATTTGACAATTTTCACATTTGCTGGAGCAATTTCTTCTCTAAGTGGCGCGATCAATCTACGTTTCTAATATCGCAGCGAGCAGAATCATCACAGGGGTGGACGTGGACCAACGATAATACTAGGCTTCGTTCCAAGAACTACCATTATCATTCATTCCATTTTGGTCAAATCATACCATATTGTCTATCGAATCCACTTCCACGATGCATACCATGCTAATTTTTTCAATATTATTGAACATTTCATTCCAATCCTACTACAACTTTTGCTATCTTCTCTAATCATCTTCATCATCCATCATTTTCATTTTGCTTCTCATTCTCTCACATAAAAATATGAAGCATGCGTTTTTTCATGGGGGCAGGCGCGAGTAAGAAGCAGAAGGCGGCTGAAGCTCCCTCGCCAGCCGCAGAGCCTGAACCAGGTCAGGCTTACGCTATAGGGGCTGCGGACGAGGGGGCACAAGTGCCAGCAGGTGGAGGCGAGACAAAGAACGGCCGGCCGCATTACAACAATCCTAATAGTCGAAGTAACGATTCAACAGGAGATCAAGAGGAAAAGTTGAGTCGCAGTGGAGGAGCGCGAAGTGGTGGGATATTCGATCATTCAGGCTCTTTTGGGCGTCGTGAAGACGATGTAGGAGGGAGCGCGTCGGATGAGGAAGCCGAAGTTCTGGAGTCGATATTGAAGGAGAGGGTACTTCTAGAATTAGACATAATTTGAAGTGTGGTCCTATGTATTTGTATGTAGGGGAAAGGTCATTCCACTTATAATAAGTCTTTGCTTTTTCACCACGACGCTATCTTATCAACAGTTGACTGAGTACTAATAATCAGGTAGCCCAAGATCGCAAACGCCACGAAACAAGGCCTAGGGGGAACAAGCCAAGTTCCAATATTCATTCGCGGAACGGTTCAAGACATCCTAGCCCCCTTGAAGACGGACCTGGTGGCCTAAGTCACGGCAGTGAAAACCGTGGTATCTATAACGGTCAGCATCGAGCAAACAACCTAGCGCCTGACGAGGAGCCAGCGACTTCAAAACTGGTGCGAAGTAGACAAAACAGCGCGAAAGAAAGTTATGAGGGAGTTCGTTGTACAACAAGTAGTACGTGTACGATAATCTTCACTGCTCAAAAGTGTCTTTGTCGTAAACTACAACTACTGCAGAGTCGTTCATTCTGCTCTAACCTCCAACCAAACCCAGCCACCTCACATCAAACGGAGGGGGAGGGTCCAACATGCCATCGCCCAAGTCGTCAGGCGGTGCCGGTAGCATGCAATATGGCGGCTCCAGCTCGTCTACAGCGAAACATCAGCCGGCTGAACATCATGCAAGTGGTCCGTCGCCAACCTTTGGTGGGAGTGGTGGGAGTCAATTGAATAGGTCCATTACCCCGCCTCCGGGAGCAAGTCCACCACCGGGCCGCACATCAGGGCAGTTGAACGCTTTCATGAACGACTCAGATGATGACGCGCCTGCTTTTGGAGGAGGTGGGAAAAGAGGGGGGAGCAGTAGAGTTATGATTTTGATTCTTCTTGCTAGTGTAACTTTAGCTACCACGCATTGATGATTCTTGAAGACTCAATCCTTTTACTTTCTCATATGTCGTAGTGCTAGTTAGTACCCTATGCTTCTCCACCCCAAATTGTAATAAGTCGTGTTACACGTCGCTTCACCACCTTCATTTCCCCAAGTCAGCCTCAGCCGCTTGGTCTTGTTCTCTCCGGCTTCGTGCCACAAGGCGAGAACCAGATTGCAGTGACGAAAAACGAAGTAGTCAAAGTGATCGACACTAGCCACGCAGAAGAATATGGCTGGATATGGTGCGAATCGACCTCCAGACCCGGTGAGCAAGGTTGGGTGCCAAGTCACAATTTGGATTTGAATTACAAGGGGAAGAGCAGAGTATCAGAGATAAGCCAGGGTGGTGGACCTGGAAACGGAGGATTTTTAGCAGATGCAGGAACGCCTCCTCAAGGAGGAGGAGACTCAGCCTCAAGCGTTGGCGGTGCAGACGACGACCCTTTGGCCCAGTGGAACGACAAATTGGCGGAATCTTTTGTCCTTCATTCCATGCGAAACTTAGTTCGATTGGTACAATACGTGGTGAATTTGCTGAATCCCTATGGTGCGGCGACGTCCCTGCACATCGCGTGTTGGCGAGGCTCAATAGATGCAGTAGAAGTAATGATCGAGATATGAAAGAAAAAAGTGCACTCACACTCAAAAAAAGTGGCTATTTTCCTACTTAAATCCTAGCCAATTTCTTGAGTGTGAGTGCACTTTTTCGTTTCATACGAGAGCGACCCTGATTTGATCAAGCGGTTGCACGCGACTGCGGGACAGCTCACGCCATTGCACGTTGCAACGATTTGCAATTATCCGGAGGTAGATCATTTTTTTCTTGCAACTTTTTGATACGATGACCACTAATCATGAGAAGTCGGGCATTCTAGTACTGATATGAAGTACGATGACTGTAATTATGAAGAGAAGTAGGGCATTCTAGTACTGATATGAAGTACGATGACTAATCATGAGAAGTAGGGCATTCTAGTACTGATATGATAAGGAATACCGAATTCAATGGAATACCGCAACAGAATGATTGATATGAAGGAATTCCGTCCGCAACAGAATGATTGACATTGTTCAAAAATAGATATGAAGGAATACGACCACAATAGAATGATGATCGAAAAAGTCTTTCCTTCACTTACCTCATCAGGTTGTCCAGTTCCTTCTCGACGCTAAAGCGAACTGCAATATTCCTACTGTCCACGAACTTTCCCCTCTCCATCTAGCTGCCTCTGCGAATAGCGAGTTGGTTGAGATTTTAGTGCAAGCCAGAGCCAACGTCGATGCTGAGGATGCCGACGGAAACACACCCTTGATTTTTGCGTGCTGTTATCATCAGGTACAACTCGATACTGATGATATACCACGACAGACTTACTAGACGTGCAGCTGCTAGTTATTGACTGCTATTAAAAAAGTGAAAGCTGTAGTTAATTTTTTCAGGAGAATCAATATCAAGAACACTTCTGGCAAGATCATTTTCATAACATATCCGACTACATCTTCATCAAGGTCCAAACAATCGAGTACCTCGTTGATAAGCAGGCTGATTCTCGCAAATGTAATCGATGGGACGTGTCACCCTTACATCTAGCGGCAGCATATGCAGAGTTGGATGGATCTCTCTACAGTATTCAACTTCTGTGCAGTACGGGAGCTGATCCGTGGCTCAAAGATGCTGGAAATTTGACACCACTCCAAACGATCAAGCGAGTTCTGAAGCGAGGTGGCAGGAAGAGCTTGTCGTCGGGGCCGGGGAGCACTGAGGCGTTGGGTACTTGTGGAGTAAATAGTTTTTAGTGTATTCGTATTCCTTCGAATTTTTAGTTGCAAATAAGTAATTGGCATACAACCGCTCATCTGAATTGATTGATCTTGCTTCTATAGGACATTCCTCTCAACTACGAGACCCAACATCTTTCACTTCCACAGGTCCCGTTCTGGAATGAGAAAAATCATTTGAGATGTGATGATGATGATGATTCCTGGACCAATTTGCTTCCCATCTAACGTCTGCTACAGATCCCGTTCTGGAATTCTTAGAGCAATTTACGTCCGTAACCAAGCTGAAACCTGCGGCGAGACAAGCCGTCCTGAAGAAACGAAGACGAGATCGGGAAGCCAGAGAGGCCAGAGAAGCGGATGAGGGACCAACATCTACGTCTGGACAACGACGTAAGAGTGACGCCTTGATCCTCCAGGACGACGAAACTGGCAAAGACGAGCATGATGATGACGGAGCAACTCCTCAGAATGTTGTCAAAGCGTCAACAATCGCTGCTGAATTGCAGCAAGAGAACCAGAAGCTCTCCAATGACGCACGCGACCTTAGACGTGAAGTAGAATCTTTGCGTTCGCAGTTGAAGCAAGCAGAATCTTAAGGCTAGTTTCCCACTATCTGTCTCATGTGAACTAAGTATGCTGAGTGCTGGAGTCCCCTATGATTTAAAGGGAGGGGAATGTCTCATGTGAACTAAGTATGCTGAGTAGAGAAGTCCCTATCATGATTTAAAGGGAGGGGAACTCATACTCATACTCACTCAACAGCCAGGGATATTAGTGAAAGACTGTACCTTTAAGAATCAGCGACGTCTGCGAATAAGGATTTGGCGTCACAGATGAGCCAGCAACGACGTGATCAGGAACGAGAATTCGAGAAGCGGCAGACGGAAAGGGATAGAGATTTCCAAAAACAATTGAAGAAGCTGGAAGCAGATTTGGAGGTTATGGGACAGTTGTAGACTTCTAAAGTTTAATTTTTTGAGAGTGGTGCATTATAGTACTTTTTACTGATATTTTTTAGTACCTGAAAGAATCTCTTCGTGGTCTACCTCTACCTGCTCTACTAGTACCTCAAGAAAGATACTTTAGAAGTTGTTCCACCGCTCTCCATTTGTTCACCTTCACACTCCTCCTTCTTCTAACTTTCAAAAAGACAAGACGTGGGGCAAGAAACTGGAAGACGAGAAAGTTCGGTTGAAGAAACTGAACGAGGAAATTACAGCGCAGCTAGTCCAAAAAACCGAGAAGAAGTCTTCTGGTGACGTCGCTGCGCTGAATGTGAAAATGCAAGGGTTGGAGTCTGATCTAAGGGCCAGTAAGTCGTCTCTAGATTCCAAACTAGCGGAAATCACTGCGTTGAAGTCTGATCTGTCGAAAGCCAGAGAAGAACGACAGAAGGGCGAACGAACGCTGCAGACTGACTTGGACGCAAAGAAGGAACGAGTGCGGGTGTTGGAAAGCGAACTTCGACAGCTCAAAACGACACTGGAGACGACGGAGACTTTATGTTGCAAGTATACCTCTCGCGCTCTCTAAATCTAAATGGCAGCCTTAACGCGTTACTTTAGCAACAGTGCACGTTATAGAGCAGAATTTTGGTAGAGCAGTACTAGAATCCAACCAGCATGCATCTATAACGCGTTGCGAAAATAACGCGTTAAGCCTGTCATACTCTCTCTCAATCTTCTCAGACTCATGCATTTTAGTCGTAGTCCTCCACCTCCACGCATAGCTATATATTGATTCCTCAGTGGTCTGTCAAGAACATCTTTTACACAAAAGTCCTCCTATACATTGATTCCTGAGCAGTCTGTCAAGAACGTCTTTTACACAAAACACCTTGATTCCTGAGTCTGTCTTCAAGAACGTTTTTTATACACAAAACACCTTCCAGCATCCTCTTTCATACCCCGAGCTCGAGAATGCCAAGCAGAACCTGAAAAATTTAGACGAATTCACAGAGCGCGCTGAACGAGCTGAGCGAGCGTTGAGACCCCTAGAAGAGCGCAACATCGAACTCGAAAGGATGTTCGCTGAAGAACAGGCAATCCGTCGAAAATACCACAATCAGATCCAGGAACTGAAGGGTGCCATTCGAGTCTACTGTCGAATAAGTTAAGGGTAGGTTAAAGGTGCTTTTCTTGCCGCTTTTTATGCCTCTCCTAAGGGAGAAAGGCATAACAAGCGGGGTAAGCGAGCACCAAAAACCTACCTCTAAATATGACCGAGGATCAGCAAAGAGGTCAACGCCGGAGAAGAATGCTGGTTAGGCAAACTAGATGAGTTCTCTACCCATCTCAAAAGAGGGGAACGCCGTGAGGACAAGGAGTACAACTTTGATGGCATTTTTGACGAGAATAACACGCAAGAGCAGGTGTTCAAGGACTGCAAGGACCTGATCCAGAGTGCGGTGGATGGGTTTAACATCACGATCTTTGCCTACGGTCAGACCGGTGCGGGCAAGACGTATACGATGTATGGAGGCGAAGGGGAGCATGGGGGCTTAGTACCCAGGACGATCAAGGAGATATTTGCGATCAAAACGAAAAACGCCAATCGATACGAGATCAAGGTAAAAATGCTTGTTTAATGCTTCTTGTTTTCCTTAGGGGCTTGTCACAGTTTTTCAAGGATCATGGGAGGTGCATACCACCCAAACCTTGAATCTCTAAACCCATCGCCACACAGGTAAAATTCTACATGCTAGAAGTTTATCGGGATGAGCTCCAAGATCTGCTCTTGTTCAAAAAAAAGCCGCCAGGGCCTCTGGAGATCAAAAGGGACAGTCGTGGGACGATTTACATAGAAAACGTCTCTGAGATCGAAGTTCAAACAGCGGATGAACTTCAATTTATGGTAAAACTTTGTGTCTCTTGTTTCCTTATATATAATAATGTTTTTGACATGAAGGTTGAAAATGAAATTTTCCTTCCTCTATTCCTTACTGCACCTGGGGTCTAATATTCCCTGGCTCGAGAAGGGTATGGACAAGCGCCACGTTGCTGCGACGAAGATGAACACTGATAGTAGCCGATCGCACTTGATATGCACGATTTTACTGGAGGTATACAACAGATCCAAGAAGACAACTGCTTTGGGAAAGATCTCACTGGTGGATTTAGCGGGATCCGAAAGGCTGAAAAAATCAGAAGCAAGTGGCGAAACAGCCAAAGAAGCGATGGCGATTAACAAGAGTCTGACAGCTTTGGGTGATGTAATCGAAGCGTTGACCACGAAACAGAAACACGTAAATTTTCCTGTTTTTAACAGTTCCGAATACATCATGGTAGACAAGCACATCAACATCAGTGAATTGAGTCAAGCTCGTCAAGAACAATTAATACTTCTCTTCCACTGATGAACCTATTCCTATGGAAGATAGCTCATCCTGACATTGAATCACCACCAGATCCCTTACCGGAATCACAAACTGACCGAGTTGATGTCGGATTCACTTGGCGGGAACGCTAAAACCCTTATGTTTGCCAACTGCTCACCCGCCGCCTCCAACTCCGAAGAGTCAATGTCTACGCTGAACTACGCTTCGCGTGCCAAGAACATCACCAACAACGTCAGCAAACAGCAAGAAAGTAAGGAAGTCTCCAGGTTGAAGCAAGTGATCGCCACCATGAGCAGGGAGATGAGCATGCGGACGGATCTTCAGGCGCCGGATCAAGCCGGACTGCAGGCGGCATTGCTGGGGACATGAAAATGCTGCTTCTACTTTTTAATGTTGAGGTCCATCTTCTTCTTCAGGAGCAGGTTGATGACAAGACTTGATGAAGTTACTTGTAGTTTTCGAGACGTGCATAATTTTGACTTTGAGTTGTACTTAGGCAACATTTTTGATAGAAATAGTACCGGGCATTCGCATTGTAGTTCCTGAAGAAATCAACACAGTCCTCATAATCCTTATGTATTCGCATTTTGCAGTGGAAAAATTGATGCATAGTTTCTATGTTTTTGGATCGATGAAAACCAGAAGAAGAAATGCAGCTAGCTGAGTAGATCATTGTTCACTCAAAGGTTCTGAAAGTGCATGTAAAACCGCGAGTACGCACGACATGGAGTCCCACAGGAGTACGAAGCCCAAACATGAATCATACAAGATACCCGTATTCAAAAGCAGTTATGAAATTAACCTCCACCTCAAAGATGACTACCTCTACCTCTACCGCTACAGATTCTCCTGCGACCCGTTTGTCATAACGAAACTACCAATAGATGAAAAACAAAAATCATTAAAGCCTAACATCGACCCCTCCAGTGCCGCGACGAGCAGAGTCAGACTAAGAGTTCGATGAATATATATAGACGAATTGAAATAGGTACCTGATCAACACGGGCATAAAAGTGAACATTTTTCCCAGTAGGTAGCTTCAGGCGCAGTAGACATATTATCTTCCCAAGTAACTCTTTCAAGCAATATAACACCAAACAGTTCACTCATTGTGTGATTATCAAGGCAAGTAGAGCAGCAAAACGATTTTTCATGAAAGGCCAATAAAAAACTGGATAGCAATTACTGATACTGAGCAGATAGATAACGATAACAAAGATGCTGACGCACTACTGATCGCTTTTTTTTATCAGATTGATGAAGGTCAAGTCCTGAAGACGAACCCTCCCCATAGTTTTTTGATCATAGAAAAGAAAAGTGCACATATTCGTCAGTTCGTTGTATGCGACTTCTTGTACGCAGACGGTGGAGCGTGATCTTTTGGTATTACAGGTTGTGTTCCGAGCGAGATTCTCAGTGTTCTGTATACGGAACATTTTGTGAGGAGGATCATTGCTGTCCCTTATTCATGATAGTGCTCATGCTGTCCGATCTGATCCAGACGGGGAAGAGGTGAAGATCTTTGATCTATCAACAGAGTCGAGATCGAGAGCACGTCGTTGAGAGTGGAGCATATTTGACTTTTTCTTGTGCTGTGATATTGATTGAAGGTCACCTAGTCCATAGTAAACGTTAGTAGTTGCGATAGTCAGTTAGCAACATCCACGACCACGACCGAGAACAAATAAACACACACTCATTTCATCAAATAATCAATCAAGAACACCTGTCCCACGTCTTCGGCTGCCTGCTCTCTTGCTCATCTCGTCGCCATGGCCGGCGGTGCGCGAAACTCCCGCGGTGGCGGTGGCGGTCGTGGCAGCGACAGCTCATCCTCGTCGAATATTCGATCCTCTGGGTCGGTTAGGTTATGGCTGCTTCAGTTTCTTTTTCTAGTTCTTTTTCTAGGACGTTGAGACCGATGCATAGGTCGTTGATTTCATTTTCTCTGCTTAAAGGTAGGTGATACTAGTACTATCTCTTGGTGCTTGAAACTCTTTTTCTGGCAAGAACTAGGGAAGAGTCGTTCTACCCCGTTTCGAACCTCTAAAAATCTCCTCTACCTCAAGCCGAAACTTCCTCACGACGCTGCGTGACAGTGTCGCAGCCTTCTTAGGTGCGCCGTTGCCGACTAAACAGGAGACGCCAGACGCTGACTTCACAGAACATGAGTACGACTTTCCGTCGGCGTCGAGTTTTTCGATTATGGCGTTTGGATCATTTTGGAAGATGCTGTTGTAGACTTAAAGTCTTTGTGCTGTAAGGGGTGCAAAAGATCATCACGAATATTACTTCGATTTGGTTCTCTTGTTCCGTGTGCATGCTTCTACTTGATACATTTACGTAGGGATTATCTCGACGGCTGCCTGGAGACTGTCTCGTACAACTATTGCTCGTTCATAAATATTCTACTCTCTCCTCTCCTTCCCCTTTCATACCACAGGGAGCTTCTGGTGCTGTACCTGCATTTGTGCCTAGTGGAACCAGTAAAATGCCGAATGTCGTGAACGATATCCTGATCATATCTGAGGATTCCTTGGTGCAATTGTCTCAGTTAAGGCTTCCCGTAATTCATCTACTTAAGAGGCATCTTACTTTCTCTGGCACGTTTACAAGGGGAAAACGCGTGGTCAAAGATGAACTTGAAGATGAATTTAGCTGGGCAGGTCTAACTCAGAATGTTGTAGTGAAAGAAGCTTTCGCTACTGGTCGTAGGTGGGCACCGGTGATTGAGATGGTCACCCTTGGCGTTATCGCAGTTTTGGCTTTCTTGATTCGACTTTTCGCTGTCATCCGATTCGAGTCAGTGATCCACGAGTTCGATCCGTACTTTAACTACCGAACGACAAACTACTTGGCAGCCCATGGCTTCGCTGAATTCTGGAACTGGTTTGATGATCAGAGCTGGTACCCACTGGGACGCGTGATTGGACATACCTTGTTTTATGGCGGTTGCTGGACATATTTCTTACTCTTGTCAGGTAATGGTACTAAATAATATATCTTACTCTCGAGCCCAGCCGTGTGAAGCTGCGCAAACTGCAAGAACTTCCGACGTTCACGAAGTTGAGAGTGCTCAACGAGTTTCCGAAGCGCGCGAAGCTGCGCACCGGCACGCTGGACCCATAACCCCGGGCCCGGTAATTACCACTCCGAATGGAGAACGTGCAGGAAGACTTGGGCGAGGAACTTCATATGGGGCATCCGGGGCGCCGGTTTTTGCTGTCGTGCGGTCAGATCATAATGACAGCAACTCGCAACCATTTCGCTTCCACTGTGATGGGTCCATAACTCCGGGCACTGTAATTACCACTCCGAATGGAGAACGTGTAGGAAGACTTGAGCGAGGAACTTCATATGGGGCATCCGGGGCGCCGGTTTTTGCTGTCGTGGGGTCAGTTCATAATGACAGCAACTCGCAACCATTTCGCTTCCACTGTGATGGGTCCATAACTCCGGGCACGGTAATTACCACTCCGAATGGAGAACGTGGAGGAAGACTTGAGCGAGGAACTTCATATGGGGCATCCGGCGCGCCGGTTTTTGCTGTCGTGGGGTCAGATTATAATGACAGCAACTCGCAACCAATCAAGGGGACAACGTGTGCGCCGGAAGTGAAACTATCTTTCGTTGGCTGAGCGCAGGACCCCCGAGCATTGGCACAGGCCTGGCATTTGGAGCAGTATTGGGCCCGGGGTACCCCTTTGCAGAGGTCCGAGACAGCCGAGGCCCCTGAAGTGACTTGGAAACCCAGGAACAGAGCTTCCCGCCCTACGGTCCTGCGCGCTTGTCGTGGATCTCGCTGTCGCCTGCGTACTTTTTCGCGTGTGCGCCCGCAAGCAAATGGCAGCGCGGCATATGCGTGGCGTAGTGGGGGAGCTTCAAGGGGTGTAGCAGGGGGACGCCATCGCGACGACCCGCCTCCGCATGTCTGCGGAGCTGGGCAAAGCCGCCAGGGCGGTCTTCGCTGCTGGGCGCGTCGGTCTACAACAAGCAGTAGTCCGCCTATCGCGGGTGCGTGGTGGGTTTTCTACGAGCGTCAGCGAGCTGCTTCTCTTTCGTCTAGCTCTGTTCCCTTTTGTAAGTATTGTTTGGTATGGTAACGAAAAGCTCCAAAATCAACATCTATACTTTTCGACACATACTAGTCTTCACTAGTCACAACAGTACTAATCGTTCGTGACTTAATTAAGGTGCGATGTACCTGTACGCGTAGCAGTAAGACGCGACTGCCCCACCTCTCATCTTCTAACTCTTCCCTGGTTTGATGACAACCACTGCTGTCTTGCAGCACGCGTTGCATAGCATCGGTTTTACCGTGAACACCCGCAACCTCTGCGTTTTTATGGGTCCGACATTTTCCATGTTGACCGCAATAAGCGCCTACGGGTTTACGAAAGAGGTGACCGCGAAGCCGGAAGCGGGTCTCGTGGCTGCCTTCTTTATGGCCATTTGTCCTTCCTACCTCTCCCGCTCCGTCGCTGGGTCCTACGATAATGAGTGCGTCGCGATTTTCGCTCTGATTTTCGGCTTCTGGACCTTCGTAAAGGCTGTGCGCTATGGAACATTGTCGCATTCTTTGATGGCGACTTTTGCCTACCTGTACATGGTCTCCACTTGGGGCGGTTACGTTTTCCTCACGAACACGATCGCCATCTATGGTACTTGTGCTTATAAAATGACGTTGGTTTCTTGTCGTGCATGTTGGTCCTCTACTCTCGGGATCTGTGAAGATTCAAGCTTCTATCGCGGAACTTCAATTTTGAACTTCTTTTCTTGCACAAATTAATATAGATACAAGACTCCTTTATGACATAAAAAAATGTACTCATACTCAAGAAAAGAGGTTTTTTCCTACTTAGAAAGTGCCTACTTTCTTGAGGATGAGTACACTTTTTCGTTTCATATCCTTCGCGGCCTGGTAACTTCTAGTTCATCACATCAACCAAACCACCTATTCCTATCAACTCCCACCTCCTCGTCAACTACCAGTTTTCTGCCTCCTCTGTTTGGACCGCTTGAACGGCAACGCTTATGTGGTGTATTGCACGTGGTATGTTGTCGGAACCATGTTCGTGTTGAATATTCCTTTCGTCAACTTCGGAGCTGTCAAAAGCAGCGAGCACATGGCCTCGCATGGAATCTTCATGCTCTGTCACTTACGGCCTGTCGTGATTTATTTTCATCTGGAAGAACTTCTAGTTACTTATAGTTTTCAATTTTACTTTAATTATACTCTTGAAATGAAGATGTACATTTTTGCCCAGAGCTGCATGGGTTTATTTTTATGGCGGAAAGTACTTAGGCTTAACGCATGATACGCGTACTTTTTAGATCAGTCAACCACCTCAATATCAGTTTCATCCAGATTCTAATCCAAGCCTACAAGTTATCCAAGTACCTGATCCAGCAGAAAGCGGATCTCGAAAAGGGAGCTCCACGTCTTTTCGTCGTTACTAAAGATTCCGCACTCTCGTTCCGCATCTTCGCATTCCTCTTCTCCGCTCGTGGCATGGTCACACTGGCTGGCGCTGGCTTTTCACTTCTCACAGTTTACCTCGTTTTCACAGGAAAAACCCAATGGAGTGGACGTAGTATGACACTTCTGGATCCGACCTATGCCAGAAACTACATCCCTATCATCGCGAGTGTCAGTGAGCACCAACCGGCAGTGTGGACGAACTATGTGATGGATTTGCACGCCATGGTGTTCTTGATTCCAGCTGGCATGTTCCATTGCTTCTGGAACCGAAGCTACGGGCTTTTGTTCGTCGGCGTTTTCGGTCTGCTGTCGACTTACTTTTCTGGGGTAAGGCTTAAGCTTAGCTCATGCTTGCAGCAACATTGAAATTGATTCTTCTTAATCTGATTTTCTAACATGGTGTTCCAGTAGCTGCAGTTGCTGAAGCTGATGGTGAGTATTTCTATTTGGCTAGTTGCAAAAAAATATCTTCAATATGATGATTTCCAGCAGTTTTTTCAGCATCCACTTCCACCTCGTCATCATGACTTTCTCTGCTCTTTCCACTGCAGGTAATGATCCGCCTCCTGCTCGTTATGTCGCCAGCTTGCTGCTGTCTTTCTGGAATCAGCTTATCGCATGTCCTCACGATTTTCACCACGAACTTGAGGCATATGGAACCTCCAGCAGGAACTGCAAAACATTTGAAGGTATTCAACTTCTTCGTTCAGTTGCAGGTGGATGCACTGACGACTTTCCTCGTACTGCCCCTACCTCTTTCTGAGGTCCGTTGCGTCTGCCTCTTCGACATTTTTACCATCAAAAATCTCTGCATACAGACCATCAACACCAACACTAGCACTTACTTCTATTCAAGAGATAAATTATAGTAACTAACTAATGAAAGCACCTACAATCTAGACAATTCATCTCCCTTCTTCTTATTCTAATACAGTTACAGACCATCACCAACGCTAGCACTTACATTTCGAACCGTCCTCAGGTCGTTTCCCTCTCCGTCCTTGGTTTTGCTGCCTTCATCATGTCCCGATATGTGATGCACTGCACTATGATCTCGAGTACAGCTTATTCGTCTCCTTCAATCGTCATGGCCTACCAGGGACGAGACGGCACAAGAATATTACAGGATGACTTCCGAGAGGCATACTATTTTATGACACGACGACACATCAAGTTTGTGTAGTAACAGTAAGTTGTAACTGTTGATGACGATGAGTGGTGCGATGACGTTGTTCTTGTTGTTGCACATAGCTGTATCATCGATCCAGTACTGAAGACATAGGCGGCCAAGGCACGTCGCTCATTCTGCGTGCAGAGCAGCATACTACAGTACAACCTTTATTTCCATCTAACTCTCGGATCCGCCAAAATACCCATAAGAAAGCTACCATCGCTTCCTGGTGGGACTATGGGTATCAAATTACGGTCATGGCCAACCGAACGGTCATCGTAGACAACAACACCTGGAACAACACGCATATTGCGACGATGGGACTTATTTTGGGTACTTAGTTTGTTACTGTTAAAGTTCACCTTTTTTTGCTTCTTTTTCGCCCGAAACAAGTGCATTTGCATACCAAACAATGTGCCATGCGACTATTCAACCCTTGTTGCAGGTTCCACCGAAGCCGAAGCCTACCGCCTCCTCCGTACTCTCGACGCCGATTACGTGCTTGTGTTGTCTGGTTCTCTGTCTCGATACAGTTCGGACGACATCAACAAGTTCTTGTGGCCAGTCCGTATCGCTGCTGGAGTCTACCCAGACCTGATCAGCGAGGCCGACTTCATCGGGCCAGGAGGCTACACTCCGGGGCCAGGTGCGAGTGAGAAATTCATCGACTCGCTTATTTTTATGGACGAGGAGAGTTTTTCTTCATTTTTTTCTACTTACTCTCTGAATCATTTCCCCACCTCCACTAGAAAAAGAAACACCCTTCTAACAAGGGCATTTTCGTAAGGAGTAAGTGCAACTACAGCTGCATCAACATGATCAAGTTGATCACAAACTACCATCCTACTCCTACCTCCTCTAACCTCCACAAGCTCGCTTTCCACCGAGTCGGCGAGTTGACCAACGGCGTTGACTTGGCACGTGGCGTCCAACTCGCGAAGCCGGATATCACTTTGACTCACTTCCAAGAGGTCTTCACCAGTGAAAACTGGATCGTGCGTCTCTTCAAGCTGAAGAAGGAATCGAACAGGGTGAAGTTCTAAGTCGTTGGAGCAACACTGGAATTCCAAATTGATCATGAATGTTGCTGATTTATAAGAATTTGAATTGTTTCAAAGGGGGGGTGGTCACAGTCTGATGAAGAAACTGATGTAGAAAATGTTCGAAGAAATCTACGGAGTACAACAGCACGACTGGTGCGACGTTGTTATTGTCAAGACTTCTTCTGATCGTGAAGAAGATTCTTCTTCTTCCTGTAAGTAAGAAGTATAAGTATGTTTATCCTATGTCTAAAGCACCCTTCCAGCTCCCGCTGATTGCTACTTATCAAACATCTTAGAAGCACCACATCAAGTGAAAAATTGAAATTCAAATTGAAAATTAACTCTAGTACGACCGTGATGAAATTACGACGTGTCTCTCACTCTCTGAACGGAAAAATAGCGAAAATGATCTGTGTACCAAGAACACTATTGCGAATTTTGAGAATACAAATCGATATCAAGAACCAAAACCAACCCAGAATATGAATATCTAATGAAGAAGGAACTTCTACCCATCGTCCAGCATACCTATGTGTCTCACGAAATTAAAGAACATGAATAGGTTCTCCTGGCTTTTTTAGAAACGAGAAGGCTGTGTATCCTGTTGTGCTTCCCTTCTTGAATTCGATTCCAAAGTCCTGCCATGATAATGAACTAAGTCCTCTAACAGGTAGATTCTCAGCAGAAGATGTTCTTGGTGGTCTGAACGACGTTGATCAATCTCAATGGCATGCCATGGGCCGCACGCGTTACAGCTTGATCACATGATATCTCTCTGACCACGATCGAAAACCAACTCCGCTTCTTCATCAGTCGTGACAAAACCCCTCATTTTTTGTCCCGCATCTTCATTCTTTTTAAATAATATCAATATCTGATGAAGCCTTCGCCTCAAACATTCACATTGTCATAATTCGGGTTCGGCTGCTCCTTTTTCTAGTAAGTATGCTTTAGCGACCTTCTCCTCTTGATAAAAACTACATCTTCTTTTGTTGAAAGCTATATTAATTACAGAAAAGAAGAACCAAATAAAATACAATGGCTCAATCCTTCGGTGGCCGGCCCGCTGCTGCGGGAGACCAGCACTTGAAGAGTGGCATGTTTGACGAGTTGGGGAACTACAACTTCTCCCAGCGTGAGATCCGCGAGTACCATCATGACTTTGCTTATCTCGGTGGCGGGCTTGGTGCTGACGAATTGGAAGAGAAAGCCAAGAAGAAAAAATTAGTGGGCAAAATCGATTTCAGTGTCAAACTACCACCGAAAGATGCTGGATTGAGAGGAAGGATTGAAGCCTTTGCAGTGAAGTGTGCGAAACAAGAGGATCCTGACTTTTGCGAGCATAATTTCTTCACTAGGGATCCGAAAACGTACTTCTGGTTGAGGGAGGATGACGGCAGTAGCAGAAAATACGAAGTGGATAAGAGAACCGGAAGGATCCTGAAAGAAGACAGCTGGAAGAAGAAAGCTGGAGGTAATGCTGGTGCTTCGTCATCTAGTAGCTCGTCTAGTACTCAAACGCCATTTGAGAAAGAGCAGGAAACAGCGGCGCGCGACTACTACCAGTTTGTGAAACACTGTTGTCAGCGGTCAGTAGATTTCATACCCTTGGTAGCGAAGCAACAGCTGGTCGAAGCCGATCGAATAGCGAAATTGAGTGGACTTACTTTATGTTCTTGCTTGATGCGTCTACTATTCTACTCTTCTACTTCTACCTAAACATACTTACGCGATAGTACATAGGTGTAGTGCTAGTGCAGGGCTAGTGCAGCAGTTGTATGAAAGTAATAGTACTAAGCTCAACAAACTTTTGTTCTTTTGTTCTAATCCCCGACGCTGCTGCACCTCCACCCGACAAAAACCAAGCTCCTAAGGGCTTAAAGGACGGAACAGCAGGACAAGACGATCCCGATGACCCAGTGAAGAAATTCCTACCAGGTTCTAGAGTTGAAGTTCTAGGCCTCAAGGCCAAACCAGAACTAAACGGTGAATTCGCTGTCGTCAAACATCATATCCCTGCTTCTGGTCGTTTCCAGATTGAATTTGAGAAGTACAAGATTGAGATCGCGGTGAAGCCAGCAAATTTGATGTTCGCAGAGAACCAGAGCAAAACAGCCGCTGAAGAAGATGCAGACGCGAAATGGACGCACGATATTCCGAAAAATGCGCGTGTCATGGTGCAGGGACTGACTAGTGACGCAGGCAAATTGCTAAACGGTCAAAAAGGAGAAGTCGTCAGCTACGACGATGAGAAGAAGCGATATAACGTGAAGTTGGACTCGCAGCCGAGTGCGGTGAAGAAGGTACTATCACAAGTAGACTTGAAGAGGATGAACTTCTGCAATTCAGTTTCAGTTCTTGACTCTTGACGAAATTGCGATCAAAATTCGAATGATACCTAATAAATTAAAATTATCCCAACCAAATAATACCTAGAAATTATGATCCCAAGCCCCTCGCACAACCAACAACCAGGTAAAAGAGGAAAATCTCAAATGCGTCCTTCCTCCCGGTTGGGAAGAGCACTATGACGAGCATATGGGCAAGTATTTTTACCGCAATACTGCAACCCAACGAATCCAATGGAAACATCCAGTTCTCAAAGCCCGTGTTGGGGGTGCGGCTAAGGAGAAGGAAATGCGCGAGCGCATGGAGCGTGGGGAAACGATGGACTTTGACGTCGAAAACGAGAATCTGGACTTCGACAGAAGGCGCTACGCTTGTGATGACTTGAACGAAGGCGAAGGCGGGTTTAACCTGAAGGATTTGGTGTTATGGAACGGGACCATCATGATAATATTAAAGTGGAACTAGGTAGAACAACAACAAGAAGTTTCAGAGCTACAACTCTTTTTGCTCGATAATATCATAGAATGTTCTCACAGCTTTGCCACGGCCACTCTCTTCTTTTACTAGAAGACAGAGTGACCGTGAGGTCTTCTCAACATCGCTGCTCTAATCTCCGCCAAAGTATCTCGTGAAGAGGATAGAAAACGCAGACGAGAAGCGGGTGAAGAGGTGGATTCCGACGCCGAAGAGGACGCCGCAGAACTGGCTTGGAAGAAGGAGCATGGCTTGGTCGAAAGATTAAGGCTACAAGCATATTGAAATTGAGCAATCCATCTCCACCAACATCTTTTTAGTTCCGTTTTATTTAAAAAAGGGACGAAATCGAAAAGGAAATCTAGTACGGAAAGGAATTATACGGGAAGCAAGATGTTGAGCCCGAAGGTGGATTTCTTTTACAGTTCTAAAAAGAGCCCGCAAACGGTCGAAGAAAGAACGACAGCAATTGTTCAAACACAGTAGCTTGTTGGATAATGTGAAACAAGCGAAGAAAATCATCTACGACGAAGCTGGAGTCTCAACTTATCAGCCTGTCCACGTGTACGACAGCAAACAGGATGCGCAGTCGGTGTTGGAAGCCAGATTGGACATGCTGAAATCGTGCATAGAACGGATAAAGGGGGAGATTGTGGCTGCTAACGGCGGTGTTAATCCTAATACGGGTAATCCTGCTGGAGAAGGAGATGATGACGAGGACGAAGATGAAAAGATCATAGTGAGCAAGGAGAAAGTTCCATCGCAGCTGTGGCGTGATTGTGCCGTAGGCATGGTGAATGCCATCGATGTGGTTAAGCGAGAGTTTGAGGATGCGAGACAAAAGCATATGGTTCAAACGTTGAACTTGACTCTGCTATCGCTATTAGATGACGAAGATGGTTTGATCAAACTAACTGCGGAACAGTTGGCGGATAAGATGGACTCGTTGTTGGGGTTGTTGAAGTGCATGCTTTAAGCAGCTTGAATTTTCTTGGAGTTTGCGTTCAAACGTTGATCAGAAAACGAAGTACCCCTGAACGGTGAAAAAGCCTACACCGTAGATCTATCGTCCACTTTCTACTCAATAAGCTCTACCAGAAACGGCCTTCCCTTTTCCAAGAACTTTCCTGATACCTAACAAAACACCTATCTAGGTCGGCCGCGATCAGAGCAACGAGGCTCATGATATTTGACTTTCTTCTGTTGTGTTCGCATGTGCTTCTTCACCTACGATAAGTACTCTCTCTTGTGACTTCATTTTTTGAGAAAAGTGACCACGAGCAGAAGGAGAGAGAAAGCATGAGGAGTTTCTGTTCTTGAGGCGACGTTAATTCATTGGTAACATACTGACGTTCTTGCCATTTACTTCTTATGACACATGAGCGATTGATTGTGGAAATTCCATGTTAATTCTGCTTGAAGTAAATACTCAATGACGTCTGTAAGGGGCGCCATCTCTTTCTGTACGTCGTGAACATTATGACCCTTGAGAAGTGTGGGAGTGGCTGCACCTCCTGAAGAGAGTAGACAGAATACTAGACTGAAGCCCCCGGCAACTCTCCCACCACTAGAGTCCTCCACTTCCTTCACGCACTTCACTGCTTCCATCAGGGCAGGCGTCCCACTTCTCGCCCCCCCCCTTCAGCCTGATCATAGTGGTCCACGGGCGGGGCGGGAGTCTGAGCGGGCAGGGCGCCTCTTCTAGAAGAAAAAAGCACAACGCCAATTCCCTGGAAAAGATGCAAAATTAGGATTTTTTGAATTTAGGGCTTTCAACAGGAAGCTTCCGACTCGAAGTCCCAAGCGAGAGGTGCAGGAGTTCGCCCACATTTGGTTTCTATTTTTTTTTTTGCATGAAATCAAAATTTTTTTTGGTTTTAAATTGCAAACTGCAACTTCAAAACTTAACTTTCTAATTTTATCAGATAAAATTTAAATGAAAACATATAGTTGCTTAGCTTTCTTGGCTTTAGTTTTCCAAATTGAAATTTCAAAACCAAAATTTTTGATTTTATCTACCAAAATTTAAATTATAAGTTACAGTCGATCAAAATTAAATTTTTGCCATGTCATGGTTTGTGGGTTCGGGGGGTTCCTGCGTTCTTGTGTTAGAAAATAGTGCGAGGATTTTTTTTGCGGGTGTCGCTTGTTTTTGGTTCAGATGCTTTGGGTTTGGAAGTTTGGAGGGAAGTTGTGGATTTTTTTTTTGGCTCTTTAATATTGATGCAGTCCATTCCCATAATTTACTTTCACTTTCTAACACATTTTATACTTACTACACATGTGGATCCACTTCTGTCTACTGTCGGGAGCGTGCATTGCCTAGAAGTGAAGCTCGGTACAATTGCACTGATGAAATGCCGCCCGTTAGTATGAACGGTCGCCAGGGTGGCGGAAAACCACTTGCACTACATGATGGAAATGAATGCGGTGAAGAACATCCACTTCCAATCTTTTCGACACAAAGGCCTCCTCGATGGCTGGTCTAAGCGAGCAAAGGTCTACCTCTAAGAAATGTTGAAAGGTGTTCTTGAAGCAGAGCTACCTCAAAGTATTGAAGTCAACACGATTCTCGATTAAGTTGTTCAGTTTCAGGTACCATGCGCTGGAGGCGTTACAATCGATCAATCTGGTGTTGCACGATGCGATCCTCGTTTCAACAAGATCACTCACTAACACCATCTTCAGTTGTTCACTCATCATCACCAACTTCCACAGGGACAGGCTTTCGACATTGCGCAGATTGAGTGCGACATATGTGGCTAGCTGGGAGAATGCAAACCATATGAAGTGCTCTTTTATCTTCACGTCAGTATCTTACTAGGCATACTACTTACAGCCATACGAACAACAGCGTTTTTCACTGCGTTCATCTATGAACCTCATTACAACATATCAAAGCTCATCTATTTATTAACGATACAGTTCTGAAAGTACAGGTACAAGAACTACAACCACGACCGGTACCAGTAAAAGTAAATGTAAAAACTATTAAAGAATCATCAAATTGTTGTCCCACCACAACTACAAGCACCACTAGGAGCACATCGACAACCGAACCACACCCATACGAATCTTCTGATCCTATCCAAATCGACTCAAGAACAAACACTAAAAATACTAACAAAATGACTAGTAACAAACTCGGCATTATTTTCTTGCACGGTCTCGGAGACGGGGACCTGTCTTTTAAAGACACTATACAGCACGAGTGGAACTTGGCACCTCTAAGCGTCCATTGGAGATTCCCGATGACCCCGCAATCACCGGTAAGAATCTTTTATGCCTGCGTTGGCGGAGGTTGGAAAACCAGCCTAGCAGCTTGTTTCAATAACATGAAGATAGTAAGTACAACTTACAACCAGTGATGATCATCATTTTGTAGTGCAGCAAATCTCACGGTACCTTCTGCTTTACCATCCACCGTCACTTCTGCTTGTATCAGGTAACCGTTTACGGCGGCGAAGTAGCACCAAATTGGTTCGACATGGATACACTTCCTGTGCGCGCAGGTGATAAAGAAAAACCTTCTGACATAGAGAAAAGCGTACAGCGAGTCCATAACGAAATAAAGGCACTAGAGGAAGAAGGCGTCCCGCCGGAAAGGATATTCGTGAGCGGCTTTTCTCAAGGTGGAGCTATGAGCATGCAAAGTGGCTTGACATACCCGAAAAAGATCGGAGGGATTATATGTCTCAGCGGGTGGCTACTAAGGGAAGATACGTACATTATTGAATCTGCCTTTTTTGATGCTGTAGTTGACTAAGATAGAACAATACATCTTCCTTTCCTGCTGGGATACAACAAATACAACAAATACTTACTTGTAGACACCCCTCCCCCCCCAAAGTAGAAAATTCCAATTAGATATAGAAGATGAAATTCAACTTTTACTTCTTTAACTCTGAAGTATTATCCAATTCCAAAAAGTAGACAGTAATTTTTAACCGTCTAGTACTGTGCTTGAAGCACCATCTTGACCTCCAGGTTCTCTCCCACTCAAACCGACGTCCCATTGCTGTGGTGGCACGGAACGCAGGATAACGTAGTTCTCACGAATCTCCAGCCTCGCGGGATCGAACGGTTACAAAAGCTTGGCGTCTCGAACATAACGGTAAAGCAATCCCCTATGGGCCATTCCAGTCACCCTGACCAAATGAGCTTTATTCCAAAATGGATAAAGGAGATTGTCTCACGAACAACTGGTGGTGGGAACACTGGAGGGGGTGATTTGTGATTTCATCTGCTGGAGGGGGCACTTGGAGATAACAACTCGAAGATCCTGAAGACTACACAGATCTGGCGAAAAGTTCATCCCATGCCTGCTGAATGACCAATGGAGTGAGAAACACTCGAGAATATCATAGACAAAAAATATCGATCCACAGTGACAGCACGACTTTCCTCCAAAATTATGATCGCCTTCTACGTTTTTACCATTACTTACCTACGCATGAAAGAAGGGACCAAGAAATTGACATGAAAAAACACAGGAAGCTGACGAGTGTGCACATCAGCTCCACGCACGCCTTGTTGGGGCGAAGTCTTCCGTTCTTGCTCTTTGTTGTACTCCTGATACCATCACATCGCTGTTGAATCTGTGTCGTCTTGCTGGCAGTCTAGGATGACTATTTGAGACGCGAATGAATGAATCACTGTGGGTGCCTTGTTTTTGGAGGTTAAGATCGATAGACCTGGTAATCACGATAAGGATCAGAGTCCTGTATTGAATGTAGCACTTCGACTTCCATGTTTGTACTTATAGATACTACTACAAGTAAACTATGATCATCAGCACCACAAGATGAAGTAGACGGCAAAGCCAAAGAACATCTACTTCGACGACAATATGATTGAAACATGAACAACAAGGGAAGCTTCAGGACAATGTTGTAGTGTGCAGCCTTTCAAGAAGGGTGTAGACTTAGAAGAATTTTCCCTTATTTCAGTTTTGCATAATCATGTCAGCAAAGATGACGTACCTATCTCATTCGTTCTCCAAGAAGCCGCGACTGCTCCTAGCTGCACCACGACTGAAGAAGCTGACTCTACTCCTCCTTTTCGTAGGAAGCGGCTGTCTGCACGTAGTGGATGGAACCTCCTCCAGAAAAAGTGGCTCTACTTCTACGTGTGGAGATCATGCAAAAAATACACGAGGACTACTTCGAGGGCAGAACAATATAAACAACTACACGACTGGGAATAATAATTATCGAGGACATGATCAACTACAACTGATGAATCCAGCAGCACAGCAAGGTCCTCCTCATCACGGACCTCCACTAAAAATCACCTTAGTTGGAGCATTGTCAGGAACAAGTACCATTCTGGAAATGACGGTTCCGCGATACTCTTTGGAAAGTTTGAAAGTCGCAGATATACGTCGCGAGTGGGAAAAGAAGAACCCGAACAAGAGCAGTTTTGTTTTTGATTTGGTTTTGATCTCTCCATGTTGTTCATGTTCTCATTTGAGCGATGTTGAAGATGCAGCAGGTCGTGGAGATGGGGCAGGGGCCGCGACTGGAGATGATGGAGCCGTAGCGACTGGAGATGATGGAGCCGTAGGCGGAAATGGGGCAGGGGCTGCGAGTGGAGATATACGTGGAAGTCGAAGTAGGGGAAGCACGATTCTGGAGCCGACAAAAAAGATCAGTGAATTACTTCCTTTCGCTTTCGTATCCACCCTGGATATTAAGGATGAAGAAGCTTCTGTTCCTGGACGCCAAGACGAGCTCGTCCTGCAAGCGTATTTCAAGCTCCGAGGGCCGTTAGAGAGGATTTTCAACGAACTCGATGTCGATGGAGTACCATTCTCTGAAAAACAAATGCAGCTTCGCACATATTTTGGGGTTGATCAGTTCGTTGACCGTGGTTGGCGGCCACTGATGTCTTTCTTGCGGCATGATGCAGGAGACAGCAATATCAACGTGGTCAACAAAGACCAAGCTTCCCTACAAAGTCTGGTATATTTCCAGAAGCATAGACTTTTGAGAATGTCAGAAGGCACAACTACTACCAGAGAGGATCCTCGTTGGCTCGAAGCTTGGCACGCGATAGAACAAGCGACTGAAGCCGCACATCTAGCAGAGAGCAGTTGGCAGATGGAAATGTTGGACTTTCGTAATTGTTTTGCCATTGTTATTTATGGTCTTCATTTCTGATGCTAATTTTATTATCACGAAAAAGAAAGCTGGAGCAGCTCCGAATGAACTAGAAAGGAAATATACTTAGGTTCTACCTCAACAATCGAGTAAGAGTATGACGAGGTCCTAAGTGTTGTATCTAAGTGTGCTATTTCTATCTGCGAGTGAAAGTGGACAGAGTAAGTAAGCTTGAAACTGCACACAACTACGTTCATCTACTTCACGTATGAAGATGTACCTACGTTGTAATCTCTAACAATTGGACGAGCAGCTAAGTGAAGAAGCGCTTTCTGCACTATCTTTCGATGTGGTCATAGAGATTTTGGCTAAGCTGCCGGACGAGATGGAGAGGTTGGAAGAAAAATGGAGATTGGAGCTCTCAGACTTAGCGGAACTGCAGAAAAAAGCACTGCAGCTCAGCACATCTATCAAAATGAAGCCTGGTAAGCGTGGTAGGCGTGGAGGAGGTAAAGGAAAATTGTTGTTGCTGTAGGAGACAACTACAACTAGGGGTTAGGGCTAGGGTTGGGACAATTGTTGTTGCTGTAGGAAATGACTGCAGCGATTATACTTGCAGACATAGACTAAGACTGGTGAACCACTAACTTTTCATGTTCATCGATCACGTTTGCTCGAGCTCTGCTAGGGCTATGTCTGCTTCATTTATCCTTACTCGTTCTAACGAAGTTTGATTCTTCCTGTTCTTGCAGGATAAGATTGGTCCCTATCCTCCCCAGTGACACTGCATATCTGTAACTGCTTTGCACCGACATAACAGTTTCAATATTTTTTTAGCACTACACTAAGAATAAGTTCTTGCATCTTCTGCACATTACTATGAGTACTTCTTGTTCCTTAGAAAATTACAATTTCTTTCTTCATCAATATTAGCAATAAAGATTTGCATAGATTTAGGAAATGGAGTGCTCAAATTCTAATTCACGACTCAATGCAGGTCAAATGCAGGTTTGACGTCGCTGTTCTGCGTCACCATGTTGAATTGATGCAAAGAAGCTTGAGAGGGGTATAAAAGAAGGCTACACTACTACTTTCTTCTGCACTACTACAGTACTCATAGTAATGTGCAGAAGAGTAGTGTAGCTTTCTTTCATACCCCTGGAGTGGGTGCGTTCATTCATTCACTCATCATCCGAAATTATATTATTTCAGCACGTTCGTAATCCTTATTTGCATCATAACGGTCCTCTTGTCTCCTCTCTGTCACTTCTATAGTGCAGAGACGACCAACAAAGCCACTGCGGAAAGAACGGCTAGTGGACAGGCTCTATGTCTATAGACATTCTTTTCCTATTCGAGAGAATATCAAGGTTTTGGTCTTCTTCGGTCTGAATCAGCATTATAATATATATAATGGTCTTGTCATCTCTAGAAGTAGAAGAAGAACCTCCGCTGAAAGTGGTCTAGAGCAGCTGATCAATTCTGTGCCTGAAGACCTAATCAACATCAAGTTCAAAGACGAGGAGGCTTACAAGAAGATCTACAACTTGTTCTGAAGTATTTTTATCTAAGACTTGAAAAGATAAAGAACCTGAACAAGAAGTGCGGTATCTGAAGCATAAAACAGGTCTTCTTGTGTAAAAACTACATGTTACTATGCATATGCAAGAAAACAAATAGAAAAAGTAAGATTTTTGGATAAATCTTAATCTTAATCTTAAGAATAGCGTTACAACTTACATTCTCATTCACGATCTTCAAACCGTAGAAGAAGAAGCACCGAGCCCGTCCTGCCTGGCCGCGATTCTTTATTTCTTATTCTTGTCGTTCGTGTGTAATAATATGATGAAAGAAGGGAGAAGTTGTTGAGAGCGTACCCGACCAGCAGACATCGTCGCAATACTTCTGCGAACAGAAAAATTTTTGTATACAACTTTTAGAACAGGCTTCAAGACTATCTTTCATATGCCTATCATGTCTTCCATTGAGGAGAGAACAACAACAATACGATCAAGAGAAAGATGTTGAGAGAAACTAATCATTTCATCTACTTCCACCACTTAGATCAAGAGGTAGAAAATTCTTGATGTGGTTGCTTTAGAGTTACAGCAGCATCTTCTCCATGTTGCTGCAAGTAGGGTACAACTATGTATGAGAACTTTCATCGTAGGTAGTAAGTTTTTTCGGGTTCAATTTACTTTCATCAAGTTTCTCAAGAAAAAAATGGTATTGCCACGTCCACATCAACACGCCTCTTCGTTCTTCTCATTTCCATGCTCGCCTTCATCGTCGACGACAAGAACTCCAGAACTTCGAGTACTTCTTCGCTGCAGCCTAATGTTGCTTTTAGTTAAGGACGCTAAAGATAACAACATTGTACTTGTAGTTGTAGCAACATACAAGTGTACCCCCCAGTAAGTAGTTTCTCATGGACAATAAAATCTGATGCCTACGACCGCTCCTAATCTGCGCTCAGCCGCATCCGTGGTTTGTGGATACGAGAGGACCCTGACTGCCACACGTCCTCGCCTTCGACTAAACCCCTTTGGAGGTGGAGGTGCTAACAACTTCTGGTATACTTAAGGCTACCGCTGAAGCATCCTCAACATTATCCTTGGCTCTTTTTCTACTTGAAAAGGAAGCCAAGGATGCTCTCAGGGATGCGACCGCGGTAGCTCTAATATACCACAGGAGCTAGCAAGCATGAGAAGATCACGGATTGGTCACCTAGGTTTCCCCCTCACGTGGATCCATCCAATCCCTTTTGCTTGCCGCCTTCGATGATGCGACAGATTCGAGAGCAGCGGAGGAAGAAACTACTTGCAGAACAAACAAAAGCCGCTTCTCAAGCGGAGCGACGTGGTGCTGCGCGGCTTCTTAAGACTAGGCATCATAAGAGTTCAGTTGTTCACACGACTACATTGGCATCATCCTCTAGGAAAAACAGCAGTGAGGATAAGCAGGGTTGGCACAGTCATAATTACATCCTTCAGTAGTTTCAGTAACATCTACATTCTTGATCTTTTTAACATCTACATTCTTGATCTTTTTTCAAGTATAGGAGTACTATTAGGTCAACATCCAAGATGTCCTGAAGAATTATGTTGTACTATGTATTCCTATTGTTGCAGCCTTTAACCAAAGTGAAGGAGGGGGCGACGACGGAGCAGTACTAGAGGTGGCACAACAAGCAGGTGGACGAGGTGGACACAAACACAAGGGCAAGCAGATAGAAGATGGTTTAACTTCAACTACAGGTTTACCGCCACGTGATGTGTCTAAAGCAAGTTGCGTGTCACACGCTAGCACAACTTCGTCTGGATCAACCTTGTCTTCATGCTCTGGAGAAGGAACCATAGCAGGTGCTTGCTGCGGTCCGCGTGCATTGGGCCAGCAAACTCATGGTTAAGGCATCAGCAGGGAATCCATCGATCTCCAGACGCATCTTGCTTGGGGCCTTCCTCGACGTCTGTAAGGGATGTTGAAAAGCAAAGAGCAAGGTCAGGATGACTGAGTTTCAAGATGGATTATTCCACTTCCAGGAAGATCTAAGACGGAAAACGAAAAAAGAAAGGAAGAACGACTTACATCAACTTCTTTCACACGGGAGGCGAAGATTCTTCAGAAGACGAGGATATAGAACTTGTACTAGATTGTAGTTCCTGTAATGTTGATCATTTTAACTCTACATCAACTAGTACAAGAAGTAGCAACAGTAGAATCGGAAAGAAACCATCCTCTACCAAGAACAATGCGGCGACTTCGTCTAGCATCTTTTCGTCCGGTATCAATTTCATGTCGGCTGCTCTGGTTATGACCTCAAACTCAATGTCTCCGAGGCTCTCACCGTCACGGAGGTCACTTTTCCCTCAACATCGTACATTGATTATATTCGTATTCCTTTCTTGTCCTCTTCTTTCTACAGACTTAATCCTAGGCGTAGTCCTCGTAAGGCTTATTCTTGATGACTTTGATAAGTGAAGAGGCCAACGCCCCGTTCACTTATCAGACTTCACGACCGAAGAAGATCCACCAAATTCCCCAAATCATGAAGATAATTCCGTTGGAAAAGACGTCCCTCTCTACGCGCTAATTCCAGTGCCTGTTGGTCTGAGACAGGCAAGTCTGAACAGAGGAGACGACGGGTGTCGTCTGCATCGTTCAGAAACCAGATGCCCCGTCGTCGCGGTCGATACAAACCGGCTGTATATCCTGTCGCTGGCAAAGATGATAGCGATAGTGTTACGGCTGGCCAAACCTGTAACGTTTTGAATGGTCTAAAGGTCACAGTTGTTGTATGATAGGTCCTACCTACTGCTGCTACTAACTTGGTACTAACTTCATTATAATAGAGTAGTTTATAGAACGGATGTAGGATGGACTTGGATGGATCTTCGGATGGATCGGATGGACCCCCCTGATTCTTCCGATCCTACTTGAAATGGTGGAAAGTCCATCCGATCCATCCGGTCCATCCCGTCCCGGATCTGGCGCCCCTATAAACTGCTCTATTATAAGCTGCCTGCTAAGCTCTAATCCAAAGCGCGAAAGCAGACCAGACGATCCTGTGTTTCCTGTTCCGCATAGAATTGAACAGCCAAGACAACCAGACAGATCCAACGTGGTGCTTCACTGCCCTCCGCCTCCACAAGGTCAAAACATTATGATCATGTTGAGAAAGATAAGTTAGTGAGATTGAGATAGGTTAAATATTAATATTAAGTGGTGGTGCTTCGCCTTCGCAATTGGATTTGGATATAATTCGAGTGATTGGGCGGGTTGCAACTGTAGTGAAGATACAAGAATCTAAGAACCTTTGATTTATAAGTGCTTAAGGACCTTCATAGGGGCTGATAAGAATGATAGGAGTTTTCATTTTCCTTTTTCTTCACGCTTTTGGTTTTGCTTTGTAACTGTTGGTCAAGGTCATAATCCTAATGGATTCACAAAGATCACAAGGATAAAGATCAGCAAAATGACCAAGATCGCCAGGCAAAAGGTTACCGGAGCACCATCCAAACGCCCGACGGGTTTACCGTCGCGCGGGTGTCTCTGGCTTCTCCTCTCTCTCTCGTTTGTGGCTCAAGCCTCCCAATACAGTCAAGGACAAAACAGCACCGGAATGATCTCAAAGATAACCTACAGACCTAAATGCATATAGTTCCAAAAACAGTGATCATCAGGCAAAGGACCTTCAACGTATTCAGATAGAAGAAATGATGAATGTTTCATAGCTGTAATCAGGTTCATAACGTACTGTCAGTTCTGATCAATGATGAGAATCAACATAGGATGATCGTATGAATCAATGATGATAGCATAAGCGTTTCCATATGAAAGTTTCCCCATGCAACATGATATCCCAATGATGAAGCTGAGACTTCCTCCATGTAACCCCAATGAACATCCACAGGGATCAAAGCAGCCAGAGATCATTAGTCTCAGGCTGTGAGTGCAAATTGTGCAAACAGTATCACTCTCAAGTGTTTCTCACCGAGAAACTAGACGCGACTTAACAGTCTGTGTTCGAATGTATCCAACACTACTTTGACCCTTGAGCTAAGTATAGAGTAGAAATCCATCTAGAAACAACTTTTCAAAATGTCCTGCGATGCGAAAGAAATTTCGAAGAAACTCGGACAGAAGTCCGACTGGCGAGCATGGCAACTTGCCATACGTCAGGAAGCTAGCCGTCTCGGCCTGCTTCAAAACTACACGAATGTAGTCGGCATTCCGGCAGCTCCTCATGGTATTCCTAACGGAGTTACCAATCGGGAGGAAACAATTCGGCAGAAGTGGCGCAACCTGAAAGATGCGATTATTCGTAGTCTGAAAGGTGCCGCTGCGTCGTTCATCAACAACCAGAACGATAATGGGCAGGTGGATGCGATGGATGCAGGTGAGGTTGTTGTGCTCCTTCGTGATGTAGGACACTTCGATCAAAACAACCGTCAGGAACAACGGATGAAAGTAAAACCGCTTACGGATGGCGTGTTGAAGTTCCACAACGCGGATCAACCTGCAGATGTCACAGGATTCTTGTCGAAAGTCCGAGACATCATGAACCAGTCGCCCACCGTGTACCCGCCGGAAGCAGGAGTGCCAGAAAGTGACCAACAAAATGGTGCACTGCTACAGAAGTTGCCCGAGCTGTTCTGCAAGAACTTCAAGGCAACGATCGAACGCATGCAGGAAGAAGATGGTCTGACATTTGACCAGATTGGTGACCGACTTGAAAAGCGTCTTGCGACGTTGATCGAGGAGGGAACCTACAAAGTTGAGAACGATTCCTTCGGGAAGGCGTTCCCGGTCAATGTTCAGGAGACCTCGAATAAACGTTCTCGTGAAGAGGAGGATGACGAGGAAAAGGCCAATGAAGGTGGTAAGATCTTTCTGTCTAAAAGTGCTCTCAAGCGCTTCAAGGCAAACACAAAGAAGAAGATCGCCGCCGAGGTCTATGCCTCCAATTCGAACGGCAAAGGAAAGCCGCAGAACAAAAATAATAAAGGTTCTGGAAAACAAGACACCCGTCCAGTCTGTTGGATCTGCAACAAACCGGGTCACAAATCCGCGTCTTGTTGGAAGAATCCACAGAACCAGGCAAACTGGAACTGGAACACCAATTCCCAATCTAGTAGTGCTATGGGTAAAGGTGGAAAGGGTAATGGCATGGTTCACATGTCCCAAGTTGCGGAGCTGTGGCAAGCTCTCAACGGCGGAAAGCAGAGCTGAGTTGCGGAACCGGTGGAAAGCGGATTTTGCTCGCTGAACTTGGATGAAGATGAGGGTGAAGAAATAAACGTAAATAATACAGGGGAGGTAAAACTTGTGGGACATAGTCTTTCAACTAGTTCCATTACTACAAGAGAAGAAGTTAGTCTAGTCGATAGTTGTGCAAACAAATATCTTTCAAGACACAAAGACGATTTTAGTGAAATAACTATGAGAACTTGTAGGATTACTGGTAGCGCTGGAAGTAAAGACGGAAGAGTAGGAAAACTAAAGTCAAACATCTTAGGGCTCCAGTATGGTGTTTATTATGATTCACTACCAAAGGACTTAGATCGTATTATACCTTGGTTAGGTGAAGGGAACTGCTCGCAATTAGGATGGGAATTCAACTTCAAAGGCGCAGGTGGTTGTCTCGTACATACGGACACCGGCCAGGCCATACCCATAAGAAGTCATCCACGCTTGCAGCTTCCCATACTTGCATGCAACTTATTTAAAGAAGAGACTGATAGTGGTTATATTTGTTCAACAGTAGAAGAAGGAGTCAGTAGTTGTTACCTTACAAGACTCGAACTTCATAGAAGATGTGGGCACTTTCATATAGATGGCCTCCAGGTAAATTGCCCTGAGTGTGATCTACATAAAGGCCAACGCGCACCACATGCAAAAGCTAGAGATACTTCGAACTACAAACCTGAACCATTGAAGTTACTAGCAATCGACTTTGCTGTTGGAATCAAACCCGTATCAGTCAGGTCAAAGAGATGTGTATTAGTGATCATCTGTGATGTAATTAAGAAGGTGTTCTGTCGACCGCTTAAGCTGAAAAGTGACTGTGTGGAGGAAATAGAAGAAGTTATCAAAGGCATTCGCCAGGACTACTCCTTATCACTTGATGACAAGGTAGTGTGGTTCCTCCGGAGGGATGGAGAACCTGTCCTGAGCAGTGATGACATGACCAAAGTTATGCAATCGCTGCGAGTCTCAGACAGTCCGGCTGTTCCTTATAATCCGGAGATGAATGGGACCTGCGAACGTTTTATGCGGACTTTGTTCGGCAGTGTACGCACAATGCTGACTAAAGTTGATAAACGCCTCTGGTGTTACTGCGTCGAGTACGCTGGTGACTGCTGGGATCGTTTACCGCATAACTATGCAAAAATGCCTCAACATGATGGAAAGAGTCCAATTGAAATCTTAGAAGAAAGGACTGGTAGAAACTCATCGAAGAGTTCAATCGGCATGCTCCGCCGATTTGGTTGTCTAGTTTACTTTCGTGAACAAATTCAAGCCAACACTCCTGAACCCAAGCTCTCGGCCAAGTACCGCCGTGGCGTCTTCCTTGGACTCTGTCCGAAGTCGTCTGGTTGGTTGGTTGGAACTTTCGCTCATGACGATCGTTGCAAGCTTGGACATCGATGGGCGGAATACTCTACCCTAGATGTAAAGTTCAGAGAGGACTATCTAATTAAAAATATCGATTGGCTTTTGCCAGATCAGAAGGGCATCTACATTGAGTATGACGAACTGGAAAATCTGCAGAGTGGCGCGTCGTCGCTGGGCTCCCCCTTGCTTGGACAGTCAGTGCAAAGGCTGGATCATCAATCGGGGTTCTCTGGCACGGAGCACATTCCAGGTGGACCGACCGCGATTTCCGACGAATTATTTATTGAGACACTGGATAAAGTAGAGGAATCCAACGCAGCTGACTCTCCAAAAGGTGTTTCACTTGAGGAGGGGAATGCTGAAGCGAAGGATCGCGAGACATCTGCTCCGCTAAGTCCGTCTAAGTCGAAAGCGCCTTCTCCAGCACGTGTTGTGGCAGGCGAACGCCGTACACACGTCAAGAAGCGTGGCCGACCAAAAGGAGCGAAGGACAAAGCAGGCAGCAGGGTTCGAAGAACAAAGAAACAGTTAGAAGAACTGAGAAAGAATGTGGCGCTGTTCGCTAGTGCAGTAGGTGGCACGTGTGAATTAGACGAAGATGAGGAATTCGTCGAATCATATGTGATTTTGTCCGTTGCTCAAGCACTCAAGTCTCCTGATGCCGACAAATGGCGGGAGGTTATTGACAAAGAGCATGCGAGACTACTAGCCTTTGAAACGTGGAAAGAAGCTTCTGACGAGGAGCTTGCGACCGCGCGACAGGCTCTACCAATTGCCATAATTCTAACTATTAAAAGATGTGGAAGATACAAGGCTCGCGCTTGTGTCCTCGGTAATCTAGATCGTTCAGGAGAGCTAAACACCTTTGCTCCCGTAGTTTCACACGCCGCTAATAGGCTGCTCCTGACATCTGCTGCGTCAGAACAGGACTATGTGATCCCGTTCGATTTAGATTCTGCGTTCCTCAATGCTGAACTCGATCGCGATGTCTTCTGCCGTCTCCCACCCATCTGGGCAGAGAAGCATGGACGCGAGATCGTGAAGCTCAAGAAGGCCTTATACGGCTTGAAGGACGCACCACGAGCATGGTTCAAGAAATATCACGACATACTAGCCAGTATTGGCTGGGAGCCGTGTGATTCTGCGCCAGGCTTATGGAGAAAGCCGAGTGCGAAGGTACCTGGGAAGTTCCTCAAGATGTCAGTCTATGTTGATGACAATCTTGCAACGGGTCCTGATCTTGATGAGCTCAAGACCGAACTAGAACTCATCTTCTCGCGTGCCCCTGGCCGTGCGATTGATGTGGAGTCCGTTCCAACCCCTTGGGGTCAAACGTGGCTCAGGTTCGACTTCTTAGGTGCCATCGTGTACTACTGCCGTGAAGCTCGAACATTTCGGCTCAATATGGAGGAGTACATTGATAAAATCGCAAAGAAATTCGAAATTGATGTCGGAAAACCGGTTTACTCGCCCAATTTTGACGAGTCGGCTTTTCTTGAGGAGGGGATCAAGATAGTCGAAGGGTATCCCTTTCGTGAGGTAGTTGGTGCCTTGCTATGGGTAGCTGTAACCGCGCGCCCGGACATTTCTGTACCGGTGGCAGCATTGGCTAGACATGTCAGCAAACCCGCGTCAACAAGAATGGTTAAAGCAGCCAGAAAAGTGCTAAAGTATCTGGTGACAACGAGAGACCAAGGACTGGAATACTCACCAGAGCAAGAAGAAGAATTCAATAGAATCTATTCAAAGTTACTACCTGAAGGCAGAGATATGCCAGAGGTGAATATCTTTAGTGATGCAGGTTTCGCCAACTGCGTAAAGACTATGAGAAGTACAAGTGGATCGATCATGTATTTCAAAGGCGTTCCAATTGCTTGGAGAAGTAACCGACAAACTGTCCGTGCCTATTCTACGGCTGAAAGTGAATATATTGCAGCTTCTGACACTATTGTGCTTAGTGAACTGCATGACTTTACAGACTTCTATAGGCCTCTACCAACTCAGTTGGTACACACACAGAACGGCTTGTCTCCCTCTTTAGACAATGCTGTGCTCTGGATCGACAACCAATCCGCGATCACAACAGCCAAAGCAACTGACACACGCCCGAAGAGTCGCCATTATGCACTTCGCTACTTGCGTGTGCGTGATGCGGCCAGTAAGATAGTTTTCTGTCCAACTAACTTAATGAAGGCTGATGGCTTAACTAAGTTAGAATGTAGTTCGTCTCAACGTAGACTACTACTTCACCATATAGATAACCCGATAACTAAAGTTGAGCATGATGATTGTGATTCCTCAGACGATGAAACGAATGGGGATGATTTAGCTTACTATAGTGTAGTATATTCGGTTTATTTTGGTTTCTAGCCGAGTATACCGTAGCCATAGAAGAGCAGCTAGGAGATATGACTTCCGTGGTAGTCCAGAGACTAGGGACTTCGACACGCAACGATTGAGGAGAGGTGTTGGTCAAGGTCATAATCCTCGAAATGTCACAAAGATCACAAGGATGAAGATCAGCAAAATGACCAAGATCGCCAGGCAAAAGGTTACCGGAGCACCATCCAAACGCCCGACGGGTTTACCGTCGCGCGGGTGTCTCTGGCTTCTCCTCTCTCTCTCGTTTGTGGCTCAAGCCTCCCAATACAGTCAAGGACAAAACAGCACCGGAATGATCTCAAAGATAACCTACAGACCTAAATGCATATAGTTCCAAAAACAGTGATCATCAGGCAAAGGACCTTCAACGTATTCAGATAGAAGAAATGATGAATGTTTCATAGCTGTAATCAGGTTCATAACGTACTGTCAGTTCTGATCAATGATGAGAATCAACATAGGATGATCGTATGAATCAATGATGATAGCATAAGCGTTTCCATATGAAAGTTTCCCCATGCAACATGATATCCCAATGATGAAGCTGAGACTTCCTCCATGTAACCCCAATGAACATCCACAGGGATCAAAGCAGCCAGAGATCATTAGTCTCAGGCTGTGAGTGCAAATTGTGCAAACAGTATCACTCTCAAGTGTTTCTCACCGAGAAACTAGACGCGACTTAACAGTCTGTGTTCGAATGTATCCAACAGTAACTAATGTGATTTAATGTATAAGTAATTGCAAAGGTCTTCTAGTTGGTTCTACTGCTCCTAAGCACCAAGCTTATTTGAAATATCTTCTAAGCGCCAATCATCTGGCGCCACTCCTGGAACAAAGAAAAAGTTAAAATTGCCAGGAATCAAAAAGCGAACCGTAGGAAAAAAAGTCGGTGGTGCGGATGAGTTTGATATAGCAGCCAATCAGGTACACGCTGACCGCGACAGAACCTAGTAAGGTGGCTTGTGTAATAATAGATGAAGTTTTTTGATAGTTGTAAACCCAATTTGTTTGCTGGTAGCATCTTCAGCTTGTTGAGTCAATCCATCTTCTTGTTTATTGCTAGCATCTTGATCTTCATCCCAGTCCCGTTTTTCAAATCTTCGGTAGCATCTTCATCTCAGTTCCGGTATTCAAGAGAAAACTTGGCGGGGCACCGAGAAGACCCTTTTTTAAGAGAAATTTGAGTACTATGGATCAATACCGAGATGCTCAGTATTATTATGATGGATCGTCGCATCAAGCGCTAAACTTTCTTAAGGGTTCCTGGCTATCAGCACGTGGAAATTTTGCAGCATGCGCCGAATGCCTACAAATATTGTGGCGTAGCAACGCCACCAAAAGAAGAAGAAGGGATACCTCCTCTACCAAGTAGGAGAAAGGCGGTAGTTGCGGGACAACAAGGGCAGATTGTTGAACTACCACAAGGAATTATGAACCAACAAGACCTACTACAAATAGGACAAGGACAAGCAGCTCCATCGAGAAGTGTCATTTTTAAGGCTTCCCGTAATTCATCTTGAGAGGCATCTATTTGCCACGTTTTCAAGGGGAAAAGGCGTCAAAGATGACCTTCAAGATGAATATATGTGAGGTCTAATGTCAGTGATCTCGCACTGCGCCCTGTTGCTCAAGAAAGTTTTACAAGAACTGCAGGTGCAGGCCCTTCAAGTGGAACCAACTCGGCCAGGTCAGTGGTCAATTTTTTGCAGGTCGATGGTCGAAATCCATTATCCGTGACGCGGTCGATTGCACAAACAGGAGGCGTGCCGAGCGGCCATTTAGACGTCGAATTTATGGTTTTGGATTACATCGCAGTATGGAGGATCTTCAACCAAATGATCATCTTCGTTCAGTGGTAGTGCTCAATAACGATATTTTTTTTGTTTGTATTTGAGAGATGAACGATGAGGATCCTCATCGGCCAAAATACGTTTCTAATCTTCCCCTATCCGCGACCTCCCGACCATTTTCTTCTGGAGGTTTGCCGTCTGTGCGAGTGTCTTACGTCTCTCCAGTTCTTACCAGTAGCACCTCACTACCAAACCCCGTTGCAAGAACAACAATCACGAACAAACTCTACTAGCAAAAATTATCTTCTACAACTGCCTCTCGATGGAGGTAATGGTAGTTCTTCCGGAGGTGGTGTGACAGGAGGTGCTTCGTCTGGAGCAACACAACAACCACAATTGATCCATCGATCGCAACAGCAGCCGCTCCAGCGTGCATCATATCAACAGCAGCCTCCTCAGTTGGGAGCACAAGGCGGAGCACAAGAACAGCACTCTGCAACTAATACAGCAGGTGCAGCTGGTGTTATCGATTAAGGCTTCCCCTACTCCATCACCATCTTCAGAAGCATCTTCATGAAGTTTTCAAGGTGAGAACAGCCCCAGGATGGACTTCGGGATGGATTAGGGTAGGCCCTATTCTAAATCAAAACTACATAAGATTTTACTGGCAGGAGCAGTGGGGCTTTGCAGCCACTACCAGCGTTTGCGACGCGTCCTGCATCGCGCGTCTACGATTGTAGAACTACTGGATGAAGATCTTGAAGATTTATTCGCCGTGTTGTATAGAATGTAGAACTAGAAGATGAACACGCCATGATAAGTAATTTTTTGTATCCAGATAAAGAAGACGCTTTACTGTTCAAAATAAGTAAAAACAAATCTGATTGTCTGCTAAACGTAAACCCTAACTCATCCTCTCATGATATCTTGGTCTCAACAGGTATATTTGCGTCGACCAGCATCGAAGATTGATTACAATGCACATGCACTCACTCTCACAAACATCATCATCACAAGCAGTACATACTTAAACACATCTCTGGTCAAACATGCACAAACTAGACATAAACACATCATTCGTTCCTTCTGGTTCTAGGATGTTTTAGAACCAACCGTCTCTCTTGTTCTACACCACAGTGAACAAAGACAAAAATTAAGGGTAGGTTAAAGGTGCTTTTCTTACCGCTTTTTATGCCTCTCCTAAGGGAGAAACGCATAAAAAGCGGGGGAACCCGCGAGCACCAAAAACCTACCTCTAAAAAAAGTTGATGTTCTGAGATAACGTATCTGAAATGATCCCGATGAAAAGGAGTTTCTTGATGATCGAAACATCTGATGAATGATCTTGGACTTCTGTTCCATGAAGATCCTGCTCAGGCTCTGCCTCGCATTAGGGCTACGGATTGGCGTCTTCACAAATCGTCAAAAGAAGACAAACACTTAGACATAAACCCAATAGGAAAAGAAAGAACCACGAGCATAAACTGATTCAATCGTTTTCACGAACATATTCTTGCTATTCACCATCGATATTATAGTTGACGATCCACAACCACAGCCAACTACAAGAAAAATCACAGCAAAGATGGTCCGTCCTCGACTCGGTGAAGTCGCTTTCTTTATATGCGACATGCAGGAAAAGTTCGCTGGTCTGATCGATGATGCGCAGACGCATATTTCTGCAGCAGAGGCGCTCATCAAGGCCGCACAGACATGGGGTGCGCCATTGCTTGTGACGGAACAGTATCCAGAGAAGCTGAGCCATTTATGTACTTGGTGCTTGTGACGGAACAGTATCCAGAGAAGCTGAGCCATTTATGTACTTGGGGGTGCTTGTGACGGAACAGTATCCAGAGAAGCTGAGCCATTTGTGTACTTGGTGCTTGTGATGGAACAGTATCTTCCTGAGAAGCTGAGCCATGTGTGTAGTGTGTATAGGAAGCTCTTTCTGCTACTTCTGAGGGTGCAGTGCATTGTTCTTTTTTGTCTGGGTGCCAGTGCCTGCACTAGTGATAGAGACTTCATGGAATAGAAGTAGTAATTCTTGAACTTTTATTTTTGAAGTGACAGTGAGAGTAAATATCTGCTTTATAATAGGGTTTCGTCGATCTCGATGGGCCTGCTCTAACTTCAACCGTTCCGCGATTACGACAACTGATCACCTCATCAGACCAGGACGTCAACTCAAAAGTTGTCTTCTCAAAGACCGACTTCAGTATGGTGACTGCAGATACAAAGCCAGTGATCGAGAATTACAAGACTTTTGGGACCGCGAAAACTATCGTGCTTTGTGGTTGGGAAACCCACGTCTGCGTTTTGCAAACTTGCTTAGACTTGTTAAGGCTAACCTTAACGTATTGAAACTTTCCTATTGGTATTGAAATAATTGTACGTAGATGTTGAACAACTCGCACTTCTACTTGTACTCGTTTCTCCTGTAGTAAAAAAGCAGGAGGGAAGAGAGAGCAGATAATATTTATTGACTAAATTATGACCCTTTAACCCGCTGCTTCTTTTTCACGACGAAAATCAGTAACTGACTTCTGCAGATCCCACCATGATTACCACATGATCTTCTTCTAATCACACTCGAGCTCGGCTTCGGCGTCTGGGTTGTGGAAGATGCTGTGGGGTCACAACGGAATAGGGACAGGGCAGCCGCAATCGGGTTGATGCGACAAGCCGGCGCTTGCATTACCACGCTAGAAAGTGTACTGTTCTTGATCATGAAAAGTAAAGACCATGAAAAATTCAAAGAAATTCAAGCACTGGTAATTTCACATGCAAAGAATGTTAAAGCAATAGGGGCTTCCGCTTCCACCAGCACAAACGGTATTGCCGGGACAGCTGCAGGGACAGGGGCTGCTGCATTGTAGTACTACAACTGGATTGGACCTTCATCTTCATATCTATTGTTGACGAGAGAAACTCAATTTTTCAGACTCAACTACAACTGATGTTGTTGACATCAAGAGAAACTCGCACTCAGTTTTCTAGAAAATTTTATCCAGGCATATTATTGCATGTCGTGAAGCAGCCTTGTGCTTTCACACATTCAACTCTGCGTGTATTCACTGAAATACAAACGATAATACCCACCTATTGTGTTCTTCACATTCAGAAAGTACGTAAAATACACGTAGAACTCACCCAGTACCTTCTTATAAGTTTTGTCTACGCGTACGCTCGCAACGTAGTTTTAGATAGAAATACAATTTCGATGGTTGTTAGCGACTTTGATATGACACAATTCGCCTTAGCCCCATCACCTGCATTTGCTTATGCCCATTGCGAAACTTCTCGCTGAAGTATCTATAAAGAAAAAGATATGCAAGAATCGTCAGCAGCTACCTTCGAAAATGAACCAACAAGTAGGACAGTGATTGGGGCGAAGCAAGCGAGAAAACACTAACACACATAGTACAATTGTCGAAGTTACGACCTATTTTTAGGAGTGCAAGGTTACAACTTATCTATTTTTGAGAAAGTGAAGGTGACAGTCTAGTTACACTTACACCCACAGGTACTACTAACTTCTTGTTCCTCTCTCCCATTGGAAAAAATGAGTCGCAGAGAGAAGAGTCGATCCCGTTCGAGAGCGGGTCCCTCCGCAGCGCCAGCGACCTCATGGGCTGCGGGAGCGGCGTGTAGTGCCTGTGGCGAGCCCCTGCATATGAACAACAAAGAAAGAACGATGAAACTAATAGAAGGCTGCGGACATTTGTATCACGTCGGATGCTTTCAGAAGCTTCTAGAACAAGATTTAAGGCTCAACTTTCATTGGTCACCAGTTAGATTGGAGTCACTGACAGCGAAGAGGCGACCCCTTGAGAGAACAGGGGAAAACTAAGGGAACAAGGGGAAACCTTTGAAGGGGGTCTCTTCCGTTCAGCATCAGTGGCCAATGGGTGTCGATCTTTAAAAGATGGCGCAAAGTGCAAGGCGTGCGATCAGCCTCTGGCGATCCTCGGAGACATGCTAGATGTCAAAGGCTCCTTTCGCGCACCGAGGTTTACTAAATTTAAGGGAGCCAGAAAATAGTCACATCTATTATAGAAGTTATACATACTAGTTCATCATGTGTTCTAGAAGTAGCTAGTTCTAGTTGTGTGAGTTGATCAAGGCGAGTCCGAGACGAGACGAGGCACTCCTTTGAGAAGCAAATATGTTACTAGTTGGATACGACTTTACTCAGGTCATCTGCCTCGGTGTTCGTTGACTTTACACAGGTCACCCATCATCCTCGGAGGCGAGCAGGTGCCAGTGGGGCTCGTTCCGTTGTGCAGGATCCATAACCTAACCTAACCAATCCGAATGCGATGAGTAGCTTAGTCTTCGAGCAGGACAAGCAGGGGTTAGGGCCTTGATTATTTGACTACAGCTTGCACTTGATTATAGGACTACTTAGGGTCTTGATTATAGGACTACACCCGGAGTCTGCAGTATTAATTTAATAAAGATATTAGTACAACCTCCGCTAAGCTACTGGCCCAACGAGAACGACGGCAAATAAAGCTTCAGGAAAAGCAGTTGAAGGTCTCGCAAATGAAAGAGCAGATCAAAGAACTAGAGGAGGAGAAAAAGAGACTGGAAGAAGGTACTTGTCCTTCTAGCCATGACTTTAGAAGTGGTAGAAGTACTAGAGCTCTGACGAATAAAACACGACTTAGTGGTCGTAGTGGTAAAAGAAGTACTAAATCACTCGGTGGTCGTCGTAGTAGTACTAAAATTTCTAGCGCTGTACTCCTAGGCCTAGCAAATGTGTTTGTGTTCTGTCTAATAATTGTCATGTTATTAACAATAATGATTATGTTTGAGGCACTATTGCACTTGCAGCTTGTCCTTGTTATTGCACTTGCAGCTTGTCCTTGTCCTTTTTCCCTGGTACTAGCTGTGGAACAAGTACGTCCCTTAACTTAATTGTCATATTAACAAAAATGATTAAGTATGTTTGAGGCACTATTGCACTTGCACCATCATGGTACTAGTTGTGGATCAAGTCGACCCTTAACTGAACTAGCTCTACTATCTTCTACAGAGAACGCAAAGGAGGATACAAGGATGAAACAAAGCAAATCGGACACCGAGTATCTAGAAAAGCAGATCTCAGACGCTCAGAAGAAACTGAAGGAAGCAAAGGAACAGGAGCTTCAATTGTTAAGGCTTACCCTATTAATTAATGGTCAATCTTCTGAGCGGCCTGATGCATCTTCCTGAAGAGACTTTCTTTTCAAGAGGAAAACTTACCCAGGATGGTGCGTCTCAAGAATATGAAAAAGTAGCTCAATGAGCTCTAAAATTGTTGGAGACCTCTCGCGTTTGCGACTATTTTCGTGATAGCAGGAGAGAAATCGCGAGAAATAACAACAGCAACCCTTTACAAGTAAAAAGTGAACTTGCAGTAGGCGTAGGAGGATCTTCATCTTCGAGCAGTAGTTCATCTGCAGGTGCTGCACTGGGTGGAACTGCACTAGCTATAGGAATTACTCTATTCGAAAAGGGAGAACATCTTCAACCTCCTCTGGGAGAAGCCGCAACCACGACGACAGCCACGAACTCTTCGTCCTCCTCATCGTATCCACAAAACAACACCACTAAAGATGCAGCGGTCGACAAGTTTTTCGATTGGTGTTATTTTTAAGGCTAGTTGTACAAGAAATGCATCTTATTTACCCGGCATCTTAGTCCCATTTTTAAAACGAACACGGGAACGAAGCCGGAGATGGATTTCTCACACTGACTTGGTTCTAATATTTCCAAGACCATATCCAGTTTGGAAAAGCACTTCTGCAAGAGTCAAAGAGACAAGACGAAGATCAGGATCGATTTCTAGATGAGGAAGTCGCCAAGAGTAAGCGCGAATTTGAAGCAGAAGAAGAAGCCAGAACAAGTAAGAAGAAGGAAGCGGATGAATCTGAAGTTAAGAATTTGAAGGAGATGATTAGGATGATATCATTTACAGATGCAGCATGTGAGGGAAGAGCGAGAGGCTGTATTCATTTTCTTTGGGACAAGACGAAGAACTTCAACTTCTAGTACCTACTTCCCGTTATTTTTGATGGATTCAATCGTGAAGATAATTTTTGAACTCGCAGAACTACCACCAATATGGTGGCCAGCTCTAAGCAGACAAAATTAAGGAACCAACGGCCAGAGGTGGAGAAGCTACGCAAGGAGGTCGAAGCGGAAAAAAGAAAGCTACAGATAAAGCAGAACCCTGCACTTTTATGCGGGCTTCATTGATTTCGTAATCATTTCATCTGAACAATATTGATCTAGTAGTAGTACTTTCTTTTACTTCTACAACTTGGTAGTAGGTCTAGGTGTAGGTACTGCATTTATTGGAACAAGTTACAACACGACGTGGAAGTGCAAGATGATCGTGCCTGGATGTACAATGGGTAATCAACGTAGCTCTAATACCTGAACAGCACTCGGCAGACCAGGGTCCGACTTCAGGAAAGAAAGCGCCTGGAACGCCAGTTCCTCGATCCGGAGTGAAACGCACGCGCACGCCATCAGGAAGTGCTGGAACCATAGGTGCGAGATTGCGCAGTCAAGATAGTGGTTCTAGAAGAGGAGGCACGGCGCCAGGATCAGAACAGCAGGTTGTAGGTTCAGCTGGGCAAGCCAAAGCAGCTATGCAACCTCCATCTCCCTCTCCGAATAGCAAACGCGTAAAAATACAAGGAGTCCCTCTGTTTGGTGGATCTTCCTCCCGCAAGAACGCTGCTGCATCTTCATCAGAGGACAAAAGCAACAGAAAAACTACAGGTGGAGGTAGAGGTTCGTCCGATATCAAGAGTCGGCATTTAAGTGCCTCTTTTCGGGATTTGATAATGCTGCGGGAAGAGGATCGTATTGCTCCAGAGCAAGAGAGGAAGCAAGATCTGTCGGTGGTGTTGGAAGAGCCGGTAGGAGAACCACAAGAAGAGCAAGATGTTCAACAGGGAAATGATGTGAATAATGTAGCAGGAACGGGCACCTAGAACAAAACCAACGCTCATCGTTGATGATCACACCTGATATGCATATTTTCGACACGCTCACTCTTAGTTCATCTTTTTCGCTAAAACAACTCATCACTCTTCTTAGTTCATCTTTTTCGCTGTATCATTGTTTTGAATTTGGTCGATCCTCCTGACATATTCCTTGCAGCTTCTTCGTCGATCATGCTTTGACTATCTCCAGCGCTTGAGAGTCCTCTCACCCTGTCTTTTCACTCTATCTAGGGAAGCTAAAGGCGACGGGAAGCCATGTTCTTAATACATAATCGTACAACTACATTTTCAATCGAGCGTATCGTTCGTCGCAAGAGAAAAAATGGAGAGATTCGACTCAGCGACAGAGTTTTCGTTGCTCGTCAAAAAGGAAAAGCGAGAAGATGAGGTGTAGAAAAACCAAAAAGTCCTCAAAGTGTAGCAAGATTCTTAGAAACGCAACTAAGTATTAACTATAAATGATAACTATCCCGCCTACGTGTACGTGTACCTGTAAGTGTACGTAAAAATAACATCAACGTTCTCCCACATCCACTAGAAGGTCTTCCACGACTCGAAGATGGCTCAGCGAAAATGACTGGTGAAGTCACCTGATAATGAAAGGAACATGTCCGTTTGCGGACGGGCAGCATGGGGGTCGAACGTCCGCTCTGTTCGGTCCGCCGCTTGTCTGGCCTTCAGACAGGTAGTGCTCATCAGAATCAGTTTTCTGCTGGTCTCTATTCTTCGTAGTTTCAGTGTTCATGTTGCTGCGCTGAGCCAAGCACCTCCAAGTCGGCAGACCGGGTGGTCGAGATCGCCATGGGCGGAAAGAGGAGATAGTCATGTCAGGGAAAATGGTGACGAGGCGACGTCATCTGGGGAACAAGATGACGAATTCGAAATCGTCGATCCGTCGTATGAATATTCGACGTCGCGAGAAGATCTCCTTTCAGCGGAAGATCATGACATTCTCGAAGGAGAAGACTCTCCGTCCTCTGCAACCAGGACGACAGCCTCCGCAGAAACTACGAGCAGCGCGCCCTCAACATCTCATCAACATCTGCTTAGACATGCGGAGAGACCTCCACAATCGCAATTTCAGATCGTGGATGCGTCTGGGAAAGCGACAGGAGTGGAGGGCATCTCGACAACGACGTCTAGCTCGAGCGGTGACGCGACAAGAACAACTACGGAAGATTCAGCTCAACTAAATACGGGAGCGGAGAAGGAGCGTCACCAAGAAGCACAATCTGCTAGCAACGGTATCGTGGGAAAGCTGCAGGGAGAGCGCACGACTCCACGAGCTGCAGGGAGAGCGCACGCCCAGAAAGCAGTGTCTGTATCTGGGAGCGCGGATCATAGAGAAGATGACGCCAGTTCTTTGAATGCCGGTCCTTCTGCACTTCATCAGCGAACGAGTGTTGAATCAGAGAAAACGGAAAGTCAAGCGGAGGTCTTTTTGGATTCTAGTGCAGAAGCTACGAATACGACGAACAGCACTGCAGCTAATGCTATTGCTAATGCTGCTCCAGGAGTATTTATTTTAGCCGTCTTCCTCTTCGTTGACTTGTACGATTTTGATTTTTACTTTGAAAGAAAGTAAATGACAATGACTCAGACTCAGTGCTCTCTCTTCTACTTCAGCTGTACCCTCTTCGTGATTGGCACACTTCTCCCTCCAGGTGGTGACAATTTCGGATCCAACCACCACATCATTAATCAGGCAGCCACCATCTCCTACCCCGCTGGGAGCACGGTTTATCATCACGGTGGCTACACTCCGATAACCGAAGGTGACCGAACGCATGCGCAGCATGTGATCAAATTTGCGCCGATTATTAAGGTGAACAGTGATAATGGCAATCCTGGAGGCCGCGACAACATGGCTGAGATGATGAAAATGATGATGGACTCAGTGGGCAATTCTCAGATTACGGCTCTACATTGACTCTATTCATCTTCCTTGTTGACTGCATCCTTGACTCTACTTCAAGAGCTTTTTTTTTTGACCCGTGCATTTTTTCCTTGGTACTCGTCAGGGATGCAGCAGCTATGTAGCTGCGAAAGCGATGAATTTTTATTGGTCGTGGGTCTAATCAGAGAGCCAGCCAATTCTTCGCCAATGCAGGCGCAGCCAACAACAACTATCAGACGTGGGCTAGTCAACAACAGTCATCCCATCAAAACCAGAAATTGCTGGATGAAGTCCACCGTTTAGAATCGAAAATCCAGACAATGCGAGACGATTTGAGGCGTCAACAGACAGGAGCACAATTATATGGCGGCTATAGTGGATATCAGAATCAATACAACTACAACATTAAGGCTAGAAGACACTCAATCCATCTTGACACTCACAGGCATCCTGAGACCGTTTTCAAGGGGAAAAGGTCTTCGGATGCGTCTCGTCAAGAAGATGGATCTTTCTTAGTTCTTCTAACAAGGATCAAGGAACAGGTGGCGTTGGTACGACTCGGGGAATTTACAACAACAATCTTCCGGGGGGAGGAGGAGGGCAAGGATCTACTTCAACTGGGGGAACAATAGGACCAAACACAGGCTCCGCAGACAAGAGGACGATTCTAAGAACCAACGCTGTGATCCAGAGTACCGTAAGCAAAGCCCTCCAACAGAGCAACGCAATGCCACCAGACTGTGTCTACCAATGGCAACGTGCTAGTGTATACTCAGCGAAGGCGAACGAACTCGCCAACAATTAAGGCTAGAAGACATCCATCTACTTGTTTACGGGCATCTTGGTCCCGTTTCTAAAGGGAAAAGGGGACCCAAGATGCTACTGACGATCATGGACTTCTCTTAGTTCTAAAACAAGTACGACGACGAGAAGGCTACGTCAGATCCCGCTCAGCAACAACTCCTTCTACAGGCATCTGAGATGACGCACTTGGCATTGACGTACATGAAACATGCGATTGCGTGTGTTAATTACTCCACCTCAACGTCAAACGCGGGTATGGGAATGGCCGGCGGAGCTGTACCAACCGCACCTGCTGGAGGAGGTAATCCTGCGTACAATAACAACTACGGTGCACCAGCTGCAGGTGGAGCAGCTGCAGGTTCTCCTTACAACTCTTATCAACCTCCTCCGACCTATAATCAGATGAATTATCCACCAGCAGGAGGAGCTCCTTATCCAGCAGCACCTCAAGTACCTGGTACTATGATGCCTCCTGGAGTCGGAGGTGCTCCTCCATACGGAATGTTAAGGCTAAGTATACATAAATAGATAATTCATCTTTATTCGGAGGTGCTTCCTTGAACAAATGTATGGGCGAGTATTCTCGTGCTATTGCTATACTCTTCAAGGATGCAGTAGAAAGAGGAACTACGGAGAGCTCTAAGAATAAATCCAGCATACCCAACTGGTGGTGGAGGTGTCATGCCAGCGCAGTCACCTGGCGGAATACCGTCTCAAGTCCCTGGAGCAGGCATGTCATCTCTCGGACCTGCATCTTCGACAACTGATGCGTATGGGTACTTGAAATCTTGGAAATCATCTAAGAAGCTACACTCTAGGAATTTGAAGTGACAACGTTCCCATTTTTGCTGGATGTGGATGAGCTTGTGGTTCCTCTTCATGAAAGCTGTTGTAGTTTTTACCTCTGTCACGTAGATGTCCTATCGGTATTCCTTCAAGCAAAACACTTAAATGTCTGCTCCCGGTCTTTGGTATAGCCTGAATTTGATCATATTATGGGAAAACAAGAAGAGAACCCTCGTGATCAAATTCAGGTTCTTACCAAATACCGTGGCCATTCATTAAAGACGTTTTTCTTTTTCACTCCACCAAGTCGTGCAAGTTCTGATCCTTCTCTCCACTTCACCCAACTACAGCAACACCGTCGCAGTGTTACCTCCATCAGTTCAGGCGGATCCTATCAGGCTGGCTGCAGAGGAGGAAAGTGGGGCCTTGTGGTCTATTTTATCTCGATTCTGGTACAAGTTGACTTACTGGATCGGCAACGTGGACACACCTACACAGGAGAAACAAGCCTACAATGCGGAGCTGTCTAATCTGGAGATGCTGAATCAAGAGAAATTATGTTCTTGTTCGGTTGATGTGCATGTGGATGTTCTTGGACCTAATAAAGATTAACTAATCCACTATCGTCTAGAACAACTGCATTATGTTCTTGTTCCGTTGATGTGCATGTGGATTTTGTTATAATTTTGGATAGCGCCACCTTCGTAAGCATTTGGCAAGTTCAGAACTTGGTCAATCATGTCAAATAAAATTTAATCGAAGAATCAATAGTCCTTTTCTTCAACTTCAAGGAGAAAAGGGAAGGAAGTAGACTAAAAGTGTGTACAAATTTGTCGGGCTGCGACATAAAACACAACAACTTGCGCCACCTCTTGCTAGGCACATTCAATATGATGAATTCTCGTTCAATATGATGAATCCAGCCTTAACGTTCCGTATGGAGGAGCACCTCCGACTCCAGGAAGCATCCTCATTCAATATGATGAACCAACGAGGACGTACCAGATACTATCACCATCCTCGTCCTCCTCTAAGAACCGACTCCGGCATGTCACCGCGCAGTGACGATGAAATTGTCCGAGACATTATTTCCACGCAACAGGGTCTTATGATCCTACATGACGCTGCTCTTCAAGCAGAAGTTCATGTTGTGCGCAAATGTGGGTGGTATTTCCTGTTCCTCATGGCCTTACTCTTTGCTGCCGGCACCAGTTACTACTCGCATTACAGATACAACTCCTGGTTTGCGGTATTTTTGCCTTTGCTAGCTTGCTGCTGCTTCCTGATACCGATTCCACCGTTCCTAGGAGGTGCTTTTCAACAAGAACGTGGTGGTGGAGGTGATGGGAACAACTTCTTCGAAGGTGGTCGAGGATTAGATGATCCTAATATGGGTAGTACTATGGCGGGAGGAGGAAATGATTACGGAGGTGGAGGAGGCGATCAACTAGGTGATGGTGGGTATGATGATCAAGAAAACATAGGAGGAGATGTTAGAGGTCGTGGATATTAGCATTCCAATCAAGATAGACTCAGATGATGTGAAAACATTTTTATCACACGCTGCAATAGATTTAGATACTTCTTAGTCGTTATGATGAAATTAATCCCTCATGATCTTGTTGATCATTCTGTAATCTTCCCTTATTCTTAACCATGATTCGCTTAATAAATGAACTTTTTTCTCCTCAACATTTCAAATGAACTACTATTCAAATATCGTGAAAACGAACCTTCTAGTTCCGAGAATACAGATGCTTAGCATGAAGATGAACAACTTGAACAAGAACGCATCGTATATTGCAAAGCAAGACGATTTTGATCGAACTTATCTCAATTTTTAATGCCGAAGAAAATGCACCGCAAGTTTAGTCATCCTTCAACATTGCGCAGGTTGCTGTAATAAGTAAATCTAAATATTTGTCAAAACTTTAATATTATAGTGCTGTAAAAACAGTATCAGTAACAGGTTGTAAACTCTAGCACAGGACAGTCAGAGAATTGCTACGGCCCTACTTGCCGCATGACGGGGTTGATGTTCTCAACAACGATGCATAGAATGGCGAGTGCCCGACTAGAATCTTGATCCAGGAGGTGCATTTCAGGATAAAGAAGTACCGCGTCACCGAGAGAAGGAAACAAGAGAGTAGCAAACTAAAAACGCAGACACAATGCTATACATCAGAATCAAGAAAAAGAGGAAGATTTTTTTTTAGCCGTCCGTCCCCGTCATGCAAGTGTACTAGATCTAACCATTTATCAGCTCCTGCAACTACCAGAGCCACGTCGCAGTAAAAAGTAGTTCTAACCCTCAAGATCAAGACATGGTCCTCGGCCTCGGTGGAGCTTCCTCCCCCTCAGCGCCAGGCGCCGTGGGGTTCGTTTCCACCACCTCAGAACTTAACAATGCGAACTACGTTGTCGCACCAGATCAACAAGAGGATGAATACCGAGAGGAACTGATTGAACGGGTTACTGTTTGTCGCGCTCAGCTAGAAGAACGAGAATTGTATCTCGCCACCGTCACGGACCAAGTAGAAAACACACGGAACAACCTCAACCGAACCTATGACATAGCGCGACGGCAGATGCTTGGATATGGCGGCAGTGGAGGTGTTGGTGGAGGATCGTTTTTTGGTGGTGCAGATGGAAGTAGTGCAGCATCATCAACAAGTGCTGGCGGTTCTAGTACAGGAGGACCCTCATCTGCAGGGTCTAGGAGAGGACCATCGGTGCAGAGCGTGGGGAGTAGAACCGGTAATATTTATTATCGATCCCTGGCTTTTCCGGCAAAAATCAGAATGAGCAGAGGACTGAAGGGTGAAGGAAACAACTCGTGAAGATAGATACGCATACGTCTGCTGGAACTCCGCAACTATAATACTCATTCAGTCACACCTTGTCCACAAAATCAGGTTCCCATTCCCGCGGCGGCTCGTCTCTCGGCCAAATAGTAGAGGAAGCAGATGATGAGGAAAACGCAGAACTGGAAGCCGAAGCTGCCGATTTGTGCACTCAGTTTGACGCGCTAGAACGAGAGTCAAGATTACTACTCGCAGATAATTTGCAAGCGCTGAAGAAAATACACGAAAAGATAATCGCGAAATCGCAGAGGACACCTTTATCTGATGTTTCGGGAGGCGTGACGGAAACAGAGTCATGATAAGTAGTTGTAGTTGATTGAAAGAAGTTGAGTCTGACAACTACTATGTAGTTGTTCTATTTGCTATTCACATCATCTTCATCGCTATTTAGTCAAATTAATATACGTAAAATGCCGAACAGAAAAACCCTATTCGACCTATTCTTCTTGCAATCTGTTACTGTCGGACTTGTCGAGTGCGCGTTTGCGGTCATGATTCATTCAACATCTCTATCTCACTGATGTTGTCTTAGTCTTGTCAAATGTCCTCGCTTCATGCAGCTTACACTTGAGACATAAAAATGAACAGGATTGCACTTGCGCCCCATTCCATAACCGATTTCTCTACGTTTTTATGTGTCATCAGCATAATGTTAATGACTTAGAGACGGACTGGGTATCCTCGACCCATTCCAGAAATGGTTTCCATCCGACAACTTCATTCTCCCACACACTCTGCGTTCTTGTAGCCTTGCTTCATTATCTCTGCCTGTGTTCCTCAAAATTCTACAAATTGCACGAGCAGGAGCCAAAAAAGGGTCCTGCTTGTTCAAACAATCTCTGCTTATTTGCTTTTTTGCCGCCTCATATTCCGCCCTTCATACAAAATATTATTTGATGATGTAGCTGCGGGATACTAGGATAAGGATTTACAGTGTAAGTCGTGTTAGTACTCTGTAGTTGTAAACTAGTGAACCTTTTATTTTGAAAATCAAAATTAATTGAACAAATGAAATTAAAATTTTGCTAGGCCTAGGCATCTTCGGTCAATCAGAGGAATAACATTTGAACTCGTGCGAGACCCGGCCTGTCAAAAGGTCGAGGTCTGAAGTGCAGCGAACGAACTGCAGAAGATGCGAAGGTGACAACAACCACATGCACCAGAGGACAACAGCGAAGGAGTTGTGGTCTCGTGCTCGTCAAGTTGCAGCAGTGCAGCCGCTAGTTTGCAAGCCATTAGTGCAATGCACTCCGACACGAGAAAATGAAGCTTAAAAGAATACTTCTGAGGTACCATCCTCCAGGGATCGGTCTCGAGTGCATACCAGAAGGAGATGGGGTACAACTTCACGTGTGGAAGTAGATGCTGCTTTTTAAATGATACCACAGCTTTCTATTTCTTGAAATATCTCTTGAAGACCGCCTTCACACGACATTTTCCATGATCCCAATAAAGAGTCGACCATTCTGCGCGGCTTACCTTCTCGTTCTCTTCTATTCATGATGAATACCAGCACTGTTCCAAGCACTTTGACTTTGTACTTCCAATGAATTCCACTCGACAACTCCAGGAAGTGGAAGTCATCCACAAAGACTTGCCGCCAGCAGAGCAGGTTGCGAGTCTCGAAGCGATCCAAGGCTTGGTTATCAACTTGCTTGACGAGGAAACACTACTGCAAAAGAAGAAGCACGAGAAAAGTTTGACGCAGTTGCTTGGCCGATTGTATCAAATCGATACGGATTTATGGCAATCTGAACAAGAAGAAAGAGTCGTCACACTACTTACTCGATTTTCTTTTGAATGATTAAGATTGCGATCGCTTAACTTTCTACTTAGCAGTAAACTACTCAACTCGTTGTACCCGTAGTTGTTCTCATCTAATCATCGCAGCAGTCAACGAAGGTAGTAGCGCTGAAGCTGGCGCGACATATCAAGAGGGCCAGAAAGTCGCTTGTGTGGGTTTTAGTGGCAGCAATGCGACGTACAATGGGGCCGTCGGGACGGTTACTAGGGTATATAGATACCAAGCACAACTTCAGTTATAACTAGTAGTTAAAATTGTATGACACGACATCAAGAAACACAATGATTTCTTCTTCAAATAGATGATCAAGATGAACCTGTTTTATCCGATGAAGCAGAGAAGCTGAAGTATTTTGCCAATAGCAGCTGAGAGAAAGTGAAAGACCTGAAGAAAACGAAAACAAACCACATCAGGTCTTCGACGAAAAGAAAACCAAATACGAAGTGACCTTCGATAACGGTACAGTGGTGAAGGTCAAAGAGAATCACATCCTACACGTCATGAACGACGGTTATCCCTTTAGGCCAGGGCTTTTGCCAACTGGTGTGCGCGTAGTGATCACAGGCTTGAGGAATCATGGGACACTGAATGTTATGTTCTTGATGTAGCTGCTACTGCTTTTTCCATTATTTAATAAATTGTTCTTGAACTACTACTCCTTGACAACTTTAACATAACATAACACAACATAACATAACATCGCTCTTGGACTCCTTGGCTTGTCGTAAGACTCTACATGAACAAGGCAAGCGCTCTTCTTTCATCATCTGCTACTCATTCTCGGCTGAAAGCTACCTAACACTAACCGCAACCAAATCCAGACCAACCCTTCTAATCCTCGCACAGTGGGTAGAGTAGTGGATTTCGCGGAGTCAACGTCCAGGTATGAGGTACGCGCAGTAGAGACTGGGCAACTATTTCGAGTAAAACCGGATAACATATTAGTAGCCCTGATGCCAGACGAAGATATTCCGCAAGAATTAGCGCAGAGGCTTCAGGTACGAGTGTCGAACATGCTGTGGACAAACCACTTAGTACCACGGTTTTTATTGGACTAATCTAAATCTTCTTCCTCATCTAGTAATCCGTTCTTCTCTATCTTTCGAAAGCAACTTTACCTTAATCCAACACGAAAAGGACCTAATATACCTCTACTCTCAGGAGCTTGGACCTAGCGTTGATCCCACGTCGTATAAGCAGACTGACAAGCCTGAGCTAACAATACCTGTAGGAGCTGTGGTTGAACTCGTAAATTTGAGGAACGCCGGATGGCTCAACGGCCAGTTGGCGGAAGTACTTCTACACTGTGCCATGTCTTGTTCTTGAATTTTTTAGTGAAAATTTCTCATTGTACAACTGGTTGTATCGGTATCCACCATAGTTAGTAATTGACCGATGGTACCTCATCATCATGATCATCATCATGTCAGCATCATCATCAATCATAAGCGTAAGATTAACTAATCCACTATCATCTAGAAAAACTGCATCATTCAGGTCCTCAGCGTCGATTATGACCGCCGTCGCTACGAGATCCGGTTAAACGCGGATGATAGTATCAAAAAAGTGAAGGCGGAAAACGTCGTCCAGAAAACCGTGGAAATGGATCCGAGTCGTATTGTCACAAAAGGCGCCCGCATTGAGTTGTGCAATTTGAAGACTGCAGCAGCCTTAAATGGGGAACGAGCAGTCGTGATACTGCGAGACGGCGATCGCTACGATTAAGGCTATAAGAAATCTCCCATCTTCACAACTACAGGCATCTTGTTGGTCCCGTTTTCTTTATAGGGAGTAAACAGGACGAGGACCCAAGAAGATGCTGTTGAAGATGGGCGATTTCTTCTATCTCTAATATGAAATTCGGCTTGAACTTGACGGGTCAACGAAGCAAGTCAAGCGCGACAACTTCAAAGTCATCGGACAGCCGATGCAATAGGACGAATAAGGCAGCTCGATAAGACGACCACAATTTTTTCTCAAGATCAAACTTGTATTGAAATACCGTAGGAAAAACACCATTAACAAGATTAAGAATTATGTTTCTGATACCCAAACGAACTTCTATTTCATCTAATTTTCATCAAGCTCAAGACAACAACGATGTTGTTGTTTTGATCTCTCAGTTGTAGTAAATACCTTGAACCTCAATACCAATTATACCAGCGCCAGCTTGGTGCTAACGTTTCTATTTTGAGTTTTCGTTTTCACACTAGTAAGTTGTAGTAACTGCCTATCGAATAGATGAGTTAGAAAAGTCCGCATCTACTTCTTGTAGGTAAGTTTTAACCTTCCGTAGTCTTTATCATGAACCAGATCACAGCTAGTTTTTGTTTCTTCAAATTCAATTCAGAACCTGCAGAAAGATGAGGATATAGCATCATGAGGAGGAGCTATAGACTCAACAACAAGTAGACAGACAAAATAAGTGGACGCTCGCTCTCTTCGTCCTGTTGTTTCTGAACAAAAATTTTGCATGTTAGTTTCTGTTTCTCAAATTTGTTGTAAGGACGCACTACATCTACAGGAGGTACTTACCAAAGGGTAAGCTAGTAAGGTTTATATCACGATGAAGAAGTTGTACTTCCCAGTCTGACGAGTCGACTCTATATCACGACAGACTCTGAGTCTGAGTCTCATCGCGGCGGGTCCGTGCAGAAAGAGCTGCATCGACTACCGGCTCTTGTTGCCATCTAAGTTTGTTGTGATTGATGCGTGACTGGTGCTTGGTCTGGTTGCCATCTAAGTTTGTTTCTAGGCTCTCATGCACTCCTTCAACGCCAAATGCGTGAGCTGTTGAAGGCGTGCATGAGAGCCTAGAGGGGTTGGGACCGACAATTATATGAGATGAAATGTGAGGAAAACCTTGAGAAAATGTTGACCAAGGAAGTGTCCCAACCTCCAAGTATCACTACTTCTAGTGCAACGAGTACCAAACCGAACGTGATGAAAGCGTAAAAAGATATCGCCCTGTGAACTAGAACTGAGAATAAGAAGATGAACTTTAATATTTATTTAGGGTTAGACTTAACTTCCCTGAGTCAGCTAAAGTCTACTAAGTTACCTCAAGTAGAGCAAAAGTTATTTAGGGTTAGATTTTCATTTTCAGATTAGAAGATTGTTTGAAGAGATAGAAAGATCTTGGTCTTCTTCGGTTCAGAGCATCACTTTCAGATTAGATTTTCGAAGAAAAGAAGAGCAAGGGGTGACCACACAGTCTATTGCTACTAGTTGTGCATATCATCCTTATCTTGATCATTTTTTCCATATTAAAAAATGTATACGAAAATTCACATGATGTGCATGTCTACAACCTACAAGGAGCTCTCGAAATGAACGTCCTCCAGAAACGTGGAACATCCCTAGCAGGACTACGCAGAACGGTTACTGTATAGTAGAAGCTCCTCCACCAGACCGCATCGGCACCATCATCTAGTCTCAACAAGATGGCACATATACCTAAAGGCACGGTAAAAAAGGCGCCACCGATTGGCAGCAACAATGTCAAGGTCAAGGAAGTAGAAGCGCCACCTCCGCCTCCACCACCTCCTCCTCGCCGTGTGAAGAGCTTAATGAAACAGCTGATGTCTATCGAGCATCGTCTTAAGGCTTTTTTCTGACTCTAAGCCATCTTCATCTCTTACTACTTACAACTCTGTCTTAGGGGATCGATCATCATGGATCCCTCGGCGCAATGTTGGTTCTATCCAAGAAGTGAATACATTTTTTTTTTCGAAATGGAGGGATCTAATCGCCGCTTCACGGAAGGTCGAGAGATCGTCCAAGAACGATGGGCCGACTACGTTTTCTCGCCTGCGAGTCCGGCGACCTTTTTGGGGTTACCAGGATGTACGCCAGTCGACCTGCCGATCATATTGGCTCAGTTCGATCGAAAGTCCCTAAGGACAATACGAAAACTGATCGAGGATAGGCAAATCAGCCTTCCAGAATTCCTTCGCATTATTAAGGGTAGGTTAATAAAGGTGCTTTTCTTACCGCTTTTTATGCCTCTCCTAAGGGAGAAAGGCATAACTACAAGCGGGGTAAGCGAGCACCAAAAGCCTACCTCTAATATTATCGTAGTCAAAGCTGGGGCGTACGATTCCAAGCGCATTGTGGACTTCCTAGCCGGACTAGTGGACGTTTTTAACGACATCGTGGCGCGAAATGCGACAACGATTCATTGGCGAGACTTCGCGGAATTGGTGGTTTCCACATCCACTAGCAGCATCGACACTGGGGACTTGGGAGCGATTCTAAGTGATGGCCTAGCGAAAGTATGTCGAAAAAGTTCGCAGGGGGAAGATCAAGCGCAAATTCAACCACAGGTGCGGTAGATGTAGGACCAACTTCTAGAGCAAGAAGTAGGTACGAAATATCCGATATTTCGGACAGTACAACAACTAGAACTACCACTTGCTTGTAAACCTGAAACTACAACGTCAACAAGAAGTCCATAATTGCTTAAAAATATCTTTCTCACCTGGAGGACCTGCATTTTTATCGCTGCACTTAGCAAATAACACCCAGTACAGCTGCTCTCTTTCGTCAACTACGTAGTTCCTGGTAGCATCAAACTTTTACAACAACTACAACCACATCAGTTGTCTTTCGTGAACCACGTTCCTGGCGGACTTCTTATGCCTCACGAGTCCAAGAAGAGTAATATGACCGAATTCGAAAAACGGAGGGCACGCGATTTGAGAACAGACGACGAGTCCAATGCTCAGCAGCAACACCCGCTGAGACTAGTGAAGTTCATACCAGAGTTGCAGGTGTTAGCCAGGATCGAGTGCGATAGTAACGAGATCACGATATATCATCCGCGAACGAACGTGGTCAAGAGTTTGAGGCCAAAATTTGAAGACGATGGCGGTAGACCAAAAGCGGCGGCGCGAGGAGGTAAGCAGGGCATGATACAAACTTTCGACGAATTTTTTTTGAGAATTTTATCAGGTGGACGTCGTGTTCTTTCCAGCACAACATCAAAAATGTCTACTTTTCTTGGTAAACAGCAGACAAGAACTGTGGTCGCTTTTTTATCATTGTCTATCCAAATCTTCGGTGTCGTGGCTCTCCTCAGGAGGTACCACTTCACTGAATGGCCTCATACATAGACGCCTATTGCTATATTGTATCAAAGAGGCGCCATGACATGACATGACATCAATGACCAATCTCCAGATGAAGTCCTCCTGCCTGAATTGCGCAAGGGCGCATCCAAGAAATCGTGGAAGAGCACCTCTGATACTCGGAAAGAGGATTTTACCAAGCTCTTAGAGGACCCGCTCGGCCAAGGCTTGCTCTCCAACGCTGAGCCTGCTTCATTGGCGTCGACGTCAAGTTTTCTTGGGTTATGAATAGTTTGACACGTCGCCTAGTACAAGTATGGAGGTGCAGGAAATTGTATTTGTTGAACATGAAGATGAATACAACGTACTAGAAGTACTACCGCAACAATTAAAAATGGGGAACCTCACCCCCATCCCCATGATCCTTTTCCCACCTTCATATCTTCCCAACCCAAATTCCATGTTCGACACTGGAGGCGGTCCCTTTAGTCCTTTGGTCGGCACCTCTTTGCCGCACCTCCTCGAAGAAACCTTTGAGGAGGATGCCTTGGTAGAGAGCACAGCAGGTGGTCACGCAGGAGGAAATTCGAGTTCTGCTTCGGCAGCAGGTGCTCCTGCTGGTTTTGGAGCGACAGGAGGAGTGTCACGTATGGGAGCCCAGGGAAGGAAGGGGAGGGGATTGCAGATTCCCCTCCGCAACGCTAGCGTCGCAGACGAGGTCGACAGGCACTTCGCGGACACCGGGTTCTGCCAAAAGCTGGTGCACAAAATGACGGACCAAAACCATTTCCACATCTTGGATTGCTGCTATCATCCAGAGAGGATTTTGATTTCGATTTTGTGTACGAATCGCAGAGTAGCGCAGTTTTCCTTACTCTACCGTGGCAACATCGAACAAGACATGAGGGATCGTGGAATTGAAACGAGGATTTCCCAAGAATCCGAATTTCACGTCAGTCACGATTTCGACTCTATCCGCTTTTGTCCTGGGATAACGTACGCAAAAGACGTTTTTTTGTTGCTTTCTGCGGCGAATGGGCATTTGAATTTCTACCAATTTAGTGGAGAAACGCCAGACGGATATCCTTTCACGAAGACACGGCCAATTTTCGTGAATAATACAGTGCACAAGGCAAAAATAACTGGATACGTGGAGATGCCGGCTTCGTCGGCGTTCTTGACGTCAAGTCGCGACGGACACATCTGCTTGTGGGATTGTACTTTTCGTTGTTCGCTTCGATGCGTACCATTTCTATTGTATTAATTTCCTTGTTTTCATACCCAAAGAACTAATGAATAACTCACTCTCTGTCGTGTCTGTCTACTCTCGCTCTCATTAGGCTAGGAGTACTAAATGGGACACCATGATGATGACCACCTCAAAAAAGAAGACTCACACCCTTACCTCATCTTCTCTTTCCACCACTGCTTTCACCAGCCCGAACCCTTGTCGCAGACGTGAAGCTGGATACTGGTTACACTCATGTGGGTTGTGCCTCCATGTGCCTGTCGACCAGTGGAATAAACCTTGCTACTTGTTGGGCTGGCTACAACATCATTTATGAGCACGAAGCCGGATATAGCTTTTTCCGTTGTTGTATCATGTTCAAATTTTTCATTCATGATCAATAGAGGCTCGCTAAGTAGAATTAGAAACTCTCCTGAAAACAAAGAAAAGATGAATACACGCCCATCCTCCTTTCTCCTTCATCCCCTCCCGGTCTGGAACATGGAGCGGGGCGTTTTCCGCGGCCTCAGGACGAATCTAGTCCAGCATGAGCATCCCGTAGTAAAGGTGAAATACTTCGAGAAAGCGCTGTTCACTCTGGATGAGCAGAGTCATGTCGTCATGTGGGATGCTGAAGAATTCCTAGTCCTGCAACTCTTTGGCGGCTTTCCGGTACATGCTACTGATGTCGTCTGCACTGATTGGCCTAAACTGCGCATTTGGCTCATTGGCGATAGAGTTAGCTACTTCATGAGCAATCAGGCTGCGGATATGCAAGTCTTCGGAGGTGACGCTCAGTTATCTGACAAGAAGAGTGGTGCTGGAAAGAAGAAAGTTCAGAAATTAGCAATACCTAGTGGTACAGGAGCAAATGGAGCAGTGGTTGCATCAAAGCGTTCAAACAATGCCTCTTTTCTAGACGGCGCCAGTGCATCAGAAGCTGAAGGGGCTATGGTCAATTCAGATGAAGAAGACCCTCTTCAAGACCCAGAAACACTGATAGCCTGCGACACCGATCCACCGAGGGGTCTGACACTGAATTCTAGAGCAGGCGTCGTTTTCTCAGTGACGAAGACCTCACTTTTGCGACATAGTAGACACAACCCGCTTCACACTGATGTGGTTTGGTCATCGTCTGCTGAGCCTGGGGTTCAAATCACCGCAACCGCGATAAGCAATGATGGCCTAGCGGTGGTCGGGACCAGTACTGGGAGATTGCTGTTTTACGGAAATCGTTTCTGTAATTCGAACATTATTGGCATCTTGATCTTGTTCAAGAACATTCAATCTAGTACAAATTCTAGGTACTTCTAGGTTGTTTGCCCTTGAAGAATCAGCATTCGCATTCATCTCTCACTCTCTAAGAATTAGCATTCGCATTCATCTTCTACACCTCTCTTCACACTCTTCTAAAAAATCTCTCAAATAACTCTAAGAGTCCATCCGTTCCAATAACGGGTACATGGCAAGACGCTATGTCGGTGTCGGCGAGAAGCAGAAGCGTGGTGGCACGTTTGCTCTCGATCCTCCGGAGCAGCTGCCAGAACCAGCACCCGCAACAAAAGCTGCACGGAGAAAAGAACTCAACTTGGATGGCACGATTGCCGGTCTAGGCAGTGATGCAGAAGGTGATAGTGACGGACACCACGGCGCCGACGACGTTGAGATGAATTCGTCGCCAAGGTTGCCGGATACACCACGATCAAAGGCCATGGGAGGCGTAGCCGCACAAGTGGAACGAGACGAAAATGGAGAACCTTTGGGAGCGGGATTTTATTCTTCGGATGAAGAAGGGCAGTTATGGAATTGTCACAATGAGTAGTACCTACTGATCATCTTCTTTTGTGACCACTTTGAGTTTGAACAGGTTGTTGTATGCATCGTGAGTTTTAGTGAACTCTACCTCTAACCAAAGGATACGGCGGCAAACGAAAAGACAAACGCACTCGCGGTCCAGGCTGCGACCCTTACGGCACAGCTGCGATTAAAGCAGCGAAGATCAAGAAGGCACAGGCTTTGGCTCTAGAGAACAATAATGGCCTTGCACAATTCACTGCGGGTCTGAGTGGTGGGGTCGAGGTAGGAGATGTGCCAGCGTCCTCATCGTGGAGACCACAACCTGGATCGATTAGTCCTAGGAGACAGCCTATGCGCAGTCGATTTGAGGAAGTCCCGATGCTTCAATCGCCCTTGTGCGAGCAAAAGGGAGTAACAATAAGCTGCAAAACGCGAGCGGAGTTAGAGGAAGACAGGATGGTGGGAGGGAGGAGGAAAACAGCTTCGCTATTGCTAGAAAGCGGTCATCGAGCAGCGACGAACTCGACCATGGCAGATCACAAGAATCCGATTAGTTTCGGTCCATCTTCTCTAGGAGGCGCGGCCGGAGAAGGAGGAACTACCACAAGAGGCCGTAGCAGCTCTTCACCATCTTCTCAGAAAAAAGGTGGTACAGGTGCTTCTTTAAATAGGGCTCGTAGTCGCAGTAACAGTATTCCCAAAGCAAAACAGCCTGTCAACCTGAAAGACGGCCTTTGTACTGGTGTTACCTGTCTTCTAGTGAATCAACGAAGGAAGGTAGAGTCTGAAGACGCTGCCCATATGACTCTACAACAAGCGGTTGCGGCAAGCAGTTCTGGGCAATTGACAGCAATACCTGATGAAGAAGAAAAGCAAAAGGCAGAGAACGCTTGTGGCTTTTTTGATACGCGCGAAGGCGGCGTTGGGACGTATCTGAAGTTACGGCCCAGAAGTGTTTTACAGAAGTAGATCGTCTAGAATATCTTGATCTTCATCTGACCCTGACTAAATGTCGTCCCTCTAAAACTCGCCCGCGGCGCGAAACCCAAAGCAGGAGACAAGCTATACGTTGGCTCCAAAGAAGGCACCATCTTTGTGGTGGACCTAACGTCGCTGGATCTCGACCACGCTGTTGGGTATAACAGTAAACTAGTCCAACTCCAAGACGCAATGGGCGTCCAGATAGCGGTCATGAAGCAAGAAGCAGCAGCAGCACAGGCCGCGGCGGTTCAGAATTCGTTTTATGAATGATGGGTGTCAACAGTGTCACGGTAAAAATCTAGATGCACCTTAGAATAAAAGCAGATTACCATGAAATTAATTGTCAGGACGAGATTCGAGAGCAGATGTTGATGTTCTTCTAAAGCAGATTACCATGAAATTGTCAGGAGCTTCGAGAGCAGTAGATGTTGATGTTCTTCTTCTTGTTACTCTACTTTCAGCTACACTTCTAAATCGTCCAATACAATGCTGGTGGCATGATCAACTACATGAGTCAAGAAGGGAGTCTCCCTGCCAGTGTCAAGACTAGTCCTCGAGGAACGGTTACTGGCGCCATAGTCGCTGCCCATGCACTTACAGAAATGGGTGTAGGTGCTAGATCTTCAAATGCAGGATCTCAACCAGTTGCAGGAGCATCACAACCTCGTAGTGCCTATAGCAGTGCGGCCAACAGTCCTCGTGGTGGAACTACATCGCCGATGGATCAGACGCAAGTAGTGTTCGACATGAAGGGACTCGTTTCAGGACCACCAACTAAGGGCATTCTCAAAAACACAGAAAAATCCAGCAAATCGTATGTCTCTTCGCTTGCGCCGACTCCTGGTGGTCCTTATGGTGCTGGTGGAGCGACTCCATACACTGGAGGAGGTGCATTTCCTCTTCCCTTTAATGTTCATGTTCCTGCAGTGCCTGTGCAAGCAGTTGCTGTTGCTGTAAATTTCAAACTAGGTTTGGGTGGAGGTGGTGGTGCTGGTTTTGGTGGAGGCGGACACAACGAGGAACCCCCACGCATTGACCCAGACCAGCGGAGTCTGCTGAACAAACCGCCACGCTTGCATTTTGAGGCCAAATCAACAGGAAGTGGAGACTCACTTGTTGCGCCAAGTCGTGCGACTAGCATTAAGGCTTGAAACTTGGCATCTCTATGCGCGTCTCTACGTCTTCTTCAAGGAGGAAGTTCTTAGATCTTATGCGAGCTAGAGACGCCAACTTTCATCAATCTTCTCTAATAGCAGTCGAGCTTCGCCTTCAATTGCTGCCAGTTTCGTCAACTTTGGCGGTGCACAGGTCTTGTCTTCCTCTCCTCCTGCGAGTAGCGCGGTGCTGAACGGATTGCTTCAGCACGCAGCAGCTGGCCTTGTGGTTTCTAGTAGCGGGGAACTGTCGAAGAATAGTCCTTTGATGACAGACGTGGAGGCGTATTTTCAAAGGTCCCAGAAGCCTGCGGGAGGAGCAGGTGGTAAGAAGAACAACGCGGGAGCCGCTGCAGGAAACGGATCTATTAAGGCCAATACCGCAAGATCAGAGCATTTTCAGATGAATCACTCAGACGAGCTCAAGAGCGTACCCTCTTTGATGATCATCCTTTTCATTTTCTACTCCTTACTTCGAATTCATCAAAAAGAGTCTTTCGTTACTCCAAACTATGCAAATCAAAAGCCAAAACTCTAATTCTACTCCCGTCTCCATCAACGGGAATCCCAGAGAAGTCCTTTCCATGCACATTTGTGAGGATCTTTGCGTTGCTTACCACGCAGATGGGTGTTGTCAGCTTTTCGAACTGCCCAGTCTGTCCAAGGTTGGCGAGTTTTTCTCAGATGAATCTGGACTCTTCGTGAAGATGTTTGAAGTGACCCAGTATGTCCTCGCTGACGCCGATCGCCGTGTCGCAGACGACAAGATCTGGCGCAAGGAGGAAAGACGGAAGAAGAAGAAAGCCATGGCGGAACAAGATCAGGAGCGAAGCTACGAAGTAAGTTTGCGGTTAGGAGCGACGAAAAAAGTGAGTTTAGAACAACAAGGAGGAGACAACGGCGGTCCGTCGCGCGATGAAGACAACAAGCGAAGACACGCGCATTCGGTGTCGCAGTTTTTCTTCGTGTACACAACAGCGAGGAAGAAGGTGAAGAGACCGGCACGGCCTCTTGCAGCGCCTCCACCCGGCACGGCGAGCGGCTTCGGAGCACGTTCTAAAAGGTCTTCTGCTGCGAACTCCGCAGCTAATAGTCCAACAGAGGGCAAGAGTCCACGTGGAGCGGCAAGTGGTATCTCTGCGATGAAAAAGAGCATCAAGTTTGCGACAGCATTTATGGCTCAACTTTCATTGGTCATTGGGGAGGTTGGTCTCTGACATCAAAGAGGAGACCTCCTGAGAGAACGGGGGAAAGCAAGGGGAGAGGCATGGCGCATTATTCTTTCAGAATCAGTGACCACTGACTGCTGACCTTTAAAGCATCAAACAAGCTGAAGACCACAGGGAAGTTTTCAGTAACGGCACTAGTCGAGGCAGCTGCAGCACAGTCCTTATGAAAAGTCAGCATCTTGATAGATTACAACAATTGCTTTGATCTTAGCACTTCGTTGTTGTTCGACTTCGATCATTGCTTTGATCTTAGCACAACTTCGTTGATGTTCGATCATATAAATGCTCGTCTCCGACGTCAAGGTCATTATGCAAATTGAAGCCAAATTATTGAGATCTAAAGAACATCTAACCCTAGCCGCCCTCTCTTCCCCAAGCGAGCGAGAGCCTCCTGCTCCGCTAGAAGTACCGTTTGCAGAGAAAACGAGTCGGGACAAGCTTCGGGAACTAGGTTTTGAAAATGTTGACAGCGATATGGACGAAGACTTTGACAGCGATCAAGGAGCTGAGAATACAGAAGGTGGTAGCAGTGGAGGTAAGAACGGTGGTAAGTCTGGAACCGCTTCCGTTTCTTCAAAGAACGGAAAAAAAGTGGATCCAAGCGCTCTTCCTGAAATGATTGAGGAGACGATTGGGAATACTAGGATCTTCTTATTGAAGAGAAACATTCAGACGAAAAAGATAGAATCAGTCGTTTTGAAAGGCAATTTAGGTGGTGACGAGTGGGCATTGGACGTCTCTGGTGCCGCGACATTATCACATCTGGTTTCTCCAAGCATTCCACTGCCAAAGCACTGTTTATCTGAGGTTCTGATGGAAGACGCGGCTTTGAATAGTGCTGGATTCGAGGACTTGCCGCCAGCAGCGGCACCGCCAGCAGCCGCTACGACAGACCTGATGGCTGTTGGTGCATCCAAGAGCCTGCGTGGAGGTGGACGAAATTCAAAAAGCAATGCATTAGCTTTAGCTACTCTACCTCCTGGAGCAGCGACTCTACCTGGAGCGGGTGGAGAATCGGCTACTGAGACTGAGGATTTCGGTGATGATGATCCTGCTATTGTTTCGTTGCTGAAAGAAGACCCGGCGTTCGAGCCTCTAGTTGATTTGCAAGATTTTCCAGGAACGAAAACACTCATTACGAGATTCCTCTCTGAATTATATTCATCATTGAAAAATTTCACTCTCACTCATGATGATGGACATGCAGACTCTGAGGACTCTCAGGAGAACTGATTAAGTAGAATGAAAAAACGTAAGCTCCTCTGTACTTTTCTGAGTCTGTACTGTCAACACAGAATTCTCTTCAGCGGCTTCATGATTTTCTCTCTTTCTTCTAAGACTCTGTACCTCTACGACAAGGAGGGCTGCATCCACTGCCTAGACGTCTTAGAGACTGCGCGTAAGAAGGACGACTTGGAGACGGAGTATCGCAGAGAAGATCCAGCACTTTTCGTTGATGCTGTCCCGGACCAACGTCTAGAACATGCACAAGTTGTAAACAATAGTAGTGGTGTTGGTGCGTCTGGTGCAGGAACTGGTCGTGCAGGAGCTTCGAGTGGTGGAGGTGTCACCTTTGGAACTGCCGCTATCGTGGAATTTGATGGAGGAGGAGAAGAGGCTTCTGCCCCAGCAAAACCCGTTCCTGCAGTCAGAACAGTAGCCCTCAATCCCCAATCAAAGAAGGGCAGCAAGAATATTAAAGGTAAGAAAGATCAAGACGAAGAAGCTGCTGAGAATGCGAAGCCTGCTGCAGAAGTTCGCCGTTACTCCGCTTTTGAGTTGTCGAAGAAATATCCTTCGAGCCAGCTGTTCCAATGGAACGCGCATAGTGTGGAGATTGTTTCTCTCGAAGCAGTGAACAATCCACCCAGTTTGCTCTCCATCGATCTTTTACACACCTGCAAAGTCTGGTCACCCAGTGGCGAATGCTACGCGCAATTCATGCAAGGCGAAGCCTTTCCTGGTCGCGATCTTGCAGTTTCCATCTGGCCACCACCTCAGGTTTTAGTGAAGTCGCTTTACTTCGCCAGACTGGCAAAAAGGTTCAAGGACGCGTTCAAATTCGATAGTGGACTGCAATCGGCAGAGACTGTTGGTTCTGGTGCTGGGTTGCACAGATCTGCTTCGAAGTCTTTGCACGAGACGAGTGTAGAACTCGATAGAGGCCAGAGGCGATCGTCATTGAGAAAGCCATCGACAAGCAGAATGGCGAGCAAAGAGGATATGGGTAAAAATGAACAACGTGATCATGAATTTGCAGTAAAACGTTCATCTTAGTGTTCTTAGTTTAGACATGGTTCGAGTAGTAAGTTGTCCCAGAAATAAGCCCAAAAGAAACAGTCTGTATTGTTCCTAGTGCAGCATATTTCTTAACAAATGACACCAGGTCCCCAACGCCGGGCCACTTTTTCTGAATCAGCAGAGGCGAGCGACAAGGTGTTTCTGACACAACAGCAGCAGCAACAGCAAAGTGGAGAAGCTGCTGGTACATCACATCCTTTCGGTGGAAAGCAATTACAATCAGCTGACAGTCTAATACTCGATGTTGTAGGAGAAGGCGATGAGGAGCCCAGTTTGTCACTTGCAACAATGAATTTGAATAATCGACCGAGTTCGGCTGAAACACAGAAGTCGGCCGTAACCGAGAGTGCGACTGTAATAGTCGATGGAGGTGCTGGAGGCTCTCAACAGCAACAGCAGTATGCACCGGCAGCAGCACCACCTGCTGGAGGAAGCGCACCTGCGCCAGATGCGTTTGGGCAAGCAGTTGTACAGGAAAATATGTACGACTTGGTGCCACCTATGAGTGGTGGAACCATGTCAAAACTGTTGGAGCATCGTGTTTTCTCCGGCACCGGTGTGACGAATAGGTCACAGGCTAGGTGTCTCAAAGTGACAGGCAGAACGAAGTCATTGCAGGAACTGAAGTTATGGTTTTCGACGATCTGAACATCATATCCTATCGCTATAATCATCTACTTCACACACACACTCATCATATCCTATCGCTATATATAATCATCTACTTCACACCTATTTACGTCACACTCAGCCACAGTGGCCACAGAGTCTTCTTTTGTTCTCCTTCCCATCCTTGTTCCTCTCCTCCTCTAAGTCTCCACGAAATGAACCACCTGGCTCGGGAAATGGAGACTGCGCATCCAGTAGACAAACGCGCCTATGCGCCGCTTCCAAAACCGCTTCTGACTAATCCTGAATACCAGATTCTTAGGGAAAAACACTTGACCACGAGGAACAACCATGTGGCAGCGAACAACTTTGGAGCTGGCGGTATGTCTCCGCCACGCCTGTTGACTAGAGCAGACCGACAAGTAGCCGCATTCCAGATGGCGGCGGCGAATATACTGGCGACTGGAGGGGTATACGGCGCGATGGGGCCACCAAGGCAGAGACGGAGTAGCGAGATCATGGCTGCGACGAAAAAGGGAAACAATGGAGGTGCTCCAATGCGATCACGGTCACATTCTTTCTCGAGCTAATGGTAATCGACGGGCGAGGAGAACGTTGTAAGCACTTTGAGCTGCAAAATATGCTGAGCTTATGTAAGATTATTCACAACATTATCATTCACCACCACAACATGCTTAACAACAACATGTGAAAATGTACCCAAAATTTCGCGATCATATATAATATTATGTTGAAATGTAAATGTTTTCACGAGCTTGTTGAGCGTAATTCTGATCAGAGCAAAATTGTCATCTTCCACTATTATTTGATTAACTTCTTCTTGGCAAAACGAGACCACATAGGTACGCAGAAAGCATCATTAGCATCTTCACGAAAAACGAAAAAGAAAAGAACTACATTCAACAGAAAAATCACATTAATACGCGCACGCTGTACAGTTGGCTCAAAGCTCGAGACTTTTTTGGCTAAAAACATGGTAGGACTAGGATGAGCTTAACAAATTGACTTCGGAAGTTAGGACTTACCAAAAAAACAATGTATCGAACACAAAATCTACGAATCAATTATATTATGTATCAACCTGCACAGTTGTAGAAGATGAACGATTACGATCAACATTAACCACCTAGACACTACTCAGTCCGATGAACAGTACAGCTAGTACAACTCACAAACTATTCTTGAAACTCAAAATTAATCGTATGTAATTCTGTCATTCATCACTTGAAAGCCTTCCCGGCTGGTCACCGGGGTCCCATAGGGACAACACTACCGCGCGAAACATCGAAAGATGACCTGCGCACTCCGATGCCCTTGACGGGTCGGGGCATGGCTACCTCCTCTACGCTTACTGGTGGAACGGTATGGTTGCGAGCTGTCTGGCGCCGCTTTCCTTCGCAGGGAACTCGCTCCTGTCGGAGGACTGCGAGGCGATGCCCTTCCCCCCCTCCCTAACCGGGAGGGTCTCCACTGGAGCAACGCCTTGGCAAGGGGCTCCCGCGGGGCAGGCGTGGCGGTCTCGTCCAGCGACGACCTCTTCGGGGACGGTCGGGTCCTGGTGGCGTCTAGGTTTTCCGGCCCTTTGGTGGTGCTCCGCTGGCGCCTTGCCTTCGCTGCTTTGGCTCTTCTTTTTGGCGGTTTTACCTCTCTGCTATTTCTGCGGGACTGTGGGTTGCGGTCAGTGATGCATTGGCTTTTCGGAAACAATACGAGCGAGCGGCGGCACTGTGCAGGAGTGCCGCCGCTTCCTTCCCGCGCACCTGGTAAGTGCTGGCCTGCTGCTGTCGTTGAGCTCTCGCTCCATACTACGACGCGGCTCGCCGCGGGGAGGTCCGGCGCTTTGGGGCTGCCTTGGCGCGGCGCGCCGGCTTCCGACTAAATGCCCCCGACGATGCTTCCCTGCTGTCTTCACCGCTGCACCTGCTTACCCTTTTTCGGTGTTGGTTCGAGGTCTCAGGCTTCTTCTTACTTACCATGACGGCACCGGCAAACGCACCCGGACCGCGGCGCCTCTTGTTAGGACTCTCCTGCATTTGCCTAGCGCGTCGTTGTGCTTCAGATTCCGCCCACCGGGCCGTCTGTAGGTCTGTGGATAACCGTCTATCCTTCTCCTAATAATAATCACTTGAAAGCCTTGAACATCTATCGATATCTTTTCACGTTTCACAGACGCTTGCCGATACCATCTTCACCAGCATTCGGAATACAAAGTCAAGATGAGCTTCTACTTGGAAAAACAGGACTAAATGTACAGTACTGATATGAAACCTACCTTCCCCCGTGCTAATTTTGCCCACCCCGACCATGATAACCAAAAACGCTTCTTCATCGCTGAACCAAACAACTTTAATGATGTCATCGACAATACGCTGACTTTTCAGCGCACATTTAGTACTCTGTCTAATGTAATAAAAATTCTCCACAATCCCGTGCATTGTGCGCGTGGCTACGGCGGGGAACCCCTGAATCCTTAACCCCGAGCAGCCAGCAGCGTGATGGAGATCGTTCCAGCAGAGAGAGTGAGAGTCGCCAGATGAAAATCCTCGTGAGCGACAGCGTCCATCCTATGATTGAGAATAGGAGATGCTCTGCGCTTCATGTCGCTGTGCTCCTCTTGCAAGAATATCAAATCAATAATGGACAGCTCGGGAGATCTTGTTCTCCCACATACTTACATACTATAGAAGCTTTCAGTTTGTTTTTATCTGCTTGGGTTACCTGCCGATGCACTCCAATTGTTCTAAAAGATAGTATGAAAAACAATTCTTCTACCATTCCGTGTCTACCGGGTTCGCCGAAAACCAAAAAAAATTTTTTTAATTAACTATTTAACTACATATATATTTAAGACCTATATATTAGTATTAACGCGCGCGCGAGCAAGGCACGAGACGCTAGTCGCTAGGCATCGGAAAGCAGAGCAGGCAAGGCAAGTAGCGCAGGCTAGCAGAGGACGCCCCTTTCACCCTTCCCCTACCCTATTCCACACACTGAAGAGCTTTTTTGCTACTGATGACCCGACCCGGGTCATCGGAAACGCCAGTCTCTTCAGTGTGTGGAATAGTCTAAATCTAATCTAACCCTTAGCTTTAGCAACCCCAGGCAGAACATCAGATGCGGCAGGCAACGGACAGAAGCTTCGCGGGCAGAAATACGCACGCACGCTACGCGCGCACGCGCGAGGAAGAGCGCCCTAAACTATCTACTTTAAATAGCTAGTTAAAAAAAAAAAAATAGGTTTCGGCGGACCCGGTAGACGCGTTTTGGTAGGCAAATTGTTTTCCATAGATAGAGATACTGAAATCATAATCAAAAATTCAAATTGATCTAAGGCAGTCTGCACTGTATTTGATGCGAGATAAGTTGTATTGTATCTATTGCAACAACATTAATAGATTTCTTGAAACTAATCCATCATCATCAAGATGATCTAACCTAACCTAACCTGATGTGAAGACATCTTCCTCACCTAACCTCATAACATAAGCTTAACCTCCTACCTTCCTAACGCTAACCTTCTTAAGAACGCTAACATAAGTAAGCTTAACCTGAGGAACCTAACCTAACCTCCATCATCATCAAGATGACGTCGTCCATCCCATGGGTTTCGCCTCTTCGTGCTTTATTTCCACGTTCTTGCATTGCGAGGAACATGTTCGTCTTCTTGCTGTTTGCTTTCTCCGGATTCAACACGTTCTTGGATTTTTGTGTGGGCACGAGACGAGGCAGACTGTCTTCAAAGTCCTCTGGATCGGGATCACAGGCAGCACAGGATGCACAACAAGTTGAAGGTACATTCGGAGGTGAATCTTCTGGATCATCTGCCGCAGCAGCTCCTACATCAACGACTCCGATAGCCAAAGGATCATGGAGGCCAAAATTTCCAGTACCTACCTCGGCTGAGCCAGCAACTGCTACAGGTACAACAGGTGAAGCATCTGCATCTGGCTCTGCTACTGCCTCTCTCGCTTCATCATCTGTACCATCTACTAGTACTTCTAGGGTGGGACCACCTCCTCGCTTGACGGCTGCTGGATTTGGGTATAACTACAAGGAATGGCATCCGGAGGATAAGACATCCGGCGTGCGTTCAGGAGCAGAGTGGCGGAAATTATGGACAACGAACTATAAGTACTCGAATACTCAAAATAAGCGAGTTACTGACTGAAATAAAAGAGAGTCTTGTCTACATTCCTCGTCTTTCAGTATCTCTCTTATTTTAAGTAGTTACTCCCTGTCGCTTATTTCAGTTTCTCGAATAGATAAAAGAGAAACTGAAACTGAAAGACGCCCACCACGTCTTAGAAGAGTATCTTCGGCAATATGGAGAAAAAATACTAGTCCTAGAACTTTGTAAAATACCTCGATGCCATAGGGAGCTACTTAGGAGAGACCACACAAGACAAGTGCTGCCACCCCAGGCGCATAAGGCCCGCCAGGGTGTGCGCTGGCCGTCTGGGTGCGACACCTACTTTGACCCACTATTACTTTTTTTTTCACAAGGCTAAAAATCCAGCATCTTCGGCAAGCAGACGCCCCGCCCCCCCCCCGTGTCCCCCACCTAGGATCTGGGGGGTGGGACGCCAAGGGCTGACACGCATGTGGGGCGTTTCGACTACTTATACTAAAGGCTGATTTGTCCTGATCATACTACTTCCGAGGACTACTCTCCTTATTACTAATACAAATACATAGATCATGTGACTAATTAACCGTGGTTCCACGACCTTGGACTACTGTTATACCTTCATTTTGAAATGTTGAACCGGCTGTTTTTTTTTTGATTTTGGGTCCGTCTAATCCAGCATCTTCGGCAAGGACAGGGAAAGGGGAAGAGTAGGAGAGCTCGTGGCGAGGGTGCAACTACAGGTGGTGGAGAGCATCACATTGGCAGCATGGCATCTTCAAATTTAAATGCCGGTTTGCCAAGCACGCACTTTTCTTCAGATTGGCTTGCTGATGCTCCAGCTGTCTTTTCCTCTTCTACAACCTCAGTTTTAGAACCTCAAGAGCCTGTGAGAGCGACCTATGCTTCCATCGTTGCCGCTGGGAGTAGCCGTGCTTCTTCAGTAGGAAGTGGAGGAACTGGAGTGGTTAGTATCGGCACTACAGGAACAGGTACTAGTACTACATGCAAAGGTAGCGGAAAAACAACAGGTGCTGCAGGCGAAGTAGAAGGACGCAAGGGATCACGAAAAGGACAAGACGATACGGAGGATCGACCTCCTGCATGTCATAAATCTTGGGACACTCCGTACGTCACCCGGCCCCCGGGGATTTTTACTTAAGGCAAACACGTTTCTATACGGAAGGTGTAAAGCGACACCTGGTGACCGCTACTGCAATGAGAAAAGGGAAAAGCTTCTTTCTGTCAGTGTCACCAATACCTCTGCAACTGGAACTGCTAGTTGTGCATTGTCATCGCTAATCATAACTCTACATATACTTTCTTCTCAACGCTTTTGCGAAAATGTTGATGAATTTACACTTCTGGTGCATGAACTACATGATGATCATCTGCCTTATTTTATTCTACTTTTAGTTCTTCTAAAACACGCCACCAAGAGCTGCAGGTGGAAGTAACCCGTCAAAAGAGTCGACTTTTACTGCTTCTAGTAGCAAGCAGGGTTGCAAGGGTGAAGGAAAAAGGAAAAGCAGCGGTTTGAAGGGTGACGCAACACCAACACCAAGTTGCGCATCCTCGTCTTTACGTGGTGGTGGTGGTGGTGGTCACGAACATGAAGGTCATCACCAGCCTCAGCAAGTAGCTAATTTTCAACAACGACATGTAACAGATAAGGGCCATCGTGAAGAAAATAAAAGAATGAAAGCTGCAAACAAGAATCAATTGCGATCTAGTACTAGTACTTCCGCGGCTTCTACTACTCTTTCGAGCTACAGAGGACCTTGTTCTAGCACTAGTAGTTCCATGATGAATTTCAATGCCTCCATTTCGGAACCAGGACCAACCTATCACTACCACGCAGGTGGCCCAATCGTTACTACTGGTGGTGGCAGTCAAAGTTTGGGCATTGCGCCGCCGGCGTCTTTTCAACTTCAACACTGGCAACAGGGTGGGCCAGGAGTCACAGGACCACCTGCAGGAAGTGTGAGTGGAGGTCAGCCAGCAGGTCCTCTTCCCTACTTTGCTCAACCCAACAAGGTAACACCTAATATACAAGAATTATCAACATCAAGCACGGGTCTTCATCTTCAACAAGGAGCAGGGCAGCAGTCAGGAGATGAAAATAGACAACGTGATGTCTATGGATATGTATATGTATATGGTCCTTGGATGACACCAGGTGGAGGATGCCAGGTTTACGCAGGCTCGACAGAAGGGAATGTCGTCGCTGCAGGTGGAGGACGCCAGGTTTACGCAGGCTCGACAGAAGCCAATGTCGTCGCTGCAGGTGGAGGATGCCAGGTTTACGCAGGCTCGACAGAAGCCAATGTCTCTCAACCTCAGGAGGGGGGTCAGGGAGGTGAAAATAGACAACATGTGGAAGAAGGAGGTTATCACGACACTCAAGGTGCTCTTTATGGGCCACCTGCTGCTCTAGCACCATCGCCTGTACTAGTACAGCTCCCTCAAGCTCAACAAGCAATTTCGCCACGAGGAGAACAACCAGCTCTAACATCAGGTTTAGCACAAGTAGAAGAGCACTCCCACGTCACTCATTATGTTAAGAATGTTTCACTTGCAATCCAACAAGCCTTTTTAGCCTCGGACCGTGCAAAGAGGGTGCGCGCACGTGAGCTGGAACGACAATATATTGAATCGCACAGTCGTACAACTACAACTACTGGTTCTGGTGCTCCTGGTCCTGGTCGTCGACAAGGAGAAACACATCAAGGAAAAGGACACCAAGGAAAAACACATCAAGGAAAAACACATCAAGGAAAAGGACCTCAAGGAAAAGGTTGTGGTGGAGTCGTCTTCTGTCCTGGAGAACAAGGACATGAGGCAACTACAACTACCCCAACTTCCAGTTACAACCAAGATCATGATAATTTCTGTGGACAGCATGATCATTAAGGCTTGTTACCCTAATGCATCTTCTGAACAAGCATGTTGATTTCAGACCTGTGGTCCCATGTCCCATGAAGATAAGGGGGAATGGAAAATAGGTCCAAGATGACTCGTGGTCCCGATATGGATTAGGGTGAAGAGTCCTAAGATCAAGCACAAAATACGTGGAGGGCGCACTTGGCGCGATACCTTCAGGATACTTTGGAGAGGGCTGGGGCTTCACCTACAAGGGCCGGTCCAGTCGAAGAGGTCGCGGCGGCGTTTGAATATTCGATTAAGCGGCCCAAAAAACAACTACAATTACTTACAGTTACAATCACCCGACGCAGATCTGCATAATCTGTCTTTGATTGTATGCTTTTGGTATTTGGTAACCTGAATTTGATGACAAGGATTCCCATCTTGTTTTCCTTATGATCAAAATCAGGCTAACAAATACTAGAGCCATTCATTGAGTGACTTTCTGGATATTTTTTCCAAGGTTGTTGAGGCGGAAGCGCAAGATGCTCGTCTACTACTAATATCTCTAATACCAGCAATGCCGTTCCACCTGTCGATTATGCTAACACCATGAGCGCGATGGATATGAATGTAAGAAGTAGACGCGAAAGATTCAGAAACTCACCAACGTTTCAACCTTTTACCGCATCTCCGTCTGTGTCACCAGAAGCCAGCCTCGCAGGGTCGTCTCCTTCCGGGCTGCATCAACAAGGTTCCCCTCCATCCTGGCCGCAACATGGTTCCTCTCCCTCACCGTCCTGGCCGCAACATGGTTCCTCTCCCTCCTGGCCGCAACATGGTTCCTCTCCCTCACCCTCCTGGCCGCAACATGGTTCCTCTCCCTCCTGGCCGCTACATGGTTCCTCTCCCTCACCCTCCTGGCCGCAACATGGTTCCTCCCCCTCCTGGCCGCAGCATGGTTCCTCTCCCTCCTGGCCGCAACATGGTTCCTCTCCCTCCTGGCCGCAACATAGTTCCTCTCCCTCCTGGCCGCAACGAGATCCAAGCAGGCAAGGTTATCAACAGCATGTTCAAGTTCATGGTGTCCAGCAAGAAGATGTTGTCGGACTCGGACAGCAGGCAGACCAGGAAACCTTTTACAACTACAACGCAACTGCGAGACGTTCTTCCGCACGTCACGGTCTTGCGACATCTGATGTCGCTAGTGCAGAAGGTAGTTCTCAATTTGGTTTTGGTAGTGCAGGAGAAGGCGGTGGCCGCGTTATCCAGGACGTAGATGCAGCATACACTTCAATGCAGCATTAAGGCTGTTTTGACTGTACTTGTTGCATCTAATAAAAATAAAAGCAACAAGTAGAACTACAAGAGCGGGAACAGGAATGGGAATCATGTGTGTATCATAATTTTGGTTCTGTACTTTCTCATATAGAGAAGACCATGCTGGTCGTGAGAAGATAAGTGGGATCAAGGAGGCTAAGAATTATACCTTGTGCCGTATCTCAATCTCTCTTCTAAAGTTAGCAATATATAAATAGGAGTCGTCCGCTTGCTCACCAAAATGCGGGTCGAACACCGTATCTGAGAGCTGTTGGAGGAGGTGCAACTGGGGGAGTAGGAGGTCTTTGTTTGCCACAGGATGTTGAGCAGGAGATGAGTCAGAGTGCTCCAGTTGATGTACAACTCTCTCCCGCAGCGGCCGCAAATGGAGGACAGGCAGCACAAGAGACACAACGTGGACATCAGTTCGAACAGGAGGATGCTGTTTCGCAAGCACGTCTTGCAGCATCTGCTCCGACCTTGAACACTAACAGACGAGATGATGAGAGCCCCCTCCATCTACCGACACGCACACGCGCCACCTCGTCTCCAGCAGTTGTTTCTCGTGCTGGTGAACAACGCCGTGAACAGCGAGCGAACTCCTTGAGCAACCAGGAAGATCCACCTGAAGGTGGAACTCATATGCCAGACAGTAGTTACTACAAATACTTGGCAACCTCAATGGACTTCCTCGCCAGTAAACTTCCACGTAGGCCAGCGTCGGCGCCATGTCTTGGACGCAATACTAGTGCGAGCAGTAGTAGTGCTAATGAGGCACTGGAGGATCAATATGTGGACCAACAGAATCAACAGATGAGACTGAGTACAGAAGCGCTCGAACAGCACCAGGATGTTCAGTTTACGCCTCTATGCAGTGGCTCCTGTGTCTCTGATGAAGAGCAGCCGCAAGAATTCGAGTCTTTTCGTCTAGGACAAGATCCTGATGATGTAACGCGAGGACCCGAGTATGAGGAGGGGACGACCACAGGCACAGAGGCGGAGCCTCAGCTATATCCCGCAGAACAACAGCAAGGTCCAGATGATTATGAACCACACGAGGACGCACACGTATCTTCGATGGAACAGCAGCAAGGCCGCCAGGAAGTTAGTACTTTTTCGTCCCAAGCAGGACTACAACGTGCAGAACAAGGCAACTGTTCCCCTGATTCAGCGACAAATGTTGCAGCGCTCACTCCTTCTTTCAGCGCTCATTCTAGCGAAGACAGACATTCAAAATCTTATACCACGGAAGAAGGGGCTCGGGCTGGAGAAGAGTGCTTTCCCTCTAGACCTGCATCCGGTGATGGTGGTGGTCCACCTGGTGCTGCTGGCGTCGTAGACAGTTCAAGACGAGATCGAGAGGAGCCACCTCCTATCGAAGTAGACGGTCCTGAGGTTGTTGAGATGGAACTTCGGGTGTTGGAAGTGCCACCAGAATCCTCTTCGTCTTCGGGTTCGAGACAGTTAAGGCAGCTGCTTTTTCTTTATTGTTTGGGCAGAAGTAATAGTAAGCAGCATCTCTATTTACCTCTCTATTGACCTCTCGCTTACCGTACTCTATGCGGATGCACTTACTGAAAAATGCTGTAGTATTCATTGCAAGTCGTTCCCTAAAAAGTCCCACGATCTCTGCCTCTAACAAGAGGCTCCTCATCTTCTGGAAGTGGAGGACGACCACAACTGTTGCATCCTATGCCAGTGCGACAGAGTTCTTCCTGGTCTGAGGAGCAACTAGAGAACAAAAAACAGGAAAGTATTTCTAGTGTGCCATCATCTCCTGGGTCTGATACAGCTGGTTATGTTGTTGCTCCTGGTCCTGGTGGTGGTGCTCATGTGGGTAAGGGTATTGGTCCTGGTCGTGGTGGTGATGCTGGTAGTGCAAGCCCGCCGAGTACTAGCGCAGTTTTGGCAGCAGAGCAACAGGTTCTTGGCGATCAGGAAAACGCATTGGTTGTGAAAGATGGACATGAAGACCACGAGGATGGAGTTGGGAGGATTGAACACGAAGCAGAGCCACAGCTGCATGGTGATGTATCGATGAGCCCGTCACCTCCACCGCATCAAGACCCTGATGTCATACTGCCTTCTCGATCTCGTTCTACTTTTTCGAGTAGCTCCGATTCTCCACTTGCTACCGCGAGTGTTCCTAGACGCCCTGCTTCGACACCTGGTCATGGCTACAGCTCTTATGCAGCATCTTCTTCGAGTTCCGACGCTGACAATCATGATGGTCGAGACGATGAGCATGGGGACGAGTTCAATATCATAAGCCACCCTCTTACGAGCGGTAAAAGAAGTGCGCGTAGGAATAAGACGCTTCTGCCTGTACCATCAGAGTTGTCTGCGATCCATGACGAATCTCCAGCCGCATCATCCATTGCAGCTACGCCATCAGTGCTTTGGCCCTCAACCACTGTGGGCGCGTCTACGCTTACTCTTGCAACTGGTTTTGATGAACAGGTTGTGGACCGAGTTGGACATGGACAAGATGAGGCGGAAAGATTCTTAGCTGTTGCTAACAACACTGCTGAAGAAGCTCCAACGGATAGCAATGGGGATCTTCAGAGTCAGCAAGGTATTGTACCCACAACAGCAGCGACAGACCTTGGTGTACAACAGCGACCACAAGCTTCAACTTCGAGTGCGTCGTGTCCGCCTGTAGTGCCTGTCTTCAATCAAGTACAATTGCCTCCCGAACAAGTAATTCAGCTTGAACCAGTGCAAAGTCGAGACTACGGTATTCACCAGAACCCCTACAATTTTGGCGTTACTGGACCTACAGGAGTGGCTTTGCCACCAGCGATGTATACTGGAATCGGAATGCGTCCTGCAGCTGCATATTATGTGCCACAGCAACTGCAAGTGCAACCTGCTCAACAGCCACCCCTAGAGCCATGGGAGCAAGGTGCAACAGCATATCTGCTTCAACTGCATGAGCAGCACAAGATTATGCAGCAACAACAACAGCAGGCGGTGTTGGTGCAGCAGCAACAATGTCAAATGCAACAACAAATGCAGCAGGCTCAACAGGCAGCGCAAATGCAACAGGTAACGCAATCCGAACAAGCTGCCCCGCAGCAACAAATGCAGCAGGTAATGCAACAACAGCAGATGCAGCAGTCTATCCAGGCGCAACAAACAGCTACGCAACAGGCTCACATGCAACAGGCGGCACAAATGCAACAGGCTGCCCAGTTGCAGCAGGCACTGCAGGCGCGACAAATGCAGCAGGCACTCCAGCACATGCAGGCAATGGCTGCGTGGCAGCAGGCTGCAGCAGCAAAGCAAGGCGCACTCGTTGGTCGTCCCGACGACCAAAATCGAATGTGGACTCGAAGAAGAGAAAGAGATGGCCGCCATGGTGGGAGTAAATCGTTGGGCGCTGCAGTCGGAGGTCATAGTGGTCATACTGGTGCTGCAATAGAAGGTCACAAAGGTCCTACTGTTAAGGGTAGGTTAAAGGTGCTTTTCTTACCGCTTTTTATGCCTCTCCTAAGGGAGAAAGGCATAAAAAGCGGGGTAAGCAAGCACCAAAAACCTACCTCTAATACTGGTCACAAGGGTGGCGCCTTCGTATTTCCTGGTCCTCCGTATCAGGCCGGTCCAATAGGAGCAGGTCCTCCGCGTGCAGCCAGCGCTTCTGCAGCAGACAACAATGACATTTTTGCTAGAGCCTCCGCGTACATCGCAGAAGTCAGGTCGAAGAAGGGTGAACGCGAAGGTAAGGGGAGTGATAAGAAGAAGCGCAGCAAAGAAGGACGTAGAAGTAGATCAGCTGGGAATAAACTAGATGTTTCTCAACTGATCAGCATGCTCGAACAGCGAATGGCAACCACCTTTGTCAGTTCATCGGGCATCCCGATTCCGAGTCCAACCTTGACGTTGCCGCCAGGCTTGTCAGCGAGAACAGTGCTGCAACAGTGGGCCTCTTATTCGCCAGCCTTGTGGAAAATGAACGCTTGGTCCTACAACCATCCAAACGGCGATAAATCGGAGTATACGCCAGAAAATCCGTGCCATTTTCACTTGCAATGGGGTGCCCGACAGGAGGAACACACAGACATGATCACCGCGATTCTGACTGTGATTGACGATGCATATGTTGAAGCAGCGTGGAAAGCATGGAAAGTAGAACAGATTGAGCAACAAGAACAGCAAGTGTTGGTTCATCTCGGGTCCTCTTCGTCTAGAAGTACATCCAATTTCGGATTGTTGTCACCTGGAGCTTCCCCGATCGGAGGTGGTTTGCGTGCTTTTCAGTCTGGGAACACTGGCAATAGTACGAATGCTCCATTAAAATCTATTATGGGAAGAACGGCATCAAGTCCTTCATCTGGAGATGCACAAGGAGGTCTCGGCGTAGCTGGTGTAGGTGGGGAAGAACGAATTGCTGGAGCAGAAGTCGCTTCAGGCAGTACAACACGCAGTGGGCGTGGTCGCAGTCGAAGCCCGTCGTTTTTGCCTTCCTCGAGAAGCAAAAAACCTAGTTCAACGAAAACCCTAGCTTCAACTTTCCACCAAGAAGGGTCTGCAGGAGCAGAGGCGAGCTTTTTCACGTTCGGAGAAAAGCGTCTACAGCCGCTTCCTGAACAAGGTGTAGATGCTGGCGAAGCCTCAGCAGTGATAGCGGAAGAGGAACCTGCAGAACCCGTTTTGCGGTCCTCGAGAACGGGTGTCCGGCAACTGGCGCTTTCTCCATCTACATCACCCTCTCCGCCTCCAGGGGAGTCAACGGAAATGGGCCATCGATCAAGTGCTTTGAGACTGAGCCCACTGGGAGCGTCAAGTGCTGGAGGTTACTCGCCTATGCCGGAGGAAGAGGACGGGGAGGGAGATGAAACTGGAAAAAACAACAACAATACAACGGGTGCTAGTACGAGGGTAATGAATAGTACAACAGCAGTTGATGTTGAAGAGAGCAACAAGAATATAGAAGTAGTGTCACTACTTCCCATTATTTCCTCAGAGAGGAGTATGTCTGCACGAGCAAACAGATTTTCAAGTGAGGTACTAGTAGAAGTAGACGAACCAGCAGCACCACCACCCACTACCAGCCAAAGTGCTGGAGTGGTGCTTGTCGTGGAGAATGCAGATGGGAAAAATGTTGTCTCTTCTAGTGCAGGTCCCAGGCCGCTTGGATCTTCTGGGGAACCATCTCCTCTACCAAGTGCAGTTGGCAGTGATGAGGCAGCTCCTTCCCGCACATCCGATGAGCACGTACGTCGAGGTCTGCAGAGAAGTGCTGATGTTGGATTACGAACTTCTGGCACCTCACAACTACAGGTTTCTCGTTCAGCTCTTGGCCTGTCGGCATCACGGTTATCGATGTCTCGTGGCAGTGGGTTGACTCAAAGCAGTCGTCTATTGCATAGCAGTTCTCGTTTACTGAATCGAAGCGGACTGAAACTGCAAGATCTAGACGTTACATCGGCTGAGGCGAAATCCTCGAAGATGACGAAAGACAAGGAGAGGGGGCGACAACGGCTTTTTGATGGTGTGCAGGGGGATCAACTGGATGAGTCTTCGACTGGACCACAGGCAAAAGATGTAGTTGTAGTGCATGATGATAGTGCACCAGCAGCACAAGACGAACAGGCCGCGCAGGAGGTAGATGATAATGAAGGAGAAGCCGCGTCTCCCACTGCACCAGAGGACGATGATCAAGACGATGATGAAGAGGAGTTGGATTTTCCGTCTTCTCTGCCCATACCGCCGGCTCCACGTGGGCACGGTGGCGGACTGTTGCGTCTAGTATCTGCTCAAGACGACAGGGAAGATGTCTTCAACTTAATAGGCGATGACAGCATGCTGAATGGTACAACAACTACGAACGCGGGAGCAGGCGTTGACGATCTTCACTTGTTTCAAGAAGGTCTTTATAGTGGAGAACGAGAGCCACAACGTGGAGGAGATGAAGCACTGCTGCGCAATGAAAAAGACCACGCAGAAGGAGAGGGCTCGGATCGTGTAGTCAGGCCACGGGTGAATCGGTTTCATCTTCCTCCAGAAGTGTTTGCTGCTGCAGAAAACGTCGACGAGATCCAGAAAGCACTGGAAGGGTTACATGTGGGAGGCGAAAACCCAAATACTATTACCCAAGAAGAAGAAGAAGAGCTGCATCAACAAGCACCAAGAGGGGAAACGCCCACCACTAAAATTGTAGATGGAGAAGCAGATGGAGATGGAGGAGCTGCTTCATCATCTTCGAAAAAGAGCTCTGGCCACGTGGACATCAAAGGAGACAACAGCAACAGCAATACTTCTAGCCGAAGGAAATCGTCATCTGCTGATGCTGCGTCGAATCGGCATTCAGTATCTGTAAAGCCTCGATGGGCGGATGTCGCGGAAGATGGAGAAGGCTCCTCGGGACGGAGCCAGCAATATTTATTCGACAACTCCTCGTTTTACAACTATGGAACCGCAGGAGCAGGAAACGGATTGGCTAGTCGTTCTGGAGGAAGGGAAGTAAGCACCGCAGGCGCAGCAGGGGTATCCCAAGTAGTGCAAGGAAACAGTACAGCGGCGCGCGCATTCAGCGCATCGGCTGTTGAGCAGCGTCGACAGGAGCAGTTATGAAGATGCGCTCTGCTAGATGTAGAACACAGGTACAACCCCTGCTGCCAAAAAAGGTGCATGATACAGCTCGACCTATCATTGCAAGCGCGCATATTTTTATCATTTTATCTACAACATGTAATCAGATTTCACCAGAGTAAGCTAGTTGTTCTAATTCAAGTCCGCCTGGAAGCGCGCAAGCTACGTACCGATATGGAGAAAGAAATGCTTCGTACGCGGTTCGAGAGCGAACAAGAGGAAGCTGGAAAACATCTTCTTCATTCACTGTGCGGTCCGGCGCGCATTGCCCAAGGTGGAGATCATAGTAGAAGGTGGATAGAAGCGTTGCTCGGGCGAGCAAATCCTACTTGGCGAGACAAAGCGACCTTCATGAATCTCGGGATGTGCCCAGCCGCATATGCGGTTCGACAGAGACAAGCCGCGGCCTCGACCGGACCAACAAATCAGACGGTGCAAAATACTACTATTAAGCAGAAAGAAGATCACAACATCGCCAGCTCATCTCCAAGTTCATCTGGTCCGACGCCTGAAGGCGGACGTGGAAAGAAGAATCCGCTAGCTGAACAAATAGAGGCCGCGAAACGCAGGAAGGTCACTACAGCCTCCGGAATTGCTGCCGCCTCCTCTCCGGACGACGGTGAACAGCGGCAGCCCCAGACTGGTGTCAGTGCTCAAAACGCATCCACAGCTACTACAACTAGCTCTAAAATGTCTAGTGCCACTTCTTCTCAGCATCTTCCTCTCCCATCTTGGCAGCACACAATCCACCCACACCTGATGAGTGGAGCGACTAGAAATTTCTTCTACCCATCGGAGTCGGACGTCTATCACGCGTCACTTCGGGGTTTGGATGCCAGTGCATGGGCGGTCGCAATGGGTGCGGATTCGTATCCGATTCCGTGTTGTAAACGAAACTACGACATTTGCCACGGAAACGTCAATGAGTTGGTACGCGACGAAGTTGAACAATGCATAGCAGTGCTGTATGCGAACGAGCTCAACGCGATGATGCTGACTGGTCAAGTGCAGATGCAGAGGCCGTCGTTGTAGGACGAGGAAGTAGGTGGACGGCGAGAACCTTCGTTGGATCAAATATACGATTTACGAGCATCGAAACATTGACAAAGCTGGTGAGAACGACTATGACAACAGGAAATGACGCTGTGAGCGTATTTCAGTCCCAAAGTTTCTTTTTTCTTTTAATGTTGGAGAATTTATTTAGAATTTTTCAAACCACTGCTTAACGTGCTACTCCCACGTCGGCAAGTATGTTTTTGTCACCTTTTGGGGGAACATCATGGGAATGGCTGATGGTTTGCGAAACTGCAAAAGAAGTTCTCGCACTCGAAACGTCTGCCAGCTTTTAAGACAGGGAGTTAGCCGACAGGGTGGCCAGGAAGTCAATTTTGACGTAAGCTTCACGTTGGAAAGTAGGAAAGAACGGGAAAGTAGGAGAGAACGTAGTGTTCTGCTCACACTGACTGAGTTCTTTGCTGCGTCGAAAAGCGAAGTTTTAGTCAACACAGACATCATCAATATGATCGGCCTCCGTACTAGCTTTCATCCACCTTTGTCGTTTTAGGTGATGTTCATGTTATCGTTGACAGTGGCCATGGGTGTGGTTTTAAGTAATCATTTTGTCATCCAGATCATATTTTTCTATCTGCATGGCTTGTTACGTCACACTCAAACTCATAACCAGCGCTTGTCAAACAGGCGCTTGTGGGGAGTTTTGCCTCCCTGCTTTCGTTTGCAGTGAAGCACTGGCACCAGAATCACATCTAAGTAGCCACGACTTGGTATTAAAACCTGACGAGAATATGGTGGTTGATGTAGGAAGACAGGGAGCTGACCGCTTAGCTCGATTTCTTTCTGTGAAATGCACATGATCAGCAATCATCTTTTTCGAGAATCTATAATTAGAATCATCTTCTACACCACACTCACATAGAGAAAGTTGAAAAATAGAAATCAATGAAGTGTCTCTGTGTAGCTGTTTACACCCAGCCTGCGAAAAGTACGAAAACTACAGCAAGTTCTAGGCTCTGCGAATAGTAGCAAGTTCTGAATTCTAGGCTCGGACCATTTTTTGTTTGTTGTAAGGAAAATATCAGTACTTCGGTATTCCTCGGGCCATCTTATTATGATTAGAAACTGGTCTTCATCCACCCGGTAAGGGCCGACCTTGAGATGGAGTGGTCGTGACCATGCAATTTTGAGGAGAATGTGGCTGGAAAGGTCAATGGCATTGCTAAATGCAAACTAGGCCAGCACAAGGAACGACAGTGAGCCCAGAGTAGAGACACTGGTTATACATGTAGTATGCGCTCTTTGGAATGTTCCCTTAAGTTTCTGCTCAATCCGGGATGTTCATTTTGAAGGGCGAAAACACAGAGCTGTGGTTGTGCAATACTAAGATCCAAATGTCAAGAGGTCCGCAATTCCTAAAAAAGAATTCGTTGTGATTCTGTGGTCCAAGAGGCCTGTAGCTGTAAATCTACTACAATGAAGATCTTTTGGTGATGACCTGCGAGACCACAGCGATGTACAGTGGGATCAGAAATTCTCTCGCTAACGATGATCCATGTTTCCGATTGCTTCTAATTTTCTAAAGAATGTTCGGTTTCCTTTGTAGCGGCATGTCTGAAAATTTGACTCCAATCGCTACTAAAAAGACCTTTCATCCGAATACCTTCTGTTGTTCATGTACTTGTGCAACCTGCATCAACATCTCCAACATCCTTCTATCAAGAAGATTCAATCTTTCTTTTCCTATCTAAAATATAAACAGGGACCTAAGCGCGTACTTCGTGTACTAGCCTATCGTAAGTGAGTAGCTTGCTACATCGCCAAAACAAACAAGATGACCGAGGGAAAGGAGCATTTGTCGATCGTGATCTGCGGTCACGTCGATTCCGGTAAGTCGACCACCACCGGTCACTTGCTCTTCGAGTTGGGTGGTATTCCGGAACGTGAGTTGGAAAAGCTGAAGGCTGAGGCTGACCGTCTCGGAAAGTCTTCCTTCGCTTTCGCCTTCTACATGGACCGACAGAAGGAGGAGCGTGAGCGTGGTGTGACCATCTCCGTCACCACCAAGGAGTTCTTCACGGAGAAGTGGCACTACACCATCATCGATGCTCCGGGTCACCGCGATTTCATTAAGAACATGATTACCGGTGCCTCCCAGGCCGATGTCGCTCTCATCATGGTCCCGGCTGATGGTACCATTTCTAGCTTCGCATGGCTATATACTTTCGAAAATCTAAATTACTTTTCTCATCGCAGTCGCCGATTCATAGCTTGCTGTAGCATCTTCGGGAGTCTTAAATGGTGTGAGACTCAGACTTAGTTCAGATTTGGGTTGTCATCTGCACGCTGCGTATTACAATTTTACACAAAATGGTAGGCGCAACTGTCAACAAAAATCACAGGTAACTTTACCACCGCCATCCAGCGTGGTAACCACAAGGCTGGTGAGATCCAGGGTCAGACCCGTCAGCACTCCCGTCTTATCAACTTGTTGGGCGTCAAGCAGATCATCATTGGTATCAACAAGATGGATTGCGACACCGCTGGTTACAAGCAGACCCGTTATGACGAGATCGCCAACGAGATGCGTAACATGTTGGCCAAGGTCGGATGGAAGAAGGACTTCCTCGAGAACCAGGTTCCGTACATGCCGATCTCCGGTTGGTGCGGTGACAACTTGGTCAAGAAGACCACCAACATGTCCTGGTGGAAGGGTGCTGATGTCAAGGTCGGCTCTGAGACCGTCCACGTCGACACTTTGTACGACTGCTTGAACAACATGTGCCGTGTTCCGGAGCGACCGATCGATGCCCCCATGCGTCTGCCGATCTCTGGTATCTACAAGATCAAGGGTGTCGGTGATGTGCTTGCTGGCCGTGTCGAACAGGGTATCGTAAAGCCCAATGAAGAAGTCATTTTCTTGCCGACCCACACCGCTGCCAACGCCTGCGCCGGAAAGGTCTTCCAGATCGAGATGCACCACAAGTCCGTACCGGAAGCCAAGCCGGGTGACAACGTTGGTATGAACGTTAAGAACTTGGATAAGCAGAACATGCCGCGCTCCGGTGACGTCATGATCTACAAGAAGGACACCACCTTGTCCGCTGTCAAGGCCTTCGATGCCCAGATTCAGGTCCTCGATATCCCGAACGAGATCAAGATCGGTTACTCCCCGATCGGTTTCGTCCGCTGCGGACGTGCTGCGTGCCGTATCTCCGCCCTCAAGTGGAAGATGGGCAAGGAGACTGGCGGTAATATTTCTAAAATTGGTTCTTTCTTCTAAGAATCATAGATTTCTCATGATGCTCATGCTGTTTCAGACATGATAGCTCTTTCAGGGCTGGTACAAAAGTGAGCACGTAAATGATTCTCCTCTTGTTCGATCCACTTCTCCTATCACCATCATCCACCTTTTTTCTACTCTCAGGTAAGAAGATGGAGGAGCCGCACTCCCTGAAGTCCAACGAGATGGCCCAGGTCACCTTCGAGCCGCAGCAGCCGCTCGTCGCTGACTCCTTCAAGAACTGCGAGGGTCTCTCCCGTGTCGCGTTCATGGACGGAAACGGTGTTGTCATGTTGGGAAAGGTCGTCTCTGTCGAGGCCAAGGTCTTCGAGGCCAAGAAGAAGTAAGCGACTCATCGCTTCCATCTTCGATAACATCACGGTAGGAGCACGATAAAGCGAAGTAGAAGAGGAGAAATGCAGATATAGCTAATTGGAGGTGGCGTGGAAAAAGTTTTTGGTTTGGAGTTAGGCTTTCAGCCTGACGACCGCGACTTCTTCATAGGGACGCGACTTCCGCTCGGCAATGGCAGATTTTCTCTCCTTCTCGGCCAGAGAAATGTTTGGAGAACAAGGAAATATCATGGAGGATGGAGATCGGGACCGTCTGAGGAATTCGTTTCGTGTGTTGATGCTCCTTTTCTGAGAAAGGATGGGTTCTAAACGTGCGCGCGCGGACATTACTCAAAATGGAAGCAATCTTTCATCATCATCTTTTCTCTCTTCAATTTGTACCAATACCGCAAGCTTGCGAACTCCTTACGTGAAAAAACCTCGCGAGAGCACCCCGCTTTCGCGCCTACTCCGACAGGCATCGGCATGAGGCAAGTATGTGTTGGATCGAAAGGTGTTCAATTCGCGGCGAATCGAGGCCATGATGAAAGTGAGACTTGGCTCATCACTCTTAATTCTAAAGACTCCGTAGATTGTCAAGACTCTTTCGAAGATCCAAGCGCTCTTCACCAGATACAACTTCACGTGAACCATCGATGTAGATCAAAAGAACACGAATTCCGTATGCAACATTACCGATCTGATGCGTCAAGTCTGAGATCTGACCTTTTGTAAGAGATCTGAAAAGGAGGATGATGCTGATCCTACTTGCTTTATGGTGAGAAAGTTTGCAAGTTCAGCTAGTATTTAATATTCTAACCCGGATGGGTTCAACTTGTTATTCACAATCTGATCTATTGATGCTATTTCCATTGCTCTTGGCGTAACATCAAACTCTCTCGAGTCAATAAGCCATAAGCCATTTTCCATTCCAACTACTATCACAGGGATTTAAGACATTCGTCTTTTACGAGTATTCGTCAATTCGAGTAGTTTTACTACATCACAACCAACAAAATGACCGAGGGAAAGGAGCATTTGTCGATCGTGATCTGCGGTCACGTCGATTCCGGTAAATCGACCACCACCGGTCACCTGCTCTTCGAGTTGGGTAAAATTCTACTGTTGCATTAGGTTTTCGAATGTCTTAGACGATGGAGGAAATCACAGCTACTTTTCTTTTTGAAGTGGAAGTCTTCAAGTATATGCACATGAAGATGGAAGTTTCGTAACATCTTCAGATTTCGGCGCTTGTCTTTACTATCCTCCATTGGAAAAACTCAATCTCTATTTATTCTTCAGGTGGTATCCCGGAGCGTGAGTTGGAGAAGCTGAAGGCTGAGGCCGACCGTCTCGGTAAGTCTTCTTTCGCTTTTGCGTTTTACATGGACCGACAGAAGGAGGAGCGTGAACGTGGTGTGACCATCTCCGTCACCACCAAGGAGTTCTTCACGGAGAAGTGGCACTACACCATCATCGATGCCCCGGGTCATCGCGATTTCATTAAGAACATGATTACCGGCGCCTCCCAGGCCGATGTCGCCCTCATCATGGTCCCGGCTGATGGTACTGATAATTTTTTTGCTTCTACTTTGTGGTCACTTGCCTATCCAGCATCGTTGCTCGCTGGTCGCATCAAGTCAGTATTTCGATTTGATATTGTAGATGTAGTGTCCTTCTAGATAGAGACGGCGTGTGTGTTGAAGCTGATGTTGCATACTACAAACTCAAAAATACACAGGTAACTTTACCACCGCCATCCAGCGTGGTAACCACAAGGCTGGTGAGATCCAGGGTCAGACCCGTCAGCACTCCCGTCTTATCAACTTGTTGGGCGTCAAGCAGATCATCATTGGTATCAACAAGATGGATTGCGACACCGCTGGTTACAAGCAGACCCGTTATGACGAGATCGCCAACGAGATGCGTAACATGTTGGCCAAGGTCGGATGGAAGAAGGACTTCCTCGAGAACCAGGTTCCGTACATGCCGATCTCCGGTTGGTGCGGTGACAACTTGGTCAAGAAGACCACCAACATGTCCTGGTGGAAGGGTGCTGATGTCAAGGTCGGCTCTGAGACCGTCCACGTCGACACTTTGTACGACTGCTTGAACAACATGTGCCGTGTTCCGGAGCGACCGATCGATGCCCCCATGCGTCTGCCGATCTCTGGTATCTACAAGATCAAGGGTGTCGGTGATGTGCTTGCTGGCCGTGTCGAACAGGGTATCGTAAAGCCCAATGAAGAAGTCATTTTCTTGCCGACCCACACCGCTGCCAACGCCTGCGCCGGAAAGGTCTTCCAGATCGAGATGCACCACAAGTCCGTACCGGAAGCCAAGCCGGGTGACAACGTTGGTATGAACGTTAAGAACTTGGATAAGCAGAACATGCCGCGCTCCGGTGACGTCATGATCTACAAGAAGGACACCACCTTGTCCGCTGTCAAGGCCTTCGATGCCCAGATTCAGGTCCTCGATATCCCGAACGAGATCAAGATCGGTTACTCCCCGATCGGTTTCGTCCGCTGCGGACGTGCTGCGTGCCGTATCTCCGCCCTCAAGTGGAAGATGGGCAAGGAGACTGGCGGTAATATTTCTAAAATTGGTTCTTTCTTCTAAGAATCATAGATTTCTCATGATGCTCATGCTGTTTCAGACATGATAGCTCTTTCAGGGCTGGTACAAAAGTGAGCACGTAAATGATTCTCCTCTTGTTCGATCCACTTCTCCTATCACCATCATCCACCTTTTTTCTACTCTCAGGTAAGAAGATGGAGGAGCCGCACTCCCTGAAGTCCAACGAGATGGCCCAGGTCACCTTCGAGCCGCAGCAGCCGCTCGTCGCTGACTCCTTCAAGAACTGCGAGGGTCTCTCCCGTGTCGCGTTCATGGACGGAAACGGTGTTGTCATGTTGGGAAAGGTCGTCTCTGTCGAGGCCAAGGTCTTCGAGGCCAAGAAGAAGTAAATGATTCCTTCGCTGCTTCTAAACTTCACAAATCCATCTTTGTCGATTTCTCGGATGAAACCTAAAGCAAACGGTCCCTCACAAGCACTTGATTGAGCGGAATTTAGAGCTTGACATCTGCGTCGAGATCTTATGAGCCATGCTCCAATCAGAAACACTTGTCGTTGCTTCTACTCGAGTTCAAAGACGAAACAACAAGAATATCTCGCTTGCCTTGCAAGTGGTGTTGTGAACGGCTCTGCCTGTTGATGCCACCTACGTGTTGCGTTCAATCATACCTTGCCATTATTCAGTACTATCGGTCAATCTTTCCTCGTGCGATATTCGGTATTATAAATGTAGCATTCATACCGACCGTGAAGTACGGCATTTGTAGAGCAGTTGGTCGGTCGTGTAATATCTGTCTGCGTGTTCCATGGGGTATCCGAGCGAAAAAGACAAAAATGCAGCGATGACTGAAAGTCTACTGAAGGTCGGTAACAGAAAGGCACGTATGTCAATGGATTCCCCAGTCCCTCATCACACCTCGTAGTACGGCGGACACCGAAAAAAATAGTAACGGACTTCAATTGAGCGACCCGACGACGACGAGAAAAGTCATGTAAAATAGAGAGCCACTTGCTGCTCGATGGATACAGAATATTCACATGACGGCGAAAATTTGTAAAGCGCTGAGTACGTACTCGTACATGTGAAGTGTCCTCTAGACCTACATACACCGGACCGCGACGTGTGTCGATCTGCATCTTTTCAACTCCAGTGCGACCGACGCATGCGGGCGAAACAGGTGATCACCAGATGAGCGTCATCCAGACTCATGAGAACAAAGGGGCGCTGCGTTCTTGTCCGGTTTATCGCGACACTCACGACGCCCTTTGTTAGTGTGTTCACACGGTCCCACTTTGCCCGTTCGCAAGACCTGTAGCGTTCCCGACCACATGGTGCAATTGTAGTAGAGCTGGTGGCCCATAGGCGCAGAGCCAAATGACCACGCCGAAGATCGATGAGCAATGAGTTTCTTTCTGACGTAGATGGACGTCTGAATTTTTCAAATGGAATTTTGATGTGTCAGCAACTTTTACAGGTATTGTATGTTTTTTCCAACGAGCTCAAGATGCAGCGTGACGTCGATCGGCGTCAGGAACGTGCCATTTTTTTATATGCGCAAGTGCAATACATCGCCACAGCGCTCACTACGTACTGCTGAGCATCCTCCTGTGGAAGGACAAGAACCCGTAAAATAACATTCCTCCTTAAATTATTAGAGGATCCCGTTATTTGATGTACATGCAGTTGCAAAAGCAATTACAGCAAGTACGTTTTTGCAACTACCAGTCGATTACAACAAGTACGTTTTGCAACTACCAGTGACAACTCAATCGGAGGCACAGAAAAAAGAAAGGATGCTCCTCCGCGTTCCTCTGGTCTTACTCGCTTCGTTGGCGGGAATAGCAGTCCAGTTTTACATTTTTCATGTTGAGAGACAGCTTCTGCTCAATCCCGGCTACCAGGCGGCTTGTGACTTTGCTTCTTCTGGCAGCTTGCCGCCGTTCATAGGGAGCTTACTTTATGATGGAAATACTTTTGCGAGTTCGACTCTAACCCTACTCCCAATTCCGTGAGTGAGTGAAAGCAAAACCGATTTTGAAAAACACTATACTAGCAATATGTTACCGCCTGATAACTACTCGAAAACTGAAAGTAACCGAGTTACTGACTGAAATAAGGGAGGTAGTTCTGACGGGGCTACTCTTCCTTGTTCAGTATCTCGCTTATTGTAAGTAGTTACTCGCTTATGTCAGTTATTTTTCGAATAGCTTTATCGGTTTGCCTTCAATTTCCTACGCTCTACTCTCGTTTCCGTTCCAAGGCTCCGGTTCTAATGTGAACAAGGCTCATCCTGCACAAAAGTCTTTTCGTCGATTTATGCGCGGCCGCTGAGCCACTGGGGTGTCGTCTCACCAGGTAGCGACTTTGACTTGGGCCTTCCCTGGTTTGGGCTCGTCTACTTTCTGACAACACTGGCGTTTCCGATAGCGCGAAGAAAATTTCCGAACACTGCGCACAAATTCTACCTCGCTTTGGGCATCGCGTCTGCGGGATTTACGATTTACCTGGCTTCGATTCTGAAGTTCATCCTGCAAGAGTTCTGCATCGTATGTGCTTCGACGTATGTCCTGAATGCAATTTGCCTGGGGGCGTTTGTACTAGAGTATAGGGCAAAGGAGCAGCGAATGCTTGATGCAGCTGGGGGAAGGGAGAAGAAGAAGCAGTAGAGCAACTGATTGCCTTTGCATGATAAAGCCGTCTCGTCTTCTGATCTGCTTCTTTGTTTCAAAATCACAAAAATTCTTTGTCTTCGCCTCGGTCGTGTCATCATTGACTACGCCAGTCGTGGGGGTATAACCATTGCCACACATACCACCCTGACGCCAGAAGCGACGAGGGCGGGGCTTTGATGTGTAGCCTTCGTGCGTTCGTTACAGTGAGAAACCACACGTGATGACTTTCAAGACGAGGGAGAGAAGAAAAAAATGTACCAGAATTGGACACTGCAAAAAGAAACGGCACTACTTGTATTAAGTTGTGCTAGAGATAGTGCGTCCAAACAACGATTCACATACATAGAAGAGTGCATTGTATTGTAGTCAACGATAAACAAGTGAGGAACAAGGACAAGGAGAAGCTTTATTTTAATATTCCGTAGCTCTTGATGATAGCCACCGTTTTCTCTTTTCTATCTTCCTCCGGTCTTTCTTTTTACTAGTTAGGTCTGCGTCTGCCCCACCGCGAATATTACGTAGCTCTGCCTTGCATTTTTCTACATCAAATTACAGTTACACTAGTCAAACCGCTCAGAGAGAAAAGGATGCAGGACGCGTTGAACGATGCAAGGTCTGGGAAGACCGAGAGAGCAGAGCTATTAGCGAAAGAAGGCCTATCACAGGTTAACCAGTTCGCTGCCTCAAGATTTGGAGGACTATGGAAATTGCTGTTTTTTGTGGGGGCGGTAACGATTTAGTTTGTCTTCCTTGTCGGCACGACTTGCTTTCTTCTTCGCACTCAGCTATTAATTCCACGCTCCTACTTTCAACCTGATTTATTTTCTGGACAAGGAGCTATTAAAGCTATGATGAGACCTTTTGAGCATGAGCAAGGACCATGGAGTCAAGTCTAATTCACCATCCTTTCTTTTAAACGAAAGAACAATCAAAAAACCCATCTCCACCAGGTATCTGTACTCGCAGCAGGAGTCCTAGGAATAATTGGCGGCATCACGAATCTCCTGTCGCCATTCAGTTTCTGCAACCAGGTAAATTTTCAGAAACCAGGTGAAAATTTTAGATTACTCCTTCTCTTCAACAATTGATGACTTCTCGTCTTTTTTCTGACCCTGTTTTCAGTACCCCTTAGGGCCTACCTGACGTATCTACCCTGTTTTCAGGCGCAGGGCCTAACTAACGTTCCTACGCCCCCTACGCCTAGCTACTGTACTAGACAAAATGAACAAGAAGCAAAAGAAGCAATGCACAGGTATACCTCTGCGTTTTCGGATTGATTATGTTGGTAATAGACGCACCAATTGCGCAAGCGGAAGAAGCGAAATTCGCAGTTTTCCGATATCTCCTTTTCATGACAAGATTCACAGGGAGGGGAGTATGGTACATCTTCTTTAATCCTTTCCTTTTGCCGTTCGTGACAAGATGATAGGAGATGAAAGGAGAAGAAGAACGCAACACAAGTCTCGAAAAAATGTGACAAGATTTACAGTTATGACAAGACTCACAGGGAGGGGAGTATGGTACGAGTCTCTTCCGCTTTTTTCTCTCCATTGTCACATCACGATGAATCGTGCGATCAAAACGTTATTCTCTTTAATATTCTCATGCTCCAGCACTCTACTGACTCTACTCTCGTTCCCATTTTCTTCAGGTCCGTCGACTCACACCTTACTGTTACACAACCTCCGCAATTTTGTAGGTACCTCTTCCTCGCGACGATGATTTGGGCATCCTTGTTTAATCTAGGCTTAGAGCCCTTCCTCGGTTTTTTCCTATCTGGGTACGTAGCAGTGCTTGGCGCATTGAGTATTTTTGTCGGGGTACAAAAGTCTTTGAGGCTTGAGAAGATGCGAAAAGCAATTTGCGCACAAGGTCCAGCAGCAGTGATGGAGCTATGCCCAGCAGCGTATGGACTATTTTCTATTTTTTGTGTACTAGCACTAGGGCTAGCAACATGAATTGAGATATTGCATTGATGCAGATAAAGGTCCGGTCCTCATGAGAACGACTTCTCTCATAAGAACGAACTAGTCGCATAAGCGGGAGACGGATCCAACACTCACATTGAAATAAGCGAGTAAGGGAACCGGACATTTCGCACTCATCTTCTCTCATAAGAACGAACTTCTAGTGTTTCCATTTCACACTCTTCACATCATACAAGAACTTCTCTCTTCCTCGTCACACGACAGGGGTCTCACCCTTCCAGAGTTTCAAGCAATGGCCGCATCTGTCGCAGAAGTCAATTTTAGCGATGAAGAGATGGGATACATAGCATTAAGGCTCCGATAGAAGTAGAAGAAAGAAAACTTTTTTCAAATCGGAATGTTGCACGTCTTGCGATCGGAAAGGTTTTTCGACCAACTCTGATTTCTTCATATTCATCTTTATCTTCCTGCTCTCATCAACATCATATTATTTTCCTGCTCTCATCAACATCATATTTCTTAGAACCTTCCACCTGCTGGTGAAGGTGAACTCTACATCAACATACAATGAACCTAATCCTCTCATCATCATCGTCATTACTTTCCTGCTCTAAAAATAGCAGCCCTTAGCTTCCGAGTACGGTCTGACGATATCATTCAGCAAGACGAATTTAGGGGCTGGACGCAAGGGCGAATGACTGTGCTGTAAGGAAGGAGCACGACCTTGCCCATGTGGGCAAGGTCAACAGACCAAGTTGTCCAGTCGTAGTCTTCCGCTAGCACAACTGGAAGTACATCTACGGAGTGAAGTCTTGTCCGCGCTGTTTCTTTGCGTCGTCGAAATTGACCCGCTGGTAAGGCTCGTTTGCATTTTCCGTTTGAAGTCCGATCTAACTCTAGATCTCTGCTACAACTCGGCACACGCGAACTGTTTCTACTCGACTACATCATGTACACCACGCGAACATTTTCTCTCCGGCTACTGGCTCCAAACTACATCACGGGTCTGGATGAACAAATGAGGTTGATGTTGTACTTGGAAAGTAGTCTGATGAGTAGGTAGACGCCCTTTCCGTTTCACTTACAGGCTTTACTCAATCTTGGTGTTGGAGGCTGTTCTGAAGATGAACTACATATTATATATACTTCTGTTCTTACTCTTACAACAGAGAGCTCATACTAGCTGAGTGATATTAATTGGAGGGACGAGCACTTCTAGTACAAGATAATCTGTCTTCCCAGAGGCGTGTCCTAACTCGACACACCAATCTGTCTTTGAAGAGAGCAAGAGCAAAGTTGATGATGAGCGTACGGTTGAAAGGGTCAGATTCATTCGGTCCTGACGAGGAGTAGCGTGATGTCCTCCTGAGGGTACGCAGGAGACACCTGTGTTCGTTTAGGAGACTGGCCCATCCGCGCCTGGAGTATGGTTCAGACCTGTGCGCGTTTGCAGGGCCACCTCCCCAAAAAGCGAATCTCCACATGAACTGTCATCTGTCCTCCTGAGGCTGAGAATTTGGCGCGTGAAGTATCTGTTGTGAGTTTGAACTGCGTGAGCGCTCGGCCCTTCTCCCCTGAAGCATCTTCATTTGTGTAACAAGTAGCTGTAGCTTTCATCATGATTTGTGTTTCTTGCTTTCTCTACTTTCACAAGATGAACGAAGCATTTTATCATTTATCCTCATCGACATCAACAGGGACGTCGACGACAAAAGTAATCTTGTGCTTAAACTACACTTCTATCTCCTCGTCATTCAATTATGAGAAGTCAGTGCTGTGGTTTTTGCATCGATTCATGAGTGTACTATGGTCCCTAGGTCTAGGTGAAAAGACCAAGAACTACAGCATTCTTTGATTTTTAAGAGTAAAGAAGGTGGGTGGCCTCACAGGTAGACAATATTAATAACTACATGAACTACAAAAGATGTATCATGACATGACACGTTTTAGTTTTACTTCTACTAACTAAGCTTTACTAGTGATAATTAGGATCATTTTTCCTAGGTAGAAAAGCTAAGAAGATATAGAACTGGTACTAGTTGTGCATGATATTTCTTTCAAAGTGGGACTTGTAGACTCTTCCTCTTCTTATCTGTTCTTCTAGTTAGTTGCTTGTCAAAAATCAACGATCTTCCGAGTCTTAGATGATAGTAGACTCATTTTTGCCAACATGATTGATAGACTCCGACTCTTGTCTAGTACAGGAACTTTGTGTGAAGGAGTGAAATAATCAAATGACAAATTATTGAAATAATCTGTTCATGTCTAAGTCCTCTACGTCAACCCGATCATACTAGGTAATATATTATTAAGCTATACTTTTTCATCTTTTTAAAGTGTAAAAACTGTAACGCGCGCGCGCGCGTTACGCGCGCGGGTTACGCGCGCGCGCGCGTTACGCGCGCGCGTTATAACGCGTTACGCGCGCGCGCGTTACGCGCGAAATAAGGCGCGCGCGTTACATGCGCGCGGCGCGCGCGCGTAACGCGCGCGTAACGCGCGCGCGGGGGGGGGGCACTCGCGACCGGGCTCGCCG